CTGCTTTGGTTTTCAGCTTGAACTTCAGCGAGAGCTTGGGAGCGGCCGGGCTCGGCGTCGAAGCGCCTCGTGCAGCACCGTTCCCGGCCGGCGCAGCATCCAAGAAACCGGTCGCAGGCGACGCATCGGGCTTAGCCGGCGAAGGACGTTCGGGCGAGTCGGATACAGCTGCGCCTTGGTCGTTGGCGAGTGCAGCATCCTGAGCTGCCTTCTGACGTGCTGCCGACTGCTCGAGCGTCTTCTCCATCCTGTTCCACAGCGGGCCGAACACCTTTTCGAGTCCTACGGCTTGCTTGTGCGCCCAAGCTTTTGGATCAGGAGTGTAGGTCTTGGCATTGCTGATCATCAGCTCAAAGTCGGCGCGAAGGCCGTGTCGGTCCTTGTACTGCCCACTGTCCAGCTTGTTGAGGATCGAGCCGAGATCCATTGGCTCCTTGATAATGTCAAAGTAGTTGGTCGCCTGATCGCGCACGGGATCGACCGGGTTCAGGAAGATGCTAGCAAATTTGTTCTGCATAAGCTTCTTGAGCGTGTTTCTGCATGCTGTCAGGTCCGCAAACGACATGCCTGACGCCTGGCCCGGAGCCAGCGGCTTGACCTTCTTCGGTTTGATCTTTTTGGTCTTTTCTGCGGCACCTGGCTTGTCGGGAGTCTCGAATGCGACACGCGGTCCGTTGGCCGCCGTGGCAGCGGATGGAGTCTTGGGCACCGACTCGTCGCCCGCAGCCAAAGCGGAAGGACGTACGAGCTTGATCTTCGAGATGGACGGCGACTCGAGCGGTACGGCGTCGACGGCGCTTTGAGCGCTCGGCATCCTGACGCGAAGCTGCACTTTGTGCTGCAAGGGCAGATCCTTCTCCTCCGCAGGGCGGAAGAGCAACTCTGCGAGCTTCAGGAGCGACCATCGAGCTTCCGCATCCACACTGGGCGCCAGCAACGCTGACAGGAAGCCTTCACGAACACCTGCCGATCGCCCAATCTCCTTCTTGAGCGTCTTGAGCATCGCTTCAAGCTGGGCATCGCGAGCCTTTTCGGCTGCATTGACGTGGCCGCTGTCCTCCTCGATGAGCAAGGCTTCTGGGCCACGCAGCCCTCCACCGCCAAACACGCCAGTGCTCATAGCCACCGCCAAACCTTCGCACAACGCCCGCGCCAAGGCCCGCTTGACGGAGCGGTTCTCATCGAGCCGCAGAAGCGCAAAGCAGTACCGCGCGATAATTCGGTGGTCAAGGTTGCCGACGAGCAGGAGGCAGTTCAGAGCTGCAATGCGAACCGGTGTGAAGTTGCCCTGACGTGTGTATACGAAGAAGAGTTGCAAGTCCCTTGGCTTAAGATTGGCCAGCATCATCGCGACCTGGAAGTCGAGCGAAGCAAGCGTGATCACATTGTGGTACGAAGGAACGAGTCGATCTAGCTCTTGCAGACGCTCCACCTCGGCGATAGCATGGTCGAGCAAGAAGCTCTCCTCGTTGATTGCATCAGTATCCTGCATGCTCGCGACAGCAGAATCGATGGGTATGAAGGCGCTTGCAAGCGCGTTGATGGCGCCAGCGAGGTAGAAGTCATCGACGAAGAGGTTCGTCGAGTTGTCATTGTATCGCAGCAGATTGATCAGGAAACGCTTGACCTGTGGCGGACTGCGGCCGTCGGGATTGCGGACGCGGCTGATAGCATGGATGAGCGCTCGCTGCAAAAAGTAGTCGGCGGCGTCGCCAAAGTCGTTGGCGCGCGGGATGCAGGGCACATCAAGCGGATCTTCGACGGAAGCTTCGTCCGGTGGATCGTGGCAGAACTGCGTGCGGAAGAGCTTGAGAAGGTGAAAGAGACCCAGATTGTCGAGCTGCGGGATGGCGCAGTGCACCAAGGCATGCACCGCTTCGGTACGGACACGGTAAAAGTACTTGTTGACAAGCACTGTTCGTGTCAGCATGCTGCAAGTCACGAGACTGGGCATCTGTGCGAGCGCATGCACGGCCGACACCTGCGCAACCACATCACGATCTCGCTGGAGCTGCGAGACCCACATGTAGTCCGGCTGCTCGAAATGGATGCTGGCGAGCCATTCAAAGTCGGCGTCCATGCGGATCCATTCGTATGGCGCCGACGACATCTTCTCCTCGTCCTCTTCGGTCCAATCGGCGACCTTCCACTCCTCTCGCGCCTTTTCATCTTCCCACATTCCAAGGCCGAAGCCGAGATCGATGAGTCCGATCGCCTCTTGCGCTTCCTGGTCACCCTGAGCCGCGGCTGCGGCGGCTGCTTGACGAGCCTGGAAACGCTTGGTGTTTCGACGGACTCGCTTGTATTTGGTATTGAACGGCACCTCGTAGCGTTTTGCTGGACCCTTGATCTCGAGCACGTGCTCGTATGGCGTACCGTCGGCTTCGTGAATTCGCACGGTCATCTGCCCTTCGAACAGCGGCACCGCATTTGCGGCCAAGGCGTCGCCCGGTCTGGCAGCGGCAAACTGGGCAGCGGGCACCTCCTGACGGATGTTCATCTCGATAAGGAGCTTTTTGCGGTTGAAGTTGGCGCTGCAGATGAAGCGCGGGCATCCGCTTCCACGGATCCAGTGCTCGGTGAAAAGGCGTAGATCGGCACCGCTGACCTTGCGACAGGTTCGCAGAAATTGCTGGGTGCTGAGCATGTTGTTGGTCATCTCGCCCGTCATGGCCTGGAGAAAGACCTTGGGAATGACACGACCGAGACCGACGGAAGCACCCATCTTACGCAGCCTCCTGTCGAGGATGTGGAGCACGAGCGGTGCCTTGAGATTGACAAAGGGCAGCGTGGCCGGGTCGGGAGGCTCGAAGGCGCCTGCTTCGTACAGAGGCGGCATGCCGATGTCCCAGGCGCAGAGTCGATCGAGATCCTTCTTGAGTCGGAACCTATATTCGTTGTTGCCCATGAGCCGTCGCAGAAAGAGACCGTTGATATAGAGGCCGAGACCGTTGACGAGCCAGGTGTCGGCCCATGTGGCCTGAATGATGTTGATGCCGACCCACTGAAAGGCAATTGCGTGGCTCAAGACCTGGCGATTCTCGATGGCCTGGTCGATGACGGAGGTGGGATGGAGGAGATCGTTGGAGCAGATGGCCATCATGGACTGAGTGGTGCAATCCTGGGGAGGCTCGTCGACAAAGACCATTCGAAAGGCACCGAAGGGGTAGGAACCGTACTGCTGAGAGAAAAAATCAAGCGCCTGGCGTGTGAAGCTGATGGAGCTGCGAAGCTCGTCCTCGCGGCCGGGCAAGCAAAAGGCGAGAATCTCCGGCTGACCAGCGTCTTCAACGACGGCGGGGCCGCCTGCAGTGACGTCGGTGACGACGCCAGCAGCGACCTGACCTGAATGACGGTTGGCAGCTTCGATGCGCATAATATGAAAAGGGCCTGCGGCAAAGGCAACATGTTGGACCGATGCCGGGACTGCTTGGGTGTAGCAAAAGACGGTCTTGGCGGGATTGTTGGGATGGATGACCTGTTCCATCAAGTCACCGGTACAGACAACGACAACCTGGGAATCAGGGTCAACGCTCGCGTCTGGCGCTGCCTCGAGAGCAGAGGAGCCTGGCTGATTGCTCGACGCGTCCTGGTCATCCTCGGCAGTTCCAAGAGACCTGGGCACAATGAGCTCGAACTCCCATGTACATCGTTCCCACAAGCTGTCGACGCACGGCACCCAGCATCGTGCAGCGTCAGGAGACGATGCGATTGTGTACAGGTGAGGAACGCGGTACGGCGCGTCCGGCGTGGGTCGCATGAACTGAAGGCCATCGGTAGGATCTTTGAGCAAGTACTCGACGCGAATGGTGATGGGAGCTAGCTCGGTGGATGCTGAACCGCCGGGCGTCGGCGCATCGTCGGGAGCGATGCTGGGCGCTCTGCTGCCTGCTCGCTGCGTCTGCACGGATACTTCGGGAGGGATGAGGATGCTGAGCTCTCCGTGAGCGCCGTCGGAAGCTGCGGCATAGATGGTGCGCTTCAGCTCTGGATATCGATGCACGTCGCGTGTGTCTGAGATGGTAGCGCCGGTGAGATGATCGGCATAGGAGAAGTCGGCAGGAAGATTGTTGATGGTGGCCGACTGCACGGAAGCCTGACGACAATTGAGGTGGATGGTTCGAAGACTGCGATGCGATGGGACGATGGTGAGCTCTGTGAAGCCGACGACGGTACCGCTGAAGCTGAGGTCGAGGACGACCCTCTGATGGCTGACGGTAAAGCCACGGTACGCGGCCGTTCCTCTTTGCTTAGACATTCTGCCGCAGCTTTACCGTGGCGAGAAGCCGCCGCTCGCGTTGCTGTGCGGGACCAAAAGGGTTACGAGCGAAGGTTATGATACGGTGAGCAGCATGTATGCGCTGGATGCAAATGTGTGCGCAGTGTAGCTACGAGGAGGATCGTAAGGCCATGAGGGATGCGAGATTCGTTTGAAGCTGGGGACGCGCCGGAATGGAATGAATGATGCTGCGAGCTGATTCCGATGGATCGATGGATGGGAGGCAGTCAAAAGGGATTCTGTGATTAGTGAGCCGAATAAGCGGGACGACAGCGAATGACGGTCAAAGCGTAAGGGAGCGTGAAGATGCAGAACGGCTTTGCGCCACGGACCGGCCTGTGCTTGACGAGAGCGAACGTTGGTCGAGTCTGACCATCGACTCAGCTTGTGGCTAGCAGCGGGTAGGTGACGGCTGAGCCATTCTGAGCGTGACGGTGTCGAGTGTATGAGCGATGATGAACGAGCGAGGGACGATGGCTCAGTCTCGAGTTGCACTGTCACACTCTCGCCTCAGAGCGCGGAATTCGGAAGAAAACCGCATCGGCTCATTGACGCGTTTGAAACAATGGATCGGGAGCCTCTTCTCTTTTGCAACTGCGTGGATCGGGTCGTTGGACATCAATGAAATTTCAGTCCCTTTCGGCTCACCTTCTTCCACCATCTCCTTGACGTATCGTTGACCCGCAGCTCGAGTTCGGAGGTGGACACGCATAGTCCAAGCATGTCGACCACTCTGCAGAGCGTCTTGCCCGCTCCAAAGTACATCGCTGCATCCCAATCTCATGTCGACGACGATGACGAGGGCGACTACGATCAGTCCGAAGCCGGACCCTCCACCTCATCCTCATCCAGCGCACTCGTCTCAACGTCGTCACCCAGCAGCATCCCGCCTTACGGATCGAGATCGACATGGCGACCTCGCACACAAGCAGACTTTGCTAACGGAGGTGCCTACCCGGAATGCCACATTGCACAATACCCTCTCGACATGGGCCGAACTCGCATGGCAGCGACCTCCAACAAGCTTGCCATGCGCGTCGATGGCGAGGGCAACAAACGATACGACGCCATCATCAAACAGGGATTGCGACCTGGTCAAACGGTACAGACCGAGTACAAGGATCTCGTACCGCTTTCTCAGCGCACCGATGTGAGGGACAAGGATCGCGCTTCGGGATTCGAACGCCCGTCCCAGGAGCAAGTCATGAGCAACACCGAACGAACGCGTCTTGCACTCGAAGCCATCACAAAGTCCAGAACCAAGCCCGTCGTTCCCACCAGCAACAACAAACCTGGTCAGCAACAGGATGCGCAGTTCATTCGCTACACTCCGGGTCAACAAGGTGTCGGCAACGGCACACAGCGCATCATCAAGATGACCGAAGCGCAACGCGATCCGTTGGAACCACCACGGCATCGATTCAAAAAGACAGCTCCCGCTCCGCCTTCCCCGCCGCCTCCCGTCCTGCGGTCTCCACCGCGCAAGGTGACGGCGCAGGAGCAGAAGGACTGGATGATCCCTCCCGCCATCTCCAACTGGAAGAATAACAAGGGGTACACCATCCCGCTCGACAAGCGTCTCGCCGCTGACGGGAGGGGCATCAAGGACGTGGCGATCAACGACAACTTTGCGCAGTTTGCCGAGGCGCTCAATCTCGCAGATAGGCATGCGAGGGAGGAGGTGAGGCAGAGGAGCATCATGCAGCAAAAGTTGGCGGCCAAGGAGAAGGCGGCCAAGGAGGAGCATCTGAGGACTCTGGCGCAGAGGGCGAGGGAAGAGAGGGCGGGGATGTCGGCTACTCCGTCGGTCGTGGGAAGGGACGATGATGCCGAGTCGAGATTGGACGATTCGGATGCGCCGGTTCGGCGTGCTGCATCGGGCGGAGGAGGTGCAGGGATGTCCGCGATGCTCGCCGGGTACGGTTCCGATTCGGACTCCGGGTCTGAAGCATCCGCTGCTTCAGATGACGACGACGACGAGGGAGCACGCGAACGCGATCGTATCCGCGAAGAACGTCGTCGCGAACGAGAACGCGAACTACGCATGTCCAACATGGGCAACGAACAACGAGCCAAGCAGATGCTCCGAGAACAGAACCGTGACATTTCCGAAAAAGTTGCTCTCGGTCTAGCAAAGCCTTCCGCGTCGAAAGAATCCATGACGGACAGTCGACTCTTCAACCAAGGCGAATCGCTCGCTGCTGGGTTGGGCGACGAAGACTCGTACAACCTGTACGACAAGCCGTTGTTCTCCGGTAGCAGTGCTGCTGCTGCCATCTACAGACGACCTGCTGGCAGAGGTGGGGCAGATGACATCTATGCGGATGAAGGTGCGTTGGAGGAGGAGTTGGGTAGGAACGATAGATTCGGTTTAGGTCAGAGCAAGTTCAAAGGTGCAGAAGACGATGTTGGCAGTGGTGCAGCTGCAGGTGGTAGAAGCGGACCCGTTCAGTTTGAAAAGGATACAAGCGATCCGTTCGCCATCAACCAGTTCTTGGAGGAGGCGAAGAGAGGGATCAAGCGATCCTCGGCGAACGACGCTGATGACGCTAGAAAGAAGCACAGGGATCAAGACGATTCGTAGAGCTTCTTCTACCATGCTTTGACGTCCGTTCGGTGCTCAATAGGAATGCAATTCTGATACCATCCCACGACGATCGACCTGCACACGCTGCTTTTTGAAAAGTCTGAATTTACATTTAGGTTACTCGACGACAAAAGAAACGCTCAAATCGCTCCTCCGCATCTACACAGTCGCGATGATCTCGCTAGCCGTCTCGAGCGCCGAGATCATCTTGACGCACTCCTTCCTCCTCGCCACGACGTGGTCGGACTCCTTCATCAGCTCCTCGAGCACGTCTGGCCTGTAAATCTCCTGCAGCAGCTCCTTCTGCATCTGCTCCTTGGACTGGGTGACGAGGTTGAGCATGATGCACTTGGGCACCATCGAGATGGTCTCGACCTTGACCACGTTGAAGTAGCTCTGGATGAGCAGCTTGACCACCTCGGTCTCGAGCTGTTCGCGCTGGCTGAATTGGCCCGAAGCCTTGAGCGACGGCGGTGGAGCTTCCATGAGCGCCTTCTTGGCCTTGACCGCCTGATTCGTCTGCTGGGCGCCCTTCTGGAAGAAGCTGCCAAAGAAGCCCGACTCGCTCTTGAGGGAAACGTCCAGGTCCTTGTCGTTGTTGATGGCGTGCGGGTTGGGCTTCTTGGGGTCGTGCGCGGGCGCGGGAGGGTTGAGACGCTCGTTGACGATCTCCATGGCCTTGTGGCCGCTGATAAAGTCCGGGTGACCCGTGTTGAGGTAGACGGCTTGTGCGGCGACAAAGTCGGAAACGAGCTTGGTGGTGGGCGACATGCACTTTTTGAAAAAGTGGATGACGACCGTGTTGAAGCGTTCGCGCAGCGCAGGGAAGCGGCGGAAGCTGGCGTTCTTGGCGAGGAGCTGTGCGAGGATGCGCACCAGCTCGTCGTACACGAGCGAACAGCATCGCAACGCGGGGTCTTCGAGACGCTTGATCTGCTGCTTGACAATGACCTCGAAGGCGGTGGTGCCGACAAAGAGCGCCGGCGAGGATCCGGACGAGTTGTAGAGGATGGTACGGATGTCGGTGTCCTTGACCATGTCGAAGGGGTCGATGGCCTTGACGCCGTTGCTGTAGAGCTCGTGGAAGACAAAGCTGATGCGGGCACCGCCTGCGAGCTCGTTGACGGTGAGATCATTCGAGTTGCCGTCGATGACGGTGCGGAACTCGTTGGCGAATTCGGTGATGATCTGAAGCACCACACCCGCCGAATTGGCTTCGCCCAAGGGTCCGCCTAACGATGCGAGCTCAGCTTGGAACTTGGCGAGCTGGGAGCCGATCTTGTTCTTGATGTCGGGAAGCGTGTTGCGAATGTGGTGCATGAGGATGGTGTTGAGCTTGCGTGCAAGGAAGGGGGTTCCGCAGTACTGAGCCTTGCTGCGGTAGCTGGGGTGGTTCTCGAAGAAATCCTTCTCTGCAGTAAGCGCAGCACTGACGAGCTTCTTCTGGTCGATGTCGCGCTGACCACGGTTGACGACGGGTACGTAGCCGAGACGGAGGGGGATGACGCGGCCGGCGAGGATATCGACGACATCGGTTCCTGCGTCCATGAGGTCGACCTTGGTCAAGACACCGACTGTGCGGGTTCCTTCTGGATCGACTTCGCGGGCGAGCTTGAGACCGTCCGAATTGGCAAGATCGGTGTTGGCAGCAGTGACGGCAAGGATGACGGCGTTGGGTTTCGAGATGAACTTGAGCACCATGTCGCGAATCTGGCGCTCGATATCTCTGGGCTGATCGCCGACGGGCACCTTTGTGAGACCGGGAAGATCGACGAGGGTGAGCGTTAGGACGTTGGGGCTGTAAATGCGGAGGTTGATGGGCTGAGGCGAGATACCGGCGTTCTTGCCGGTCTTGAGCTCGGTATCGCGGACAATCTCTTCGCGGATCTTGTCAAAGTCGAAGAACTTTTCGCCGGGCAGGTGAAGGAATTCTCCCCACTCATCTGGATTGTTGCCGCCCTTGCCCGAGACGGCTGGAGCGTCGCCGTTGGCTTTGGAGGTGGCAGGACGGTTGATGAGCTGGAGAACGAGCGGACGACGGGTCACGATACCGGTACCACGCGGAAGAAAGTCGCGACCGACGATGTTTTCGAGTACACTGGACTTTCCGGACGATTGAGAGCCGAGCACTGTGATCTGAGGCAAGTCGATAGGGTTCTGGATGCCGACATTGTTGAAGGCATCCTGGAGCTTGTTGACAAGCTTGATGAGCGACTGGTCCATCGCCATGTTGAATGTGTGAATGAGCCACTTAGCTGTAGCTAGCGCGGGAGCGGATAGAGGTGGTGCAGTGTCTCAGTGTTTGAAGGAGGGAGCACCGTTTCGGGGGTAGTGAGGGACGTTCCGTCGTTATCGAATTCGTGAGAGCGAGGTGCGACCGTGAAGGCAGACGCGGATGTGGTGACGACTGCGGTGATGCGGTCGACAAGAAGGATGCTGCGCCGTCCAAGATGGAAGGAAGAGTGTAGGTTGAAAGAGAAAGCGGATGTGTGCGAGCAAAGGAGGTTGTGATTCGTAAATTGAATCGGCTGCAGCTCAGCGTGCGTGCGTCGGCGAGAAGAGAGAGAGAGAGAGGTGTTGGTTGGAAATTGCACGCATCCGCAGAGAGTCACGGTTTCAAGAGTGGAGCAACTCAGTCACACGCTCGCTGCTGGCCCAATGTTGAATCAAGCCCAGCTCCGATCAACACAGCCTCTCTCGCTCAGCGTGCCGTGCTGAAGCTCAGCTTTTCCAGCCAGATGCTCAGATCGCGATAGTCGCGATGGAATTTCGTTGAAGTTTGTAGACAATGCCGATCGAACATGTTGGCTACACCAATGATTGGTGACGGCCGATAAGAAGAAAAGCAAAGTCGAAATTATTGGCAGAAAGGTTCCACGTCAAAGGCGCCATCTGACGCTTGCGCCGAAGCTTCGAGATCCAACACACGGCACAGCTTCTCCAGGGTCTTGTGTCTCAATGCAGCTCATGCCGTGGCCCAAGCATGCCCAAGCTAGGCACACACTACATCGCAACATTCGCTGATAGGATGAACGCTGGTGGTGAAAGATGTCTGCATTGGCGCAAGAGTGCAAAGCTGTGTCAGTCTGGGAGGAGGCTACGCTGTGCAGCGGTCCTCGCCGAAACTCATGTTCCAGGTGACAAAAACGTGTGCCACTTCTGGGAGCGTCCTAATTTCCAAGCTTCCACCTCATCAGCCTGTCGTCGGAGTTCGCGAGGCGAGCTCAATTTGACTGGAATTCCGCTTGGCTCTCGATTGACCCAAGTCGCCTCTCCGCCACGCCAACACTGAAGCACGGTCCGCCTCGACAGTCAGATTCGGCATTCCACCCAGCTCGACTTCTTCTCCTTCGCCGTCATCCAACCTCTCCATCTCGCACGTTTTTCGTCTACTTTCCCTCTATCGTCCTCCCGAGCGTTGATCCCACGCAAGGCACCCTGACCACGGCCACAGATATTCACACACATCGCCGCACCCGCACAAGAACATCGGACCACGCCATGAAGCCCGCTGTCGCTGCCACCTTGGCCGCTTTTGCGCTCGCAGAGGTTGTCTCTGCCGACGTCGCCCGTCCTCACTTCACCCCCACTGCCATCAAGGCTCCCTTCATTGAGCAGTTCACTTCAGATTGGTCGGAACGATGGTCCACTTCCCAAGCCTCCAAGTTCCAAAAGGAGGACGATTCCGAGGCATTCAAGTACGACGGTGTCTGGTCCGTAGAGGAGCCCGAGGTCTTCCCTGGCCTTGCTGGCGACACCGGTCTCGTGCTCAAGTCCAAGGCCAAGCAGCACGCCATCTCGCACCTATTCGACAACCCCATCGACCCCAAGGGCAAGCCTCTCGTCGTCCAGTACGAGGTCAAGCTGCAGAAGGGTCTCAGCTGCGGTGGTGCCTACGTAAAGCTCCTCTCCGCTACCGAGGCCGGCGTCACTCCCGAGGAATTCTCGGACAAGACGCCTTACACCATCATGTTCGGTCCCGACAAGTGTGGTCAGACCAACAAGGTTCACTTCATCTTCCGTCACAAGAACCCCAAGACAGGCGAGTTCGAGGAGAAGCACGTCAAGTACCCCGCCTACCCCAAGCTTGCCAAGACATCGACGCTCTACACGCTCGTCGTCAACCCCGACCAGTCGTTCGAGATCTTCATCAACAACGAGTCCAAGAAGAAGGGCACTTTGCTCGAGGACTTTGAGCCTCCCGTCAACCCGACTGCCGAGATCGACGATCCAGAAGACAAGAAGCCTGCCGATTGGGTTGAGCAGGCAAAGATCCCCGATCCGAAAGCTACCAAGCCCGCCGACTGGGACGAGGATGCACCGCTCGAGATCCCCGACGAGGATGCCGTCAAGCCCGAAGGCTGGCTCGAGGACGAGCCGCTCACCATCCCCGACCCGGACGCACACAAGCCCGAAGAGTGGGACGACGAGGAGGACGGCGAGTGGTTCGCTCCCAGCATCCCCAACCCCAAATGTGAGGCTGCAGCCGGATGTGGTGAGTGGGTTCGACCCGTGATTCGCAACCCGGCCTACAAGGGCAAGTGGTCAGCACCTCTCATCGACAACCCGGACTACAAGGGTGTCTGGGAACCACGCAAGATCGCCAACCCCAACTACTACGAGGACAAGTCTCCCGCCGACTTCAACCCCATCGGTGGTGTTGGCTTCGAGCTGTGGACCATGGACGAGGACATCCTCTTCGACAACATCTACATCGGCCACGACCCCGCCCAAGCCAAGGCGTTTGCGGCAGAGACGTTCGACGAGAAGATCAAGATCGAGCAGGGTCAGGAGGACAAGGAGAACGAGACGGCTGCCAAGGCGGCAGAAGACGCCGCTGCCGCCGCCACCGGTTTCGTCGGTCAGGTCCGATCCCACGTCAACACGTTCATCGGTCGCGCGCGCCAAGACCCTGTCGAGGCCATCAAGGAGATGCCCCAGGTGGCAGGAGGGTTGGGCGCCGCCTTTGCTGGTCTCTTGGGTCTCGTAGGTCTCGTCGGAGGTGTCTTGGGCGGTGGCAGCAAGGTCAAGGTCACCACCAAGGACGGAAAGAAAGTCGATGCTCCCACCGCTGTTAAGGGCAAGGCTAAGGAGGTTGCTGAGAAGGCAAAGGCCACTGGTGTTCAGGCGAAGGATGCTGTCAAGAAGCGCACCAACGCTGTCGCTGCCAAGGTCGACGATGCCGCTGATGATGACGAGTGAAGCGCCGCTGTCATGGTCATTTCAACATCAAGAAAAAAAAAACACCTTGGCTCACAGTCTCTTTGTTCATCTCGAATATTCGCCATTGAAAACAGAGAACATGTTCACACACTGCATAGATCGGAGTTTGTCAGGAATGCGCCAAGGTCGAAGCGGTCCGTTACTTTGAGGAAACAGGTGTAGATTGACGTCCGGCAGACAAGTCGTGGAGAGGTCCCATCTTCAGCCGGGCAAAGCTGTCAACAACTGCCATGATTGACCACCCTAGAAACCTTGATAGGAAATGAGGCGTTGAAAAGATTTCGTGCGAAAAACGTGATCGAGCAGCCACCTCCCTCAACCTAACATATTCACAATTTTCGCGCTGCTGTGTCCTGTGCGAGCCCGCAGCCGCGAAAAAGTGTTGCTCTCTTTCCAGGGACGTCTCTCCACCTCTCTCTCTCTCTCCCGCTAACCATCATTGAGAGAGAGATCATTCTATCCGCAACGAAAAAATGGAGCGAATCGCACAGGAGTTCACCGACTTTTACTACTCGACCTTCGACTCTGATCGAAATGCGCTCGTGAACCTTTACGTAGGTATTGCTGCGATGGAGGAGGTAGGAAATGGGATAAGGGAGGGGGGGTTGATGGATGGGTGGAAGGAGATGGGTTGGCGTTGGAGCAGGTGCGGGTTGAGGAGCGGAAAGAGAGAAACGAGGAAAGGGTGGGGGCTCTTTGCAGTTGTGAGGTGCAACTGTTGGACGCAGGTGGACGAGCAGAAACCGACAGGCCAGATCACTGACATCTCGAACCTTCTCTCCTTTCTCCATCCACCAACCATCTCTCTCTCTCCACTATGTCTGCAGCGAGCCAACTCGATGCTCACCTTTGAAGGATCACAAGTGCAAGGCGCACCCGCCATCGTCGAGAAGCTCACCAGCCTTCCCTTCCAAAAAGTGCAGCACAAGGTCGAAACGCGCGACGCCCAACCCACCGGCGACGGCAACTCGCTCGTCGTCCTCGTCACCGGCACCTTGGCCGTCGACGACGGTGCCAACCCCTTGAAGTTCAGCCAGGCGTTCACGCTCAACCCCGAAAACGGCAGCTTTTACGTTTTCAACGACGTCTTCCGGTATGTACATGACTGCAGTTGGTGCGGCACAAGGTGAATGTGATGACTGACATGGGAGGTTTTTCTCGCACAGTCTGAACTACGGTTAAAGGAAGAGAGACAGGCCGGAGCTGGTGTGTCTGTAGAGTTAGCCCATCGGCAGATATACGAGGCAACGTGAGCAGTCGTTTTGCATTAAAGGAAGATTTGTACAGAGTGATGCCTTCATCAGCACAGTAACGAGTGTTGATTCGAGTTTGAGTATTAGATCAGGAGAGATGAGAACATCAGAGCAAGACTCATGCCTACGATTCGAAGGCTTGCTCCGCACCGTTCTCCTCGACACGCACACACTGCTACGCCACCCGCGCAACTCACGTCCCAAAGATATGCTCCACCTCGTCGATCCCGCCCGCCTTCCTCTGCTCCAACGGCAACGGCCCCTCCTCCTCCCTCTCCCCCTCTGCTTCCTCCTCCTCCACCACACCCTCTCTCTCCGCCCTCGCCAGCAAGTCCAACTCGTCCAGCTCAACGTCATCCCTCCAATCCTTCAACACCGGTCTCAACGGACTGCTATCCGATCCGCTCCTGCTGTTGCGCCTGCTACCCGGTCTGCTGCTCCCGCCGCTTGCGCCGGATCCGGGAGAGACGGCAGCACCAGAGATGGTGAAAGGTCTGACGGGAGAGCCGGGTGAGAGATCTGCTGCTGATCCTGCCGAGAGGGGCGAATGAGTTGCGCGAGGCGATTGGAGCGGACTGGGCTGTTTGCCGGAGAGAGGGACGGGAGAGGGTGAAGGAGGCGAGAGGACGCCGGAGGAGAGGTACCGCATCTCTTTGGGTGAGAGGTGTTCCCAGTCGTTGCGGTTCTCGTCCCGTTCGTCACCCGAATCCTCGTTGAGAGAGTTTGCGATGGAGTCCGAATCTGAACGGAGCGAAGCCGTGTCGGATTCGGGTAGCGTTTCACCAAGAATCTCTCCGAGCCTCGCCCAGGCCGTGGAAGATCCCTGTGCGGTCAAGCCCCATTTGCCAGAAGTCCATCCAGACTCGCCTTCACCAGCGTCTTGATGCGAGTCCGCATCGCCGGAGACATTGTCGTGCCCACCTTCCGATGGGTAAAACACGTTCTCGCCGAACACCTCACCCAGCACATCCTCGTACGTGTCGAGGTATCCTTCCACCACATCATCCGGAATGTATCCGCCAGGCGCCGACGTCTGATGGGATCTACGCAACGGCGGCAGTACATCGCTCTCGAAGAACGACGGACCGTTTGATGTGCGCGTCGGCGAAAGCGCTGCAGGGTGCGAAGCTGCCTCTCCGGCGTTGCTGTCTCCGTTTGCAGCCCCTGGTCGTTGCGTTTGCTGCTGACCGCCATCTTGCGATTGTCCCTGTTGCGTTTGTTGACCTTGCTGATGTTGCGCTTGCTGGAGATGCTGCTCCTGTTGCTGATGTTCCTGCTGATGCCTCTCGACGCTCGTGCTGATCGACCTCTTGTGGCCATGTCCTCCTCCCTCTCCATGCCCAGCCCCAGGAGGCGGTCCAAACCTCGTGTGGTTGTAAAACTTCACCAACGACCTCAGCGCCTGCTCCTGCGGCAGCGAATCCTCCACATCCGCCTCGACATCGCTTCCACTCAGCCACTCGTCCCTCAGATCCGGCCTGCAGTTGAGGTAGATGCTCGTGATCACGCGCATGTTGCTCTGCCGCCACTTCCTCCCGCAGAAAGGGATCTGACTCTTGATCACCTTCAACACGTACAGCTCCAGCCCCTGATGCGGAACTTTGAGCGACCGCTTCAGGATGGCAGAGCTCTTGTACTGCACCAACAGCAAAATTCGGTGCACCTTGCGTTTGGTGAGCTTCTGAAGGATGCGCGTAAAGTTGATGCTCGAGAAAAAGTTGCGCCAGGAATAGTCGCTGACCACTTCGATCTCGGTCCCATCGGGCATGGTAGTCACCTTTCCGGGTGGAGGAGAAGTCGTTCCGGGATTTATGGCGACAGGGCCGATGATGTTGTGACGCGACATGAGCGAGTCTTCGGCTCGAGCACCTCGGGCTTCGCGCCCCCCGTTGAGGTAGCAGTAATTGAAAAAGCGAAAGTTATCGGCTTCGTTCTTGGTCTTGACACCATGGGCGATCTCCTGCAGGCCGAAGATCTTGAGGATGAGAAGCAAGACATTGCTGTCCACCAACACCTGCGAGAGGTAGTTGAATTTCATCACGTGGCTCGCCTTGAACCATTTGAGGCATAGCAGCAAGATGGCCGAGACGGCCTTTGTGAGGATTTCGCGATGGCGGGCCACGTCGACATCTTCTAGCGTCGGAGGAGGAGCCTCGTCGATGGGAGCGCCTTCTGCGATGGCGGCGGCGTGGGCCGAATTGGTGTTGATCGAGGTGACGGTGGCCAGCAGCAGCTTGAGCAGCACGATCACGGAGGACTGGAGTTGCGGCAACACAGCACGGTAGAGCTGGTCGACGCGCTGGAGACGGCGCACGTCGGCACGCTTTTGCGCAAGCTGGTCGATGAGCTCAGTGTGACGTGGATTGTCGAGCGCTGCCAGCATGTGGTCGCCTTCCACGGCATGCAGCTCTGCCTCGATGTCCTCCTCGATCTCGACGAGGTGCTCATACGTGGCTTCACCCTTGACCTTGAACGTACGTCCAGAGACGTTCCTATTCGGGAAGGCCTCGGAGCTGACTGGGCTGCGGCTACCTTGCGATGAAGAAGCGGCATCGGTGCGATTGACAAAGGATTTGGCGGCGGCTTGCTTGACACCGAGGCCGATACGAGTGCCATCGGCGGCGCTACCTACTCCGCTCTCCTCCTGGATGCACTGTTCACGCACGCGCCAGGTCTGCCAGAGCTCGAGGCTGACGTGCATGTGCTCGTTGTACAGCTTGGATGCCTCATCGATGCTGCGCGGCACGAGACGCCCTGGACCGTGGACCTGGCGACTGTAGGGGAAGATGAAGGGGCGCGTCTGGTCGGTCTGGTATTTGGCCTTATTCGGTTTTGGGGAAGGCGGAGGCGACGGCGCAGGCGTGCCTGGCATCATGCCATTGGGGCCTTGTTGAGGACCGCCCGGATAGCCGCGATCCGAGCCATCCATATGATTGCTGAAGGGTTTGCGTGCTGGGATCGGGTGGATAGCGCTGGCCAGCTTTTCCAACGGCAGGTCATTGTCCTGACGCTTGGGCGGCTCAAAGGTGGGATACTTGACCGAGATCTCGTGTTTGAAATCCTGAAAGTCGAGCGGATCGGATTTGAGCACGTTGCGCTTGGCGGAGCGATCGATGGGTCCTAAGCCTTCGATCTCGCGAGCCAGCAGCTTGCATCTCTCGACATCCTGGATGCCGCCGAAGCACGAGAGAAGCGACTTCCACAGCAACAGGAGGAGCTTCTTGACGGGGTAGCCTTTGGCGCTCTTTTCGCGCAACGAGGCGACCAGGCCAAAGAGAAAGATGGGAAGAGGCGGGTCGAGGCTCATGAGCTCGTCTCCCCATTCGTCTTGGCCTCTGGAACTCTCGAGGAGCGAGTAGAGCTGTGCAAAGTGAAGTGCGAGCTCGAGGTTGATCTCGTCGAGGTATTCGAGCTTGGCCTCGGGTGTGAGGAGAGGCGCGTTGGCGGGGCCGTGGTGACCTGCTTGGCTGGGCTCGTGGGCAGGGATGTGATCGGGAAGCGAGCTGAGGTAGTCGTGCTTCCAGCTGGCAAGCTTGATGGCCGAGTAGATCTCGCCGAGACCGCCGAGCGTTCGGACCATGCGTGCGTTCTCAACAAGCCAGTGGAGCTGGTGTTGAGGGCCGGCTGTATCGGCAAAGGCGCCTTGGAGAAGATACAGCAGGGCGCGCGAGGCGCGAAATCTGGCCTCGGGATCGCGCACTTCGAGCGTGGAAAGGAGCGACTGCAGGATGCGCCGGCGGATGCCACTGCCGAGGGTGGTCCACTCGCCGATCATTGGCTCTGCCAAGCTTGGTCGCCTGTCTCCTCGATGGCGGCTCTGGGATGCACCATCAGCAGAAGCGGCGTCGTTGAGGTTGAGTCCGAGGCCGAGATATTCTGGATCTTGCGCTGAAGAGGTGGAAGGTTGACGACCTTGATCGGAGCTGGTTGACGCATACGCATTGTTGCGAAGATGGACGGGAAGAGTACACCATTCCTCCCACGCCGCTCTGTTCTCTGCGGTCTGGGGAACTTCGACGTACGAGTAGAACTCGTCGATCTCGTTGAGCATCGAATCGGCATCGGCATTGACGGGGAAGTCGTACTGACGCGATTTTGGCTTGTCGACGACGATGAGGTTGCGAAGCTGGCCAAGAGTGACCGAATCGAGCGGACCAGTCTGCTGCTGAGACTGCTGACCGGCTTGTGGTTGCGACTGCAAGGAAGAGTTCGACATGGTGGATGGTTGCTGAAGCTGAACCTGACTCTGCTCGAGGTGCTGACGGAAAGAGGTGCCGCCGGTGAAGGGCTGCGGACGCCGCTGTTGCGCCGACTGCGATGCTGAGGATTCGCTGCTGCTGCTGCTCAGAGCTTGCTGTGGGTCAGCGTCAGGGCTTGAGGCAGCAGCGATGTCACGAGATGGCGGTTTGGCGGGTGCAGCTGTGCCGGTTGCGGTCGACGAGTTGGAAACCGAATCAGAGATGGAGCTCTCGCTGGCAGCAGCAGCGGCGAGAGTGGAAGTCTGACCGGATCCTAGCTGGAAGAGTACCTTGCGAAGGGCCGGATTCTGGCCGGTGCTGACTATATCGTCGACAAGATTTGCGTTTGCCTCCGGAAAGGTACCGGCTGGTCCAGAAGGTGGGGGGTAGCTACTGCTGGTGGCACCGTTGCCGCTTCCACTTCCGCTGCCGCCACTACTGCTTTGAGAGGAGTTGAAGGTTGCCGTCGCGTCGCTGCTATTCTGTGGCGTCGAGTTGGTGGGAGTGAAAGAGGAGAGGTTGATGCGACAGTTGAGCGCGTCTTGCAGGTTGGCGCTTTGAGTCCTGCGACGGCGGGTGGGGATGTTGAGCGGATTGGATGGAGGCTGAATGATGTACCAGCAGAGACTCTGGCGCTGGCTTAGAGGCCGCGCAGCAGAGAGAGAGAAAGGGAATGCGGAAAAGGTATTAGAATGAGCAGATGACGACAAGAGTCAAAGCGGGTGGGTGTCAAGACCTGCAAGACACGCTTCGGGTGTTGGGTTCCTTAGAATGCGTCGTTGAAACGCTGCTTGACGCTCGAGCACTGCCGCTCGTGTCAGCGACTGCAATGAGATGCGAGTCGTTAGGAAGCGACACAAAGAGAAAAGCGTCTTGAGCTGCAACAAAGAGGAGTGTGATCTCAAAAAGAGAGCATGCAGGTCTGCGTTGATCCTACGTGTTGCATTTCGCCTTTCAGAGATCACACGCCCACGCCGAAATTGGACGTCTGTGCTCACAGAAAAGCAGGGTGTCAATTCCAGCACGCGTCGATCCGATCATCGATTTCACTGGTCGCCCAAATCGGCTGATCCGACCCGCATCGTCGGAAGCTCGGAAGACGAACTGCAGCTGCGTACGAACAAGCCTCATGCCTTGCTTGCTGCAAGAAAAAGGCAAGATTGTTGTCCTCGAAGATGCTTTTCAGAGGCTTTCTTCATGTAGCAAAGGCTTCGCGGGAGGTACCGCGATCGAGTGTTTGAAAACGGCTCCTCGTTGACCGTCCGGTCGCAAGACGGAGCCAAGATCTTCTTCGTCAACCTTTCCAATGTCGATCCAGCCGGTAGGCTTGCGGCAGCCCGAACTGAGCCCCCACAACATTCGTCCTGCCCCCCTCCATTCCTCGTCTGGAAGTGTACAACGTATCCTCCGAACACGAGCCCCCCACGTTCAAAAGTATACCCGACGACGCTCTCAACCACAGCCCAGCCGCAAGCAGCTCATCATTCCCACACACTCAGTGCCATTCCGCCGGACCGGAGCGCGTGGCATTTACACACACAGCAATTTTGCATTGCCAGAATTCCCAAGTTTTTTTATTTGCCGTAAGCGAACCTCCTCGGCAGCATTCGTCATAGGTGTGCCGAGTACAGGTAGCTTAGCAGTACTTGTGATCCTTTCTCGACTTGATGCCACTCTCTCATCCCTACCACCACCACCATCGTCACTCCCGAGTCCAGGCTCGTTCCCTCAAACCTTGTCCGAGGTGTAATATACCGAGATGGACTCATCCGTCTTGCCTTCGCGACGCACCAGCATGTCCGAGACGGCTCGTGCTAGCACCAGCTCGCACACTTCACATCCCAACGCTTCGCCCAAGAAACCTTCCCCGACAGCGTCCCAACTAGAGCAGGGCGATGTCAACGATGAGAAAATCTCCGAGTCCCCAGCGACGCCAGCACATACAGCCACCACAAAGCAGGAAGATCCGAACCTCGTGACGTGGGCTACTGACGATCCTGAAAACCCCTTCAACTGGTCCCGCGGTCGCAAGATCATGCTACTCTTCGTAGTCACCTCTTGCGCTTTCTGCGTCACCTGCACATCCTCTATCATTTCCAACGCCTACCAAGGCATCCAGGACGAGTTCCACATCTCTCGCGTTGTCGCCATCCTCGGTCTCTCGCTTTTCGTCATCGGCCTCGGAATCGGTCCTATGCTCCTCGGCCCCTTGTCCGAGTTCTACGGTCGTCGTCCCGTCTACCTCGTCTCGTACACCGCATTCACCCTGCTCGGTCTGCCGGTTAGCTTCGCCAACAACCTCGCCGTGTTCCTCATCTTTCGCTTCCTCACCGGCTTCTGCGGAAGCGCTTTCCTCAGCGTCGCAGGTGGAAGCGTGTCGGACATCTTTCTGGCGAGCGACATCTTCGTCCCCATGGCGATCTACACCAACGGGCCCTTTCTTGGACCGGTTTTCGGTCCGCTACTAAGTGGATTCGAGAACCAGAACACGACCTGGAGATGGACGTTCTGGTTGATAAATATCTGGTCTGCGGTTATGCTTGCCATCCTTGTGTTGTTCGGGCCGGAAACGTACGCCCCCGCGCTGCTGACGAAGAGAGCGAAGCGACTCCGAAGGGAAACAGGCAACGCAGAGCTGTACGCCGAACACGAGAAGGTTGTAGCGGAGAAGTCGATGATCCGAACGATCGTGACATCGACGACGAGACCGTTCGAGCTGCTGGTGAAGGAAGTCATGCTTTTGTTGCTGTGTCTGTGGTCGGCACTATTGCTGGGGATCCTGTACCTGTTCTTCGTCGCGTTCCCCATCGTGTTCGAAGCGCATGGGTTCAATTTGCAGGAGATCGGCCTGTCGTTCCTCGGTATTGGGATTGGGATGATCCTCGCAGTGCTATCGATGCCCTTCTGGGCACGACACTACACCCGGCTCGTCGCGGAAAAGGGAAACGGAGTTGCCGAACCGGAGTTCCGTCTCCCCGTCGCCATGGTCGGGGCGGTCCTCCTGCCCATCGGAATGTTCTGGTTCGCATTCACCACCTACCCCTCGATCCACTGGATCGTACCCATCCTCGCCACCGTCGTGTTCGGCTATGCGATCAGCTGCATCTTCACCTCGGTGTTCACCTACACCACGCACGCGTACCGACCGGTGGCGGCGAGCGCCATGGCTGCCAACAGCTTTTGCAGGAGCTCGTTTGCTGCCGCTTTCCCACTGTTTGCAAAGGCGATGTACGATAGGATGACGACACCGGGTGCAACAGCGTTGTTGGCAGCGTTGAATGTGCTGATGGTGCCGGTACCGTTCGTATTCTACAAGTATGGAAAGAGGATCCGTGCCAAGAGCCAGTTTACTTTTACATGAAGCCACAGACACTGCTATTTTTGTACTTTTAGAGCATCCGCGCATTCTATCCATTCCAAACCCACCTTGCACTGTTGTCGACATGCGTGCCTGGCTTCGATTGCTCACATTGTTCACAGACACCGATCTGCACAAGTTGCTTGTGGGAGGATGTTATGAGATTGAGTAGTTCATGAATGGGCAAAACTAAATACAAAAAAGAGAAACACGTTTGGATCACGCCTTTGCAACGGCGACATTACCTCCGGAAACGTCGGCCGCCTCACCCTCCTTCTTCCCCGCCGGTGCGTGCGCGAAGAACAGGAGGAACACCATCAACCACATTGGCAGCACATACACCAAGTTGAAAATCAACGGCGTCTGCGGCGTGCCCCTGCTGGCCATGGTGAGCTGCAACTGGTTCCAATCGATTCCCTCCGATCGCGGGCCGTACATTCCCTGAGGAGCGAGGCTGAGACCGTTGGCGACCCTCTGGTTGTCGGTGGTAGAGTTGCTCGAGCCACCTTGGAAGAAGGGCAGGAGGTCGTTGGCGTTGAGATCGCCACCGAGTTCGGCCGAGATTCGCGTGGTGGCGTGGAGCGATTGCAGCAGGCGGTAGACGGTGGAGATGAAGAGGAGAAGGAGGAGGAGGAAGATGAATCCGCCCGGTTTGGCCGAGCCGGAATCGCCGCGGGCGACGGGGATGAGCAGAGCGGCTCCGAGGATGACGATGATCTCGACTACGCTGCCTACGACGGGTCCGATTCGCGTGATCTTGGGTGGCACGATCGAGGGCAAATCCTGAGCCGTCTGTGTCATCTGAAGCGCCTTGTTCCACTTGTCCAGCCAGCTTGCAAAGTAAGCAGCTGCAATCAGGAAGAGCAAAAAGACGATAAAGTTGAGGATGCGCAGTACCAACGCCGCCGTGGGAACTCCCGTGCTGCGTCCGCTCTGCTTGGAGTACAATCCCAACAGGTGCAAGAGCGGTTCGATTAAAAGCGGGATCAGCACGGCCAGGATGATCCCCTCGACGTTCATCAACGTGGTGGTGGGAGTATCGTTCGAGATCTTGGCCCTCACACCAAACGTGGCGAGCATGAGGATCATGTACACCAAGATGGTGAACAGGATCATGGAGATCAGACTCGAGCGGCGAAGGCATCGGATGAGCAGAAGCGGGATGAGGGCGATGGTAGCCAGAATCCAGACGATGCTGGCGATCAGATCACCGTTCTTGTAGGGGACAGCGCCGACCTGGACGTCGAGCCATCCGAGGTCGGGCGAGTTGGGGTTGTTGATGTTGCTGGGCGCTTCGCCGTTGCCAGAGTCGGTGGTGCCTCGACGCGGGACGGTCGTGTTGAGGTTGGATGTGGGTCCGAAATAGACGCGGGTGGTGGAAGGGGGGTCGAGGGTGACGTAGGAGGTGAAGAGGGGGAAGAGGTCCGAGACGGTGTTGAAGGTTCCGTCGTCGATTGGGTATTGACGGCGGTGAGGTTGAGGTTCGGGTGTAGGGAGGGCGCGACGTCGGCGAGCAGCGCCAGTAGCAGCCGAAACTGGCTGGAAGGCGCCCTCCGGCGAAGCATTGGCTGCCCGCTCGGAAGCAGCGGCTGTCGGCGTAGCGGCGGCAGCAAGATTTGCACTACATAGCGTGGCAGTTGCCACATCGCCTCCCTCTTTACCGAGCCCGCAGCCGTACGCACCAGGATCGTAGGTCCAGCTCTGAACACCACTTTCCTTGCTTCCACTAGCTTGGTCCCACTCAGACTGAAGCTGAGCCTGCAGACTAGGATCAAGGGTGCCGCTCGCCACCTTGTCTGGACTTGCCGAAGGTGAGGACGAAGCCTGAACTGCCTGGATGATGCCCGTGGGTACATCCGCGGCATCGGTTGCGGCGACAGCTGAGGCAGCATTAGCCGAGGCAACCGAGGCCGCAGAGGAGACACCGGCGTCGCCGCTCAAACCGACGGCTGACTGGATCGCACCGGAGCCCGAACCCGTCATAGTGGCATACGGACCGTCGGCGGTGATGAGCTTGAGAATCTGAGCTTCGGCTGAATCAAGGCTGGCATCCTGACGTCTGAACCACGAGCGTCCGGGCACCGAAGCAGCGTTGGCGACAGCTACGCTGCTGAGAGCTGAGGCGACGGCGAGCAGAGCAAGGACCCGCTTGGTCGACCTCTTCGACTGCTTCGAAGACACCATCTTGAGACTAGCTTGATGGCTTCGTACTGGTGGTGAGGGGAGAAGCATGACGGAAAAAAAGATCAGAAAGGATCATAGAGTCAGCGATTGCTCATCCTTGAAAGTGACGCAGGGTCGTCAACGACCTGACCCGAGTCAGCGGAACAGAAGTCTGCTTGCGTCTGCGACTACGCTCGATCATGCGACCTCAATACACGTTACAGTGACACCCTCTAGAGGGCAAGGTGTCCCTGAGTCCAGGGTCGCCCCTTGATGATGACTTACCGAATTGTCTCTCGTTTTCACGAATCTGAGACACTTATCGGAACGCGCTATATGAAGCTGTCTGACAGCGCCAACGCGTGTATCCAACAAAAGAATCCGCAACTCGCTGGAAATTGGCCGGAAAGTGTGGTGTTGCAAGCTGAACCTTGTCGAATGTGGTTGCTGGGGCGCAAGATGGGAGGATCTACCGGAGATCGGTTGCTCGAACGAGAAGTTGAGCCGAGAAAGGGGGGATGTAAGGTGTTGAGTGAAGAATCCAGTTCTTCGGGTCGAACGAATAAGAGGTGCCCTGCTGCTCCTGGCTGGCTTGGAGGAGTTGTGATCTGATGTGAATGATGCAAGAGTTCGACTAGCGAGCGTGTCTTGCAAATGGCGGTGATGGGAGGACGTCAACGTCTTTTTTTTCGGAAAGCCGATGCTCTTGTATATCCAAATGCTGATGTCGACACCTGAGCTGGATGGTCGGATGTAGAAGAGAGGGAGCAATGCCGATGAAAGGAGGTCAAGAGCTAAGCCGACTTGTAGCAGGGACAGAAAAGAAACAGAAAGAAGAAGTCGAGATGAGAAAGAGAAACAAGATGATGGTGGTGCGGATGGAAGTAGGTAAGGGGGAAGCAGCGAGCAATAACGAAGACGACGAAGGCAGCCGGAAGCTAAGTTCCAGCCGGATTGGTGACGGAGAATAGTGGTACATGGATCAACGACCTCCGTCACAGCGGAACCGTCAAGCCGAGGAGAGGGCAAACAGGTGATCTTGGACGGCGATGACTTCGACGAGTAGCATTTCGTTTTGGGTAGCCTCTAGCCGACGTCAGAGCTCAGCGGAGACCTTTTTGGGCTCATGTCACGCATGCGGTGCATCATGCGAGCCAATCACTGCGATGCGAAGCTGCCACGGAGTGAGATCCACCTCCAGCTCACGGTGAAGAGCTGTGGTCATACCATGACTACACACTTGAGCAGAGGAGCCAAACTCGACCGCGGACGGCTATGTCTGCGCTGGTGAGCTATCAGCTGCAACGTCATACTTTGAGCTAGCGGTATATAGATGTTACCTGTACCGGAACCTTGGGCATTGCCAACAAGTGTGCTGAAAACGGCTGTGGAAGGCGTTGAGGACGAGTGACGTGTTGCACCCCACGCCTGGTCTGCATGCGGACCACCGGAGCTGCAGAACCGGAAAGGTCGACGGGAGGACCTTTGCACAGCTTGTGCTATCTCTGAAGCCGACCTGTCGACCGCAGACGACGGTGTGTGTGTAGTCAGCGAAGGACGAGTGTCAAGAATGATATGACACCAAAGTTGGGTTCATATCAGATTTGCAATGCGTTCGCGATCCTTGACGTGCTACATCGATTTTGTTCAAATGTGTACGTATACGATCGCACATGAAAATGAAAAAGTCGAACGCACAGACATCGGACTTGGACGGAGAATTTCATGCTGACTCGAGCTCGCAGCTTAGCTTGCATTGCCGGCGGAGTCGACGTACCAATCTTCTTGCAGAGCATTTCTTCCAAGCACCCATCGTCCTGTCGTTCGCATCGACGTGCTTCATTCCAACACATCAGCCAGATAGCTGCGACTCCTTCTTCAACGATGTCGGAATCACCACCGTTGGACAAGTCCAAAGTCGACTACTCGGTCTACCTCGTCACTGGTCGAGACCTCCTGCCCGCCGGAGTTGACTACTACACCTCCCTCGACCTGTGTCTCTCCCAAGGCCATGTCACCGTCGTCCAGATCCGCGAGAAGAACACCGAAACCGATCTCTTTCTCGACATCGCACGCAAGTCTCTCGCCATCTGCGACAGGTACAACGTGCCCATGCTGATCAACGACAACCTCTCCGTGTGTCTGTCGCTGCCCGAGCGTGTCGGACTGCATATTGGGCAGGAAGACATTCCGGTGACGGAAGCGAGGAGGATCCTGGGCGAGAGGAGGCTGTTGGGTGTGTCGGTGAAGAATGTGGAGCAGGCGAGGGTAGCGATGGAGGAGGCAAAGGTGGATTATGTTGGTGTGGGACCGTGTTACGGTACCTTGAGTAAGGCGGGGATCACGGAGGAGAAAGCGATCGGTTGCAGCGGGGCACAAAAGATCGTTGCCGAGTTGAGGAAAGATGGCAAGAGGCTGCCGTGTGTGTTGATTGGCGGCTTGAATCAGAAGACGGCAGCGAGGACGCTATTTGGTGTTACGAGTGCGGGGAATGCTCCCGATGGAATCGCCGTCATTTCGGCCATCGTGGGACGAACGGATTCGGACGTAGCTGCAAAGGAGCTCAGCGATATCGTCAAGAAGTACAAAGCGGGTCTCGCTGCATCGGCTGGATCTTCCATCGCAGGCGTCGCATCAGCCTTCGCCTTGCCACCAAGTGTTTCCACCACCAAGGATGTCTCGTGGTACAAATCCGCCGTCGCCTCTCTCCTCACCTTCCACCGCTCATCCACTTCCGGACCCCCGCTCATCCAGACCATCACCTCGCACGTCTCATCCACTATGTCGGCCAACCTCGCGCTTGCCTTCTCGTCATCCCCCATCATGTCACACGAAGCTGCCGAAGCCGCCGATCTCAGTCTCGCCATCGGCGCGCTCGTCCTCAACATCGGCACCATCTCCCCCGCCTCTCTCCAAGGCATGCACGTCGCCGGAACATCCGCCAACCGCAACCTCAAACCCGTCGTCCTCGATCCTGTCGGCGGAGGAGCAACGCAGTTCCGAAGGGACACCGTTCGCGGCATCCTCAACGCTACGCAGGTGACGTTGCTCAAGGGCAATGCGGCCGAGTTGGCTAGCATCGCCGGTAAATCGGACGAGGTCAAGAGTCGAGGTGTCGATTCGGGCGCTGGTGCATTGAAGGATCCTGTGGGGCTGGTGAGGGATCTGGCGAGGAAGGAGAGGAGTTTGGTTCTGTTGTCTGGCAAAAAGGACTATTTGACGGATGGAGAAACGGTGATCATGAGTGACAACGGACATCCTTTGCTGGGTGCTATCACTGGATCGGGTTGCGCGTTGGGTGTCACGGTGGGCGCCGGCCTGGCTGCCGCGTGCAACTTGGCGAAATCGCAGTCGGACGGAGTGACATCGCTCGGAAACACGCTTGTGGCTCACGGAGAAGTGGATCTGTTGGTCGGAGCACTGACAGGTCTGCTGGCTATGACGATCGCCAGCGAAAAAGCTGCTGTCAGGGACGACGTCCGAGGTCCCGGAACGTTCATCCCCGCTTTACAGGACGAGTTGGCCGCCGTCTCCGCTGAAGACATCCTCAAGATGGCAAAGATCGACATCGTGTCCTCCTAGACTTTTCACACTCTGCAACACGTTTCATCCAGTAAAGTTTGTGGTTTTGAAGCGTGACATTGCTAGTGCGTCAGAGATCTCTTCCATCACTGAATTTCGCCCTTCTCCTTGGCGTCCAAGAAGTCCTTGTGCAACTTTGTCTGCTTCTCAAAGTCCTTTTCCAAGTTCTTCCTCCTCTTCTTTGCCAACTCGGCACCCTCCTTGTCCTTCACCGGCAATCCTCTCTCGTCCCACTCGCTGTACTCCTCGGTCCTGAACAGCTGATCCGGAGCGACTCTACCCTTTTCCAAATTCTCCAGCCTCTTCAACCTCGCCTGTTCGGCGGCCTGAGCCTTTCTCGCCGCCTTTTCCGCTGCAGCAGCTTCCTTCTCACGTCTGGCAGCTTGCAACTGAGCTGCGGGGACGAGCTTGACGAGCGCCTGACCGTCTTCGGTGTCTTCGAGCGAGATGCCGAGGTCGACGAGGTCGTTGTCGCGCAGGGCATCCGACAGCTTGAGGTATTCGGAAGCGGGTGCGTTGCTGCGTGCGAGGTTTCGTACTGCATCGCGGAAGGTGCTGAGTGCGCGCAGGTAGGGCATGAGAAGCTCTTCCTTGTTGACGGCTGACGAGCCTTCACCGGATTCCTCCGCAACACCCCAGCCGATCTCTTGGCTCGCTGAGAGGGCGGACCCTTCGCCAAGACCGAGCATCTTGAGCATGTCACCCACGTATCGCGCTACAGCGGTGAGGACACCCACGTTGACATCGGCACGCTTCTCGTGACTCTTTTCGTAGATGTTGGCTTTGCTGACAAGATCCAGCAGAATCTCCATTCCCTTGGGTGTGTCGAACGAATCGCACATGGCGAGGCGGAACGCGTGCTGCGACTGCTCCAGGCTTTCCATGAGCGACCGTTCAGCAGCGCCGTAGTGATGCTGGCCATCCGAATAGGCATCGCCCAGCGCTTTCGCTTGAGCCACTTTGGCCTTGACACCGACGAAAAAGTTGTTGAAGGCCGACTCGGCATTCTTGACCTCGCCGAGAGCGGACTGCTTGAAGTCCATGCGTCCGGCCCAGGGTTGGAGGAGGAACGACATGCGAAGCTGACGCGCGGTGAAGCGCTCGAGGGCCTCGTCGATCGAGATAAAGTTCTTGAGCGACTTGGACATTTTGAGCCCTTCGATGTGAAGGTGTCCGGTGTGGAGAAAGTAGTTGACCCACTGACGGCAGCCGTGGTGTGCTTCGGATTGAGCGATTTCGTTGTCGTGGTGCGGGAACATCAAGTCGGTGCCGCCCGAGTGGATGTCCATGGTCTCACCAAGCACGGCGGAGCCCATGACGGAGCATTCGATGTGCCATCCGGGACGACCGGGACCCCACGGCGATGGCCAGGCTGGCTCGCCGGGCTTGGACGACTTCCAGAGCGCAAAGTCGGAAGCGGCACGCTTGCCGGCGGTGGCAGCGGTCGAAGTGGACAAGGAGCCCTCGCCTTCCTCGAGCAGCTCGCGGTTTCCCTTGGACCACGGCTGCAATTTGGCATAGGAGTGCTCGAAGCTGCCGTCGTGACTCTTTGCGCCGTCGAAGGCGCGCGTGTCGAACCAGACATTCTTCTTGTCCTGATCGACACCTTCGGCGTAGGCGTAGCCACGGTCGATGATTTGCTGAACAAAGGTGACGATCTCGGGGACGTACTCGCTGACGCGGGTGAGCGTGGTGGGGGGTTCGACGTGGAGGCGTTTCATGTCGTTAAAGTATTCGGCCTCCCAGTAAGCAGCGGTGTCGCGGAAGACGCTCGGGTCGGTGACGGTGCTGCCGAACTGCTTGTCGAGGAAAGCGGCGAGGACGTCTTCGGATGCATCGATGAGGTCGGAAGCAGCTTGGCTGGAGGTGTCTGCTGCAGCGAGAGACATGGCGGCGGCGACCTGAGCCATGCGCGACTTTTCAAGAGCGGCAAACCACATGCCGAATTTAGGCTCCTTGTCGGAGGCGGCCTTGAGCCAAAGGGCATCCTGTCTGAGTCGGGCGATCTCTTCGAAGCCTGCCTCTCCGGCTCGCGCCTTGTTCGCCGCTTCAACGAGTCCGCCGTCTTGCTCTTGTGGTGGAACGGGAGGAGCGAAGCGCTCAAGGTTCTTGGCAAAGTAGGCGGACCAAGCGTCCTGGATTAGGGCGAGGAGTGGCTTGGTGAGTTGTGGATGCTGCGAGCGGAATTGCTTGATGAGATACGAGTGGCGAGCCTTGATGATGATCTTGTCGTCCACGTCGGTGATGTTCATGACGAAATGGACGTCGTATCCGAGATAGTCTCGAAGGATGCGACGGATGATATCCTGTGTGACGTAGTTGCGGGCGTGACCCATATGACTGGCATCGTAGACGGTGGGACCACAATTGTACCAGGTGACGGTACGACCTTTCTTGGGTACGAATGGTGTCTTTGTTCGGGTGAGCGAGTTGTACATCTTGAGCTCGGGTTCAGGAACCAGCTTTGTAGGGATCTGCCACTCCGGCTGCGAGATCCTGGCAGCAGGCGCTGCTGCGGATGATGCTGCTGCAGCGGCAGATGAAGACGCCTCGGACTGTGCTGCTGCCATGATGAGATTGGACTTGTGTGCGCAGCTGATGTCGCGCTTGAGGGAGCGAGTTGAAACAAAAGTGGCGGAGCGGGCTACACGGAAAGGAGTGACAGTAGAAAGCAAGGAACGGAAGCGTGGCAAACCGGATGTGTACACCGACATGCGATGGCGGCGATGTGGTTGCGACTGGTGCGGGCGGATTGGTGAGGTGTGTGCGTTTGCGGGAGGACAAGGTGCGAAGGGCGAGATCGAGCAAGTGTTGGTCGGTCTCGCAGTCTTGTTCTTCTTGCTGCTGCAATTTTTGAGTTTGACACTGCTGTCGAGGGGCGGGAATGCGCGCTGCCGTGCTGCAAGCGTGACTCGGAAGTCGGATTCAAAATTGTATCCAGGTGATGAAGGGGAGATCTCACAAGCAGACGAAAAAGGTGAGCACGAGCCTCGTTTGCGTTTTTGGTCGATCGATGATTGGTCGACGTTGCACACTCAGTCCTGCCTTCTTCTCATCCAACCAATCACACACACGCTCTGTTTGGCATCGTTTGCATTGCTGCTCACGCCCGGAACGGCATGGAAGAGGCGCTCGATTGATTTCGTCGCTGTCAGCACCATTCTTCTTTCCGCACCACCATCGCACTTTCGGCGACCTCCTCCCGCCCCAGTTTAGGTCGATTCCCAAGGTCACGGCTATCGCGATCTAGAGCAAACGCAAGCGGGAGGAGGTTGCAACGTCGACCCAGTCAGAATGGCTTCGGCAGCGACGGCAACGCGCCAGGCTGGCCCTGGTGCTGCACCACCATCTGCCGGCGCCTCCACTCTTGCCACTCCCGCTGCAGACTCTCCAGCCGTGGCACAGCCAGAACCAGAGCCATGGGACGGTCTCGATACTCGCATCCTCACCGACCTGGCTCGTCGCGGTCTCATGTCCACACTCGACACCATCAAAGAGGCAAAGACGCTCATGCTCGACCCTTCTCTTGCCGGTCCGCTCGGTCTCGTTGCCGACGTCTCGAGCCTCAAGCAGCACGGCGTCGAAAAGATGTTCTGGCTCGAGCCCGCTTCAGCCGCCTTCGTCTCAAAGAACAACACCAACCAATCCCAGGCGCAATCCAAAGCTGGTCTCAAAACCGTCAATGCACCCACAAAGTCGGTCGTCTACATCTGTCGTCCGGAAATCAAGTGGATGAAAGCGATAGCTGGTACGTCTTGACTTCTTCTTTTCACCCACTGTTCCCCTTCCTTTCTGGACTAAATTAGCCGAGCCTACTAGATCTCCTCAACGATAGGCATGCGGTCAGTCAATGTCCAAATAACAAGGAGATCTTCCTGACAAGGATGCTCCCAACGAAGACCCTTCCTTATACAACCCAGCTCTGCTTTCGCCTCCACAGACGCTGGGTTGTGCCGGGAGGCGACATTCCATCCGATTCTCGTCCCTCGTGATGAATCAATGAGCTGCAGCTGACTCGCTTGCTTTTCCGCTTTTGCCATGGATCGCATGACGCTGCACCAGAACATCTTCGGGCTGATCGAAGCGTACGCCCAACATCTCCGCTGCAGCACACATATACCATCTCGTTCGTTCCGCACAGGACCGAGCCGTGTCTGCAGTTCCTCGATCAGGAAGCCGTGCTCTCGGACGTCTCGCTGCTCGACTTTGGTCTCGAATTCGTACCGCTCGACCACGACCTCATCAGTCTCGAAGACGATGCGGCGTGGAAAAAGATCTATTGCGATGGCGACCACACTCCCATCTTTCGATCCGCACAAGCGCTCATGACGCTGCAGCACGCCTACGGCCTCTTTCCGCGCATCCTCGGCAAAGGTGCGCTTGCACGCCGACTTGCGGATCTGCTGATCCGTCAGAGGCGAGAGCATCTGGCTTCGGATCCGTCCAGTCCAGCGCTCACCACTCCGAGCCAGCTGATCGATAGTCTGATCATCATCGATCGTGCGGTGGACTATGCTACCCCGCTCTGCACACAGCTCACCTACGAAGGGCTCGTCGATGAAGTGGTCGGCATCAGCAATGGTCATGTCGAAGTCGATCCTGCCTTGCTCAGTGGTCAACCGCAATCGGCTGGTGTCGGCGGTCAGCCACACGCCTCGGGAAGCGGCACGCCCCTGCAAATGACGTCGACGCCCAAGAAGCGTAAGCATCGTCTCGACGCCTCTACGGATCTGCTCTTTGCCGAGATCCGCGATCTCAACTTTGCCGTCGTGGGAGACCGTCTGCATCGTGCGGCGAAACGTCTCAACCAGGACTACGAGGGTCGACACCAAGCCAAGACGGTCTCGCAGATCCGTGCGTTTGTCGGCAAGCTCGGCGGGCTCCAGTCGGAGCACGCGTCTCTGAGGCTGCACACCGGCTTGACGGAGAAGATCATGGAGTGGACCGCGAGGGAGGAGTTCAATCGTATGCTCGAGGTGCAGCAGAATTCGGTGGCGGGGCTCGATCTGCCGGCGCAGTACCAGGCGATCGAGGATATGGTCAACGAGGAGCGTGATCTGGTGGGTGTGCTCAGGCTTTTGTGTCTGACCAGCGTCGTGGGGTTGGGCAGCACCGCGGGTGGGATCAAGGCCAAGAACCTCGAGTTTGTCAAGCGCGAGATCTTGCAGACGTACGGATACCAGCACCTGCCTCTGTTGTTGGCATTGCAAAAGGTTGGGTTGCTGACCCGGGCCAGTGCAACACCTGCGACGAGCAGCACGGGGGGATTCGGCGGTGCACTATCCAGTGTCGTCGGAGGCGGGTCTTCCAGCGCCAACGCAGGTCTGGACGCAGACAGCCGTGGCAATGCCGAAGAAGGAGGTAGGGGCGGTTTCGCCTCGGTGCGCAGGAGTCTGCGTCTCATCAATGACGATGTGGACGAACGTGCACCGGCGGACATCTCGTACGTGTATTCCGGGTATGCGCCGTTGTCGGTTCGACTGGTGCAGGCGGTTGCGCAAAAGGAAGCGTTGCTGGACGTATCGCGATCCGATCCCACCTTGCGAAGGACTGTCAAACCGCGCGCACACCCTATCGTCGGCTGGCGCGGTTTCGAGGACACGATCAACCAGCTACCCGGAGCCACCTTCGACGAGGTCCAATCCGCCTCCTCGATCAGCAACGCGGATGCCCAGAGCACTTCCTTGTCGCCTCCCACGGATCCGGATGCCATCACCACAACGTTGGTTTTCTTCCTGGGGGGTGTCACGTACACGGAGCTGGCAGCGTTGAGGTTCATGAACAAGCAGACGAGGAATCGGAGGTTTGTGGTGGCTACGACGAACACGATCAGTGGGAACAAGATGATGCGGGATTTGGCGGAGGACGGGCTTTGACAGGGGGTTCGGTGGGAGAGGATTGCGATTGTATCGTTGTCGATGAGCTCTTTTTTATACCCCTCAAATGTGTCAGTCTGCAAATGTAATTGTATGCTTCCATTCAAGTCTGATACATGTATGATTTGCTGTTGTCTTCACTTGGGTAAGTACCTGATGCCGCTCTGCGGACACCTGTTGTTGGATCTCAGCGGGTCACCCTGCACGAAAGCGTCGGCATTCGTACTTCTTCCTTTAGTGTGGAAGTAGATCCACGCTTCGTTGAGAGCGCCGTTTTTGCACCTGAAAACGGCGTCTTTGCCCCACGCGTTTCTGGCAGCGGTGTGCAGTTGATCCAAGGTGTACGTCTGGGTTCTGCTGGGAGTGATTCCTGCCTTTTGGAGGGTTTCGAAGATGTTGTACTTGTGGTAGAGGGAGACGGTGGTGGTGAAGAAGTCGACGATGTCTTGGTTGTGAGTGTAACCGGTGGAAGAGGTGGAAGAGTAGCAGGTGGGGGAGAGGGTGGAGACGCACGTTCCGTGACGGTTCCACTCGTGAGACCAGAGTTGACCATCGTTTCCGTTGAGCGCTAGCCAATACTGGTTCATGGTGTCGAGGGTCGAGGCGGCGGAAGGGTCGGAGGAGGAGCGGAGGACGGAGGCGATGTTGTTGTTGTTTCGACGAGGGTCGCAGTACTGGTCGAAGCCACCGGTGCAGGTGTCGGGCCAGAGACCGTGGATGGTCCATGCGTCGGAGGGGCCGATGGCGGGGGAGTAGTCCCAGAATTGGGTGAGCAGGAGCAGTCCACCGGGTGTGTTGGTCTGACAGGGATCGAGAGGGCAGACGGGGGAGGTGGAGCAGGAGAGGCACGTGTCGAGCGAGGTGTTGAGGTGGAAGGGTGCTTGGGGAAGCGAGGCGGTGAGAGCCAGTTGGACGCTGATGGCTGCTGCCAAGGTGTGGGAGATGAGATTGCGCATGGTGGATAGCTCAGTGATGGATGCGATGATATGGCCAAGCTGGAAGATGGAGGAGAGAGGGCAAGAGTGCAAGAGGTGTCGAGGCAATCTCAGCTTATCTCTTCAGACGAGCAGGGAGCGAGGGGTTGCAGCTGCAATGCACACATCAGGTCAAGCTGCAGGTCAGCACAGACCCCACAATGGCACTCAGCAAGAGCGTGTTGCATTGCACTGCACTGCAACTGCACACTTTAGCGTTGGCGTCGATCGATTTTCAGGGTCCAAAATCCACGCCACAGTCTGCCGTTCGCGACCGCATCCGTGCGACGCGCCGCCCTGTCAACTCACATCGGACGGAGCTGGGCTTGCGCATCTAAACCTCACAGGCACTGTTGCGTACAACTTCGGTCGCTTCTCAATCACAAGGTTCTATTACCTACTACGTTTTTATCGCACGAGCACGAACAACCTTCCAAATACCGTGGGCCTACTGCATCAGAGCTTGGCACCATCTTTGGCCCGAATGTCAAAGTTGAGCCTCGGGAAAGTAGCCAACAACGCCTTGCCACCCTGAGCCTCGATCTTGATCGTGACGCTCTTGCTGTCGAGCCCCACCAGCTTTCCCTCCTGAGGCACCCTGCCCGTGTCCACGGGGGTGACGCTCACCTTCTGACCCTTCTCTCCACTGATCCAGCCGGCCTTGACGAGCGGGTCATCCTTCTTGACGTGCAACTGACCCTCCTTCTCCGCGTTCTCCGACGACTGCTGCAAGATCACCAGCGCCGCCTCCTCTGGCTTCAACTTGACCGGCTTGACCTTCTTTCCCGCTAGATACGCTCTCACCGCAGCCAGCCATTCCAGCGTTCGTGGGAAGGGGAACTTGCTCCAATCGTCACCTCCACCTTTCTTCGGAGCAGGCAGCAGATCCTTTCCTGTCCTCAGCTGGGTCTGCACCCAGTTCAACGGCGTAAACAGGCTCAGATCCAGATACTGAACCTCGTCGCCAAACAAGAACTTCTTCCCACCTTCCTTCAAGTGACTCTCGATCGCCTCCAAATTCGCCGTCAACTGACTCCTTACAAACGGAACTCTCGCCTTCATCGATTCCGAATCGAAACTCGATCCGGGCATGAAACTCTTCCTGTCCTTGACGAACGCTTCGTTCAAGGGTGCATTGTAGAGATGTCCTGCACCGAGTCGAAAGATGGACGATTCCGCCCAGTTGACAGCCAGTTGCATTTGAAGCGCGGGGAAGTGCTGGAGGAGCGGTCTCTTCGACGTCGGTCCAAAGGCCGTTTCGAGAGCGAGGGATGCTGCAGTGGTGTCGATGTATGCTTGACCGTCGACAAACACTACAGGGATACGTCGATACGTGATGCCGAGCAGCTGGGAGAGTTGTGGTCGTGGCATGACGGGTGGTACATCGACCAACGTCCATTCCACTCCATAGTGATCGAGTAGGAACGTGATCTTCTGGTAGAAGGGAGATGCCGGGTAACCGTACACGATCACCCGGTTGTTCGATTGAGGAGAGACCATCTTGTGAACGAATGGCAACTCTGACTGATGTGTGTGTTGAGATTGTGGTGGTGGTGGACAACGAGATGGGGAGGGGAGGGGGATCTTGCAGCACCAGGCAAGGCGGGGCAAGCGTGGCAAGTAACCGGCCGGCCACCAAAGCTTCCGGTCTTTCGGCAATTGCGATTGCGCCTTGCTAGCGTCAAAATTCAAAAGCCGAGTTGAAGCAGCCATTATTCATCGCCGAGTCTTCATCGCGATTTTTTCGGTTTTCATTTTGATGACAATCGGCGATGCGATGCTACTTGCTGCTGCTTCCTCTGATACTTGCTTTGCAGCGAGAGTGATGCACGTCTGCAAGGGAGATCGAGAAGCTCAGGGAAGCAATGAGTCGCCTTTCGCATTGGTATGTTCCTGAAGGTAGGCATTGGTGAAGACTTCATTGATTCAAAAGGTACAAGTACAATGCGAGGCTGCGCGAGGAGGTGATCCTGAGCAGAATCACAGAGAGTGAAGGCTGGAACGAGTTTCGCCTCGAAGCAGGCAGGCCGGATTCTTTACCTCGCTGCTGTCGAAGTGATCATGCCGGTCAGTGCGCCGCAGCAAGTATTATGCTGGCGATGTCGATCAACAATGTAAGTGCGAGGACCGCATGCAGCGCAGACGCAAGAGGAAGGCGATATTGATAGCATCACGCCTCGTCTGCGATCTTGTGGAAAGCCTTCAGATCCGCCAGCTCGGCCTCCCTTCTCGCCAGATCCGCCTTCGCTGCCAGTCTTGCGGGCATATGGTACAATACGACGATGTATCGTTCGTTGAGGTGGAACCCGTTCAGGTTGTCCAGAGCACGTTTTGCGTCTGCCATCTCCTCGTACACGACGTATGCAGTTCCTTTCGTACCCGTGGCATCGCCGAGTCGGATCTGACGGATGGCTCCGTAGCGGCCAAACACTTGGTAGAGATCGGCACCGGTGGTGTTGTAGTTGAGGTTCTTGACAAACAGGATTCGACTGTGCTGGCGAGCAGCGCCGATGGAAGAGTGGCTAGCCATGCCGTGTCGACATGGATCTCCTCCAGAGCAACCGACTTGGCCGCGAGGAGGGAGTGATGTTGATGGTAGAGCAGTGAGGTTGAGGTGAGCCGAGCGGTAAAAGTGCGCAGCAGCACGAGGATGATCTTGAGAAACGGAAGAGGAGCAGTCATCCGACTTCCGCAAAATGCAAAATCGCCGATGCTGGGGCGCGCCAACGGTCCGATCTTCCTTTCGACCTATGACCCATCAATGCCTCTTTCACGTCTTGCTTACAATAAGAGTGTAGTCACTTCATGGATGTTGAGCAGAACGGGGATGTCCCTCGTCAAGAGTGGGGTGAAAAGCTACCTGACCTGAAATGTCGCGCTGCTCAGGCTCTGTTGGCGTCGACCAGAGGGTCGGAGTGTTGATAGCCCCTTGCAGATCATCGTTGCCACGACAGGGCGGAGAACAAATTGCATCTCTGCGCCCTCTGCTGCTCTCACTGCCTTCACATGGACGTCTCTCACGGACTCAGGAGGCTTGCGACAGGATCGGCGGACTTTCGTGAATGGCAGCAGGCTTCGTGTTCCTGAGAATATCAATTCACCGTGCTGTAGTCGCTTCCATTGCATTCCAGTGTGCAGCTCTTCTCTTTTTTTGACAGTGGGCGCTGGCCTGCTAAGCGAAGCAGATAGCGATTGCGTTGCAAGAAGGCTCCGTTATCAAGATAAAAAATTTCTAACTAGGAAGCAACACAACTTTTTTTTTCGAGGTGGATTTTTCTCACCTTCGCAAGTGACAGTCCAGATTTTTTTTAGAGTTTCCCACGCCCAAAGCCTTCCTTGCCTGGACTCTTTCGGCGCAGATCATCGGAAGTGCCGTTGCAAGGAGCAAGGAGTGATCCTTTGCTGCCTCTCGTTCTTGCCTTCTCTTCCAAGTTGCCTATCATTCTGTCTCCCCCGGTCATACGAGCTGGCGCCGCCTCCTCGTCTCGAGCAGCCGCAGCAGTAAAAGCGAACGCTGGATTGCTTCTCATCGGTACAGGTAAGTTGAACGAATCCAGGCTGCATCTACAAGCACCTGTCATCCCCTCCTCTGCCCCTTCACAGCAGTCAGCAGCAAAGCGGAACCGCCGAACACAGACTCGAGTGTCTCCATCTGTCTCCAAGGATCTGGTCAGCACACGTCGAAAGACAGTCAGCAATCGTCGGGACGCCTCCGTCGGTGACAATCTCAGCGGTGCATCGTCCACGTTTCATAGCCGCGGAAAGAGCACCCAGAATTCAGCATCGGCTACATTGTGCTTTCATCAGTTGCTGAGGGCGCAAGCACCTGTTGTCACCATTGTGAAGCAACGCTCTCCAGTTCGGCCCACTTCCCGCTTACTGCTCATAGCGAACGACTCACGACACACGCAACAGTCCGCCTCGAACGCAACACCCAAGCTCTGAGACAAGCGACTGTACCACTTCACATCCACGAGGCAGCTTCAACGACGTTCTCGCTTCGGTCGCATACCTGACATCATCGCTTGATCGTCAGCGCGCCACCTCCAGCATCTGGTCACCCATCGAAAGCCGCATTGTCGACGTATATGCTCGATCCTCGCATCGCTCGACTCGTGCCTGCCAACTACCTCACCTCACACTTTCCAACCACCGCCGCTGACTTGTTAACTCCTGTCATGGCCTCCTCTCCCTCCAGAATGCTGTCCGCCTGTTCTTGTTCGCGAACTCTGACAACTGACAAGTCATTTTGGTCCGCGTCTACGACTATACCTTCGATCGCATCAGTCCGTGCAAGCACTCCAAGCCTCGTTTCCTCCGTAGCTACTTCGTCCGCTTCTTCACGCCAAGCGACACCCGGTCTCGCATCCGCTGCACCCTTCCACTCTTCCGTCCAGTCCCACGCCAAGTCGGACACCAGTGGACTCGATCTCCCCCACCTCAATTCGCTTCTTGACAAGCTAGCCCGCCCTGCCTCGCTCTCGTCGGCGTCGACTGCCGAGGCCTTTGCATCACCTCTCGCTTCGTCTTCAGCTCTCCCTTTGACTCCTCGCCTTCGCGGCAAAGGTGCTCTTCGCGAACCCGTCTACGTCCGTTCCGAACGCAAGGCTCAATTCAACTCTCTTCTCGACACGTTTCATCGTGCCACTATCTGCGACTTTGAGCCGAGCTATCTTCTTTCGGCCTCTGATCTCGCCCACGAATTCGACCGACAAGGCAACTTCGCATCGCCCGTACAGCCTAACGACGTACTTCGTGGCGTAGCCAGCAGCATGTCTGAGCCCGTCGTTCAACAACCTGCCCAGTCCGGCTCGCTTCCCAGCGCCGAGAACCCGGGAAAACTGGTCAAGGCATCCGGCATTGCCGAACCATACCAAGATGCCATCAAGGAGGCCATCCAGGCGCGCATCGACCAGGGCAAGTCGAGGCCCAAGCTTGTCGGCATCCTCGCTACTCCCAGTCCGCCGAGCGTAGCCTACGCCGAGTGGACACGCAAGGCGTGCGAGGCAGTCGGCATCGAGTTTGAAATCTGGAAGACGTGGGACGATTCGGTGGAGGTCAAGGAGGAGGATCACAAAGGCTCGGCGCCCGACTTTGATCTCGAGGCCGACGTCGAGGACCTCATCATCGCGGCCAACGCCGACGAGAAGGTGCACGGTATCATGGTGTACTACCCCATCTTCTTTGGTCGTCAGGACACGTACCTTCAGCAGATCGTCGACCCGCGAAAGGACGTCGAGGGTCTCCACTTTAGCTACTGTTGGAACATGTACCATAACGTGCGATGGATCTCGCCTGCCAAGCTCGGCAACGCGCCCGGTACCACGCGCGAGCTTCCCGAGGAGCGCGCCAGCCGTGAAGCGCTCGATGGCGAGCAGGTGCCCCCCGGTATGGCCAAGTCGATCCTGCCTTGCACACCGCTGGCCATGGTCAAATGTCTCGAGGCGATCGGCGTGTATGACCGCGAGCTTCCCTACGGCGATCGCCTGTACGGCAAGACGATCACCGTGATCAACCGATCCGAGGTGGTCGGGCGCCCTCTCGCAGCATTGCTCTCCAACGACGGTGCCAAGGTGTACTCGGTCGACATTGACTCGATCCAAGAGTTCAACAAGCGCGCCGCCGAATCATCGTCTGCACCTCAGGGCCGAGCACGATCCGAGATGGTCAAGAAGGCACGTACTCAGAACACGGCTTCGCAGCTCCGCCCACACCACGTCGTGCGCACCACCAGCATGACGGCCGAAGAGTGCATTCGCGCCTCGGACGTGGTGATTGCCGGTGTGCCCTCGGCCAACTACAAGGTCGAGACCGAGTGGATCAAGCCAGGAGCCGTGTGCGTCAACTTTTCCAGCGAGAAGAACTTCAAGCCGGACGTGAGGACGCGAGCCTCGATGTACCTGCCAGCGATCGGCAAGACGACGATTGCGATGTTGCAGCGAAACTTGCTCCGACTGGTCGAGTACCGCGAGCTTTCTGAAGGCTCGTCGAAGTAGATCGGCTCTGCGGCCCACCTCACTTGATCAAGATACATTCCAAAACTTACTAATAGACATGCTTCGTTCTCCTTTGCCTTGTGTGTCTGCGCTCAGCTTGTGTCATTTCAGGTACCCGCTGTTGCAGGTCGGAGAGGGCAACATAGGACCACACGGTGTCGAGAGAGACGCTGGCGACACCGAAGCTGGTGTCTCGTGCGGCACAAAGCAAATTTAGTTGGAAAGCTTTGACCAGAGATGCTCAACGCGTAGAGAGTCGGCAGTAATGGAAGTCTTCGCAGTGAGAGACGCGTTCGCGGTTTCGAAAGCAGCCGGCCGGAAAGAATTTGTGCGTTGCCTTATGTGACGTTTTGGAGTTGCAAAGCATTGACGGACCGTGTGAATTGGGCCTGCTCTCCTGTCAGTCCAGTCAGCGTGCCGGAAGCTCCTCGAGAAGCTCATTCCGACGTGGGAAGCTCGCTCTCCTCCTCGAGCGCGCGTTCCTTTGCTATCGCGTGACAGCCAAGTGCTGAGCTGAAATCAGCTTGATTCGCAATCACCGCTTTTCCCTCTCCACCATCATCCTCCTCTTCTCTCGCATTATCCGTCACCTTCTTTCATCCCACCATCCTTTCACCGCAACCCTCCTTTCATCTGTGCCTTGGTCAGAGCCGTCATACGTTCGCGCTCGGCGTTTCTTTTTCATTGTCACCGCCGTCGCTCACTGTCAATCTTTGCACTCATCACCAGTTGACCTCGGCTGCCACCTCCCGCTCACTCATTCCTTACGCACGCACCACAAAGACCGTCGTTCAGAAGAATCAACACTTTCTGCACCGAGCAGAATCCTTTGGACGCGCACACTCGCTGACCATCACCTCGAAGGGAATCGATAGCGTGACCTGGACCTCAGTGGTCATCTCCTGCTCGCACCGTCCGAAAGCACTCTACAAACCGTCGTTCTGCCCGTCATGTCTGACGTTCCCAACGGTGCCAACGGCCACCTCAAGCCCTCCGCCTTGCCTCCAGCGATGCGCGATGCCAAGAACTGGGAGGACCAGGACAAGCTCTCCGACTACATTCCCGGATCAGGCGACCTAAGCCGTGCTCCAACAGCTTCGGCTTCCGTCTCGAGAGCACAGACACCACCCAACAAGCGACCTGCCGACTCCGACGACGAAGATGCCGACGAGCTCGACGACGATGGTGACGTCTCCATGGCTTCCCCCTCCAAGACGCCTCGACAGCTCGAGAAGGAGCGCGAAAAGACGGAACGCGCCGCGGCACGCAAGCAGGAGAAGGCGGTCAAGGCTGCTCAGAATGAAACGCTCGCCAGCACGCGCGAAGAGATGAACAAATCCAAGCTCGCAGACAGCATGAAGCGTTTCTCGTACCTCCTCGGTCAGACAGAACTCTTCCAGCACTTTATCGACCTCAAAAAGGAGCGCGACGAGGACTTCCGTCAGCTGCTCGAACAGTCGCAGCAGACCAACTCGAAGAAGTCCAAAAAGGGCGGAGACAACCGTCGCAGAAAGACAGAAAAGGAGGAGGACGAGGAGCTCCTCAAGGAAGGCGACGAGGACGAAGAGGAGACGTTCGTTTTCGACGAATCCCCCGCGTACGTCAAAGGTGGCAAGATGCGAGACTATCAGGTGCAGGGTCTCAACTGGATGATTTCGCTCTACCACAACGGTATCAACGGTATCCTCGCCGACGAGATGGGTCTTGGCAAGACGCTCCAGACCATCTCCTTCCTCGGCTATCTCCGCGACTTCCGCAACACGCCTGGATTCCACCTCGTCGTCGTGCCCAAGTCGACGCTTGACAACTGGTACCGCGAATTCCACCGTTGGGTGCCCGGCTTCAACGTTGTCACACTCAAAGGTTCGCGCGAAGAACGTGAAAAGGTCATCCAGGACCACCTTCTGCCGCAAGACTTTGACGTGCTCATCACCACCTACGAGATGTGTCTGCGCGAAAAAAGCGCGCTCAAGAAGCTCTCGTGGGAGTACATTGTCATCGACGAGGCGCACAGGATCAAGAACGTCGACTCGATGCTGTCCCAGATCGTGCGTGCCTTCAATTCGCGTTCGCGCCTCCTGATCACGGGTACACCGCTGCAGAATAACCTGATGGAGTTGTGGTCGTTGCTCAACTTCCTCCTTCCCGACGTCTTTAGCAACTCGGAGGACTTCGAGTCTTGGTTCAAGGACAAGGGCGACGAGAACCAGGATCAAGTCGTCCAACAGCTGCACAAGGTGCTTCGACCCTTCCTGCTGCGTCGTGTCAAGGCCGACGTCGAAAAGTCGCTACTCCCCAAGAAGGAGATTAACATCTTCGTCGGCTTGACCGAGATGCAGCGCAAGTGGTACAAGAGCATCCTCGAAAAGGACATTGACGCCGTCAATGGAGGTGTCGGCAAGAAGGAAGGCAAGACTCGTCTGCTCAACATCGTGATGCAACTGCGCAAGTGCTGCAACCACCCGTACCTCTTCGATGGCGCCGAGCCCGGTCCGCCTTTCACCACGGATGAGCACCTGGTCGACAATTCGGGCAAGATGGTCATCCTCGACAGATTGCTGCACAAGATGAAGGAGAAAGGGTCGCGCGTGCTCATCTTCAGTCAGATGAGCCGTGTGCTCGACATCCTCGAGGACTATTGTCTGTTCCGCGAGTACCAGTACTGCCGAATCGACGGTGGTACGGCGCACGAAGACCGTATCGCTGCCATCGACGAGTACAACAAGCCTGGATCCGAAAAGTTTGTGTTTTTGCTCACCACCCGAGCCGGCGGGTTGGGCATCAACCTCACCACAGCGGACATCGTCGTGCTCTTCGATTCGGACTGGAACCCGCAGGCTGATCTGCAGGCCATGGACCGAGCTCACCGAATCGGTCAAACCAAGCAGGTCTACGTCTTCCGTTTCGTCACGGAGCACGCCATCGAAGAGCGAATCCTCGACCGAGCCGCGCAGAAGCTTCGTCTCGACCAACTCGTCATCCAACAGGGACGAGCGCAGCAAGCGGCCAAAGCGGCTCAATCCAAGGACGATTTAGTCGACATGATCCAGCACGGCGCCGAGAAGATCATCTCTTCCAAAGAGGACATGTCGATCAACGAGGATATTGACGAGATCATCTCGCGCGGCGAAGAGAGGACGCAGGCGATCCAAGCCAAATACCAAGGGCTCAACCTGGACGACCTGAACAACTTCAAGTCGGACACCGTATACAACTGGGAAGGAAACGACTTTTCGGAACGCAAGCCCATCGGACAGCTCTGGATCGAGCCCAGCAAGCGCGAACGCAAAGCCAACTACTCCATCGACAACTACTACCGAGACGCCATGCGGGTGGGTCCCAAACCTACGCAGCCGAAAGCCCCGCGTGCTCCCAAGCAGATCAACATTAACGACTTCCAGTTCTATCCGGCTAGGTTGGTCGAGCTGCAGGAGAGGGAGACGGCCGCCTATCAGCGATCCATCGGATATCGCGTTCCTGCCAAGGAGGCAGGTGATGGTCAGACGGCAGAAGAGGCTGAGCAGGAGAGGAAGGAGGAGCAAGAATTCATCGATACAGCCGAAGGTCTCACCGAGGAGGAAGTCGAGGAGAAGGAGAGCCTTGCACAGGAAGGGTTCGGAAACTGGAACAGGCGAGAGTTCCAGATCTTTGTCCGCGGTTGCGAGAGGTACGGACGCAAAGCGTTCGCTCTCATCGCTGCCGACATGCCGGACCTCAGCAAAACCGAGAAAGAAGTTCGCGAGTACTCGCGCGTGTTTTGGGATCGAATCGATGAACTCGCTGACTCGTCGAAGCTCATTGCGAGGATTGAAGAGGGCGAATCGAAGCTCATCAAGCAGCAGCACCAGGAGTCGGTGTTGCGGAAAAAGGTTTCGGCGTACCGTAGTCCTCTGCTGCAGATGAAGGTCGTGTACGGGCAGAACAAGGGCAAATCGTACTCCGAGGAGGAAGATCGATTCCTCCTGGTCAAGTTGGCAGAGTACGGGTTGGGAGAGGCGAGCGAAACATACGACAAGATCAAGAAGGACGTCATGGGCTGGCCAGGATTCCGATTCGACTGGTTCATCAAGAGCCGAACTCCGCAGGAGCTGGGTAGGAGGTGCAACACACTGCTGCTGTTGGTGCTCAAGGAGATGGGCGAGGAGGAAGGGCCGAGTGCGGGAGGTGGAGCCAAGAAGAGGAAGAGCGGCGTCGGCGTCGGCGAGGGCAGTCAGGCCGGGAGCAGTAGAGGTGGTACGCCGATGGCGACCGGTGGAGCGAGCAAGAAGAAGAAGAAGTGAGTGGATGCACATGGAGCTGTGGTTTCTTTTCGTTTTTCGTTGTGCAATTGGATGATCTTCAGGTTTCATTGCTTGTTTGTGTGTCATGCGAGATGTGATGTGAGACGACAAAGGCTTTTGATCGAAAGGCGTTTCCGGTCCACCTCGTGTTGCTCACGGTACGAACCCGATCAACCTCCTCACCTCGTCCTCCCTGCACCGCTCCACCCTATCCATCAACAGCAACACCGTCGCCGCCCTCGCCACCACCCTCCCCTGCAGCCCACCCATCTTCCCCTCTCCCTGCAAACTCGTAAACACGCCCTGCGTAAACTCCAACATCGTCCTCAGCCGATCCACGCTCTGTCGATCCTGCGTCAAGATGCGCGTCTCTCCTGCATCGAGGATTCGATCGAGCAAGACGGCCAGTAGCGAGAGGAGGGAAGCTGTTTGGACGGAGATCGATGGGTCGATCGATGCTGGGAGGAGCTCGAGGAGGAGGGGTGAGGCTTGGGTGAGGGTGGTGGGTGGGGAGAGGGAGAGGAGGAGGGTGAGGGTGTCGAGGAGGAGGGCGAAGGTGGACGGTTGGAAGAGGGAAGTTGTTCCTGCGCCGCGGTATGCTTGGGTTGAGAGGGAGGCGTGGTGGGATTGGTAGGCGAGCAGACGGTTGAGCAGAGGGAAGAGGAATACTGGTCCTGCTATCCGCATCCATTCACCTGCCCCTCGTCCTTGGCTCGCCTTCGCTCCGCTGGACGCATCGTACACCTCGACCAACCTACTACGGCTCGTATTGACGGTCAAACTCTTCTCCCGCCTTATCTGCGCCACCCCCTCCTCTCCAACTTCTCTCGCCTTCTCCACAACCTCCGAAACAACCCTATCCACCTTGCCCACCACTCCACTCTCCTGTCCTCCTGCTCCCGCCAACCTCATCGCCCCCTCTCCAACCGCACACCACATCGCCCCCCTCTGCACATCGCTCCACTGCGCACTGAAACACTGCTCCGTCAACACGCCCACCACCGCCCTCGGTTCCGCCACCACCAACTCGATCAACCCACCCCTCCTCATCGCTTCAAATCCCTTGATGCCGAAATTGTCGTGCAGAGCGAGCAAGCTGAGCGTCAGATCTACCGCGTTCTCCGCGACCTCCGCTCCGAACACCGACGTCTGCGATTTACGCCGGATGAGCGCCGAGGCGTGGTGCAGGGCGAGGCGGATGGAAGCGCGCGTGGAGGAGCGGAGGAGCGGGGAGAGTTGGGAGATGTAGATGGGAGGAGGCGTTTTGGTGGTGAATTGCGGTGCGTGCGATTCGGGATCGGCGGTGAAGTCGGATGGGTCGGAGGAGCGTTTGGAGGGACGAGAGGTGGAGGAGGTGAGAGGAGAGGAGGCAAGGATGTTGGAGGCTTCGTCGGTGGATAACCCGCTGAGAGAGGCGGCGATGCGGTGGATCGAGTTGGGATCCTGCGTATCAGGGACGGCGTCGCTGTCCGAGTCTTCGGAGGAGCTTTCGGAGGAGGAAGCCGAGGATGTCGAGTGGGTTCGATGTCGAGAGGTGGTTTGGGGGTCGGAGAACATCTGCAAGCGAGGCGTGGCCGTGCTCGACCGCGTTGGCTGCACGTCTTGCGGATCGTCACCACCGTCGTCGTCACTGTCGAGCATGGTGATCAATGGCCTTGAAGGCTTCCTGCTGTCACCTTTGCTTTCACGAGAAGGCGGATCTACCTTCACAGGCAACCTTCGCGTGGTCGCTTTCGACTTTCTCGCCTTCACCACCTCACCCTTCACCTCCTTCTCTTTCTCTGCCTTGACCTCCACTCTCACACCCAACGCCCTCACCGCCTCCTCAAATCCCCTCCTCCTCCCCTCTACTTTCGCATCGAACATCCTCCACCCATCACATAAACACCTCAACACTCTCGCCTCCTCCCTCCCCTCTCCCCTCCCATCCCACAAGCCCCTCCCGAAATCCAACACCTTCCCACCTGCCTCTGACACCGTCTGCCCACTCAACAGCTCCGCTACCAGCATCCCGAGCCTTCGTATCGTCGCGTCCGAGTGCTCGAGATGCGCAGATACACCGTTCAACACCGTAGGAGATCGAGCGATGGCGAAAAGTCTATCCGCGCCCTCATCCTCGCTCTGCGAGCCGGAGACGCTGGAGAGGAGACACACGATGAGCGTCGCCAGAAAAGTCTCGTGCTGCAGGAGGGATCGTTTGATGCGAATGGGGTCGGCCCACATGGAGAGGGTCGTTTCGAGACAGCTGAGCAGCGTTGTTTTCGAGGAAGAGGTGGAAAGGTGGTGTGTCCAGGCGCGGGCGAGCAGCGGTGAATGTTGGGTTGGGGAGCGCAGTGCGATGGTTTCGAAGGTCGAGATAGTCTGGGAGGCCATGTCGTCGTGTGTGTCAGAGTGTGAATCGGAGTCGGATCCTTGACCGTCGCTAGAGGCGCTGCTGAGAAGGGTGGAGAGGATCGTCGTGATCGCAGCGATCTTCTCCGTCGACGCTTCGCCCAAGAACGCTTTACCCTCCATTCCGACCTTTCCCCTCTCCTGGACAGATACCAGCTCCACACCGCCATCCTTGACCAAGTGCTCCAACGTGTCTATCAGCGCCGAGTCGAGTTTGTTCCTCAATACCCTCCCCAGCCTGCGCCTGATTACACTCCATCTCGCCGCCGCCCTTGGGTGCACCAAAGAATGCTCCAGAAACGCCCTCCAAAACCCCCTGCCCTCCGCGTCAACCGCCCTCCCTACATACCCCAACCTATCCAGCCTCACCAACACATCCCTCACCCTCCTTGCCCCTCCCCCTTTCCCGCCCAACCACTCCACCACCCCCCTCACCAGCACCTCTTCCACCCACACCCTCCACCGCAACCCCGTCTGCCCCCTCCCCGCGTTCGCCAGTCGATCCGTCACCCCCGTGATCAACCTTAACGTCTCCTTCCACATCACATCGCCTCTCGCCGCGTTCCGTTCCTCCTCCGCAACCACAATAAGCGCATTGAGCGAGAGCTTCTTCAGCGCCGAACTGCAGACCCTCTCTACCTGCTCCAGCGTTACCGGATGCAGTCGGTCGGTAGAAGAGAGGATGCGTGTGATTGACCGTAACGTGCACTGTTGTACGAGACCTTGCGTCTTTAGCTCTACCTGGGGGAGGAAGAAGCAGAGGTCGAGCAGGTCCTCAGGAAGGCTGGGAAAGTCGACGACGATGCGAGAGAGGAGTGCGGTTTGAGCCGATTCGATCAGGAGTACGTTCACTTGTCCCGCCGAGGTTGAAGTGGAAGTCAAAGCTGCCGCATCACTTGAAGACGATGCAGCAGCGCTCGCATAGCGCATAAGTGTTGGTGGAAGGATTCCCGAACCGAAAAGTGCAACGAACGGTGCAACGAACGCCGTCAACACCTCTTCCACCGTCTCGAACCGTCTCGACCCCTCCAGAATCGCTTCAAACTCTCGTCGCATTCGACGTCCCTCCTCGTCGATCATCTTGCCGACACCTTTCCCTCGTAAACGAAATGCAAAGAATCCCCTGGCTGCTATATCGAATTTGTGCTTTTCGAATTGTCGTCCATCGTCGGCGTTGAGAGCTCGAGCCAGCACGCTATCAGGTCGAATGCCGAACAAGCTTTGTAGAGATCGAAAGAATGTAGCAACTCTGCCAATGTATCAAGGAAGAAAGTGTCCACAAAGAACCCCACTTTCACCTCCACCACCTCGTGCGGCAAGAAGAGCTTCCCTCCGAATCCCGCGATTTTCTCACACCACCAACTCTCACCCGTTCGAACAGTCTTCCCAACACACCCATCTCATACGAGCCACAACGCTTCAACATCAGAAAGCATGCCAATGAAAACCACATGATTGCTTCAAAATTAACAAACGCACTGCTGCTACTACTAACACATATTGCAAAGGAATGACAAACGTTTTGAAGTCCCGCTGCGCCTTCCCACTCAAGACCAATCCAACACATCGTCCAGATCCAACCCGATCCCCAACCCCATCGGCACATCCGTCGAGACCTGACGGTGCTTGCCCGCGCTAGCACTCGAGATGCTCAACGAGCGGTTGTCCCTGCTGTTCGAGATGGCCTTGTGGAGGCGAGCAGACGAGCCTGTCGTTGACGGCAGACCCAATCCGAGATGGCTGGGTTGACGTTCGTGTCCGCCATATGCGTGCGAAGTGGGATGGTGGTGGTGGTGGTGGTGGTTCATGAAGCGAGGGCTGCTCATGTCGAACGTCGGCGTGCGAGGGAAGGGCGAGGACGAGGGCGGGAAATCGTCGCTCGCGTCGAATCTGCCTCCGGCGCGCATCGAGGACGTGGTGGGCTGACGAGGCTGCAACTCGGGCGTCCTGAGCAGCGAGCTCGACCAGGGCGTGCCGAGTCCGGACGGTTGGCGCGCGCGGACTGCGCGCGTGCTCGAGGTGGGCGATTGCATCTGCCAGGCTCGACTGTTGCTGCCGCTGTAGAACGCTTCGCTGCCGAGGTGGTCCTCGAAGGTGTCACCGTAGCCGCTGCTGTACACCAGGCTGGGCATGCTGGTGGAAGGCTCGGTGCCGAAAGCGCCTGAAAGGAAGTCGCGACCAGGAGTGGAGAGCAGGCCACCGCTGAACGAGTCGACACGCTGGTGGCGACCGCCTGATCGCGAGGGTGTCTGACTGCCCAGGGGCTGAGCACCCGCGCGGTAGGCCCACGCGCTTCCAGATGCGAGCCGCGACGGCGTCGAAAAGAGATCTGCGTGCACGCCCTCGTCGTCCCCGAGACCCAACGAGAGTGGGCCCGAGTGACTTGGCTTGCGTCCGGAAGCGTGACGGCTGGGCGTGCTGACACCGACCATGCGCGGGGGGGTGGTCTGGCGTTCCGACCTCTGATGAGCGCGCGTGGGCTCCCAGTCAGCACGCGAGAAGCCGGCGAGAAGGCTGGGCGTGGTGCTGGCGTCCGTAAAGTCGACGGTGGCTTCGCTCGATCTGGAAGGAGTATCGGGCACGGCTGGTCGAACGCCAGACGAAGCGGTGGTACTCTTGCGAGCCAAGGGCGATCCGGGCTCGTTCATCCTCCAGCCTACACGCTCGGCACGCGAACGTCCCTGGCCCTGGCGCTTGACGGTGCTTCGTCCACCGCGGTCGCCAACGGACAACAGAGGCGGGCTCGGAGCCAGTGCGATCGAAGAAGAGACCGCAACACCGTGGCGGTGAATGGGCGTGCCGCTCGGCAACGTGAAGACGGGCTCTTGACCCGACAGCACAGCCTCGAGCGCCTCGGGTGTGCTGAGATGCGCGTACGACGAGATCGAGGTGGGCATGGAAGAGGCGGGCGACAAGTGTTCCGTGAGCGCGGCCTCGCAGCAGTCGTCGCAGAACCATTCGTCGTCCAGGTCATTGACCGTGTTGACGCCGACACAGGGCAGGTGAAGCCAATGCCTGCATCCGTCGCACTGGACCATGATGATCGAGTCGTCGTCGATGCCGCACTTGCAGCCAAAGATGGCGCTAGTGTTGGAGCGCGCCAACGAGGCGCCTGTCGCGACCGATTTGCGCGTCGAGCTGGCGACAGACGCAGACGACGTCTTTGGCTTGCGACCGCGACGCTTCGTCGGCGTCTCTGCGACGCGCACAAGTTGTTTTGGCTTTCTGCCTCGCTTGGCAGGGGTGGGCGTGCTGGCTGCAGCGTCGACGGCGGCGGCGGCCGAAAGCTGGGCGCGTTGCTGCCTGCGCGCACGGTCGAGCAACGCTTTGGCGACCATAGGGTGGTGACGGAATGCTGCTTCGCCGGAAGGCTCCTTGAGTTCGGTCTCGGCCTCGTCGCTCGACTCGGCTTCGAGCCAGCGCTGGATGCCCTGGCGGCGTTTCTGCTTGAGCTCGTCAATGTGGCGACCAGCAACGGACCAGGGTCCGTCGGGGCAGTCGGGCCAGTCGAGCGTGGGCAGCTTGGTGCTTGAGATAGGGCTGCTGCCGCTGGCACTGCTTCCGCCGAGTCGGGGACGGTAGTGCTTGTCATCGTGCTGCTTGACGGCGTCGACAGGCTCCATTCGCATGAGAGCCATCAAAGCCTTTTGAGCTTCAACGCCAATGTCGTCCGAGTCTCGGTTGGACGAGGTTGTCATCTTCTTGACAGGCGAAACGGGCTCCGAAGCGGGGAACTGCGAAGACAGTGAGAAGCTGGGCGATACACCCGATGGACAAGGTGTACCCGCCGAGGTGGGGTCGGTAGACGAGCCATTTTCGCTTCGTGCTGCCGAGTCTTCCGAGTCGGATCCGCGAAGCAGTGCAGCATCGCGATCGGACGAGGCCGAGAATCGTCTCGACGCAAAATGAGTGGACGTAGGAGGGTGATCCGAGATCTGCTGCGCAAGATCGCGGTGGACTGCAACGCGGCCGAGACCTTGCACCTCGATGGGCACAAGTCTGGCGGTCTGGTCGATGATGGGCGAGTCATCGTTGATGAACGCCGAGAATGGATCGCGCGCATCTGCCGGAACGAGTCCAGTCAACACGGGCTCTGAGACGAAACGCGGCGAGAAACCAGGGGAACTCTTGCTGCGATCTTCCGAGAGGGGCACGGAGCTGATCATGGCGGCGGAAGCCCAGCCAGCGGTATCGACGAGGCTACGCTGCGAAGTGCGCAGCTCGGATGCAAAGGCGGTGGATGCTTTGCGCTTGCTTGGTGAAGCGTCGGGTGCAGAGCTGGTCGAAGGGCGAGACGAGCGAGCCTGGACCTTGGGCAGCGTGTGAGGGACGGAAGCCACTGCGACGGAAGCAGCCGTGGGAGTACGGTCGCCGAGGGGCGATTCCCATCCCATGTGGACATTGCCCACACGCTTTCCGCGACGAGGCGTAGAGAGCACTTTGGCGACCTCGTCGCTCTCGAGATCGGCGAGCGTAGTCTGAGATGAGGACGCGAAGGGGGATGAACGGCCAAAGTCGGGGAGGTCTTTGCTGGAAACAGACGTTCCAAGGCCATAAACAGGAACGGCGTCGTGGTCGGTGGCAGCTCTCGAGTTCATGACAGCGTCCATGATGCTGGCTGTGCTAGAGGTGCGCTTGAAGGAGCCTCGTGCCTTGGAAAGGGTAGAAGATTTCTTGGGCGACGACACGTGTCGCTGCTTCTTCTGAGGCGATGGAGAAGACGTGCGAGATTGCGAAAGGGGCTTGGTTGGTTTGAGATGACCGGCATCTGCAAAGGGAGCCTGGATGTTGACCATGGAGGGCGAGAGTGCGCTCGTCATTTTGCGTTGGGCTGTGAACGATGACATTGGCATCGACGATGGCGACGGCGAGGGAGGGTCGAGGTAGAGGTGTGGCCGAGGCATGACGATGAACGCATCGAGATGAGTGTGGGCCACAGGTCGATATCAAGACGGTGCAAAGTTGAGCGGCGTGATCGGGACAGAAGCAGCGAAGAGGTGACGATGATGATGATGATGAGCACCACGAGCGAGTTGGAGATGGAGTATGCAGGAAGGTAGAGATGGAAAGGAAGGATGGAAGATAGATGTTAGCGGCAGGGTCCAGATATGAAAGGAGTGGTGGCGAGAGCAAAATTTGTCATTGTCGACGGTGAAGACATGTGCGGTGGGTTGACTGCCATCATGAAGCGAATGGGATCTGGCGTCGGACTAGCGTCGGCGCCCCCCGCCGCTCGGCGCAAGAAGACTTTTTCCGCAGCCGAGAGGACCAGGAGAGAAGGAGGGAGGCACAACAACTTACTTTGGAACGAGAGCCAAAATGGAGTCTTGATGATGCAGCGATGCAGCCTCGAAGGGGGATCAGGGGATGGGAACAAGAGGGCGACCAATCGACCAGCGTCAGAAGCCTTGCTTGAGGAGAAGAACCGTCGAACCTTAGCTACAGATTGCCCTTGGCCGTCGTTCCACTTCTGTCTCTGCGAACTTTTTGGCAGTCGGGAAGAGCCTGCCGAGGTAGAAGCTTGAGGGAGGAGGAGAGCAGACGAGGGGAGCCGTGACAATAGAGAGACAAAGGAGCAGAAAGGACCACCGAAGCGATGCAGCGTGACAATATGAAAGGGATCGAGCCGGCAGCTCCGAATTGGGATTGGACTACAAAGGGGAGCCAGAGACGTGATTTGCCAGGGGGATTATAATTGCGGTTGCAGATCGGCAGTCGCGAGCCAAGGTTGATTGGCAGCGAAAATGTGTCACTGTGTGCAGCAGCGAGAGTTCGGCGCTGCGATGCGGTGCGGTGCAAAGCGATTTCGAATTGACCTGCAAATGCGTGATGTGTGCGTTGGCGTGCGTATGGGTTGCGTCGAAAGATAGCCGATTTTGAGAACAGCAATGTGCGTGTCGCTGATGATGACGATGATGTGATGATGTTGGTGCGGCAGACGACGCTAGGCTATGCAGATATTTGCAGGAGGTGAAGAGGGGCGCAAGTGAATGTGAGGCGGTGCCAACCTGTGGAAGAATGCGCCGACGCTGAATGAATGCCCGTAGACGGTGGCAGCAAGAAAGATCTGGACAAGCCGTAAAAGGAAGAAAGAGAGGAGCCTTGGTGTGACGAAACGACGATGATGATGACGACAGTGGTTTGATCGAGGTAGAGGTGGTGGTGATGGTGACGAGGATGGGATGGTTCTGGAAATGGAAAGCGATAGTCAGGAAGGCCGGTGCGATAGCGAGATGCAGCTATGCAGCTCACTCACACTGCGCTGCACTGCTGATTGAGCGGGAAGAAGCCAAAAGCAAGAGCTGCGTAGATGCTCAAACTTGGATAGCGGTACGAGACCCCATACAAAGGGCATGACAGGGCGAATGCAGCCATGCGAATCATAGTCTAAAAGGCCAGACTCCCATTCCTAGACAAGGCAGTCTCGCCTTGGCAAGCGACGAGGAGCACGAGGAGCGGCGGTGATTGCATCTCCTACCACCAATGCGACGCAGGCACGCAAGCACAGGCGGGATCACGAGCAGGAGCACGAGCTTCAAAAGGGGACAGAAAGTGACATGAATGCACGACACATCATCGAACGCAGCGGAGTGACGGATGGCCGGACAAAAGCAGAGGCAGGGCCAGGCTTCAGGAGCAGGAGCAGGAGCAGGAGAGCGGGATAGCGCGATCGAACAGCGGCAGACCAACGGGGCAAGCGGCGCAAAAGGCGAAAGCGAAGGCGAGAGCGAGCGTTTAGGGAACCGAGAACCAAGCGAGGTGTCCTGGCACGGAGCACAATGAGGCTGAAAAGGAACCACAGTGGACCGGGGATCAAACGCCACGCCGCTCCTTCCAACCGTTTCGTTCGTCCTGGGATCTTCGGCGTGACCCTATCCGGCTCAAAACTTCCCCTCCGGCCTCGGTTCGATAGAGCTGATTGCCGTTGCTCTCGCATCTCGCCGGATCGCAACTTCTCTCTGCCTGCAATATCTGGTCAGCAGCCAGAGCAAGCCACCATCATCTTTCTCATCATCGATTGATTCAGCCATCGACGTCTCTTCGCAGAGCTGAATGCATCATGTGAGCTGGGCCCACCCGTGCAGCGCGATCGCGAGAAAACGAGATGGGAGTTTTGGCGAGGGCAAAAAGCTCTGAAAGCGAAGGAATCCTAGCTCTGAACGCCGCCGAGGCCAGCGCTTAGCGGATCCGCGAGATCCTGGGCCATCCTCCGTAAGCGGTCCAAGCGCCGTCAAACATTCTTCAAATACCGAGAAAGCGGCAAACGACACTGTGCCTCTCTCTATCTTGCGTGACAACCTTCTTCGCATGGCAATCAAGGCAAGCCATTCTCCTCGGCGACGGCGAACAGAAGAGGAGGGCAGCTGCGAGTCTGTAACTTCTCAACCAGGGAACTGCAGAATGAACGATTTCAGGCGCGGAGAAACCTATCTTTGCATACAGTGTAGGCCAGAAAGTTGAGCTCCGAAAAGAGTGAATTTCCAAGCGGAAAATTCCACCGTCGTGTGGTATGTGCAGATTGGCATTCCCACAAAGGACGGGAAATTGCCAAATCGAGCCAGACAGAGTTCGAACGAAGCGTGTGACGCTTTTGTTTCCCCCGCATCGAAAGAAAGGTATCGGTTGCAACACGAGCAAGCTGATCCGAGCCACCCTTTTTCCGACGGCTTCTCGTTGCTCTTCGCTCGCACACAGGTCCATGTTCAGTTGAGGGCTCTTTGCGCAATTCATGCTGTGCTGATCACGGATCGCACATCGGAAGAGATACGCAGAGATACAGTGTCGCAGAACAAGTCGACGAGGACGACGGCGAAGTTGGGTCGAGTATGAGATAGCATTCCCGTCCTCGACCACGACACAGATCGCGATGTGCATCAGCTGCAGCATTGTCATGCCTGCTTTCCGACACAGCTCGAACGATCCGGACGCCGACGCAATCAAGCGGAAGCGACCCTCGCTCACAGAAGTTTTGGAAAGGGCGAAATGTAGAAAACAAGTCCAACGTGCAGCCGTGGGGGGCTTGGAAAAACGAGAAGAATGCAGGTCGGAGGTGAGACATGCAGGTTTGTGCAGAGACGTGCATGGTCGCGGCCGCGTCGCCGCCACATTTATCTAGCCTACTTTACGCGTCACGCGTCGGGGGGTTTGGGAAATTTTGGTTCTCAACTCGGCCAGCGCCTGCGTGGTGTGTGAGAATCTAGTGGAACAAGGTTTGGGCAAGAAAGGGTTTACTTTACGCGACGCGCGCGGATGCGGCTCGGAGAACTTGCTGGCATGGGAACTTTCTTTCGGCGAGCTCCTGTGTCTCGTGTGAGTTTTCTCTCGCTCGCTATCAAGGCCTCCTCTGCCCGCTTTGTCTTCGCTTGTACCTTTCGCACAGATCGTCTTCAGGGCCGTGCGGGTTAGTTGTCGTATCTACCTGAATGCCCGTCCTCGTGGTTCATGTCCGACCCGAGGATTCGCATCCAACGCTTCCCTCACTCGCTCGATCCTGGCGTCCCCTACTACGATCTTTGCGGTTCGCCGAGCAGCAGATCGAGTCGTCTTACCTCTTGCCTACCTGTCAATCCCAGTATGAGGAATGGTGAAAAATTTGGGGACCAGCGGGAACGAAATCTTCATCATCTGATGGTCGGATTTTCGAATCGCAACGCAAACCATCGCAAGCACCGACGCAGCCTGCGATGTCCTATCCGTGAGAGGATAAGGGAGCGACGCTAAGGTCCAATGGACTCGGAAGGAAAGCTTTCGGCAAGTTGGACCAAAAGACGCAAAGGTGCAGCCATCGTGCATTGCCTCTTCCTATCTGCGGACTTGTGTAGATACATGAATATCGCTGCACACGCTCGCTCTCTCACTCGTAAAGGCGAGCATTTTAGTCTCTCGCACGTGCCTTTCTGCGTTACACTAGGCATGTCTCGAACACCATCGCCTCCTTGCATAGACACACACACCCCTTGGATCTCCCTTACATGCCTCTGCCCCTTGGTTCCATCCCCTCCCTCTCTCTAGATCCGAATGCATCCTGTTCACAAGTACGGCGGGACAAGCACATGCAGGGGCCAGTGTGTCTGAAAGTGGACGATCAAAACAAACAAAATCAATCCCACATGCAGTCGCACATGCAGATTCAAAACGTGACTCTTGTGTGTGGCAAGGGTCTCGTTTTTCTTGACACTTGAACATCTAACTCCCTGTCGCTCGCTGTTGAGTCGCTCGCTGCGGGCTTTTTTGTATCGTGCGTATCAGCATCCCCCCCGGTGCTCTTCTCTCTTGCACGTCACTTCGTACGACACAACAAGCATGTCTTTACCAATCCGCACAAACCTTCCCCTTTGACAAGAACTTCACTTTGACGGCCGCACTCACCATCACACACAAGTCAAACTCGAGTAAAATATGATCCTCGTACAAATACATATACCTTCTTCTCAAGTCACATCGTCTGCAAGTGTGGGCAAGTGTGGGAAGCTTCTCTACTGAATATTCCTAACATTCGCCTGCAACTCTCCCACAACCCCCTTCCTCCTCAACGCCGCTTCCAGATCCTTCTCCAGCTTCCTCCTGATCTCCTCCAACTCTGCCACCCTCTCCTTCGCCCCCTGCCTCTCCCTCTTCACCCTCTCCTCTGCCGCCTTACACCTCAGCTCCAGCTCCTTGATCCGCGCAGCCCATTTGCCTTCTCCCTCACCGTACTTGACCTTGGCTTCGGCCAACCTTTCCTCAGCTTGACTCGCCTGTGCCATCGCTGTAGCTAGCCTCCTCTCCGCCGTATTGGCGCGTGTCGTCAACGTCGTCAGCTTGTTGTTGTCGCCAGGATTCGAAAGTGTCGTTCTCGTTTTGAGCGAAGAAATCTGCGAGAGGAGTTCGGCGTTGGTCGCTTTGACGGAATCCAATTCGGCCTGCTTCGACACCAGCCTCTGTCTCCACTGCGCTTGTTTATCGGTAGCCTGTTTGATCGAAGTTTCAAACCGATCGATCTGTCGGAACCGCGAATCTTGTTGCCGCTTCAACGCCGTGTACTTCTCCGTCAACTTGGCCTCCAACTCCTTCGCCTTCTGATCAACTCCAAGCTGCGAATCGAATACTTTGCGAAGTCGCGCCACAAGGCTCGAGTGGAAGACGTCAAAGTTGGTGAAAGGTTTCAGCTCAACCTCGCGCTTTCGCGGTGTTCCATCCGAGGACGCGGTGAGCTTGCCCATCTGTTGGTAGATGGTGAGCAGCAGCGTGTTGCGTTGGTTGAGAGCATCTCGTGTCGCCTGTTCGGTGCGCAGCGTCGCTCGTTCACCGTCGTTGAGTTCGTACTCCAGCTCCTCGACTTTGGCTCGCGCTGCTTCGAGCTCCTTCCGTTCCGCCTTGATGGTGCTCTGCTGCGCTTCCAACCTCTCCGAGAGTCCGAGGTGAGATTGCGCCTCGCTCGCCAACTTGGCCTGCGCCTCGCGCAACTCGGAATGCAGCTGTGCCAAGGCATCCTCCTTGTGACGCAAGGTGTCGTCTTTGCGATCGAGCTCCTTTCGCGCTCGAGCGAGATCGTCTTCGCAGCGCGATAGATCGCGTTTGAGGCGATCGATCTCCAGCTCCAAGCTGTACTTGTCGTTGGCCGAACTTTGACCCATCCGGAACGACTCGTTCTCCTTCGCCCGCAGAGCATCCTGAAGCGTCTGCACGTCGGACTTGCGCGTTGCGAGATCGTCCTCCATCTGGTTGAGTTCCTTTTCCAACGCAACGATGCTTTGATCCTTGTCACGAACGACGCGAGACAGTCGCTCCTCGGCCTCTTCGAGCTTCCGCTCCCATTCGGCGTGCGCGTCGTCGAGCGCCCTCTCTTCCGCTTTGAGATCCTCCACTACGTCCGACACTTTTGCATCGAGCTTGGCATTGAGCTCCTCCAATCGTGCACGATCAGCTGTGAGCTGCTCCACCTCACGTGCGTACGTGTCCGCTTCGTCGCGCATCGCTTCGAGCTCGCCCAGCGTCGATTCCAGCTGGACCTGTGCTGCACCCAGATCCTGCGTCGTCGTGGCGAGCTTCTCTTTGAGCACAGTGGTGTGACGTTCGTGCTTCTCGTTGGCCTGTTGGAGCGCCTCTTCGACCTTGACGATCTCCTCGTCGAGCTGCTTGATCTCGTCGGCGCGCGCCTCAAGCTCTTCTTCGAGACCAAACATGCGATTCGACATCTCCTGCATCTCCTTGTTGGTCTCTGCCAGATCGGCGTCTTTGGCCTCGAGCTCCTTGTGCAGCTCATCGGCTTCGACGCGCAGCTCGTCGGCTTCCTGCTTGAAGGCTTGCACTTGACGATCCAACTCGTCCGCTTCGGCTTCGACGCCTTCGAGCTGCACCTTTTGCTCTTCAAGCAAGTTTTCAGCTTGACGAAGCTCGTACTCGAGATCGGCCACTTTGGCGGTGAGGTCCTGCAATTCGGCGTCGAGTTTCTCCAGCTCAGCTTCCTTGCCGTCGATCTGGAGTTGTGCCGATGCCAACTCGTCGCGCAGCTTATCGATCTGGTCCTGGTACCGGTCCGCAGCCAGACGCTCGGCTTCGCTGAAGCGCACCGCGTCGTCTTCCTGGGTGATGTTGGCATGCTCGAGTCTCTGATTGGCTACATCGAGCTCTCGCTGAAGCGCTTCTTCCGACGAGCGCAGCTCGTACAGCTCTTCCTTGTGCTGCTCGATGTCGCTGACCAGCTGAGCATGGCGTTCGAGCATCTTTGCATTTTCCGTCTTGTGAGCCGTGAGCTGCTGTTCCAGATCGTCGATGTTGCGTCGGTGATGGGACGAGTCCCCTGGCGAATAGGCGCGTCGCTGCTCGGAACGTAGACGGTCGATCTCGTCGCGGGCGATCTCGAGCTGCTCCTGCACCTCGTCGCGTTCCCTGCGGAGCTCGTACTTTTCGTCTTCGTGCTCGTCGCGAAGCGCATCGATGCGCTGCCGCAACCGTGTCGAATCGCCGAGCGATGTTGCTGAGGTCTCGTCGCCGCGACTCGCATCACCAGGCGGTGGTCCTCTGCGCTTGATGAAGTCTAGCTCGTCCTCGAGACGCACCTTGTCGCGTCTCTCTTCCTCGACCTTATTGTTGGCGGCCAGCAGCTTGGCTTGTAGCTCTGCGATGTGCTTTTCGTACTCGGCTGGACTGCTGCCCTTCCACTGCTGCTGCTCCTTCTGCAAGACTTTGATCGCACGATCCTGCTGCTTGAGCATGGCTTGCTGTGCGATCATCTTGTTGGTATATGAGAGCTTCTCCTTCTTGAGCACGATGAGCTCGGCGAGCCTGTCGTCCAATGACACCTTTTCGCGCAAAAGATCGACGACGATCTTGAGTTCGTCGCGCTCCTGCGTGAGACTGTTGATCTTTTCCTGCGCCGACTTCATCGAGACTCCCGCTGCGGAACGTCGACGCATTGCGCGCGCGCCCCATTGACCCGAGTCGTTGGCCGGCGAAGCGGCTAGCAGAGAGTCGCCGGCCTGAGAAAGGTCTTGTTGCATGCGCTGCAATTCGTCCTGCTGGTGCGCTTTTTGCAAGCTGTCCTCGAGCTCTTCGAAAGTGTCGTCGTCGGCGATGCGTACACCGTAGTGCCTTCGCTGCTCCTGTTTGCGTTGCGTAGAAGGAGGCTCATTGTGGCGCGCATTCTCCTTGTTGGAGGACGTACTGGACGTGTCGTGCTGCTGGTGCTGTTGTGGTGGGGGTGGAGTACGAGAACGCGCTGCACCAAGATCCAAAGGACCCGAAGTGATGCGTCGGGCGCGTTCGGTGGCTGCACTTGGCTTTCTGGATTTTCCAAAGGTGCTGTTGAGCGGTTTGGATGGTGGTAGGTCGATGTTGATGCTAGCGACCGTTTCGAGACCTGGCAGGTCTTCCCTAGCGGCGGCTGCCAGGCTTTGCTCCACGGTCGAGTCGTAGTTGGAGCCGGCATCGTAGCCGGCGAGAGCCGCAAAACGGTCAGCCATGCTCTCTCAGCTTCGCTTCAAAGGTTTGTAGGCTCTGTGAAGATGTGGCATATGCTGGTGTCGGGATCCTACAATGCTTCCGCCGAGCGTTTATTTGCGCGATATCGCAAGAGGATGATGCGAGCAGGGCTTTTTAGGTTGTTCGTGGTGGTGTTTCGCAAAGAGTTCTTAAGCCATCATTGCTCGCAGTTGATACCGGCCATGCGATGGTTCGTTTCGGGGTCAGACGTTGCCGATCGATGATGGTGGCGGCTCCAGCGATGACGACGAATGCTCTGAGATGCTGGACACCATCACAGTCACAAGAAAGTCATTTTCAGTTCGCGAGTGGAGCGTGGACAGACAGCGCGCGCGCGTAGAGAACAGAGCCCAATTTCTCTTTCCGTCCGCTCCAGAAGGCAGAGAACAACACTCGTCACGTGACACGCGTCGGACCTTTGAATTCTCTCGTGCGAATTATACATTGAACCTCGCCCGCTCCGAGCCTCTCAGCAAGCAAGGACCCATACACGGCGTCGGGTGCTGAAGTCCCACAAGTGCAAAGTGACATTCCGCCCCGTTGGCGCGCTTGCAGATCGGAACACAGTCGACAGCTTTCGAAGAGCCATAAGATGACAGATGGATGATGGACGACGAACGTGATTACACCGGGAGAGAGTGGAGAGAGAAAAAGAGAGCTGAAGACATCCAAAAAAAGAGAGGAGGATAGATGCGGCTACCACAAGTCCTTTGTAAGGAGGACGAGTCGATAGTGCTCGACGACACCATTGCCGCGTCGTCTTCATCAGTAGGCATTGCTGAGAAGCAGCTGCGACGTCTCGAGACAAAGATTGACTTCGTCCGCCATGGGCACCACCGCCTCCCAGTGCTTGCCCAGATCCATGAGCGTGTCACGCGCCTCGCGCACACGACCCCAAATGTCTCGCAGCTGGGCCTGCTTGACAGGATCGACTGACGGCTCAAAGTCGCCGTTCATAGCATCGTCGTCGCCGGTATGCTCGAGCACTCGTTGCAAACTGTCGTTGGCGTACTCTCCGTGACCGTGGGTATCCATCGACATGGACTGCTGCTGTTGCTGATCGACCGCCTGGTCGTTCAAATCATCCGCACCACTCTCACCCGCAAAGCCTCCGTGCACAGCCAAAGCCTGCATGAGCAGCACAAAGCTGATCAGCACGAAGCTGCAGCAGTTGAACGGATTTGGATTCACCGACTGGCCATGGCGGCGCTTGGCAATGTCGAGCAGCTGCCGGCTGGCGTGGACGCATCGCTGCAACGAGAGCCTTGGCAAGAAGGGTCCGCGAGCGTACAGGTCCTGCTGCGTCAAAGAGATCGGTTGGGCGCCGCCATCTGTGGACGTGACACCGACCACGGCATTGCCGCCGTCTCCTCCATTTGCGTACGCAGACAGGTCGAGCGAGCCGTCGTGTGCGAGGACGGGCATGGGTTCGCGGCAAACAGCCGAGTTCGCACCGTCCTTGGTGTCCTTGATCGAATTGAGGAAGCACAGCTTGCGTTCAAACAGCGAGGCACCCTGGAAAGCCTGTCCGATGTGCAGCGTGAGCGACGACGTGTACAGCTGCACCGCGGCGGCCATGCGGAGCGAATCCTCGAGCTCCTTTTCGACGTGCGCCAGGTTGCCCGTCGTCGGCACCTCCGAAGGCAAAGGTGAATCGGGCGCCTCGGTGCTTTCGTGGATACGGATCTGGTCTTGCAGGAACGTATCGATCTCGAGCATGCTGTCGAGGATCTCCTGTCGTGTGGCCCTTGTGGGGAGGGTCGAGAAGTTGGCAGGCACGTCGTCGCTGCTCACCGAGCCGGATCTGGAAGCGCCGAGTCGACCGAAACCAAAGGGCGAGCTGGCCGAGGAAGCAGGCGATGCCAGTACTTCGTTGCTTTGTGGTGGCTCGTAGCGCAGAGTGCCGTCGGACGACTGGCCGTGCTGGGCAAGCGCCAGGACACGGTCCTGAACGAGGAGGAGCGCCTGCAACGAGCTGATGTTGGATGTCCATACATCGGGGGCCGATGCCGTGGGCATCTCACTCTTGACGCGTGGATCGTCAGCACGGATGGTGGGAATGCGGCCTGTATTGTAGGCGGCCCACAGAACCAGACTCCAGACCGACCACCAGCAACGCTTGCGCATCTCGAAGACGTCGTTGGCGTCGACGCCCATCGACGTGAGCGGGTGACCGGCGTTGGACACGTAAGCAAAGCTGCTGCGCGCCGACTTGGTCTCGTTCGGAGAGGTCTTGTGACTCAGCTTGTGCAGACCTTGACCCATGGCGAGACCGAGCGCCTGGTCGGCCTTGAGGCGTGCTTTGATGGCTCGTCCGCTTCCGTACTCGTAGACGACGAGCACGCACAGCGTCTGGATGGCCTCGAGCATCTTTTCACCCGTTTCGTCGTTGTCTGCCTGCTCGAGCAGCCGATCGAGGCCGTCGCTGGCTTTGCGCTCGAAGTTGAGCGTTCGCTCGCGCAGCGCTGCCTTCTTTTCTTCGGAACCAAAATTGATGCCCTGACCCGAAAGCTTATGCATGGCGCCGATGGGCTGGATCTCGTCGCGCAACAGGGGCAAGACGCACTGGAGCGCGTAGATGAAAGCTGAATCAGGCTTGAAGAATGTGATGAGAACGTCAACGTGCTTGGGAGGCGGCAAGATGGGGATGAAGCGGTAGAGGTAGCGATAGTAGTCGGTGAGAAGCGTCTTGACGCTGCCGGCTTCGGCGGCAGCGGCGTTCAAAGTTTTGAAAGAGAACTGGTTCACCTTGGCGGCATCGGAGACGTTGTCGATGGAGGCGTGACGGGAAGAACTCGATTGGCTCGATGAGCTCGTCGCAGCCACAGAGCTGGCATGGTAGGCAGCCATTGCATCCTCGACGCGACCCCATACACCAGGGCTCTGGTTGGACACCGGCGAGACCGCCGACGAGGTGCGCGCTGCGTCTGCATGAACTTGTCCCGGCGGAGACGTGGCATTGCTCAAGTGCGCAGCGGAACTGACGGGAGCGGCCTGCTGAAGTGGCGTGTGCTGCAAGGTTGTGTTGCTGAAGCTGTTGAGCTGAGCTTGTTGCTGCTGTGAGCCTTGCGGAAGCGGACGGAACTGCTGCTGCTGCTGTTGTTGATGTTGATGTTGTTGATCTTGTTCATTTGGCTGCGTAAGCTGGGGCTGCATAAGCAATTGATGCGGCTGATGGGCGGCGTCGGGAAGCTGGTAAGGCAGGAAGCCGCCAGCTTGGAAGCCAGGCATGGACGCGAAAGGATCGTGCATGGGATCGTTGAGCGAGAAAGCAGCTGCGGACTGCTGCGCTGGCGGCAAAGCTTGCTGGTGCTGCATGTGCAAATGGTTGGACGTGGAGGATGATTGCTGGAGCACCGAGGGATCAAAGGATGGATACTGGTCAGGAATGTTGAAGACACTCGAGTGGGGTTGCACGTTTTGCTGATGCTGTGATGGCGGCAGGGTCTGTGGCTGCAGGGCGGGCGGCACAGTGCGGTCCGCAGAAGAAGGTCCGGCAAGACCACCAGGGCGACGGAAAGCGTAGGGCATGTCGGTCATGGCAAAGAGCTTGTTGAGATGGCTCTGCAAATCCTGGGTGGGGTCGATCTTGGGCTTGGGCTTGCCGCCTCGACGCGAAACGGTGTAGAGGCATTCATCTGGGCGGCCGCGGCCTACACAGGCGGAACACGGCTTGTTGCCGTCGCAGCGCGACTTGCGAGATCGGCAAAAGGTGCATGCGCTCTTGACAGGTGCGGCGATGGGACCCTTTTTGTCTCTGTCGTCAGCCTTGGTATCATTTGTGCGCAGCGGACCCGAACTGCTCGACTGCTGGAAATCGAGCTGGTTGCCGTTGCCATTGCCGTTGGCGTACGGCGAAGTGTGGTCATGGGTCGACATGATGGATAGCTGCTACGAGCAGAGAAGCGAGACAGAGGAAGCGGCTCTTTCGGATGTGATCAAAGCGGGGCGATCGACGAAGATGCGTGTTGGTGTTGGCGGTGCGTTGGTCGTGCAAATGAAGGGGGTGCGCCTCGCTTTGACGTACAGACCAGACGCGATGGGCGCCGGCAATGCACCTGCAGTCCTATCGAGGCGTCGCGAGGAGAGATCTGGTCGAAAGATAGGGTCGGTATCAGACGGTGAGAGTGGATGTCGACCTGGTCCGTCGACGATGCGGAGAGCTACGTAGAAGAAGAAAAAGACCAGAAGCCTCGAAATGAATGGCACAGGGTTGAGGACAGCAAATCAGGCGCTAACAAAATCGGAAACGCATTCGACAAGGGTGATCGGAGCGGTTCGGCGACAAGAAGGATGGATGGAGGATGGATGGTGGACCGGACGGATGATGGACGATGGATGAATCTGACGACAGACAAGCGAACAATTTCGATATGAGACGGGAGGGTACAGCATGGCAGAGTTGGGATCGGATCAAGTTCCGTAATGGCCGAAGACACGGATAATGGCGAGCTAGCCAGGCAAACGACACCGACGCATACGACTGAACTGCGATGGAATAATGACGGATTTTGCTGTTTAACCGCTCCGTGTGGCACAGCCTGCTGAAGCCAGCCAAGCTGAGAGACGGATGACAAAATCCATCCCTCCGGGCGACGAGGCTTGCCGGTGGAGCTGCGCAGGCGAGCAGTGCACAGAGACCCAAACTGGCCGTGTCCAATGGCGGCGCTGTGTGGCTTTTCGGAGGCTGAAACGCAAACGCACAGCTGTGGAGGGATTCCGGTCCAGAATCGAACTTTTAACAGATATCGGCTGGGCAATAGCACTGCCAATGTGCCGACGCTTCGCCTACATTGAGCAACGAAAATGAATAACTTATTGCAAGCCACGCCACGCGTACACGTTTGCAACTGTAACTCAGAAGCAGCGTCCCACGATTTTGCTGATTTCGCGCACCGTCGATATGGCAAAATGTGAGAGAAGGCTCACCTCGATGGGACTCACGAGCGCACAGAAAGAGTAGAGTCCGACCATCCCACGTTCCGCGCATTCGCAATCTCGCTCTTTCCTATTCTATAGTTCTATGCTTTGGACCCAGGGCCGGGGCCCTTCGTCGGACTCCGCATATTGAGAAGGATCAGCACCGTTCCCCTTCCTTTCAGCGTTCTTCTTCTATCGGCCTACGATATTCCCCTCAGGGAGGTCTGCGCAACCAGTCTCTCGGGTAGCTAAGCACGGCAGAGCAGGACCACACGGTCTGCAAACCACAAGCGGTAATTTACGTGGTTTTCGTCTTAACTCCGCACCGTTCTGGTGTGCAGTACACTGTAGTTGTGGAACAAGTGTTCGTATGCCTTTTTCATGCATGCGTGTTCGGACCTACCAGGTGCTGGCAGATGCATTGTGCTCTGTCCGTCTCTTCAGACTGCCGTTCCGAGATGGGCCTAATTGGTTCCATGATCCTGCATCGCACAATCCGCGTACGGCTATTCCCGTGCCGCCGACGGATGCGCTGGAAAGAATCTACATGGCATTGACTTGGGCGTTGGTAGACAGACCACCGTGCGAATGCTCAAGCCGAAGCTCGCTTTCATCAGGATCAAGTTCTATTCCACGTCATCTTCATGCACTCTCTGATCTCACCTTGACAGCGGAATCCCAGTCAGTCACAGCAGCCAGTGTGCCACAAACGCTGTCTTGGCGAGCCTTGCAAGGACGTGCCAAGGCATCCTGTTCATCGCGCCGCCTATCCACCCCGACCTCGATCAAGACGGCCGTAGGAGCTCCTACCACACAAAGTTCAGTCACGTCTTTTGCGACAGAATCGGTGTATCTCTGTGGTAAGATCGGAAGCATACCTGTAGCTGCCCAACTCCAGCTCATGCGATATTTGTCAGCCATCGGCGCAATACTGTAATTTAGTCTGAACAGGCGAGACAAGACATGCATGCAGCAGGAGCGACCTCTTCTTGAGCCTTTTACTTTGCGTCGAGCCGAGAATGATTATCTAATCGGCGATAGGATGCTTTTCGAACTCGGATGTGAGATCGAGCTGGTCTTTGGAACTTCATTATTCGGCGTCGAACTCTTTTCGGGTCTCGGCGGGTCGTGATTTTTAAGGCGCAGTCAGAGTTGTGTGACTCTTGAAAGCCGATACAATATCGTTCTGGCTGGAGTTGCGTCAGGATTCTCATCTCCAACGTCACCATCATCATCGTCTCTGCTTCTTCACTGCCGATCATTCGCGGCATCACAGGATCGCATCCCTCGGTGTCACGTCTCACCTCTCTTACTTGCTCCGCAACATCTGAACACACGTCAAAGCAGCAGCTCTTCGTCTCGACGTGCCGCCTCCCGAAGGGCGCTAACCAAGCCGCACTTTCCTTCTTTTGGTCCCGTCACATCACATCACTCACGATGAGGCTGCCGACGTCAGCCTCTTCATCAGCCGTGACTCGGGCACTCGTGCGATCTGTGTCCACGGCCGCGTCATCGCCTTCTGCTGCCAAAGCAACGCTGCCCAAGCAAGCCATACCCGCTGCTAGAGCTGCTATCTCCCGGCCAAATGCAGTCCCGCCTTCGCCAATCCGTGTCTCCACACGTCGATCTCTAATCTCACGTCACAACACACTGGCACGCTCGGTATCGTCGTCTGCAACGTCCCTCTCACCCACACCATCTCCCATCACCTCCTCGTCCGAGCCCTCCCCTTATGCATCTCCCCTGCCCACTTCTTCGCTCGTCAACGTCACCACCCTCCCGAATCGAGTACGCGTAGCTACAGAAGCCACTCCCGGTCACTTCAGTGCCGTCGGTGTCTACATCGATGCCGGTTCTCGGTATGAGCGCCCGTGGGTGGCCGGTGAATCGGGCTCGTCCCACCTCTTGGACCGTCTAGCCTTCAAGTCGACCACCAACCGATCCTCCCAACAGATGACCTCGGAGATCGAAGCGCTGGGCGGAAACGTCATGTGCTCCTCATCCCGCGAGACCATCATGTACCAGTCGAGCGTCTTCAACAAGGACGTACCCGCCGTCCTCTCCATCCTTGCCGATACCATCCTCAACCCACTCCTCAGCCCGGACGAGCTCGACGTTCAGAGGGAAGCGGCTGCCTACGAGATTCAGGAGATTTGGTCAAAACCCGAGATGATCCTCCCGGAACTATTACACACCACCGCTTACCAATCCAATACGCTCGGCAATCCTCTCCTCTGCCCCATCGAGAGCCTCGAGCAGATGACGGCCGAAAATTTGCGCAACTTCATGTCCACGTGGTACAGGCCGGAGAGGATCGTGGTTGCCGGCAGCGGCATGCCTCACGAGCAGCTCGTCGACTTGTCTGAGAAGCTGTTTGGCGGTCTCAAGCCTACCGCGGATTCGTCTCGCCTCAGCTCTGGCTCCTCGTCGCTCTCGAGTTCTCCTTCCTCTTCCTCTTCTGCTTCTTCTGCATCCTCCTCCCGCTCTTCGTCTCTGTCGTCGCTCTTCTCACGCTCATCCTCCAATTTCTCTACTTCTTCGTCGTCTGCGGCCGCACCCTCGTCAGCTGAACTGGCCGACCTCGTAGCAACACCGTCGCACTACACGGGTGGCGAACTCTACATTCCACAAAACGACCTCGAGTTCACGCACGTATACGTCGCCTTTGAGGGTCTCAGCATACACGACGACGACATCTATGCCCTCGCCACCCTTCAGATCCTCCTTGGCGGTGGAGGCAGCTTCAGCGCCGGTGGGCCCGGCAAAGGCATGTACTCTCGCCTCTACACCAACGTGCTCAACCAGCACCACAGCGTCGACTACTGCGCTGCTTTCCACCACTGCTACTCCGACTCGGGCCTTTTCGGCATCTCGGCTTCGGTCCACCCTAGCTTCAATGCCAGCATTGTCCACGTCATTGCACGCGAGTTGGAGCTCTGCACCAGCTCCATCTACCAAGGCTCCGTCACCCAGGCCGAACTCAATCGCGCAAAGAACCAGCTCAAGAGTTCGCTCGTCATGGCGCTCGAATCGAGGCTGGTAGAGGTCGAAGATCTCGGCAGGCAGATCCAGGCGCACGGCAAGAAGGTGTCGGTGGAGGAGATGTGTCAGAAGATCGATGAGGTGGATTTGAAGACGTTGAACAGGGTGGCTGCGCGCGTCTTGCGGCCGCAGAAGATGTCGGTGGGTACGGGTAAGTCGCCCCGCGGATCGGGACAGGCGACGGTGGTGGCTCAGGGTCAGTTGGAGGGGCTGGGCGATGTGCGCGATCTGCTGGCGAGGAGAGGGCTCGGTGTTTCGCCAAAGCAGGCCGCTTGATCGTCTGGAAGACGATCACCAACCACCATCGTTATGTTGTTCTTCGTACCTTTAGCCCGTCGCATCGTAATACACCACTTTCTCGCACAGTCTTGGTCATGCAACGCACAGGCGGGTCCGGACGGGAATGAGGATGAAGTCTTCTTCAGACAGCAAGTACATGTGATGAGGGAGAATCGGTCCGTGCAGTGAGTCTAGATGTGCAAGTAAGATGTGAGGCCGAGACAATGAGTGTGATGTGCCAGGGTATGCGACAGTGGGAAGGTCGAACTTGTAGGAGCCAAGCAAAGAAGAGTGAGAAAGCGAGAGTGAGGCTAGAAAAGAGAGGAAAATCTACGGGATGGAGCGCTGGTGACGAAGAGATGGTAACCGATGTAGAGAAAGCATATAGGAAGCATGAATGCGGAAGAACGAGTATCTAGGATGTACGAGTGGCACCGTAAGGGTTGTATGAGAAAGGTCGAGTCTCCTCCCTGAAAGTCCAGAACGCCCTGTACATTCTGTCCTCCCCATCGTCCCCCTTGATCCACCCTCTCCTCTCCACTGGCAAAAGATGGCCGTCAGCAGCAGCCATCTTGCTAGCGTCGATCCTCTTCTCCGTCATCTCCGAATCGCTCAACAGCGGAGTGGTGGGAATCGAAGTGCAAACGGATCCCGCATCGTCATCGACATTGGTCTCCTCGACATCGAACAGCGATGTCTGCGAAGTCCTTCGACTGATACTGCTCGATCCGCTTCCATCGCTAGCATACGAAGCCAGGCGCATCTGCTGTCTTCTCTTCAACATGGCCATCGCGGCGCTGGATCCGGCAGCCAACGCCGTTGGTGGTGCACGTTCCACCATCCAAGCGACGTTGTCAGCGATCACGGTGATCCTTCCTGCGAGATCGTCGTGTTGGATCTTGGCCTTCTTATAGATCACGTGTTGACATATCGGGTAGACTTCGTACTTGCGATCGTTGCTCGAGGTTGAACGAATCCAGTTCAGCGCGACCTCGTTGTCGGCAACCTTGTCCTGACCGCCCATCTGGATGTAGATCGGATGACGGATCGAGGCCTGCCGAGAACGAAGCTCGAGCATGGCCATCTCGATGCACCAGAGGTGACCGATTCGGAACGAGCCTTGGTGTGAACGAGGATCTTGCATGATGAGCGAATCGTACACTTTGGGATCCTTGTCGACGACCTTTTTGTGTGGAACCATGACCTCGAGACGACCGAGCCGGAAGATGAAGAGAAGGGAGATGAAGAGGGTGCGGAGGAGCCAGTGGATGACGACGTACTTGGGGTTGTAGGCGACCATGGGACCAACGCCAACGAGACCGTCGATGGGGATCTCGGTGGGGTCGGTCTCATCGTATCGGTAAGAAGCAGGGTACTGAAGTGCGTACGAGAAGGCGACGAGGCCACCGAAGGATAGCCCTAGCATGAACGTCTTGCGACGTTCGAGTTTTGTGGGTTCCGTGTCCGGAAAGAGGGACGCCTTCTGATCGCGCTTTGCGACGTCGTGAAGAACCGAATGGAGTCCGGCACAGTAGCCTGCCATCTTGCTCTGATAGACGTGAAGACCGGAAGAGTAACCATGCGAAGGCAGATCAGGTACGATGCAGCGGAACCCTGCGTCGAGGTATCGTCGACACTGACTCGCCAACGTACCCGAGTGAACACCCGTGCCGTGGACGAAGATCATATCAGCGACACGACCAGTATCCCGAATAGCGACGGGATCCTGCCACACCTGATACCACACCCAATCCTTGCCGTTCTCGAGCATGACTTTGTGAAAGGTGACCTCTACATCGTCCTTCTCGTAAAGCCTCTTCTCCATCGCTGAAAAGGGGATGTCGCATCGCCCGTAGCTTCGATCCTTTGGTTCGTATAGTCCGAGTCCCTCAGCCAAAGGCTCTCCCCATACCTCCCAGATGGTCTTGCTCACCGACCTGCGCTGCGACGGCATTGTGAACGGCTTGATGCGATCGAAGCTGGCTATGTTGGTTCGACTCGGTTGGACGTCGCAAAGATGTTTGGTGCTTGATCCGGGAGGTCGTGTTCAAGGCAAGGTGACCAGGTCCTTTAAGAATGAACAACAAGCGGCTTGACGATAAGATTCACTCTATGATGCCGACAATCAAAAGAGTGTTCCCACGAGGTGGAGTGCGCCGTGTGAAATGACAGAAAGCGTGTGGTAAGATGGTGTGCTAACGGCGAGACAGCAAGAGAGCCAATTCAAGGTTCAAAGGATCAGACCTCGTCTTGCAATCGAGTTGGTGTGTTCACGAACATGAGCCGAGAACGAGGCGCTTATGCATGACGCTAATTGCGGGTGCTAGTAAACACTTGCCAGAAGCAGACTAGTCTCGCCAAGTAAAAAAAGTTCCATGCTAAAAACTAGAAGAGGTATCCCGACAAAGTCCCTGGAAACCAAAAACTCGGAGTGTTTTGCCACATATGTGAACAAACTTATGTTGCAACAGGCAAAGACCGAAACTACTGCAGCTTGCCGGTGCGGCATATCAGACTAGCGAAGTCTCATGACGCAGAGCGGACTTTCTTGCTTCGATAGAACAGTTCGATCCAGTATTCAGCAAAGTGGGGCCGAGAAGGGCCAACTCAGGTATCTAGCGTGGACCGACGGGTCAAAACAACAGCAAGAAAACGAGATGCAGGCGACGTTTCCAAACGAGGCGATGCACAGCAGAAAGGGTGAGGGTGCACAGCAGCATCGCCACCCTGACAGCAAAAGCAAAGTGTCTCGAGCAACGCTGAAACTGCATGCCACCTTCGACGCGTGCGCACAAGGGTTGCGGAGAGTGCATGTTGGCTGTGATTTCGCCGGCGGCATCGCCATCCACGCATCGTCCTCTCACATTCCAGCTCTGACTCCCTATGATGGCCTTGGAGCCGCACCGAGAACCGCACTTTTTCCGATCCCCGACGTAGATCAAACTTGAGTATCCGAGCTTTATCTTCGTTGTGTAGCAAGCTTTGCATGCTAGCGAAACGGTGAGCTGAGTTCGTGCATGAGAGTTTGTATGGTTTCGAAGCGAGCGATGAGCCGCCAGCAACGTGTGCAACAGACAGATGGACAGCGAACGTGGAAGCGACAATCTCGCGCTTTCATTGAGACCGGCGTACCATCTGCGTCTCGGCTGTTCAGGTAGTTTGCAGCGGACGAACGAGGTTGAAAGCTGAGACAGATCAGCAAATCTGACGACCTTTCTGTAGCAGCGATCCGGCCCAGGCTGCAGCGAAACAAGTCTCATGGAAGGGGTGCACGAGGGGTCTAAGAGACAGGCGCAATAAGCCACAATGAAGCCACACTGAATGAAGGCCACATGCTGCAGAGGCCTCTGCAGTGGGGAGGGGCCAGCATCTCTGCGATGTTGAAGCGAGACGGTATGAAAAACTGCACGGCTCAGTTGGAGGATCGAATGGAATGTGGCCACTTTGACGGCGCCTTTTTGGACACGAGGCCAACTGCGACATGCATTCTTGAACCGCTTTTTTTAAAATTTCATGCGACAGCACATCGCAAACTGCCAGGGGTTTTGTTAATATTATCATTATTATTGATATATTTCTTCTTCCTGCTTTGCTGCCCTGTCGATCTACAGTGCAGACGAAAGTAAAATTTGAAAGTGATATAATTCAATTATGATAGACGTGTCGTCCGACGAGTTGCACAACGATGAGCACGGTCGTGCTGCAGGCAGCTGACGTGGTCAGACAGCGTCATGTACATGCTTCCTGTGGCCATGCCGAAAAGCAAGGGCCACAGCGGCGATCGAGCGGTCACTTGATGACCGCGCTTTTGACCTCTGACGACCAAAGGTACGCAAGCACTTCACCAGGCTTCGCGCAAGTTTGGCCCGTTGCAGCCTTGTACGGCTGTAATCTGCAGGCTTGTGGGGTGGGCGCTTAGAAAGTGCAGTAATTTAGCTTGAGCCGGTGCATAGCGGCATCCATTCGCCCCATTTGGTTGCCTCCTGCATCGTCCACCTCGTCACCCAAACGTCGCAACGAACGATTCTGTTCGCTATCACAAGCAAGCAAGCGTCAAGCATCGCAGCAGTGGCTGCGATGCCGTCGGCATACAGCCTCGCTTTGGGGACGACCAGCGGAGTTGGTGGTAGATATCGTAGTGTGCACTGGTACAGCAGCGGAGTTCGGGAGCAGCCGAGAAAACACGCCAAAATTCGGCTCGAGCTTTTAGCGTCGTTTTCTTCGAACGGATCTGCACGAAGAAAAAATTCGATGCCGTGTGCACGTATGGAGTATGCTCCCCGCAAAGCTCGAGTTGATTTTGGTGACCCTCCTCCATCCGAAACATCGCTCGCTGCAGCAAAGCACCGACGGAAGCAACGCTGACTCGGAGGAGGCGTATCCTATCGTCTTCGCGTGCATGATGTGGTGCTCTATTTGCTCTATACGGTCACGCACCATGTGGCTCCTTTCCGCTGCCACCCAGGTGAAAATTCTCCTAAAATAAAATTCGCCTACGCTAGTTATTCGCCTGCGCTAGCTTGGACTGGCAATTTTTGGCGCTTCACAGTTGGCGCCGACGCTAGGCGGCGAGCCTAGGCTAACAAGCAACCCCAAAATTGGCCGAAGCAAGGCGATCTGCTCTCATGGAACCAAACATTGCGTGACCCGTGACGAGAGCACCGTGCCCCTCTATTTGACATTCCCGGCAAAGACATTGATGAATTATTTAATAACAAGATAAAAATAAAACAAAATCGAACGAATCCAAGACATCGCGATGTTTTCAGCAGCGCAAGATCTGTTTGCCGACCGGCTGCAACGCACAGTGCGTCCCCAGACCATCCCTTGCCTCGTTATGGCTTGGTCTTTGTCTCCGCCGTCATCGGTCTGCTGCGTGTGTTGCCAGCATTCCGCTCAACGGAATTTCTGGTCACGACACCTCTCTGGGCCCAAGCTTCTTGGTGTCACTCAAGAATCTTGGACGCCGGTGATCAGAGCCATTCTAGTACAGTGCTCACCTGCTGTTTCGCGTCTCGCAAGCAAAGTTGTTGACGCGGGCTCGCCGCTCGTTGCCCCCACATGAAGCTTCGCTTTCGAACTAAATCGGAAGGCTTAGCTTGGTTGGATGATCAAGACGAGGTGTGTCTGAGATCTCGTCGAAAGGCTGCATTAGGCGACTTAAACCTGAACGACAAAGTTGCGCTCTTGCGCTGCAGGTCATGAGTGTGATCGTCTGTTCTCAGCTGGCTCCGAGGCTTGTGACTTTTGCCGAACGCTAGTTCTCTCTTCTTCAGTTAGCCAAAACTATTCAAGACATCATCTTGCCGAAATCCGGAGCGCTCGGCCTTTGTGTTTCACTACCACACCCAACCTCCTCCGTTTCGGCTTTGCTTGCTTGCCGACAACATACTCGCTTCTGGTGGCAGCGGAAGCAACAACGCCGGAGCTAGTGTCTCTCTTCCGTCCTTTTCACACCTCCATCTCCTTCGACTAACCGGCCCCACCTCTCTTTCACGACATCGGCAGCCACCTTCCGCACCGATTTTCCCATGCTCGGAAGCTGGCTCTTCTGAACTTGCATCGTTCTGCGCCCATCCCCGTCGGAACCTGAAACAGCATCAGACCTTCGACCGACCAAAAGTTTCTAAGACATCGCGTTGATCCGTCACCGTAAGCAGCATCTTTTCCGACAAGGCAGCCTGTTCAGAACTCACGTCGTCAGCAACAGGCATCAGGGCAGTTCCTGGTGACCGACTCGCAGCGCGAACACTCCGTTGATTCCGTGGCGGTGGACGCCACCTCGAGTTCCAGACCAGGACCCTGTAGGGCAGCAAGACCGCCGCGATGCTCCACCCTTCTTACGAAATGTCTTCAACGCCTCAACCCATAGAGCCTCTTTCCAGCTCACCCACCATCGAATATCATCCCTGGTCTTCGCATCAAGAACAAGAGTTGCGTGGACAGTCGTCACGATCACAACTCATTATCCCGACAAACGAATCAGTTTCGTTCCATACAGCTTACTCGCACGATCATCATCAGATAGACTATTGGGAGCAACCTGCTCTACAGCCCTCAAGACCCATCTTCACACATATGTCCAAGCGGGAGATGGAGTCACCGACCCTTAGCGGCACCGATGAGGTGCACGAGGATGTCAGTGCCGTCGTTCGCAACAACTTGCAAGAATATGGATTGCACGATGCTCGTGGCAAAAAGACGCTCAAGTTCTGGATTCTCATCCTGGCCTTTTCCATCACGGTAATGTTGACTGCCTTGGATATGACCATGATCTCCACTGCGTTGCCTTCCATTGTCAAGGATCTGCCAATGTCGACGATCGCCGGCGGGTGGGTGACCTCCTCGTATCTCCTAACCGTGACAGCCTTTCAACCCATGTTTGGCGGAATGTCCTGCGTGATCGGTCGAAGATGGTCGCTCGTGTTCGCAGTGATCCTCTTCCTCGGTGGAAGCGTGATCTGCGGCTGCGCGAACAGCATCCTTCTGCTTGTCGTCGGACGCGGTGTTCAGGGCCTCGGAGGTGGCGGAATTCAAGCAATTGGTGAAATCACCATCTCGGACATCACCACGCTTCGCGAACGAGGTTTCTTCGTCGGCATCTTTGGCTTGGTATTCGCTGTCGCCTCGTTTATCGCGCCTGTACTCGGTGGCTACTTCAGCGACCACGACTGGCGCTGGATCTTCTGGATCAACATCCCCATCGGAGCCGTTGCGCTGATCATGCTCGTCCCTACGATGAACCTCCCCGTGCCTTCAATGCCGCTCAAGACCAAGATCGCCAAGATGGACGTTGTCGCCAATACGGTGCTGCTGGGAAGCGTTGTCAGCATCTTGATCGCGGTCACCGAAGGAGGCGTGTCGCACCCGTGGTCGAGCGCCCGTATTTGGGTACCCATGGCCATTGGTATGGTTGGTTTCTTCCTCTTCCTAGCGATCGAATTTGTGCCGAACAGGCTCAGCACGCATCCTGTCTTGCCAGCTAGACTCTTTGGCAACCGTACAGCATGTTCGGCGTTCCTAATGACGTTCTTGCATGGCATCGCCACGTATGGAGCCATCTACGCGCTTCCGATCTACTTCCAGTCGATTAAGGATCAGAAGCCGCTCAAATCGGCTGTTTCCACGTTCCCTTCCACTGCTCCGACCGCGCCCTTTGCCATAGTCGCTGGTATCATTATGGCCGTCACTGGCAAGTACAAGGACCTCACCTTCATCGGATGGGCTTTCACCGCCGGAGGATTCGGATGGATGACCCGCTTCCAGACGGGCACGTCGGAATGGGAGCTCGTCGTCGCCCAGATCGTCACCGGCGTCGGTATTGGTATCCTGTTCGCTATCACTCTGCCGCCTATCCAGGCCAGTCTGCCGATCGAAGAGCTCGAAACCGCCACTGCGACGTATGCCTTTTGTCGGTCGTTCGGCGCCATCTGGGGTATCGCCATCACGACATCGGTGCTCACGGCGCATGTCAGCAGCAAGCTCGGCTCGCTTCCTCAAGCGGCCGAGCTGGGTCTGACGGGTCCCACTGTGCTGGGCTACGTGGAGAACATCAAGAATCTGCCTGAACCCATCCGCGAGCAGGTCAGGCAGATGTACGCGGACGGTCTGCAAAAGGCTATGTACGCCTTCCTGCCTATCGTTGTAGTCGGGTTCGCTTGTTGTTTCTTCATCAAAGATCTGCCCTTGCCCGATTTCATCCGAGGCACCGACGACGGCAGTACCGAAGAGCAACGACAACAGCAGCAGGAGGCGCAGATCGTGACCACTCACCAGGTTTCGTTCCACAGCTCACCTGCATCCTCCTATGAACCTTACCGAGAGAAGCACAGCCCGGGAAGTCCTCACGATGACACACTCGTTGGCTCTGCTTCGGACCACTCCCATCGCTCTCAGCGTCAGCTCGAGAACCACAGCATACCATCAAAGTCAAGCATGCAGCAGGTCTCGAGCTTCCCTGACGCGTACGCCACAGATGCGTACCAACCCAGGGCCTCAACTCCGCATGCAAGGCAATCATCGGAGGCTACAATGGGCGAGGATGGGTACGGCGGCATTGTCGCCCCTGAAAGAGCCCATTGGTAGACCTCGCAGACAAACTCATGTCCACGAGGGCAGATCCTGTATTCCATTAGCATTACCATCCCACACTTCCAGCAAACAGTCTCGGCATCACAATCATTCTGTCTCACAATGCACATTCTTTCTGCTTTCTTTGTTGGCACGTGCAATCTTTTGTATTGAGTTGCGTGATGCTGTGGTTCCTGTCGCAGGTGGCAGGGACACGGTGCAAGGGCTGCACAGGGGGAGGAAGAGGGGGGGAGTAGGGAGGAGAGCAGAAATGGACTCTGTCTCCAAAAGTTTACTGCTTACCGGCAGTCGCCACCGAGGTGTCGGTCGAGTTGAGTTTTGCCAAGCCGATCTTGTTGGCCTTTGTATTGGTGGCAAAGTACGCGTTCTTCAAGAAGGTCGCACCGACCAACCACTCGTTCTTCTGACCGACGTTGCCGGCGCTGATGGCACTAACGCAGTCGCCGGTCAAGTCGTTCGCATCGACGGGGAGGAACAGCATATCCCTGGTGTCGATGGGGAACTGTGTGCCACCGAACGTCAATGCGACCTGATCCGTGGTGGTGCAGGGGATGGTGTAGCCTCCCTGTCCGTCGGATTTGCTGCCCTTGATCTTGGCGTGCAGAGCATCGGCGTCGCTTTGGGGTGCGACGATGAGCGTGGTACCCGTGTCCAAGATCGCCGTCCTGCCGGATAGACCGAGATCATTGCCCGAGACGGAGATTTGGTCGATAGCGGCTTCCCAGAAGCCTTTGGTCGAGACGTTGTCGATCTCGGTGATGTTTCCGGTGTACTTGGCAGGATCCACACCGCCAAAGGTGACCTCGCCGTCGTTGTAGCCGTCTGCAACGCGTCCGAGGTGGTATCCCATGACGGGGGCTTGAACTTTTCCCTCCTTGTACAGCGCATCGATGGGTGTAGGCTGACCGGCGTTGGAGAGCTCGCTTCTAGCGAGACCCATGAGACCGTCGAAGGGAACAGTGTCGTCTGCGAAGTCCGACGATTCTTGCGTGGAAACTGCGAACGTGTAGTTGGTGAGAGCAAGACCAGCGATCTCGATATTGTCGGTTGCCAGGTTTCCCGACACATCGCCTGTTCCGTACTGGATGGAGAATGGGGTGGAGAGGGTCTTGAACGAGTCCGAGTTGGAGGTTCCGAGCTGCGTGTGCGAGCTGCCGCAGGCTTGGCATGCCGTGCTCGGGACCCAGGTGTCGGCAGAACCCGAATCGATCAGCATCCGGAACGTCTGGTTCTGAGAACCGATCTCGATGGTCGCTACGTAACCGATGTCGTTGGATTCGATGTCCAGGCCGAGGCTTTGGACTGCGGTGGGGGCAGAAGCGTTGGTGAGCTTGTCTGATTGAGAGGCAACGTTGGAGATGTCGGGGTATCCCTGTCCGGCAACTTTCTGGATGGTCATTTTAGCTTTCGATCCGGACTCGAGGCCCGTTCGACCAAAGAGATCGTCCATAATGTTGGAGAGGAACCGACGTTGCATGTCACCACCGGACTCGGTATGGGTGGTGTAGCCTTGACGAGGGTTGGTGTGACGGCCGGCACGGCGGTCGAGCTCTGACTCGTCGGAGAGCAGACCGCGACGTGTGAGGATGCTGACCTTGCGTCGTTCGAGCGCCTGTTGCATCTCTTCGGACGTGGGGGCGGTCCGACCGAGGATCGAAGCGAGCTTGGAGTTGGCTCGGTTGATGTGTCGTTGGTAGAGCTGCGTTGTGGAGATGAATGAAAGGTGGATTCAAAGTCAGTCACGGGGTTGTGCTTCTCTTATTAGAAGGGAGTAACTGGACACTCACCATCAATGGGTTGCTGTCTTGATTACGTTCCAGCCGTTTGAGCTGCACCTTCATGCCCACTCTCCCGTTTGCAGTCTCGAACGCTGATCCGCTCGATTGAGCGCCGCCAGAAGTGATTGTATTGAGAGGAGCGGTGCTGCTCTTCATGCTCGCCGTCGAGCCGCTCGTTACTACGATTCCCACACGAGGTTTTCTGGAGCGTGTCTCCAAGGCCGAAGCCCGCGAATTTGCGTATAGCGGTGCGCCAGACGCCACCGGCCAGGAGCTGGCTGTGTCAGAGTGCACATGGTCGAGGAGAGCATTCAAGTTGAAGGCTCCGATGGACAATAGCGCAAGGAGAAGGGTGAGGAAGCGGGTTGAGAACTTCTTCATGGCTGAGCGGGCTCGAGACGAGGGCTTAGTTCGATAGTTGATGGGGTCTCGCTTCGAAAAAAGGGCGCTACTGCTGACGAGTTGTCGTTGTCGAGAAGCCGAGGGAGATTACGGTATGCTTGAGCCTGCAACGAGAGAGATATGCGAATGCTTGCTTGAGCTGAAGAGGTCGAGCGTCCCTCGTGAGTCGATGCTTTTGTCAGCCGATGCTGTTCCTACGCATGCTTCAGAATCGTGGGTAGTACTTACGTCCGGCCTCTGTGTTCCAGAAAGAGTGTATATCGAGCCAAAAAGAGTGTGTCGAGAAAGGAATGTATGTGCGATACCAGACCGGCCAGAACCAAAGGAAAGGGGTGAAGAAGTCAAGAAGGTGCTCCAAAGAAGATCGCCAGGATCAACAATAGCAGCAAGTGGAGTAAAGAAAGGGGTCTAGAGACGGAAACGAAACGAAACGAAAGGGGGATAGAAGAAGTATGAAGGGATTGGAACCAGCCGGTGGTATGGAGGGAGGGAGGATAGATTCAAGAATCTGGAGTAGTGAAGAGATCGTTGCGACAGGACGGGCTTGTGCCTCTGTATGGAAGCACGCGGCAGCGGAGAAAGGCTGGCTGGGCCTTCTCGCAGCCGGCTCAAAGTCTCGAACAAGGTCGCATCTGTCTCAGATCTTTGTGGGCTACGGTCAGCGTCATGGTGACGTCTAGCTGTGTTCATGAAAACTCTGCTGTCTTTGGGTACTGGCTCGATGAAGAATGGCGATCAATCCTGGCTATCCACATGTCTATGTCTTTTGTCCAGGCAAAAGGTCGTCTGGGGATGTTCAGTTCTGCCGACGGGCACCGCTTGACATCTTGCACGCTCCGGAGGCGAGGCCTTTGCAATCGAGTAGCAGGCCATGTCGAAAAATGCGAAGCCGCTTGACGGCCTAGCTACTCGATGTCCAGTTGGGGAAAGCTGGGTACAGCCAATTTTGACAGGCTGGAGAAATCAGCGTGAAGCGACCAGGTAGGAAAGATTAGGAAAGATTCCCGAATTGATATGACACGTCCAACAAGGCGCGACGGTTCATGCAACCTTCACCCCCAATTGGTCAGGCCCCTTGGCGCCTCGGCGTTGGTCAAGAGTCTAAGCAGCTGCGAACCTCGGGTCACTGGTCGCTATGATGTGGACCGATGGGCAATGCACGCTCATAGTGCTGTTTGACGGTGGAAGAGTGAACATGTCGAGGGACGATGAGCTGAATCGCCTCCCGATTTCGATGCCGTCAAGGCGTTGCCCGATGATATCAAGTGGAGGAAGGGCCAAAAAATAACGTGCATGGCGAACGTGCCATCCTCTTGAGCGTCCACGTTTCACTTCCTTCTCGACTCACTTTCTATCATTCATTCTACAACTTTTGCTAGCGCTCAATCCTGCACAATCACACGAAAGGTAGCGATGGTCGAACACGTAGCGCTCTACATTCTCTCTGGCTCGAGTGTTAAAGGTCAAGCCGTACTGGACAACATCCGATCGAGCGACTTTATCGACGAGATCAACAGCGGCGAAGGACCAAGAGAAGAATGCGGGCTGTATAAGCTGATCCAGCTCGTTCAGCCGTCAAACTCATCTGTCAAGTTGAGCTCAGAGAAGGACGTACTCGAATATCACGACAGGCTGGTCAAAGGTGAAGAAACAGCAAAAGCGGACGGAGAGGATGCTAAGTGGAACACCAATTGCATTCTAATCGCCGACAAGGAAAAAGATGACCTGGTCCTTATAGTGGAGATCTCGAAGGGCAAGAAGACTGGGGACACGTTGAAGGCGAGGGCGAGGTCATCCGTCGAGGTAGTGAGTCTTCTCCGCAGCGGCTTGCTCGCTTGATATGAGATGAGACTAACCGAATTCTATTCCCAAACAGGCCTCCAACGTCTCGATCGCCAACATGTCGCTTCAAGAGGTAAGTCAATTGATCGCTTTCAACCGCTCAACTTCATCTCGATCACTGACATCACGTCTCTTCTCATCGTCCCTGACGATCGACCACAGTACAAGGACATGAGCGGTGGGGCCGACGTGTACGATGCTGGACAATAGGTGCATAAACCTCAATCAAACGTCAAACACACAGAAGTGACAATTGTTTGCATGGGGGACATTGGCTCCCCGCGAAACGTTGGCGTCTGTTGCATCAATCGCTATCATCCAGCAAGCTCTTCTTAGACTTGGTCGACGAGTAAGAGGCAGACCTTGAGCCCATCCGCGGTCTCTTTGGCAGCTCAGGCGGCGCAGGCGACGATGACAGTACGGACGCCTGCACAGCTGTGCCGCTGCCGTTCGCGCCGGACGACACTGCGGGAGGCTTGCTTGGAATCGGAGGCGGAGCAGAGCGTCCATTGGCAAGCGATGCTGGCCCTGACGCGATTCTCCTTTCGACGGTCGGCGACGTGGAGATTGTCTTGCGCAGAGGAGCCCCGGGAGTTGGGACAGCTTCTGTGGACCGAGACGCAATGGTGGGTGAGACCGGCGTCGAGCTGACGCTTGAGCGGTCCAAAAGCTCCTTGTTCCTGGCTGACGAAGTCCCATCTCGCGCCTCGTCCGTGGCAGAGAAGATTTGCTTCGATCCTCCTGCGCCGTCTTTGCGGAAAGGATTCATCTCATCCACGCCTCCATCCTCGCTACCGTCGTCTTCGTCAGCAGATCCTGGCTGGTTCCACCACTGCTGATGGTCATCTGAGGGGTCAGGAAGACTCGAGTCATCTGCCGATTCGTCGGACGACACATCAGCTCCTCCTACGATACCATCGGTGGCCTTCTTCTCCAGCAGAAGCTGCTTTCGTATTGTGTCTCGCTTGAGATGGTCGACGATGCGGACAGGTCCAACAAACGAAGCGTACACTGGCCTGTGATCGCTCGTCTTGAGCTCGGCTCTAGCATAGCCTAGCTGACGCAGCCCAAGTCCACGATAGAGGATGCGGTCGGTCCATGCCGGGATGCGCTGCTTTTCCGAAGAGTCGTACTGATCCGAGCCATTATCGTACTTGTATGTGGGCGCAAAAGTGATGGGACCTTCTTGGTAGCCAGGGAAGACTTCGCCGGCGTCTTTGCTGCGACGAAGCTGGTCTCGCGAGTAGAGTCCACCAAGATCCTCTCGTGCCACCATGGAGCGGACAGCGTCGTTGGTCAGATCGATGCGGTAGTTGAAATCGCCGAGCCAGATGACATGGTCGTGGTTGCCGACCGTTTTGCCGCGTGCGAAGGATAGACCGCGGGTGATGGTCCAGTAATCGGCGTTCCTCTCTTCCCACGCCGAATGTCCGGCAGCCAAGTGGGCTGTCACAAAGCATAATGCTGTATCGTAATAGTCCATGCGGATCGCCACACCGCCCTTGTTGCCGCTCATTCCCTTCAAACCAGTCTTGCGTGTTGCTGCTTCGACCAGCCTCACATCGTTGACAAGCTCCTCTTTGATCAGAATCACGAGAGCCGTTCCTACGAGCTGTTCGCTGCGCAGTAGAATGTAGCGCGAGCGTCCGCCCCGCCTGCGCGCGATCGTGTCCATGATCTTGGCCTCCCACGTACGGATTTTGTCAGGATCGGTCATGAGGATCTGCTGAGGCGTCAACTGCACAATCTCCTGAAAACCGATGGCAAAGATGTCCGGCTCGCGATCCTCGCCGTCTGGGAAGAGCCAGGGAATGAGCGACTCGCCGGGCGCTTTGCCGTTGAGGTTGTACGTGCCAACGTGAATTGTGATGTCCCGGCTGGAAGAATACTCGTCGACCCTAGCATTCAGCTCTGCGGTGACGCTATCGAGGACGGGGTCAAATACGGTGACGGGCCTTTGATTTGCCATGTTGCCGAGCAGCGCATCGATGACATTCTGCTTGTTCTTGTCCTGGAAGTTGTTGATGTACATCCTGCCTGCGCTTTTCGCGGCGTCGCTGAGGAGGCCGCCGAGCGTCTTCTTTCCGGTCCTGGTGAAGCTTGTGTTGAGCGCGCCTGTTCCCGCATAGATCTTGGAGAGTGCGTCGCCGTTCTCTGCCCAGAGCACACGATGCGAGACCCAAATGGGATGATGAGGGTCCTGGAACGACACGTAAGAAGGATCGCGACTGGCTGCAGATTCGAAGAAGGTGTCGAGCATGGAACGCGAGAGCATATCCTCGACGACGTTGGTGCGGTCCAAGCAATCGAGGCAGTTTGTTCGGAAGACGCCCTTCTGGCGTCGAAGCAACTTGCCCGTCGCGCCATCGATGAGCGAGTAGCCGAACGCTTTGCGCTTGAGCTGCACAGGACCGAGATAGCGGAGCTCGCTACGGACGCCGTCGATTCCTCCCGTGTTGCGAGAGACCGTGTGGAAGTCGAAATTGGTCAGGCCAAGGCGCTCGGATCCGTCGTCCAGCACAACGTCGCCCTGAACACAGGTCGACTCGTCCGATGGCAGGATTGCGATCTTTTCTGCTGCACTATTTCGCATGTGTTCTGCGTAGGCCGACGTGAGGACCGTCTCTGCATCACGAATGCCGAGGAGATTGATGGCGTGGATGCGGGAGTAGTGCGAGATCAGGTCGGCAAAATGGCGGTCGAAGGCTGGCTGCGAGGCACCGCGTGAGCGAGTGATCTGAATCTTGGCATTGAAGGCTTGAAGACCCTGCTGCTCCCAGAAGAGAGGAACCGAGCCGCGGACTTGATGGTAGGTGAACGTGGCGTTGCCGTCGCTGAAGAGCGTCTCGGTCTCTACGAAGTTGGCGACATTGCCATCATCGTCAACGCCGCGTGTGTTGAAGCGTGTCCCTGCCCTCTTCCAGCTGAGACGACTGATCAAAGCTAATGTTGCCGTTGCCTTTGCAGCCGTGGCTGCTGAATACGAAGAAGTAGCGCCATCGGCAGCTGTCGAACCAGGAACCGCGGATTGCGTCGCTTGGAAGGCGCCGACGAATCCCTGAATGGCCAAGAGCAGGAAGCAACCACTGTCAATCCTGGCTCGATCTGCTTTGTCGAGACGTTCGCGAAAGCTAATGAGCGGTTCGATCATATAGTTGTTCCATACGAAGCGGCCGTCGTAATGCGAGATGTCGTGACCCAGCTTTTGGCCTGATTTCGCACCGGCAAGACGCTGGTCGAGTCGTGTCGAAAGGTCGAAGGTGCCGCCCTGCGCAAAGTAGAAGGTTCCTGTGCTCAGAAGCTTCTTTAAGCTAGTGCATGGATGCTCGTATACGCTTGGCTGTGTGACGGCCCCCTCGTGGCCTGGTCCGTATGATTCGTATGTCTCTGGTTGCGAGCCTGGAGCTTCCGAGATGAGCGTATCGTCCCATGTCGAGCGGTTGACGCAGTAGAAGGAGACGGCGGTGATGCGCATCACCGTCTCGCCGGGTCGAATAGCTCCAACCTCTTGGGCTGCCTTAACGACAGCCACAAACAGGTCTTGGCCAACATTGATGAGACCGAGGCATCCGTATATTGGCTTTGTAGTCAGTCTCTGCAGGTTAAGGGCTTGTATCTCCTCCTCCTTGACCACCTCTACCACCGCCTTGGCGGTCGGGGCCGCATTGGCTGCGGTGGAGCCTGTTAGTGCGGAAGCATTGTCGTTCGTCGCTGCGGCCGCCTGCGTCGAGACGAGGATTGCCGTGGCAGAAGCGAGCTTTTCGGACGCATGGCCGACGATGTTTGTCTCGTTGTCATCTGAGACGAGTGCGATCACTCGCGGCGCATCCTGCAAGTAGACGTGCATGGCATGTTCCTTCTTCGCCGTCCTGCCCACTTTCGATGTCTAGGGACAGTCTATAGCCGGAGCAGTGATACTTGCACAAAATAATCTCTTTCCATCCCTTGCGATGCTGATGCTTCGTGATTTCGTGCTGGGTAGAAGCTGCGGAAGGACGAATGTCTGTGGTGATGGTCGGAAAGAGAGAGGGGGAGGAAGAGGCACCTCTATCCCGTGCCTGGCTACATGCATGTTTGTGGAGGTTGGCCGCGGCGGGTCTTCCGACGCGGTGCAAATCACCATCACGATTCCGAAACCAACGCATGGACCCTGAACCGACAGTCTCGTCCTGTTCCACTGCTCCTGAAGCTCGTCCTACAACACAGTCGGCGTTGCTTCCGCCACAGTCCAATCCGAGCTCTCGCAATATCGCAGTGGCAATGCTCCGAAGCTGAACGCTTTTCGCATCGAAGGAGTCTGTTGGTTCAAGTTTTGATTCAAAAGCAATCCTTTGAATTCTGCGGCTCATGTCACCTCTAGGAGCGCTGCTTGACCGTGCCTAGCATGGCAGCACCCAATAGCGACGGGGGACCTCGGAAGAAGGTCCGAGCCTTCTCCCCTACCGCGGCAACAATGTCTCGAACGGACCCGAGCAGCGTTCTTCCGCCAGAGACTTTCTCATACCTTCTCAGCTTCCTAGAACCGTCAGCACTCACACGGTGTGCTCGCGTGAGCCGCGCATGGAACAGCATCTGCACTGATGAGGCCGTCTGGCGCTATCTCGCCGTTCAATTCGGCTACTGCCAGTCGGAACGTGCCGCTCAAGAGGCGTCGGTCGGCATCCGAGTAGTGGGCAGTGTCTTGCAGCAGTACGACCATTCCGCCGAGCAAGCACAGTCGCATGACCTGTTGCAAGCCACAATACAAAGGTACCGATCGAGGAACACCACCGCTTACTTTGATGACTGCGGAACCTGGCGTTCGTTATGCTGTCTGCTATGGCGTCTCGAATGTAACTGGTCGGGAACGGATCCGATCGGTCTCCCGACGACCGGCTCGAATCCCGACGACGACGGACACGCCGAAGCAACCTCTGGAACTGCCGAGGCGCTTCCATATCTGCTGCCACATCATCGTCTTCTACACGAAAAGACATGCGGTGCTGGAGTCTGGAGGTGCAAGATCGATCCGGAGGAGCGTACTTACATCGTCACGGGCCAAAATGGTGGCATCCAGGTATTCGATCACTCCACCAACACCCTCCTTTGGCACATCGCACGGACGGCGACGAGACCGAGCCCGCATCTCGAGTTCTCGCGCGGCTGGATGATCTTTGACCGTCCGGGCATCGGTCACTTTGAAGTGTGGCGTCGCGAAAGTCTGGTCCCCGACCTCGGACGTGCTCCAGACCGAGGTCACTATCAGCGTTTCACGATCCTCAGCTCCACGCGGCCTATTCGAGCGTACCGCTTCCAGTTCCCGTACCTGTGCGCTGCGAGCCAGGATGGTTTCATTCTGATCTGGGACGTACCACGGCAGGAGCTTGTGGAGACGATCGATTTTCGAAACTCACCGCATCGAGGAGGCAACATCAACTATATTGACTTTGACAACCAGTTTGTCTTTCTCAACGGGCTAGGAGCAAAGTCGGTCTCGGTGTTTTCGCGTCGCACCAAGAGCTTGGTGTGGAACCTCAGCCAGCATTTTGCATCTGGTCAGCCGCCGCCTACGACTTGGCGTCTGAAGCAACCTGCAGCGTCAACCTCGCCACAATCTGCCTTCGTTCGACAGCAACTGGTGAAAGCGCCTCCAAACCTTTGGCAGGCCGGCCCGAATAGCATGAATTGGGCCCAGCTAACCATGACGCCGTACCAGATTTGGTCTGCCGTACATCCGGACCTCAAGACCAAGACGTTGCTGATCCTCGGCCAAGGCACGGTGTTACTGATCAGAGACTACCAGAAATTCTTCAACCATCCTGACAAGCCTCCGGAGCTCTTGGTCGAGATCGAGTTCGAGAATCTGGAAGAATACTATCAGCAGCGCGTCGTGGGGGGTGTCGAGGAGGACCTGTCGGATCTGGGATGGAACAACCCTCGTATGTGGGAGACACTGGGCGATGCACAGTTGACAGTGCACGAAGGCAAAGCTGTCATTGTCAATGATCGCGCGCTGATCCTTGACCTCACTGCGGGAGCGTCAGCGACGCCAGACGACGGTCGAGGCGACGTAGCCGCTGTGCAGAGCACGAAGCAGCATTGCGAAGACGTGCCTGGCTCTCGAAGCTCGTCAGACGATGGATCGACGCAGGCAGAGCAGACTCGGGACGCTGATGCCGATGCGGGCTCTGGTCAGAAACCCGCCCCTCCGATCTCAGTGTTTTGCGAGGCCAATCGGCCTGTACGTGACTCGTACCGACAATGCAGCAGCCTTCAGATGGACGAGGTGGGAGTGTACATGACCGCTGACAGGGATGCGTTCGGCGAGATGCACTGGGGTGGCGTACTCGACACTCTGAGCGACGGAAAGCGTATCCTTCTGCACCTGGACTTTTCTTAACGAGCCCGGTCTACTGAAGACACTTCGGAAGAGATTTCAGAGCAGATTCCTGATTCGGCGGACATGATCTCCGACGATTGAATCACTCGTAGCTGCGACGACGATGCCAGTGTCACAATTCACTGTTACCCGATTTGTGTGGACGTAGTTGACTGTGCTTTGCGAGGATCTGTGATTTCGAGCGGACAAGCTAATGTACAATGCCTCTATCCCCCGTGTGAGGATGTGGCGATGGGAAAATGCGTGTTGAAGGTTTAAGAGGGTGAAGTGTGGCGCTCATCTAGTGTTCCAAGAATCGAACGTCGCCGCGCTTTGGTTCTGCAATATCGGATCGAGGATGGAGAGAAGGAGGGAGTCAGACCATGTCAGAACGACGCTCTTATGAGCAGCAACAATCGTGCTTATACTCACTGACGATGGGATGCAATTGCGCCATGTAGATGATGAACCACATGAGGTACATGCAGGTCAACGCAAGCGTTACCGATGTTCGGATCAATCTGTTGGGGGTCGTCGAAGCCACAACAAAACACAGCCGAGTGTCAGCATCGTAGATCCTGTCCTGGATTTCTGAAGTCAATCGAGCTTACACTTGATTTGGTCCCTTGGGCGTTGTGACCCAGACGGCGCTGCTCGCACCAGCAGCGATGAGAAACACCCAGACGGTCGTCCAGCCCGACATTGTTCGACTATGCTACTGTGGTGTGTGAACGTCTTCACCTGCTGGTCAGCTTTTGCTGTGCTAAAGAGATGTCGTTCAACGAAGTCGCGAGCGGGTGTGAGAAGCCCTTGCAAGATAGAGTGCGAGCGGAAGATAGAGATGATGCTGGTGTGTGACAGGGGTCCCATGAGCGTGCATGCGGCTCCAAAAAGCTGCAGCTTGCTAAAATGCATCGGGGCCCGATTTGCGCCTGGCTTGTGCGTAAGCTTTCGGTTGCTCAGCGCGGGAATTCGCTGCACGCATACGTAGCGTCGGTGAGCTCTTCCACCGAAGATGCGCCGCCCTTTCGTGGAGGTTGCTGCGCATCTTCTTCCTCGCTCTCTTCCTCTTCTCGCCCCTCTCTTTCCTCCCTTGCTCTTACATACCGTCTCTGCTACTCAGTCTTCGTACAAACTCTTCGCAGAATGGCATCTCAATCGCACCTCGGCAGCGCCGACAACGTCAACATTCCCTACAGCACGCCCAGCACGCCTCATCCGCAGCATCAGGTAGGATGGATTGGCCTGGGAAACATGGGCATCAAGATGGCAGCCAACTTGGCTAAGCACATGCGCGAAATGTCCCCACCCTTGCCGCCGCTTCTCGTGTACAACCGTACCGTATCGAAGGCGCAGGCTCTAGAAAAGGAGCTGGACGGGCTCGTCAAGGCTGTAGACTCGGTCGAGGCCATCGGCACACGTTGCGATCTCATCTTTACCAGCTTGTCAGACGACGATGCTGCCGAACAAATCTACGAAGCTCTCTTGCAAGCTGAAGAGAAACGTGTGGGAAAGCATGCCCAGGAGCGGATCTCCTCTGGCTTCTCCACGCTTCTCATCGACACCAGCACGCTTTACCCCGCTACGACGGGTAAGCTGGAACGCAAAATCTCGGCGCTCCCCAAACGTCACTTTGTCGCTGCACCTGCCTTCGGTCCTCCACCCATGGCAGCCACCGCGAAATTGGTGTTCGCCGTCGCAGGGCCCTACAACTCGAAGAAATTCGCCTCGCAATTCCTCGTTCCCGCCATGGGTAGGAAGATCATGGACTTCGGCTCCAACCCCGAACGCGCAGCGAGCTTCAAACTCATCGGCAACTCCATCATCGTTTCCACGATCGAAATGCTCAGCGAAACGATGACGTTGGCGGAAAAGACAGGTGTCGGCAGCGATCGCGTCTACGAATGGCTCGAAGAGTTCTACCCAGCACCATCTGCTCTCGGTTACGGAAAGAAGATCCTCGACAGCAACTTTCAAGGCGAGAACGGATTTACGCTTAACGGGGGGATCAAGGATGCGAGTCACATCATCAAGCTGGGAGAGTCGGTAGACTGTCCTCTACCCATCATTGAGTTGGCCAGGCAGCACATGGTCTCGGCAAGGGCGATTGGCGGCGCTAACCTGGATTGGAGCTCGCTGAGCGCTGGCTTCAGGGTGACCGCCGGTGTGGAACCATTCGAGAAGAAGGAGATGTTGAAGAAGTGGGCAAAGACCGAGAAGGACGGTGGATCGTCTTCTTGAAACGCTGGATCTGCAGGGCATACCGTGCAACTCGGTCTATTACTCCAAGCAATGAAAAATCCTTCAGACTGTTGTATTGTAGCGAATGGTATTGATTCGTGGAGCTGGAATGACAGCAAGAGCGTGCAGAACGCGAACAGCTAAATGTACATGAGGAGACAGAATTGGAAAGGTGAACGAAAACATGCTAAAGTCGAGGGTGAGCGAGGTCGCACCTTCTCAAGCCGCAGTAGGTGCCAACTGCGTGGCCTGCGTTGCCGGTGCGGAAGCGTTCCAGAGCTTGTCCTTGGCGCTGACCTTGATATCGCCATAGGCCTCATCCTGTTGCAGCTTGACGCAGTCCTTGGTACCGAGCACGAGCATCTCGAAGAAGAATCCTGCTGCAGCACGACGCGAAGCGTTGGTCGAGATCTTTGCGAAAGACAGCTTCTTCTCTTCCGTCTCTTGGTCGACTTCGACGAATCGCGATTGCGTCTGCGTCTGTGCAGTCTCGTCGTCATCAGCGATGGCGGATTCGGCAGAGAGTTGCGATCGGACGACGCGCAAAGCACGGACGGTGCTCTTGGCCCAACCCTTTGTGGAGGCTTCTGCGTCCTCCGATGCCCGCAGTTGCGATGCTGCTGCCTGCTCGCCTGCTGTTGCCGACTCCTCGGTGGGTCGCACATCAAACACGCCGAGTGGGTTGGTGGAGCTCACAGCGAGCGAGTCGAGTCCGCCGTCGTCGATCTCGGGTGTCGACATGCGCGACAGAGCGGGCAAACGACCCGTTACATCGCCTTCCGCGTCCGCCTCCATTTCCGCACGCGACTTGCGCGAAGATCGGCGCAGACCATCGTCGCCAAAGTCAAGACCTTCAGCAGGTGGCAGGTCGAACGCGCCATCGCCACCCATGCTGAAGTCGAAACCGGATTGGTCCTGGTCCATGTCACCGAAGCCAACAGATTCGCGCTGCCCTTGTGCGCGGCGGGCGACACCCATATCTTCGTAGTACTCGTCACCAAGACGGGCGCGCTTGTTGGGGCTGTCGTCGTCGCCGAGCGCAGCCGCGCGTCGGCGTCGCATGGCACCGAGATCGAACGTGAAAAGCTCGCTGAGCTCCGAGGCAAGTCCATTGGGTCCGATAAATTGCGAGCTTTTGTCCTTGTTCGAAGGGTCTGCGAATGGCATAAAGTGCGAGAAGGGGTCTTCGCGGATGGTGAGCAGGCGCAGGTAGGCTCGCGATCGTGGGAGGTAGCGCTCTTCTGTCAAGATGTCCGAGAGATTGGCGGCCTGACCGACAGCGCCTTGGCTGAGGCCTTGGCTGAGGCCACCGAGCTGCGTCTCGGGCAGCTCAGTGAGCGCATCGACGATCTGTTTGCGGGCCTTGGCCTGTCGCGTAGCAGCCTCGTCCTGCTGGCGCTGCTGAGCGACGTCACGAATGCGCGCCGCTGTTCTCGGTGTCATGTCGGCCATTGCGAGCGCCATGCTGTTGTCGCCGGGAGGAGGCGTCGTCTGACGATCGATGTCCATGGGTGCGTCGAGGCCGAGATCGAGCCCGTCATTGTCCAGTCCGAGGTCGAGTCCGTCTCCGCCAAGATCAAAGTCGGGCATGCCGACGCTGGGAGCCTGCGATCCACCTGCCGAGCCAAGAGTGATGTCGTTGTCCATGCCGAGATTGAGCATCGATGCGACAGATTGGCGACCAGCTTCGCTGGGTGCGTCACGACCTACGCCGATGCTGAGTGAGTCGTCCTCCGGAAGCGGATCGCCGTTCTCATCGACTAGCTGACCAGCGTCGTTCCTGCGACCTTCGACCTCGGGGAAGTCGTCTTCGAGACCGAGATCCAATCCACCATCGGGATCAAAGTCTTGTGATGCAATACCATCGATGCCAGACGAGACGTCGAATGTATCGTCGAAGGCACTATAGTCCACGGTGGGAAGGGTGATGTCGGCGGCGCGAGCGGTGTGTGCGGTGGGGTTGTCGGCGAGCTTCTTAGCTTTTTTGGCCGCAAGCTTTTCAAAGTCAATATCATAGTCGTTCATTGCCTGGTCTGGCAGCAAGATGTCGAGATCGGTGCGGATGTCAGGAAGCGTGATGGCGTTTCTGGAGATGTTGAGCTGGTCGCTGGTCATATCGACGGCACCGGAGCGGAAGGCCATTTTGATCTTTAGCAGGGCCTCGTTGCAGTCCTCGAGGAGGTACTTGGCTTTGCGAGAGTAGATGCGTACGACACCGAGCAGCAGCTGACCAGAAAGACGCAGCGCCATAGGGACGACCTCTTGGCCCATGATGGCGCTGACACTCTTTTCGATGCTGGTCTGGAGAAACTGCGTTTTGCTGAGCTTGCGCTCCCAGTGAGCAGCGAGCCAGACACGAGCCAGCGGCCCGCGCTTGGCAAGGATGACGTCGCTGTAAAACATGATCACGGAGCTATCGAGTGGCGGCCAAGGGTATCTTGCTAGTCAACGCGCCCGAGATCCTCGTGGAACAGATGCTGTCAAAATTTGTGGGCGTCCACGTACAAACAGAGACTCAAGCGCCGATGGTGCGCTCTACCTCGTCAGCAGTGATGTTGCACGCGAAAGTTCCTAGCAATAGGGCGAGTGACTGAGTATTAGCGTCAAGGGAGTGTGCTTCGGACACGTCGGCGCTGCTGCTTGGGCTGAGTCGATGACGGGGCAATATTGATAGTGTTCGCCTGCACTTGGGGTGTCGATCCGGCGTGACGATAGGAACAGGGCCGATGATGGCGAGGTGGAAAGGGCGTCCAAGATGGTTGAAAGGACGGAAGGATGAGTCAATGGTCCGATCAAGTGAATGGATGGATGGAAGACTGCCGACACGCACAGCAGGAAATGCGAGGGCCCCTGCAAATGCGGATGCGGATGCATCCGAAATATTGCACGACACGAGAACAGGCGTGAAGCGCGGAGCTGAACGCGTTTTCCCACGAAAGAGTGCGCAGAGGCTGCTCGGCCCAAATCGTCACTAAACTTCTACTTTCAACGCCCCGATGTCTCAGCGACAATTTCGGAGGAGCCGCGTCCAGCTACTCAACGCGACGGAGCGCAGAATGAAGAACGCGGCTTCTCGATTTCGCCCTTCGTCGGCTGTTGGGGCGCACACTGCTTGAACAGATCATCATGCTCTGCAACGGCGGTCTTATTGCTCTTGACCTCGACGAGGCCAGCGCACGAAGCAAGATGCATCCCAAATCTCGAGAATTTGCTCAGGCTCAAGCTCAGGCTCAGGTTCACGCTCAGGCTCAACGGTTGTTGTACACACAAAGCGAGCCAGCCGATGGTTCTGTGGAGTTCTCACGGTCAAGGTGGAAAGGCTCCTCGGCTGGCACTGCGGAACCTTGTCAAGCTCAGATCAAAGGAATCGATCCGGTGTTCAGGCTTGAACGCGAGCAAATCGCGCTTGTGGATGACGAGGGAAAGATTGTCCTGGTATGCATTGTTCTTGAACACAGCATGCTGATGGCAGATTGCAAATGACTAGGCTTTCTGCGTTTTGGCTCGATCGATGTTGCGCTCGTGCGTCTTTTGGGTATGATACGAACTAATGGGGTTTTGTGCACCAGCTCGGGCCCTGCTCATGTTGCGCGAGAGCAGTGTTTCCGTCGGCAGATCCGGCATGGGTCCCATGGGACGAGACGGCATGGAAGCACGGGGGCTAGTTCTGTCGACGCGAGAGTGTGATCCTCGCGGCTCTCTGGCAAGCTTCGGTCCGCCGTCCGTCTTACTGTAGCTCTGACGGTCGCGGTACGATCTGCTACGATCCGGGTCAGCCGGTCCTATCTTCGTCCGACCAGCGTCCTGAGAAGCGCGCAGCTGGGGCGAGACTGGCGTTGGTCCTGACCGTCTCTGTTTCGCTGTCGAGGCGATCGGCAGATATCTGGTGTCAAGCGGGGTCTCAGCTTCCGCCGGTGCCAGAGCTGAGATGATGACGCGGTCGGGTCCAGATCCGCGCACCGCCTGGAAGCCGTCAGCCTGCGACGTCTTACCAAGGGGATACGAGCCTCCTTTGGCCGATCGGTAGTTGCCGAGACGCGGACGGAGCTCCTCCTTGTTCTGCAAGGTAGCCGTGGACGAGTTCCAATTGCGCTCTTCGAGCTCTGCTTTCCAAGCGGTGCGTGTGTTCTTCGACTTGCTCGGCTTTGCCGAGGGCCGAGGTAAAGGAGGCCGTACGGACGAGTCCGAACTGCTGCGTGCCTCGTCATGCTTGGGTTTGCCGAGGATCTCCCTGCGCAGTGAGTGGGTGGGTGTGTTGAACGCGACCTTTCGAGGAACGCGAGGTTCATGTTTGTTTTTGTCCTTCGATGCGTTTCCGTTCACGGCATCCGAGGAGGTCTCGGTATGAGATGAGCGCATCGAGGTCATGGAAGGTCGCCCATCTGCTCGTGGTCGCTCCCTCGACGTCTCGGCCTGCTTGCGGCCTGTCGATTCCGGGAAGTACTCTGCGTGGTCGCCCCTGGCATCGCCGCGACTCCTATCCATTGAACGATATGGTTTGACAGGCGCTTGTGACTGATTTGCAAATGACGATGTCGTGCGCTGATGCGGCCTTGTCGTTGCTGGTGGTCGGGAATGGGACTGCGGCGCCGGTGGGCGACTCTCGTTGAAAGAACGCTTGGGATCTTCGGGTTGAGTCTCGCCTGTAAGATCGACGCTACCGAGTCCCAGCAGCACCGAGAAGAAGCCCGTGCTTTCCTTTGCTTTTGCTTGTGTCATGATGGCAGATGACACGACGATGGCTACCGAAACATGTGTGAGTTGCCTATAGCGCGGTCGCTGGTCGACCTTTCGACCTGCCCTCGTCGTTGCGGGGGTAGCGCAAGCAATTCAGAGGTGGTGGTGCAGAGGCGTTTGAGGGTAGAGGTGGAAGATGGACGATGAGACGCTGGTTCACAGCTTCGGCCCTGACCACGGGCGAGTCTCGGAGCGGCCAGGCAAAGGTGGTTTGAAGCGATCGATCAGAACTCAAGCCCACGTTCCCATTCAGCAAAATCAATCAGGAAGAAATCTCCGCAAATCTCAGGTGAGGACAATCGAATCCAGGCGTTCTGCATGAAGCACATTTCGTAAGACCCTGGCCAGATCCTTGCTAAACGAAGCCTCTCGCCTACGAGGCGTCCTGAGTTCTTGGCGACAAGATACAGCAGCACAGCCGAGACGGCTGGTCGTTTGGCGACTAAGAACAGAAATGCGGCTTTCCCCGCACAGATGATGCCGTTGCGCGCCTTCTTTCGTGCTGGGATCGTTCGTGACACCGTCGACGGCTTGCAGATGAAATCAAAAGCGCAGGTGGGTGCAGCAAAATCTCGTGTCAATTAACGAGTTGGTTCGTAATTCTTGCTCGGCCCGGCGGCCCTGAAAAACACTCTCGAAATGAAAGCACGACGGACGTCGCTTATGTCAATAACTGTATGAACTGTCCCTGGCTCGTCGATGACTTCAGCCTGGGTCACCAAGGGCAGTAGCGAGTCCCCGTTTCATGGGCCCCATTCCGCTTGGCTTTGGTCATTCCGATCCCACACTCGGCGGTGACTGATCGTGTCGAAGGGCAAGCTCGGCTAGGGTAATTTGGCCGGCACGGCACAGCGAACAGGGGCTGCGAGAGAGGGCTGATACGATTTGCGTCTGGTATTCAGTCTTCAACAAGATGTGACCTCGAGGTCGCGACTCTTGGCGTCCGAGCTAAGCTGGGGAAATGAATTCCCTGCGGGGTGACGCAAGCGGTTGATCTCGCGATTGTGTGGCGGCTAGGCCATCGGGATCGCGACTTTGTCGGTTTTCGAAGGGTTCCCTTCTTTTTTCGTCCGAAGAAGGTGGTCGAGCGATTTTTCAACCATGGCGGACCTCGGAGACCACGGTCTAACAAGCAGCGCGACTCATCTGTCTTGCCACCTCTTCTCTTTCCTCTCTCCATCTTTGCAATCGTGGGCCGGTGTCGAAAATGGACCTGCTAGGCAGGCCCATACCTCGGAGCGGTGGCGCGACCCCGAAACCCAGGGGTGAGGAAAGCATTACTATATTTCGCGACCTCTTTTCAAGGCTGGTTTTTTTTTCCACAGGACCAAACGTGATGCTTCACCACACATTAGCTTCAGTCGCGACTCGCAGAATCGTTGTTGCGCCAGGCGTTGTAGGTGAAAGCCCAGCGGTTCTAGCCATACCACCGCGCATCAGACGCCATTCGCACCACCGCAAGGCATCCAGCGCGCACACGACGAATGCAATGCCGGCAAACACAGGAGTATGGCTGCACAGGGAAGGGGGCCGCGGCGAAAATGCAGTGGCTTCGTGCGCCACGTGACGGCATCGCGGCATGCGCGTCTCTGGACAGCCTCGGCAAAATTCACGGAAAAGACTCGAGAAGAGATGACAGTGACTGGACCCTGAACGCTGTCGATCGAGTGCAACACTTTTCGCTGGTCGAGTGGTCGTGCACAAACAGCCTTGCTTTTTAACTCAATGTCGAAAGAAGGAGTGCATATCCTAAGGAAGGAAACACTCGGGAAGCCTAGAATATCGACTCTTCACAAGGTACGAAGCGACCGCGCTCGGATGTTTGAAACATATTATGTCCGCAGCGATGGGCAAAAAAGTGACCTCTTCGAAAAAGATAGTCATACGATCAATTATTATAAAATCCGGAAAATCCACAATGCATGGTTGTGATTTCATGAAGGGATGTGATAATAGAGAGGGATCGGCAGGCGACGTGTCCACAGCAGCGTCTGCTTGGGCGTGCATGTGATATAAACATTACGGTACTTACTGAGTTACTCTCCCATGCAGACGATCAAGGCGACCATCGCTACTGCTCACAGGCGCTCCCCGTGTCGATAGCGCGAGGCAGCACGCTGCATGACCGTGGGAGCCATCAGTGGGGATCCCGAGATTTTGATTGCGATCCCGCGCTCCGCACTTTCGGTGGCCATGACACACACACTCTCATACGTCGTGAATGAAAGGAAGGGTCTCGTCAGAATGTCTTGCGAGGCAGATCGCCGATGACTTCAAGTAAGGGTCGGTTGATCCGTCGCAACGAACAAGGCGCTATGAAACGGGAGCTCGCATGCGAGCCGATGCTGCACGCATGGCATGACGTACTGTGACAGGGGTCTCACCAGCGACAATTTGTTTGTCGACGGCATGAGCACCACAAGATGACAGGTGCCGATCAGGAACGATACAGATACACTGTACTTCATTGCGCCAATTGTCAATCCTGCCCTGCATGTGGTGCCGCTGCTGAAAGTTCGTCCTCTCTGACACTTCTATAGGATGCGAAGTGAGGTGACCCATCAGAAAAGAGACGTTTCCTTGCCTGAGAATCTTGTCGGCTCGCCTGCGATGCTTGTCCGGGTGTTCAGTCGTACACATAGTGCAAGATATGACCGATCTCGTGGCGGCACACTGGCACTATGCCGGAACAGAAGACGCCGCTGCAGTCAATAGCCTTGACGAATCGACGTGCCAATCGTTCATAAATCGATGCACGCTGTGACAGTGCGTCGAATGTGGTCAATGGTCCTTCTGTTGTACATGCCGGCGCAGGTCTCGGCCGCAAATTCATGCTCTGCGCTTCTACGATCGCATGAAGAAGTGGTGTAACAGTGAAATTCGGTGCTCAGATTTGTCTCCTGTGCCCTGTCCGTCGGATCTGCCTCTTTGTGGACGATGCTGCCAAGCATTGACCGACGACAAGACGGAAGGGTAGAAGCGCCCGGATGCTCGCCAGCAAAAGAAACTAGATCGGAGACCAGAAGCGGAGATCAGACGGCGACAGCCAACCGCCGAGAGCCGACGCACCACGCGTCCTCCTCGAAATTGTTCTGGCTTGCCACTTCCCGACGCGGGCTGCAGGCGAACGAGTGATCTCAAGCATGCGTTGCCTTCGCTTCTTGAAAGTCGGAACCGGTCGATCGACGAAGCTGCATTCCTGCGGCAATCGCGAGGTCGAAGCGATCCTGCGTATGCGGTGACACAGAGACCACCAATTTGAAACCTGCCGCTGGATGCAATGGTTGCAGAATATTCACCACACACCGTGCTCCGGGGACGACATCACAGCGACGGAACGGCGAGGAGAGAGATCGGGGTATCGCTCATCGCACGACTGTCCATCAGCAGCTGGTGATTAGCTGCGCTGCGGTCATCGAATCGATTGCTCGTCAGTGTCGACTTGCCGACGGAGTGCGGGGTTGACCCAGCAAGAGGGTTAAGCCACAATCTGTTGGTGAGTCTCCATAGAAGGCAGTCCGTCTGCAGCGATGAGACACAGCCACCCCTCACAGCCAAGGTCGTCTCCACCATGATGCTGAGTTGTCGAGCGTTGATCTGGCTCCGCTATCTGAGATTCTTGCTGGCTCGTCCGGACAGATGCGAGCCGTCGCCGAACCCTTTCCATGCCGTGCAAAGTGTGCGAAAATCGCACGAAGAAGACTGTAATTTGACGATTCATTCTGAAGTTGTTTTTCTGTTGTTCAAGAACGTTCTGAACCGGACAGCCGGCCAATTTCATGCCAAGTTATTGTGTTTGTTTCTTGCTCAAAGCCATCTCCGATTGCGATTGCAAGTCTTCTCAGTCGTTGGTGACCAGCCATGCCCGGTGCGCTTCGACTGAGCTGTCAGGATTACTCTTTAATGCGGAAGCCCGTGGCGTTGCCATTCAGGATCATACCCTGTATGCGTGGGACCGTTGCCCGCGATCGAGCCTAATATCCTTTTTGCGTCTGTCACAATTCGACTGACGCTCTCGTGCAGAAGCGAGACAGCACAGCTCGAGCACATTGAGACACACGATACGAGGCGAGGTGGCGCGCCGTGAAGACATCGCGAAGATCATGTATACAACGTCGCGACTCTGCATCCTGCTCGTCCTTCTCCGCTCGGCTTCGAGGCAGATGGCGTCGGGATCCGACCGGAAAACAGATTGAAGCTCGAGGCTGTTGCCAGGGTGGGAGAGGATCAGGGCGTGTTTGCGATCCAGACCGACCTCGCAAACCCAGCTGCATGAGGCTGCTGTGTGCCTGCTTGACGGTGTGAGCTGTTGTTCGGTTGTGAGAGTAACCTGGCCGTGTTGTTTCTTCGGTCTCTGCTGTGCTGCCATGATTTCTCGCTTGGGTCGGTGACAGGTCCCAAGTTGGTGTGCGGCCGTGCAGCTCGTATGCACGCTCGACATTTCGCTGCATATCGCTTTGTTCTTTTTGGTGTGTTTTGTTATTTCATTTTCTTGTTTTTCTCGGTCCCCTCTTGCACACGGGCGAGCTTCAAACCTGTCCGATTGCTGCTGCCTGCCGCTAATTATGATGGATGGATACGATGCACGTCGGATGAAGTGTGACTTCTTGGTGTCGAGCGCTCCAGCTGCGTGGTGAACGGAGAGTCGGGCCAAACGCTGCGCAGACTGTCTCCGTTGCTGTTGCTGTTGCTGTCTCTTGTCCCTTTGATCCTCGTCACCCACTCAACGGCTGCTCTGCATTCCCTTTCATTTCTCAAAAGTCACATCCTCGACTCCATCTCCCATCATCCTCATCCTCATCCTCATTGCAACTCTCCCCATCACCATCATCCTCCCCTCCATTCGTGGCGTTTCGGTATCGTTGGCTTCCTCGCTTTCTGCCAACCGACGCTTCTTCCTCCCCCCTCACTTCCCTGCAGCATTTCGCTTCCGCACAAAAGTCAGCACAGTTCGATTCAGCTCGTGACTACACCTACATTCCATCCGGTGCTGCACAGTTGCTTGCTCAAGTCCAACGCGGTAACCTCTATACGCCTGCCCACCTGATTCACGACCCTTTCTGCACGACCACCTCTGCGCTGCTCACTCACCTGTTGAGAGCGCCAGAGATTCATACCCATCTTGCTTCCTCCTGATCTCCCGACTCGCCTTTCTCCTTCCTCGGCATTGCATCTTTTTTCTCCGTCTCGTCATCTCATCTGTTACGCTCCATCGACATCCAAGCATATCACCAAATCCCCTCCGTGCTCCCATGCGCATCTGTCTCGTTTCCATCGCATCGTCTTAATCCCTGCGCCAAGTCTTTCATCAAGACTTAAAGCACCCCTCCCACTGCTTTCCGTGTCACCATGGCTCAACCTGCCGTCAGAGTAAGTCTTCCCTCTCGCCCATGTATGCGCTCATCGACTACTGTGCCGGGCATGCATACTGACCGTTTGCTTTGCGCCTCCTCTCCGCCGCGAACTCATATCGCTTTCAGCTCCAGCCCACAGCCACTAGATCACGCATCGCCCGGCCAGGGGGCCTTCCTGCTTCTCGTAGCGGCGATCGTATTCATCTCACAGAAGCGGCTTCTTCTAGTCACACAGCCAAGGCCAAGGCACCAAAACTGGTTGGCACTTCTGCCGCCGGCAAGTCGCGAGCCGATTCCAGACCCATGCCGCAACGCCCGGCTCTTTCGGACGTCAGCAACCGTGCTGGCGTCGCGAGAGACCACGTTATCCCAGATGGCGCCGTCAAATTGGCACCTGGTCACAACGGCCTGCGTGCTCAGCACACCAAAAGCATGACCCGCCTCCGCGATGCCCGATCCCGGTCAACGACCCAGGAAGGACTGCCAGGACCAACGCGTTCCATCTCAGAACAGCGCAATCTTGCGTCTGGCGGCGTTCAGTCCATGGACGTCGAAGCGCCGCGACTCTTGCCGCCGTTCCAAAGCTCCGCGTCTGTCAAGGCGGGCATCAACAGCGAGGCAGGGAGCAGCAGACTGCAGCAAGATGCAGAGATCTACGACCTTGCCGCCTCTCAGCACGACGACGATGTCATTGACGAGGACGACATGTCGGACGTCGATTCGACCTCGAGCAGCGATGAGGATACCGCAGAGGACGCCGGCGTAGACCAGGCCAACTGGCTCGAGTCGGAGCGTCTCGACGCAGGCGGACGACCCGAAAGCGTCACCTCGGCAGAAGACGGTGACTTGCTTGACTTCAACTTTGATCCAGAAGGGCTCGTTTCGTTGCATCCAGAGCTCGAGGAAGCAGCGCGGCGCAAGGTAGCCTCGATCAAGTCTCGTTACCTGGAGGAAGTCATCCAGCCCCGCGCAGTGCTCGCCCAAGCTCAACGTGCAGAGGCGGTCGCCGCTGGTCAGCTCTCGGCAGACCTGGCTGCGCACGAAGATGAGCTGATCGTCATGGGCCTCGATCCAGAGGAGGTGCGCGACACCAGCATGATGGCCGAGTACTCGAACGAAATCTTCAGCTACATGGCGCGCTGCGAACGCGAGACCATGGCCAATCCCAACTACATGGAGTTCCAGAGCGAGATCCACTGGCACATGCGTGCAACGCTCGTCGATTGGCTCTTGCAGGTCCACATGCGCTACCACATGCTCCCCGAGACGCTCTGGATCGCCATCAACGTGGTCGACCGCTTTCTCAGTGTGCGCGTGGTCAGCCTCGCCAAGCTGCAGCTCGTCGGTGTCACCGCCATGTTCATCGCCGCCAAGTACGAAGAGATCTTGGCGCCCAGCGTCAAGGAGTTCGTCTACATGACGGAAGGCGGATACTCGCAGGAGGAAATCCTCAAGGGAGAGCGTATCATCCTTTCGACGCTCGACTTCAACATCTCGTCGTACTGCTCGCCGTACTCGTGGGTGCGCAAGATCTCCAAGGCCGACGACTACGACATCCGCACGCGCACGTTGTCCAAGTTCTTGATGGAGCTTGCGCTGCTCGATCATCGCTTCTTGCGTGCTCGACCGAGCCTGGTGGCAGCTGTTGGCATGTTCCTGGCAAAGAAGATGCTCGGAGGCGAGTGGGACGATGCGTTCGTCTACTACTCTGACTTTACCGAGGAGCAGCTGGTGCCCGGAGCGAACCTGTTGCTAGAGCGTTTGCTAGATCAGGGCTTCGAGGATCAGTTTGTGTACCGCAAGTACTCAAACAAGAAGTTCCTCAAGGCCAGCGTGTTCGCCCGCGATTGGGCCTTCCAGAACCACGAGGCGCTGCTCGCGGCAGCGGCGGCGGCGGCGGCGGCGGCAGCGGTAGCAGGCCAGCAGGCGCAATAGATACTCCGGGTCCTGGCCAAAGGAGCTCCGACGAAACCAATGCTGGAACCGGCGGGTCTCTTTCTGCGTTGTTCAGGTTGACACCCACACTCTTTTTGTTTTGCTATTATCTCCAACTGTCAGCCTGAGCACCGCAGCCGACTTGCATGTTTCTGATCGAGCTGCTTAGCTTGTAACGCATATTGCCATCGACTTGATCGCGTATTGGCGATCTTGTGCTCTGCCCCTCAACCCCTCCATCTCGCCCTATATCATTCGACTTCTGCATTTGATTCGCTCCCTGATATCAACTTGATTTTCTGTACCCTTTTCAACTAGTAGCTTGCATATACCTTTGCGCTAACAATGCATACATCATCCTCGTTCCATTTCTTAGTGTGAGTGGCATAGAGGCGTCAAGGTACAGTGCGTGCCGACTGCATGGGCAATCTTGCGATCGTCACGCTCAATGATCTGCTAGGAACCAAGATTGGTTGGAGGGATGAAGCGACGCAACGTCAAAGCTCGTGGCAATCTTGGACGTGGCATGTCGCTTCTTGACACCGAGCCATGTGATGTGCGTGTTGCGAAGGACAAGTCAGGGGTACCTGCGGGGCGAAGTGATCGCCGAATCAACTCGACGCCACAGCCGAAGCCGACGTCAAATTGCGCATAGAGGCCAAGAGAAGCAGAGTGTTGGGATGATGGAAGAATTCGAAGATGCAAGGAGGTCCTGCTGTCCTCGGACGAATTCATGCTCGGCAAAGCGGTGCATGGCTAGCTGAATCGCTCATAAATGGCGAAATCCACATCCAAAGCTGTTGTTTCTTAGCCAATAGCTTTCCAGTCTCATCACGCGGGTGAAGCTGCGAGCTCAAGATGTTATGCTGTATGCAGTTCGTGCTGTACAAGAGGCAGAAAGAGCGACTGCAACACCACATTGCAGCCCCAGCCACAACAGGGGTTGCAGAAGCGCGCCTTGCCTGTGCATTCTCACTCGTGAAGCGCAGCGCCTGCCATACCTCGAAGAGCAGCCGCACATGGTTCAAACTTCCGTTCTTGACTGTGAGGAGGCTACAGAAGCGATTGCGGCGGACAGGAATCAAGACCGGCTAGCGGGCTTGTCGAGGTCGTGGGGAGCGAGTCGGGATCTCCTCCGCAAACCCTCACCCGAGCTGACAGGCAGTCATAGTCAGATCGAGCACAGGGAAACGGCTGATCCGAGGGTAAAGCCAATCTCACAAAAGCTGGACCCTTTCTTTTTCCATTTCAAACAGGCTCAGCTTCGGCGCGACGCTCGAGTGCCGCCGCTGCGACACGGTTCGAGAGTGATGCAAGGCACTGTCCAACTCAGCCTGATTTTCCCGTTCGACGACGGAAGGGCCAAACGCGGCTCAGAATGGCGAAATGGCGAAATGGAGCGAAAAAGAAAAGAAAAGGGCCACAGCCAAAACCAGCCATTTGAGACGGGCGGCGGCGGCAGCAGCAGCAGCAGCAGCAGCACCAGACAAGCAGAGACCAAAGGCCGAGAGACAAGGCCAGACGACCAAGCGACTGACAGCGACGTTTTGCTTGATTGCATTTGCAGCCCTGCAGCAGCCAATTGACGCCCTGACGCCCGTCTCTCCCATCGAAATTGTGCCTGATTTCTGCCTTGAAATTCTGCGCTCGCTTCACCTCTGCTCAGCCAGCTTGCAGGTCCGCTCTTTGCTTGCTCGTCGTCGTCGTCATCCATTGAATGCCTGCTCCGACCTTTCGTCTCCATCGAGCATCAGCCATCCTCCTTCTACTTTCTCTTTCTTGCTATCATCTACCGGCATCGCAAATGCCCGTCGAAGAACGCTCTCCTTTGTTCACCGGCATCTGACCCAAGTTGTTTGTCTTGGTACATCGCTTTCTATCAACCGCGCCCCTTTCGACTCAGCTCGACCTGGCCCGCCTCTTCTCGCAAACAACACTCTTCGACAGTCGCGCCGTCAATCTACTATCTCGTCTGCAAGCAAACATCCATTCACTCATCCATCCATCAGTGCAACTATCTATCTTTTCGAGCAACTGCATACCATACGCCAACGTCTGCAACAGCATCACCTTCCGCCACCAAAGCGTTGTTCGTTCCAGTCACATTTTGCTTCTACCAAGCGCCTCTATCGCCATCGTATCAGTACCATCGCACGGTCTCAACCTTCGAGTAGTAGGCTTACTCGGCTGAACCGGCCCATTGCATCAGAGTCTGGCCATTCTGTCTCACCAGCTGCAGTTTGCTCTGGAAGCGCCTACGAGCCGTTCACACGCTGCATCACATTTCTCCTACAATCAACATACCACCCTAGCTTCTGGATCTTTGTTCAAGCCGGTCAGCGACGTTCTGCGACGGTCTATCCATCTGTTCGAGCCAGCTGTCAGTGCACGCCCGACAGCAACTCCTGCATCGCTCACAAGCGCATACTTCAAATTCAGTCCGTCGACTTGCCTAGCGCTCTTCACGACCGGCACTAGAGCAAACCGACCCAGCCAGCCCCTCCGTGTTGCTTGATGTCCGTACTGTAGCCTTTCGTGGCCCTCTGCGCTTGATTCCTGCGGCAATACTTCCGACAGTCGCACTTCTTGCGCTCGCCGCCTATCATCCCGAAGTGACTTTCTGCACTCATCTCGGTCCGTACGCACCTCGCTGCGTACGCGATCCCTGTTTCCTCCAAGATGCGGGAGTCCAATTTTTGCAATCCCGCCCAGAACAAGGCGAGCGTTTGCATCTCATCCGCCGTCTATGATCGTCGAGCCATCGATTGCACGGCAACCCTGCCGCTCATCAACTCGCTCAACCATCTGGCCTACCTCACTTCGACTTCGCCACGTATTCGAGAGATGGTCACACTCGACGGCGGTCTCGAACGTCTCATTCGCATTCTTCGCACCGTGCCCAAATCCCCGTCACCACAGGTCCGCGCTTTCTCCATCAAGGAGATGCAGGCTGTGTGGAAGTGGAGTCTCGCTTTTCAGTGCGTCGTCAACATTGGCGTCCGCGGCAGCGAAAGCGTCCGCACACGCGTCGTCGAGGCAGGTATGGTGCCCGTCACCATCCGTGTGCTCGAATCCTATCTTCGAAGCATGGACAGGCTCAAGGAAGAACGACGCAAGGAGGCCTTGCTCCATCATCAACGGCATGAAGCACGTCGAGAGGATCGCTCGCATCGGGATCGTCTCGAGCCCTCTACATCGCACGCCCACCTTGCTACCCTGGAAGGCGATGATCGTGCACGTTGGCAGCATCATACCACTCGTGAAGACCTCGTGCAAGCGCCGCATCAGGCTGATGCAACCTACACCGCAGCCGCCTCGGTCGATCCTCTACAAAGTACGCATTTTGCAGCGGTGCAGCCAACGCGAAATGGGTCGATCCCGCCCAACGCACACGACCGTCTGCTCACAGAAACGCGGCCGACCACGCCGCTCGAAGACCCCATCTCGGCACGGCGCTCCTCCGTGTTTGCCGACATGGAAGCACAGAGCAGCGTCGACGACTACCTGCCGCCACAAGCTTCGCCCATCCCCGTTGTCGATGCCGACGAGTCCCATGCCACCATGCCCATAATCGATGCCATTGCCATCAACTCGTCCGGCGGCGCCCCTTCTGCAGCGTCCGATGGAACACCGCGAGCGCTGGCGTCTGCGCAAGCTCGAGACAGCGATCTGGCGGAGGTCAGCTCCTTGGAAGACCTGCGAAGTCACGCGGCAGAGGCGAGCGGCAGCGGTTCCGAGGGCCCCGAGGACGCCGAGATGTTTGCAGACGATGCTGACGATAGCGAGGTCGATGCAATCCCGTCATCTACCACACGCTCGGTCGACTCGGATCACATGTCTGGCAGCGGTCAGGTCGAGATCGACGCGGATGACGACAATGTCGAGGAGCGTCGAACCCCACGGCCAGCTCGCCGTGCACTGGCTCCACTGTCTGGCCCCGACTCGCCGCCTCGGGCTGCGCAGACCTTTTTCACGCCCAACAGGCCAACCAATGCCGTGGCGCCGCCTCTGTTCGAACGGCAGGATACGGTACGACCATCGAGAAACTTGCCAACAACTTCCACTTCTCGTCACGCTGCCTCGACCAACTTGGCTTCCACAGCGCTCGCCGCGCAAATTGGCTCTCACAACGAACCCAATGATCGCAGCTCGCTCTTTGATCGACACCTGTCCCGCGAACAACCGCACGCTCAGGTACGTGCCCAGCCAGGTGCATCGCACTCGAGGCAAGATCACCAGCTTCAGCACCATCATCATCACCACCAGCACCACCACCGCCACACGCGAGACGACGCGAGTCAATCGCATAGTGCACACTCGGCGGGTCGTGACGGTGAGCCACAGCAGCCACAGCAACGAAGCGTGGCTCCACGCGACGAAGCACGCACCGCAGAAGCAAGGACCACGCTGCCAGCGACCGAGGCGGCCGTGGCTCATCCGGCCGTTGTGCAGCTGAGCAATCTGGCCGACACGAACGCACGTGCCGGCATCGACGTCGTCTACCGCGAAGAAGAGGTCCTCCTCAGCCTGCAATTGCTGGCCTATCTCTCGAAGTATGCACACGTCCGCATCTTGTTCCATTCGTCCGACTTCACCGGGGCATCGCTCATGGGTCCGCTCGACGCGCTCAACGAGGAGCTGGAGCAGGCCACCAAGCGCAACAAGAGTTGGGACCCGTCCGAGCCCCCGCGTCGCAATGTCTTTTCGCTTGCCGAAAAGTTCACTCTGCGTTCCTCGCGCAGCAACTCAGCTGCTTATCCCGCGCCTCGCCTTTCTATGGAGATCCAGTACTGGGCCGGCGTCATTATGCGCAATGCCTGTCGCAAGGACGAGTCGCGAGGCGGCATCCGCCAGTGCGCCAACATGCTGTGTGGAAAGTGGGAAGAGTATCCACGCGAATTCGCAAAGTGTCGACGTTGCCGCAAAGCCAAGTACTGCAGCAAACAGTGTCAGAGCAAGGGCTGGCAGATGGGACACCGCTACTGGTGCAGTGCCAAGGCGGACGAGGGCGAGGCCAAGGACAAGGAGCGCGAAAAGGCCAATGATCCTCACCGAATCGGACGTAACGAAGACGGTGGTGCCGGTCCTCAGATCGTGCCTTTGAACAATCACAACGACGAAAACGCAGGTTTTGCTGCCGCACTCGCCAATGCAGCCGGTCAAGGACTTGGCAACGCCGACGGACCGCGCCTAAGGCTGAACGGGGATGTCGGTCTGGACGGTGTGGACGATAATGGAATCAATGCCAGGCGATGGCAAGCTGGAGAGGCGGCGCGCGATACTCAGGCCCGCGACGCGCGAGCTCGTAGCCACTCGCGCCAAGAAATCGACCTGCCGTCATCCGAAAACGCAAGCGTGCGAGGAGCACGTCTACAGCCTGTCGATCTCGGTTCAGCATTACCTAGCACCTCGGAGTCGGGCGACGCAGCGATGGATGGTACCTATACCGGTGCTGACGGTCGGCAAGATGGACCTTCAGAGATGCATCGTCTCACCTCTTCGGCGTCGTCTTCGGTCGACATGATCGTGGAGCCGAGGCATGCTGTCAGTGCCAGCGAGGATGACGAGGCATGGATCGGCGGTGCCTCCGGCCCCCAGGCTCCCCGTCTCGGCATGATGCCTTCGCCTTTCACGGACACAAACGGTGACGCTGGACCCTCGGCATCCTCAGCCTGGTACGCTGCTGGACCTGTCGATGGGGTAGAACGCCGCCACGACGCTGCGCATGCTTTTTCGTCGAACACTTCGTCGCCGTTGCGAGACACGACGACCGACGGCGGGTCGCAAGCGCCTCGTGGTGCTCGTCGAGGTGTACTGCCTGGATCCCTCGGGCTACCTTCGACGATGCTGCGACAGGATCTTCGCGACCGTAGAGTGACGAGCCTTGCCAGCCTAGACACCGTGGACGGATCGGACGCTAGCGATGACGAGACGGAGCGGCGGCTAGCTCAGACGCAGGGAATCCTTCCCGCCTTCGCTGCCGCCGCTGCTGCGGCTGGGCTGCGCGCTCGAGAAGGCGAAGCCCCGCCTCAACCTCCGCAGCGCACGGATTTGGCCGGCCGCCCATTGCCGCCTCCCGTGATTGCGTCACAGAATGGCGAAGAGGATGAGCTGGCGTTGGGTGGTCGCGCCACACCTGGCGTAGCTGGCGAGCAAGACTTCGCGACGGGCGAGATCGACCAGATGCTCGGTCACTGGGCGACGAGGAGACCAGGAGGCATCGGTTTGCAGCACCGATTGGCCGAGGTACGTGCTGACCTGCCATCTCCGGAGCGATCGTTGTCCCCCGAAGCAGGCTCATACGGAAACACTGCCGAGGCTTCCGAAGTTGCGATGGGCGCTCGGTCAGACGACGAGGATCTGGGATCTGCATCTAGGGCTGCCAGATACGGGGGGCTGTACGGACAGGCGCCGTTCCACGCCGGCATCGTGCGCGGGCAAACGCCACAGCCGCACCATCGACTGCATCAGCAAAGGTCGGCGAGCGGCTTCAGCCAGTACGGCACTCACGGCACGCGGTTTGGCTATGGCGAATCGATGGGCGAGCCGTCGACGCTGCAGGCGTATCATCCGTCGATGGTGTCGTCTCCGCTTGCACAGACACCTGTCCGTCGCACGAGCGGGCAGGATGACGGCGATGCGTCGACCAATGTAGTCCACGGTCTCGAACAGGCTGCACACACTCTGAGGCAGATTCATCAACGGCCCGTTAGCAGCAGTGGCATCGTGTACGGCAGCGAGGACGTTGCCATGATGCACGACGCCGGATCGGAGCAAGGCGCGGGAGAGTCGATGCATGATCGACCGGCAGCGCCCGAAGACGAGGTGCTCGAGGATGCGGACGACCGCGACGATATCAGTATGGATCTCTGAGCGGGGTGAGGGGTGAGAGGCAGTTTCAGCAATTATTTATCATTTCATCATGTTTGGTCAGGTGTGTGTGATGTTGAGAGTGGATCGTGAGGCACCTTCCCGACGAGATGGTGTGAGGGGGGCCCGCGATGACGGACACGTGCGCTCTGGGATAAGTCGTTTTTGGCGCCTTTTTCTTACCAGCGGAAGAGCCTGCGTTGGGACGCGGGTGCACGGACGCGACATCGTATTGTTTTTCGAAATTTCTTCCGGTATCGCTTTCGAAGCTCCTCCTTACTCGTTTCCATATGGACTTTGTCTACGGTGCATACTCATATCTCACCCCGGAACTTCCGGAAAGCAAGTATGTCGTCGAATGCGCGCGCGACAGGCGGGACACAGCAAGCGGCGCCGGGTGCCGCGCAGCCCGCACGAACCGATTGGAAGTGGACGGTTGCGCGTGCGCTCCTCATGTATGCCGGGGTCAATGCGGTGACCAACCCGAAGAGTCCGGTTGCAGGGTACGTGAACAAGCTTATGGGACGGGAGTGGAGTACGCCTCCCGTTGGGTCGTCCAGCGATAGCGTTGGTACGACGAGTGGAGGGTCAGCGGATGCAGCGTCAACCACTGCGCCGGTTCAGGGGTTGTTCACCCCTCCAGAAGCACCAGCTAAAGGACCACCGAATGTCGCACTCCCCATCTGGTCGGACGACGCACAACTGGACTTCTACATCTACATCTCCGCTTCAACCCCTCCCACCCACGAACTGGTCAGGACCCAGGCGTCGGATCTGATCCCACAAAGCGGGTTGGGGAACGCACCCGAGATTCCGTTTGACGCTTTCGCCGAGCTGCTGCGCGATCCTCTGCACGAAGCGAAGGTGCTATATCCGCGGGAGGGGAGGGGGAGCGCAGGCGAGCTGGAACCGATGGCAGCCGTCAAGTGGTCCGATATCACGTTGGGCGATCTGTCGTTGTCGCGGGATGTGGATCTCGAGTTGAAGCTGGGCGAAGGCGTGAGGAGCGGGAACGGCAGTGTTTGGGCGGATTTCGTCGTCACGCAGAAGGGCGTGAGTCCGGACCCGAGCGATAAGGCGTACCATCCGTTGGGCGTGGTGAGGAGCAGAAAGCTGCTGTCGAGGTTGATGCCGTTGAAGAGGAAGAGGGTGGAGAAGAATCTGTTCGACAAGACGAACTCAACCCGTACGGAGCAGGAAGAAGAGGAAGAGGAGGAGGAGGATGGCAAGATCGTCGGTCACTGGCACAACAACTTGACGCTTGCGCTTGTGCAGGATGCCGGGGATGCGGGGGTCCAGTTGAGTCAACTTCCGCCGCCGCTGTTGCAGTACGTCTCCGTAGTGAGGGATCCGACGAGCGGCGATATGGTCGTCGCCCCTCCACCGACGGACCCTCAGCAGGCGGCGGTGCTGCAGCAGGCCTATGCGACAGGTCGACCTCCCAACGTCCTACGCTACCCGACCGTCTTCCCCAACGACTTTTGGCTGCTCAAATCGCACATGCATCCCATCAACGAGACGGTCGAATCGCTCTCATTGCACGTCCATCTGTACCATCAATCGTGGTTCAAGTTCCAGATGCTCGCTGCGCTGTCCGATTCATTCGACAAGCAAGCCGGTGGTGCTACCGGCTCCGCCACCGGTAGCGAGGTCGACATGATCAAGACCATGCTCTTGGAGACGAACCCTTGGTTCCTGGCCTTGACGATCATCGTCTCCATCCTCCACTCGGTCTTTGAATTCCTGGCGTTCTCGAGCGACGTTCGTCACTGGAAGAACAAAGACGATCTCGCAGGCGTCAGCGTAGGCAGCATCGTCACCAACATTGTGGTTCAGCTGATCATCACCCTGTACCTGTTGGACAATAACGAGGACACCAGCTGGATGATCCTCGCCGGACAGGCGGTGGGTGTCGTGGTGGAATGCTGGAAGTTGACCAAAGCGGTTTCGGTGTCGATCGTGAGACGAGACGGGTTGATCCCGTACCGGATCAAGGTCGATTCGAAGCACAAGTTGTCGGTGGAAGAGCAGAAGACGCAAGAGTACGATCGATTGGCGTTCAAGTACGTCGGAATCGCCATCGGTCCACTCCTCTTCGCCTACACGATCTACTCGGCTCTCTACCAGACCCACCGTGGATGGTGGAGCTTCATCATCTCCACCGCGACGTCGTTCGTCTACGCGTTCGGCTTCGTCTCGCTCGTCCCGCAGCTGATCGTCAATTACAAGCTCAAATCGACGGCAGGCATGAACAGCAAGACGTTCGTCTACAAGATCTTGGGCACGTTTGTCGACGACATGTTTGCGTTCTGCATCAAGATGCCGACGTTGCACAGGCTGGCGTGTTTCAGGGACGACGTAGTGTTCTTTGTGGCGTTGTATCAGAGGTGGATCTATGGGGTGGATCCCACGAGGAGGAACGAATTTGGACAGACGTTGGAGAAGAAGGATGAGGATGCGAAAGACAAAGCGAAGGAGAAGGAGGGTGAAGAGCAGGTGGACGGAGAGAAGGTGGCAGCCAAGACTTCGGCATTGGAGGAAAAGACTAGTGGGCTCAAGAAGAGAGGTTGACGGTAGAGTCCCCATCAGGTTTCATCACACGGTGCTTTGGTTCCTCTTTGTGACACGGCGATGCAATCGCAGTGTGAAAGCGGCTCACTCAAACAGGTGCTCGGAGTCGGGATGGCTTTGTGTGGCTTTGTGGATTGCATTCGATTCAAGATGTGATGATGCAACGTGACCAGAAATGAAATTGCGAAAAAATAACAAGACATGAAGCTTGAACGACAAACGATGAGGAAAGCGTGAGCGGGCTTCTTTTCATAAGATGCTGGTGGGAGGCATGCGCTTCGGATTGTTGCAGTCGGAACAGTCTTGTGGATGGGTATCGGTTGCGTCCCAACCTGCGGGAGTTTCGCTGCCGGAGCTGATCGTGCCTTGATCGTCCGTGCGGCGATCCACGTCCTGCGCAGCCTGCTTCTCTCTCTCGATCGAATCGTCGTGGTCAATCATCTTTTCCTCGTCGACAGGCTGGTTGTCTCCACCCGAAGCGGCTTGACGAGCGGCACGTACAGCCCTTCTCGCAGCGCGTCGTTGCTGCTTTTCCTCTTCGTGCGCGTAGAATTTCGCCGCCTCCTGTTCTTCCGCCTCCAACGCCATCGCTGCTCGACTATGTTTCCTGATACGTTCGCCGTATCTGAGCAGCACGAATGGCACGACACCAAGCAGAGCGGCGATGCACGCCAACAGCGTAGATGCGTACTTGGGAGTGAGTTGAGTGTACATCTGCTGCGAAAATAGAGGGAAGGTCGAGGCAAAACAGTTACGCAAGAAGCTCTGGGCAGCCAGCGAAGACGAAGCATATCGTTCGTAACAATCCGCAAGATAGCTAAAAACTGCCTGATACACAGGAAAAAGACCGGCGTTGAAGACAATCAAACCAATGATGGGCGCGGCGGGAGAGATGCCGGATCGGCCAGTCCATGCAAAGATGAAGAGACCGACGGGAGCGAGGATGGCACCGGCAGAGGCGTAGTAGAGACGAGCTTCCGGAGGAGGCTTACCGCCGTGCTTGCGAGCTGTGGCTGCATACAGCTTCTCTTGGTGGAAATTGGCAACGTAGCCGATCAGACCACCGACAGCAATGGTGAGCAGAGCCATGTGCTGCTGTTCCGAGTTCCAGCCGTAAGTGGCAAAGACGATGGGAATGGCCTCGAGAGAGATGAAGATGATGCCCCACAGGAAGCCGATCCAGAGGGCAAAGCTGGTGACGATTGGTTCGAAAAGGAGATACTGCATGGGCCGAACGAGCGAGATTTTGACCATGACGAAGAACGACTGCCTCTCGTCGTCGGCTCTGCACTTGTGAAGACGACCGGTCTCCTTGGTGAGCTTCTTGGCGCGTCTGGAGAGCAGGACCGGTCCTCTCGTCTCTTTAAGAATGAGGAACATGAGAGCGTAGGTCAGAAGCGCGAGGCCACCTTGCCACCAAAACATGATGCGCCAGCCTGCTCGGTTGACGGTAACCGAGGAGATGTACGGTGAGATACCTTGCGCCATGTAGACCGCGATAGAGTAGAGCGACATGGGGAAGCCTCGTTCGTTGGCATGAAAGACGTCCGAGACACTCCCGGCGACCAGAGAGTTGCCGACCGAAGCCGCCATACCCTGGAACCATCTTACCACGATGATGGTGGTGATGTTCTTTGCGAGCGCCTGGGGAATGTAGAGCACGGTGAAGAAGAAGACCGCAGTGAGGTAGATGGGGCTTCGTCCGTATACCTCGCTGAGCGGCGCAAGGATGAGGGGCGTGATGGCGACAGCAAAGAGGAAGACCGTGTTGCCGACGAGATAGACGAGCTGCGTGGTGCCCAGATCGAGCGAGGCTTGGTACGAGGCAGACGGGTAGCCGCAACCGTTGAAAGCGGTGCAGGCTGTGAAGAGGAAGCATACAGAGACGAGGAGCCATCTTCTAGATTTTGGCCAATTGAAAGGGTTCTCTGGGTCGTCGGCAGCCCAGTCGATGTACACTGCGTCCGGATCCTCCGACTTTGTGAGGGTGAGGGCGAGTGCAGAAGCTGGATAGTGAGGATCGACACATCGATGCACGGAAGATACGCGCGAAGACGCACGCTGCAACTCGGCCGGCCTGTTGGCGGCGTCGAGGTAAGATACAGAGCGATTCGACGCTGAACGAGGTCGGCCGTTGCTAGCTTTGTCCTTACCATCGCTGACCTGCTGGATCTTGGAACGCGAGTCTGCCCTAGAAAGACGCGATGTCAATGGCTGCAACACATTGGTGGTCGGGAGCGGGCCAGGTAGATCCCCATGCTCCTCGTGGTCGGTGGAAGAGTGAAGCGACGCGGCCGAAGAAGTCGTATCATTGTGAGGCTTCTTCTTAGGCTCGTTCGAGTCAGAGGATGAGAGCTTGCTTTGCGGATCCAAGTGGGTTTCTGTTGTAGCAGATGAAGTGGGCGCGCTCAACGAGTGGGACGAATTGTTGCGCGATTGTGCCCGAGAAGCCGACGGGGTCTGTAGGGAAAGAGGGGGTTGGTCCGCGCCGTGGTAAGCTGGCGGATGGTGCGGACCATGCTGACTGTTGTTCCTGTTCGTGGAGGTCATGTTGATGGTGATGGTAAGGTTGATATGTGCTGGTGCATGTCAAGCCAGATGCGGTCGTTGGACGAGGAGGATCGGGTTTGGTGCAAGGTGGGGGAAATCCGGTTTTATCGCGCCTGTTGTACACAATCCAAGTCCGTGACAATACGCGAAGACAGAACAGATGAGTACGAATCCGATGGAGAGAAGAAGCATTGAGTCCGGCCTTGATTGACGGTGTGGGAGAGAGAAGATACGGGAGGGAAGTAGGTTACGATGGGATGTGACTAGGAAGGCCGAAGGTGATGTCGAGAGCGGGCAGCCTCTGCGCTATATCAGAGCCTCTTAGGCAGAAAGAAAATCCGGCAAATAAACCAAAAATTCGCTCGGCCTTGTTTGACATCGCCAAAGCCGTAAGGCGCGGTAGTTTAGTCGGCGCAGCCGTTCGTTAATCATCGTCGAGAAATGCAAAGCCGACCAAATGACCGAGCCAACGCCACGCCAGAACACCGTGTTTGATCGGCGTGGGCGACTGCCTTCTATTGGCATATCACCGTCACGACACGCCAGGGGCTCAACATGCTCGACTCCGTTGGGTTATCATGTGCTTACAGCACACTCACCGTCAGGAGCGTGCACGTTGAGCCTGAGATTACCCGGTCCACTGCAACCACTTCGTCAACTCTGTCGACTACGCCGCCATCGTGCCCATCGCTCCCACCGGCGGTGCTTTTAGAGCTTGCATCACGAAGGTCTGTCACATTGTTCGAATGTGTGTGAGCGAGATTGGCTTCGTCGCAACAGGGGCATGACCCTCGCTCACGCAGCCGAGCCCCTTCGATGATAGCATGCTGTTCGGCTGAATGACCGCGTCCGCTGCTGTTCGGTCCTTTGACCGGGATCAGCATTTCCGTTTCCTGGAAAATGAGCGCGAAGTGGGCAGAAGGGCAAGTCTGCAGGTGCCGCAAAATTGGCTGACACCTAAGTCCGACAATTACACCGGAATCGGACGATCTGAAATCAAATCGGGCCTGATCACACAGCATACTCAAGTTTCTGAGCGTCACCTCATGATCCTAGCTCAGACTTCATCGAACAGAGAATGAATTGATGGTTCTTCTCAGCCAAGGTTACATCCAGATATCACTACGACGAATAGTTTGCTACATTGCTTGAACTAGTTTAGGCTGCCGACGGCTCATACGCAGGCAAAGAGTTCTCGTCCAGTTCTTCTTGTTGCCTCTTCTGCCACAGCGTCCTTGCTTTGTCGACGGCATCGCGGAAAGCTATGCCGCCGGCTTCCATGAACCAAAGCTTGAGCTTGCCGACCGGATGAGCTTCTTCGCCAGGCCGTCGCTCCGGTAGTCCACCTTGCGCAACCGAGTAGACGTCTGCTTGGAGGTACGGCGCGGTGAAGATGGGGATGGTGTACTTGCTCGAGTGGAAATGGTCAAGAGGCACCGAGAGCGAGTTGAGATTGGACGATGCTACAAGCTCTCCGGAAGGTAGTTGAGGCTGGCGAATGAAAACAAACTGTACAAATGCAGCATTTGCGGTGACATCAAGGCATAGGGTCAGACGGGCTTTGTTGGGATGGACCATTTGAACAAAGGTGAGCACTCACACGATGGGACGAGATCAGCGCATCGCCTTCGGCCTTGTACGTGACACCGAGAGACGCATATTCGAGCCTGTAATCGTAGCCAGGAGCACCAAGGTGAGTCTCGAGATTGTCAGCGAAGCGATCTCGTCTGAGCCTCAAGAAAGCGCTATGCACTCACTGCAACGATGCCTTGCGCACCTGGCATAGCACCTCTTCCTGTGGAAGCGGTAGTGGTTTGCGACCGCTCTGGTCCAGCATGACCCAATTCAGCGCCATTGCTAGGCTTTGACTGCCTCAGGTCGAGGCGAGCTGACTCTGAAGAGCGTTCGTAGGGGGACCGCTTTTGCTCGCTCGTTCGGACGGCAGACCGAAAAGCGATGTGAGGACCACAGTCAGATAGCGAGCAATGGCAGCGCACGTGCCAGTCCTGCACCACTTTGATGTGGCCTTTAGCGCTGCTCGGCAGCTGTCAGAAGGAGTTACAATCCGTGTCACACCCAGCGCAATTCTTTGTCGTCCGACCCAGGAGTCGAGTCAAATCGAGTACGCTAACTTAGCCTGGAAACCAGGTCGCAGAAGCTTGCGGACCGTGGCGGCTCAGAAGCGGAAGGTCCGCTGGCTTTGATGCACTGGTTCAGCTTGTAGACAGCACCGAGCTATCGGGACTGCCGATTAGGTTGCTGCCGAAGCGAGCCCAAAGCTGTTGGTTTGGCTTGGGTTGAGATTGCGATGGTCTGCGACCAGGTGGATGAAGCTCAGCTTTTGGCTTGGACTGAACCCCAATGCTCTCTGTCGCTGTTCCACCCCACAAAGGCGGGCGAAAGACCGCAGGAATCAGCATCGTCGATCCGTGAAAGCGCGGCCTTTGATTTCTTTCAATTTCCTTTGCCTCTCGCTATCAAATATAGATTTGAAATCGACGCCCAGGGCTGAAAGCCAAAAAGCAGAACGGCAGCCTGCATGGTGACCGCAAAAAGCCAAAGTGGAGACAAGCTCGCCTGAAATTGCGAGGCACCAGCCCAGCAGCATTTTCGCCGTGTTGCGACTGCTCGCTTCTCAGCGACGCTTTCAAACGCCTTTTTGGTTGAATGCAACTTGCGGGGTTGGCCTGCAACCGTTGGTATCGGCTTGGTCCCACCGTGACACAGAAACGTCTGTACAGAGACCAAGAAAGAACAAGAGGACGCTTGCCGTTGCACTCTAGTCACCACCAGCCCGCTTCTTTTGTTCCTACCCGTCCTCATTTCCTGACCCCACCTTCATCAGCGTTCATATCCCGCTCCTTCTCGAATCGGCTTCGCTCATCTTTTGAGCAGAAAGCATCCGAAAAGTCTCCGAATCGGTATCAGGCAGCTAGAGCCTCCTTGCTGTAGTCAACTTTCTAGAAGAGGGCACCGAGCATCTCCATCTGCCTTTTGCTTGCTGTGTCTCGCAACTGTCAACCATGGCCGCCATCGCAAAAGCTGCAGCCAGCTTGGCCGCCGTCGCCTACCTCGATGCCAAGCACGGCATGTCGAACGATCTCACGCTCGGTCGCGGAGCATCCGGCGGCGAGATCCGACACAAAATCCGCAAGTGGCGCAACAAGCTCTCGATCTACGAATATTTCGACTATCAAGCCACCAAACGGCCCGATGCCGTCGCATACGTCTACCTCGGCAAGAACTTCACCTGGGGCGAAGTAGCCAAAGACGTCCATCGTCTCGCCAACTACCTCTTGTCCCGAGGTTACAAAGCAGGCGATCGCGTGGCCATTTTCATGGGCAATTCGGTGGCCATCCTGGAGTGGTACTTTGCATGCATGTGCATCAATGTGATCCCTGCCTTTATCAACAATTCGTTGACCGACAAGGGCTTGGTCCATTGTGTCACGGTTGCACGTGCCAAGTTGCTCGTGTACGAGCCCTACCTGGAGGGCGCGGTGTCGGACGTCCAGGATCAGCTGCTTGAAAGCTCGCAGCTTGAGGGCTTCTTGCGATACGACGACGGAGTCACGCCGGTCGACGGCGATACCGAGAAAGCGCCCATCGAGGTCGCAAAGCCGCTCGCCAAAAAGATCGAATTTGGTCCCTCAGAGCTGCTCAAGTACTCGGCCAAGCGTGTCCCGGACAAGTACCGAAAGGACATCGAAGAGTCGAGCACCGCTGCCCTCATCTATACCAGTGGTACCACCGGCTTGCCCAAGGCAGCGCTCTGCTCTCACGGTCGTATGGGAACCGCCTGCAGCGTCTGGCCCATCTTCAACGGCTTCACTGCCAAGGACAGGATCTACACGCCCATGCCTCTCTACCACTCTTCGGCGCTCTTCCTGTGCATCTGCGCCTGCCTCTGCTCCGGAAGTACCGTCATCATCGGGCGCAAGTTCTCTGCGCGCAAGTACTGGGACGAGGTGCGCAAGTACGACGCCACCGTAGTGCAGTACATCGGTGAGATTGCGCGATACCTGCTCGCCGTACCACCTTCTCCGCTCGACAAGCAGCACAACGTTCGCATGGCCTACGGAAACGGTATGCGACCCGATGTGTGGGAGAAGTTCCGCGAGCGATACGGCGTCCGCACCATCTCCGAGTTCTTTGCATCCTCCGAAGGAAACGGTGCGCTGCTCAACTACAACACGGGACCCTTTGGAGCTGGTGCAGTCGGTCGAATGGGTACGCTGGCATCCAAGTTGCGACCCGACTTCAAGATCATCCGCGTCGACGCCATCACTGAAGACATTTACCGCGATCCAAAGACGGGCATGTGCATCGAGTGCGGACCGAACGAACCGGGAGAGTTTGTCATGCGCATCGGCAACACTTCCATCTCCAAGTTCCAAGGGTATGCCGACAACCCGGAAGCCACCAGCAAGAAGATCCTGAAGGATGCGCTCAAGAAGGGAGATGCTTGGTTCAGGAGTGGTGATCTGATGAGCAAGGATGCCGATGGTTTCTTCTACTTTGGTGACAGGATGGGCGATACGTTCCGATGGAGGAGCGAGAACGTCTCTACCACGGAGGTGGCGAATGCCCTCGGTCAACTGGTCGGAGAAGCCAACGTGTACGGTGTCCTGGTACCCCAGCACGATGGACGAGCCGGTTGTGCAGCCATTCCTGCAGACGACGCAGCTCGGGTCGACTGGAAGATGCTCGCCGCGGTAGCGCGTAAGAGTCTCCCCAAGTACGCCGTACCCCTCTTCATCCGTGTCGTGCCTACCATGGAGCAGACCGGAACCGTCAAACAGCAAAAGGTGCAGCTCCGAAACCAAGGTATCGAACACGACAAGTGCGGAAGCGATCAGCTTTACTGGTTGCCCCCCAACGCCGATGGCTACCAACCCTTCCTGCCGCAGCACTTGAAAGAGATTCAGGCAGGCAAGGTTCGTCTTTAGAGGAAAAAGCATTGGAAATTCTCAGATCTCGTTGTTTGGTTCAAAATTCTCGAGTGTGTTGCGTGATTTGTGACGGGTGACATTGCATGTGATGTATGGAACGGCTGTTAGGCGGACTCACCGCCGCCGATAAAGTTCTGAACCAGACGTTCGATCTCCGCTTCCGAGGCATCGGGACGCATACGACGAGCCATCTGTCTAGCTTGCTGTCGAACGTTTTCCAGATCCTGTTCGTCTTCCTTGCGCTCCTTCTTGATCTCGGCGTTTTCAGCCTCGGTGAGTTCGGTGACGTCCTTTGCGACGCTGGGCACGGGACTCTTTGCCTCGCTGCGTGGCGCCGGTGCCGGTGCTGGGACGGGGCTGCTGGTCAGGTTCGGGTCGATCTGTCCGGCTGCATCGTCGGCCATCATGGCTGGGTCGAGAGGCAAGTAGGTGGAGGCATTTGCAGAAGGGTCCGCCTTGGCCGATGCGTACGTCGGCATGGTGGGAGGTGCTCCCCGGTGTCCATTGACGTCCGGGTGTGATGACGAGCTGCGACCCACGTGGTACGGTGGGACCTTGTCGGTTGCCGAATGAAGGCCGTGCGTCGAACCGGAGGCGGGATATGCACTCGGCACCGCCGAGGCGTTTGCGGGACTTCGAGCGTAGGTGGGCATGACCTCACGCGGCACATTCGATCGCATGGCCGGCGAGGCACCCTGTGCACCCGGAGCAGACGACGGAGCAGCTGCTGCTGCAGGCGGTGCAGCGGGTGAACGCATCGAATCGCCGAAGCGCGCTTCCCGACCTTCACGCACGTTGTGGGGATCCGTCTCACGCTCGCGTTCGCGCTCGTAGTCGCGGTCATTGCCAAGCCTCTGAGACGGAATCATGGCGGGTGACCTCATACTAATTCGGCCGTTCGACGGCACCACCGGTGGATCGCGTCGCTGGGCTCCGTAGTGTCCTTCATCGCGGCCGTAGGCGCTGCGAGGATACATGCGGTCGTCCAACTCGCTGCCGTAGCCAGAGGCTTGAGCAGCACGCTCCGCTCTGGCGCTGTGGCGCTCGAGAGCAGCTGAGATGACGCGTGTCCCCTCGGGATCGCCGGCATGCAGACGGATCGCTTCGCCCAGAGAGACTTCGATGATGTTGCCAGCTGAATCCCGTACCGGGTGGATGAGCGTGCGGCCGTTCCAGGCAATGTAGAATCGCATCAGCATCGCATCGGTGATGCCGCGACGGTAGAGGTTGTCCATGCCTTCGGCGTGTCTTCGGCGTGCCGACTGCGCCCAGTCGAAGCTGGCGCTGCCGGGCGACGGGTCGACCTTGGCATCCCAGGGAGGAGGCGAGTCCGCTGCGAACAATTCGTCGTTCCTCGCCGACTTGGACGCAGGCGTCTCGGCCACTGACGTCGAAGCAGGCACGATACCGCGTGCTGCCTCGCTCGGGACAGGAGGTGGTGCGTAAGGAAGGGCGCCGCTGTCCTTGGCTGGAGTAGAGTCCGACCGACCGAGGGAGGGTCGTGCCTTGGTGGGAGTGTCCGATTCGAGACGGGCACGCTTCGTGATCTGCGAGTGCACCTCTTCCGCATGAATCGCCGGCGTGAACTTCTCGAGATGCAGGACGATACGTTTGTTTTCCGGGCTGCTCCACGACTGAATCTTGCTGACGGGCTTCTCGAGCGATCGCAGCGTGGCACGAATGTCGAGCCACAGATCTGGATCGGTGACGCCAATGTCCTTGACCCGTACCTCCGCTTGAGGGTACTTGCGCTCGGCCTTGATGCAGCACATTGGGCAGATCCAGGGCTCATTGCCGAGATTCGGCGGGTCATCGAGGCGCACACAGTTGGTGTGGAACCACAGCATGCACTTGTCGCAAGCAATCATGCGACCGCTCTCGGGCTCGTGGCAAAGACAGTAGATCGGCTGACGATCTCGGTACGCGCCGATGCCGATCTCCTCGCGGAAGACGAGCTTGGCACGCTTGCCTCGCTTTGCTTTGCGCTTGCGGTCGTCGCGGATGGCGGGAGAGCCAGAGTCGCGATCAGCGGGTGCAGGAGCACGAGATGAGCTCGGCAAGGGCGCCGCTGTCTCGTCAGAGCGCGATGGAGTCTGCGCCTTGGCACGTTCCATATGCATCGAAGATCCGCCTTCGCCCTGCTGAGGACCGAGAGCAAGCAGATTTTCGCTGATGAGATCGAGCATGTTGACTTTCTCCGGGCCCAAAACATCGACGGGGCAGCCAATGGCTCGACGCAGCCAGTGAGCGAGGATGGCTTGCTTCTGGTCCCTGCGCATGAGCGAGAGGGTCTTGATCATGCGCTTTGCTGCTGTCTCGAAGCGCTTGGCCTTTGCAACCACTTCCTCGATAGCGTCCCACTCAAGCGGCAGGAACTTGAAATGGTCCCGTCGATGGTCTTGATCGTACACGAGCTTGGACAGATCAGTGATGCTAATTGCTTTGCGACTCTTAAGGAAAGGAGCGTTGCCGTACCATGGGCAGAACTGACAGATCCATCCATCTTCGGCGCGCGATACCTCGGACGAACGCACTTTGATGCACGAAAGGTGGTAGCGCACTTGACAGCGAGAGCACTCCGCTCCGGTCGACGAAGGAATGGAGATCGGGACCGAGCTTCGACAGATGCAGTTGCGTACGTGAGGTCTGTACTGGTCGTCGGCAGGATCAGTTGCATTCTCGACTCGCTCCACCAGCTTGTCGAGTTCGCCATCGCGGTCTGCGTCAGTGAGCCGACGCGATCCGCTGGCGACGGTCTGCATGATCTGGTTGAATGTCGCTCGCCAGGCGTCGTAGACCTCGACCGCCTTCTGAACGTCTTGCGCGTACTCGAGATCGAGTTTGTTGGACTTGACGGCGCGAAGCACGCGGCGGGCGTCGGGGAGCAGAGCCATGCGCTCAGCGGCTTCGCTGTTCTCCGAGATCGAGATCATGGATAGATCGCCATCCGCATCGGCTGCAGATGGAACTTGGGCTCCGGCGTGCAAGCTCTTGTACAATGTCTGGAAGGTCTTTTGCAGCTCCTTGGCCTTGGAGAGTGCGTCACTGACGTCTTGCGCAACTTCCAGCACGACAGGCACATCGGTTGAAGCCTCTGAAAGCTCTTCTAGCACACCAACGGTGATGGGCGTGGAACCCGCGAGCGCTTCTCTCGCACGCTCGGTCCAGCGCTGGCCAGCTTCGCGTCTTTGTTCGAGGTCCTTGCGCAGCTCGTGGTCGTTGAGGCCACAGCTATCGGCGCGCTCCAGGAATTCCTGGACCTCGTGATAATAGAGATACGTATCGCGAGATTCTGTCACCTCTTGGATCCACTTGCGGCGTTCGACGTAGTCGGAAAGCTCCTTGATCTGAGGTGCATCAACGTTGAGCGAGCTGCCGAGCGACAGGACACTTTCGCAGTCCTTGAGGTTTGCCTCGGGCTCTTGCCGCAAGACCTCGGTGCATCGGCCGATAAATTCCTCCAACTCCTGCACCATCGAACGGAGAGATGCGATCTCAGGCGCGTCAAAGTGCAGGCTGTCGAGCTCTTCGATCAACGCATACAGCGCTTCGGGACTGCGATCGCTGGTCACGTCGACGTCGTCGGCGGAAGTGTCCATGCTGTACCTTCTGTTGACGCTGTCGTCAGCGCCTGCCCCGCCCTTGGATCGTCGACCTCTCGCACCAGGAACAACTGCAGTCTCGCCGCGTCGCTTGTGGAGCTTGCGGACCAAAAAGACGTTGGCTCGCTCGACCCACGAGTTGGCGCAAGCGACAAAGATCTTGAGATCCTCCAACGGCTCCAGCGAGAAAGCGATCTTTTCGCCTTCGTGCACCAGCGACCTCAGCGTCTTGAGAGGAGGATTGGGACCGAGCGCAAGGGTCTTCTTGAGTCGCTGGATCCAGTTGCGTGGTACAGCAGCCTTCTCGCAAACTTTGGCAAGGATCGAGCGAAGCGCATCGTCCGAGAAGCGCAACTTCAAGGTCCACTTGACGGGAGCGTTCGCGTTGCACACCTCAAAGCCGTGATCCAGGCAGGCGACGCCGTCCGTTTTGGGACTGGTCAATTGGCCTAGATAGGAGAAGAGCGTGCAGTGGGTGCAAATGTACTGGCTCTCGGCAACGTCTTCGTCGTAGACCTCTTCCTTGAGGTCCGGGATGATCTCACGCAGTGCGTTGCGCTTGGCGATCTCGCGGTCGACCATTTCTTGCATGGCTGCCTCCAGCCACACGGCCGTCTCGATGGTCTGGCTCTGCTGCGAGACCGTGATGAGCAGCTGGTCGTGAGAGAATACGGCGGGTTTGCGGAAATGCTGATATCTGCGGACGGATTCGAGATCGTCAAAGATCCAGTCCGGAAGGGCAAAGTTGACAGCTTCGTTGAGGTTGAGACCGTGATTGAAGCCGCTGTGATAGGCCTTGGGGAACGTGACGACGAACTCGTTGGCACGTTGATCGCAGGCTACGACGCGAACGCCCTCCTTTTTGAGCTTCTCCGGGCTCATCATGGTGGTGAGATGGAAGAGCAGGTCCGGAAGCGTTTCGAACAGATCGGGCGCCGCTTTGCGCATGGCGTTCTCAAACTTCTCGGCGTCCTCGCCCGGAATGCCGTACCATGTTTTTGTCTCGCCCCAGTGCTGGTAGTTGATCGAGTAGGTGAAGTGGTCCTCGTTGTGCCAGCAGAAGGTGGAGAAGATCATACCGACGTAAATCCAAGGCACGGTCATGCCAGAGATGTCAGACTTGATGTACTGCAGCAGCGAGCCGGGCAGGATGGGCAGGTTGTTAAGGTTCCACTTGTCGCGCGAGTACGGGCTCAACGGGTGAGTCTCTTGCGTCGGAAGGGCGCTGCCATGCGTGGTCGAGTGCACGTCGGCTCCGTATTCGACCTCGACCTCCTCTTGCTGGCTGTGGACCAGTCTCCAAAACTCGCGCTCCACGTCATCCTCGGACACGACGAGATCTGTGCCATGAATGCGGCGAGCAAGACCATTCGTAACTGAGCCGGGTTCGGACGCCGTCGTGCCCTCGGACTCGGGATTCCAAAGCCGTTCTTGATGCTTGGACCACCAGTCGCGCTTGAAGGCTTCGGCCCGCTGCCAAAAGGTGTAGAGGCTGTGAGTTTCACCGTCATCGAAGCCAAAATCGTGGCCGGTGCCAACGAGGCACGGAGGGCAGAACCACTGCGATTTGGGGACCGAGGTGAGCGCAGGCTGCAGACAGTACATGTGGTAGCCACGGTTGCACTCGTCGCAGAGCAGCATGCTGGGGCCATCCTCACCTCGAAGGCAGATCTCGCACATCTGCTCCTCTTGACCGTTGGCAGCTTGCACGCGCACATGTGAGTCGATTTCGACGTGAGGGCTGACGCCTTTCCTGCGTCTGGAAGTCAGCGATGTAGCAGGGCTGGAGGCTAGCTGCAGTGGGTTGCGCGAGGACGATGCGGGAGTATTCGCCGCCTCCGACTTCTTGCGTGCGCTGCGACGTGTGCTCGCCACGGCCGATGGGCTCTGAGCTGCCAATTCAATTACAGGCGTAGCGTTGGCGAGCGCCTCGGCAGCACCGGCAGCAGTAAAGGGTTCGGGCGTCTTGGCGTGGGCACCGACATCGCCATTGATGGAAGCGTCGAGGCCAGGCGACATTGAGGCGTGCGTGACCCCATTCTCTTGCGGTTCCGTGGATGCGGAATCGCCCATGGTGGCATTCTGGGCCAATTGTGGACTCACAGACGTGCCGTTGGCGCGAGACTGCTCCTTGGCTGTTGCCAAAAATTCTTCGAAGGGCAAGATGATGCGGGTGTAGGCAGCTTTGACCTGTGTGGAAAGCTGACCGCTGTCCTTGTCACTGTACCCGATCTTGCGCGTGACCTCCGACCACTTGCGACCGCGGCAGACGGAATCGAAGCCACCCGAGCTGGAAACGACGAGTTTGAGCTGGTACAGATCGACGGAGCGGCCGTCGATGACGGGGACGTTCACGCGCTTGCGGCCTTGCTGCGCATGGAACTTTTGGAGTTGCTCCTGGTAGTTCTGCGAAGCGCGAGCATCGGCGCTCAGCGAGTTGAGTCGCTGAACGCGAGTGCGGAAGCGGAAAGTCTGCTCGTCGAGCACGCACTCCGGGTTCCAGCCCTCGGGAGGGACGATCTTGACGATACCGTACGCCTTGCCGTTGCCACCGTGGGGGTCTGCGATCCACGAAATGTACTTCATGGGATCTGCAAACTCTTCCGACGTTGGATAGAAGGTCGGCGCCTCATCAAGCTCAAAGAGCCTCGGACGCAACCTCGGTGGTGGATCGTGTGGTGTGCTCGAGTGCACGGGGATGGCAGGCTGTGCCGAGGTAGACGCGGAGGCGGAATCGAAATGCGAGTTGGTGGACGCAGATGTTGTGTCGAAGATCAGAGACGGAAAGGGCTGGTGCTGGAGCATTTTGCGTGCCGGGTGAGCTGCCGGATTGCCGGGCACGGCGGTGAGGCCACTTTGAGTCGAGGCAGCAGCGGCGGCAGCCGCAGCCGATGACGATGACTGACCATCGAGCGGAGACGTTTCTTTGGCCGTGATGGCGGTCATAGCATCTGCTTTGCTCTTGCGACCGAGTCTCTTGGCGGCGGTACTGGCGCCTTTGTTGAGTTCCGACTCGCCGTCGTCAGACTCTTCGTCGCTGTCGCCTCCAGCGCTGGGGCCGAACTCGCGAGACGAGACGAGGATGGGGTCTACACGTCTTGGTCGACCCGGCGACTTGGACGGGCTTGAGGGCGCGGCTGATTTTGTTGGAGAGGAAAGGGGCGAGTCGAACTGAGACGGTGTGGATAGCAGGGCGGATGCGCTCGACGAGGACGCCGGCTCCATCTTGATGGGCTCATGGCCATTGACGGATTTGACGACGATACGCTGAGGAGTGTCGCTCGAGCCGGAGGGCTGCGAGCCCGTCTTTGCTGGGGTCATGGCTGGAGTGAGAGTGATCGGCGTTCCTCAGTCGACGAACAAAGGTGGATTCTGCACGTTGACAGAATTGGACGATGGAGAGCAGGCGCAACGATAGCGAATGTCAGGCGAGGATGGTGCTGAGCGGCGCAAGTGATGTGGTCGTTGGACAAGAGCAGCAGATTCTTGGTGGGTGTATGCACTCTGAGAGCAGTGTACGAGCGCAGCGTCAGCGGCACGTTCCGATGCTGATTACGGCAGCACCGACATGAACCTCGAAGCCCGAGCTGTGCGTTACTGCCAAAACGACGGCCGATCTGACAAGAGCAATGTACAGAACAGAATGTCGCAACGCAAGGGATCACTGTAGTTGGAGCAGAAGTGTCGATCAAGCGGGTTCTGCTCGATTTGATAGCCACACAAATTCGAAACCTGCCCGAGGCGTGCTCGATCAAAGCACAGTGGCCAAGCGCCGATCGAGGGGCAGAGGAGCAATCAGGGCGACGAATGTTCGAGCTCTGGGAGAGATGTGAAGAGACGGTAGGAGGGCGAAGGACGTCGCTTTCCAAAGGTGGCGGTGGTAGCGTGAGTCGTGACAACGTCGTTGGTCGAGCACACGATCACAGAACCCGAAAAATGGCTCAGATGATGAGGAGGGCCCTACGTCCTCCAGTGGCTCGCTACACTCACACACACCACGGTCAGAGCCTGTCAAAAAGAAAAGGCTCAGCGTGCATTAATCTTGGTGCAGAAGCAACGGCAGCTAGAACTTAGCAGCAACCAGTGTGTGGGTCTCCAGCCTCACTAATTTCAACGGGAAAAAAAGTGGGTCGCAAGGAGGGCCGGCCTGGGCTTTCGAAAATCTGCAGCGCGAGGTTTCAGGGACATGAATTGCACACTGCCAGTGCGCCCCTTCTGTCAAGCACGGCGAAACTCGCCGTCTTGCCGCGTGAAGCTCAGCCCAGAAGCGCTCGCCCTTTTGGACGGGCTCCCTTCGCCCTATCTCTCGCCCGACTCCTCCGCGCAGAGAGCTCTCCTTTGCCGAGCCCGCCCGCCTGTCGGTTTTGGCCACGGCACTATTCCACCCTGTCCAATAAGGGAAATCAGCGGTCGTCGCCTTGACTCTCGGCTCGTGCCTGGCTCTGCTTCCGGTTCCGCCTCTGATCCTGCTTTCTGTCTCTGCCTCCCTCTCCCACGCGTGTCGGTAGTCTTCTCCTCTCAACCCTCCCGAGCTCGCGCCTGGAAACAGCTTCCGTTCGATGGATGAGAGGGACTGAAGAATTGATCGAGTCGGCGTAGTGTTGTGTGCGTCTCATTTCGCCGCCTGATGCCAGGACATGTTCAATTGCAATGGTCAGCACGCTGTCGACCAGCCAACAGCCCGATACATGTGTCACTGGCTGCTAGCATTGCACTGTCGGAATATCCCTGCTATCTTGTCATCACGTGAGGTGCAGACCGAACTTGCCGAACTGCACTAGTACCTGCCTGTTCCTTATCTGAACGAGTGGTGCAACGACCAGACACGTGTGCTCATCGGCTCGAGACCCAGCATTGCTCGCCTCACATCTCAATGTGGCATCTACACTGCTCCGCCTCGCATGCTCGCTGGTCAGTCTCATCGCACCACATACACAAACAGACAGGAGGTGATCAGAGGTACGAAGCTGGGTAATTGCGAATCGTGCACGAGGAATGCGTCAATATAATCGAGAACGGAGAAGAAGAAAAAATGATAAGAGAAGGGCGAAATCGAAGGAGAAGTAGTTTTATACGTGACGCAAGCAAACGTGTTGCTGCTGCGCCGTCGAGGACGATCAGAGTGGGTCCTGAAAAATTAAGTACCGGTCAATCGTGAAGAGAGTGTAGATCTAGTTGGAAGGTTGAGGCGCACAGGCACGATAGCTCGAACAACGGCTACGGCCTCGGCCAAAGGGAGAAGGGCGAAGCGTGGGGCCAAAGCCGCCGCCGCTGTCCCTGCAGAATTGCTTCTGCAGAGAGAGCCAGACAGCACATCGTCCGCGATTCGATTCCGAAATTTCGGGGAGAGGCGGCAGCATTACATCTACTCGTCCTCGATCTCGGTGCGTGGGTGGAAGGCCCAGAGATCCTCGCCGTCGTCGTTCTTCTCGTGGACGATGGTGAGACGCTGCAGGTTGACGAAGAAGTCCTCGAGGAGCGGGTTCTTCTGCGATCGGGTGCGGCGTCCGAGGTTGTTGAGCCAGGTCCACTTGTTGAGCAGGTAGTAGACGGCACCGACGATGGCGGTGACACCGATCGAGTAGGCGTAGACACGAACGACAGTGACAATGTCGGTCCAGCCACCGTGGGGAGCGGTGACAGGGTTGCGGTGAGGAGCGCCCGAGAGCCATCCGAAGAGACAGAAGAGGGTGGCAATGACATCGACACCGAGAACGGCGCCGACGAGCTGCCACGAGGGGAGCGTGATGTCGGATTCACCACCGCCGAGACGTGTGATGAAGATGAGCCAGTTCTCGGTGAGCGACACTTCGAGGAAGAGGATCTCCTGGGTGTTACCAAAGTTGGCGATGACACCGCCGTTGTTGAGGAAGAGCGTACCGCGGATGATCCAGGTACCTGCGGCGAGGAGGAGACCGAGGATGACCGAGATGATCCAGATCTTGGGCAGCTGCCACTCGACGGGAGCCTTGGCGTGGGGAGCGTTGTCGTAGGCGATGGCGATGGTGGCAACGTCGGCGAAGAGGGCAATGAAGACGATGAGGTTCGATCGGATCACCTCGTCGAGGATGAGGATGGTGAGCACGAGGTAGATCTCGAGGTGGAGACAGAGCGAGATACGGTACTGGATGTAGGCCTTCATGCGGTGGAAAATCTGACGGGCGACCTTGATCGAGGTGATGATGGTCGAGAGACCCTCGTCGAGGAAGACGACATCGGCAGCAGATCGGGCGGCGTCCGAGGCACCTTCGACGGCGATACCACAGTCGGCCTTCTTGAGCGAGGGGGCGTCGTTGACACCGTCACCGGTCATGGCGGTCAAGTGGCCACGGTGCTGGAGCATCTCGACGACCTGGTACTTGTGTTCGGGGAAAACCTCGGCGAAACCGTCGGCAGCCTCGACAAAGTCGTGGATGGCCGAACCAGACATACCGCCGGCGCCGATGAGACGGTGCGAGTCGTAAACCTTGGTGCCGAGGGCAAGCATCTTGCACGTCTCCTTGGCGATAGCGACGGCGTCACCGGTAAGCATCTTGACCGAGATACCGAGCGACTGGGCCTCGGCGATGGTAGCAGCAGTGTCGGAACGGGGAGGGTCGAACATGGGCAGCAGACCGAGGAGCTTCCACTGGCCATCGGTGTTCATGGCGACACCGAGCGAACGGAAACCACGCGAGGCAAAGTCACCAGCCACCTTTCGGTACTGGGCGGCGGTTTCGGCGTCGGGAGCGCAGAGCTTGAGGATCGCATTGGGGGCACCCTTGGCAGCAATGTACTGCTTGCCGTCCTTCTCGACTTCGGCGGTGATGCGCTTGGAGACGGGGTCGAAGGGGGTGAACTTGTGGGTGGTCCAGCCGGAGGCGAGCTCGTCCTGGGCGCCGGGGTAGTCCTTGAGCGTCGAGATGGTGACCTTGTCAATGGGGTCGAGCGACTTGACGTTGTGCGACGAGGCAAGAGCGGCGACGGCCATCATGTAGTTGACGTCGACACCCTCCGAGGTGAAGGGCTCGTGGATGGAGAGCTTGTTGGCAGTGAGAGTACCAGTCTTGTCGGAGCAGAGAACGTCGACACCGGCGAGCGACTCGATGGCAGTGAGCTTCTGGACGATGGCCTGGCGCTTGGCAAGGTAGGCGGCACCGACGGCCATGGTGGTGGTCGTGACACAGGGGAGACCGACGGGAACACCAACAATGAGGAAGATCAGGGTGTAGATGAGCAAGTTGTTGTCGGTGGGCGTGGCGATACCAGTGTTGCGGAAGAAGCCGCCGATCCAGAAGATGAGGGTGAACACGATGACGAGGAAAAGCAGAGCGGAGCCGATGGAGCCCATGACCTTCTGGAAGTGACCCTCGGTCTCGCCACCAAGGACGAGAGCGGCAGTACGACCGACAAAGGTCTGCTTGGCGATGTCCGTGGCGAGAACGTAGGCCTTTCCACGCTTGCAACCGGTAGTGTAGAAGACGGTGTCGCCGATGTGCTTGTCAACGGCGAGCGACTCTCCGGTGATGGCCGACTGGTCACAAGCGATGATGGCGGGTCCCTTGTCGACACCCTCGTCATCGTCATCGTCGCCGTGGCGGGTAGCGCGAGCCTTTTCGAGGATGGCGGCGGCCTGGGAGCCGTCCTTGTCCTCGTAAGCAGCCAAAACGCGGCCGTCGCAGGGAACCGTCTTGCCGTCCTCGATGACGACAATGTCACCGGGAACAAGGTCACGAGCCTCGATCTCGACCTCGCGGCCGTCACGGACAACAGTGGAACGAAGGGCGATACCAGCCTTGAGCTGGGCAACAATGTCACCGGCCTGCTTCTCCTGGTACCAACCGACGAAGGCGTTAAGGAGCAAGATGGCAATGATGACACCAAAGTCGATCCAGTCACGGAGACCGGCGGCGAGGATGACGGCGAGTTCCATCACGTACAGGACAGGACCACGGAAGAAACCGATAAACTTGAGGAGCAGGTTCTCCTTGGGAGACTCGAGCTCGTTGTAACCGAAGAGGGAGCGACGGTGGCTGACCTCGGACTCGCTGACACCCTTGAGCATGTCGGTCTCGAGCCACGAGGCGGGGACCTTCTGGGCGACCTCCTCGGCCTCACCGTGCTTGTTGACACGGATCTCCTTGGTCTGCCAGAAGAAGGGGAAGTTGCGCTTCTTGACAACATGAGTCTCGTCAGCGCCCTCATCGTCGCCGCCAGCCGTTTTCTGGGCGCGAATGAACTCGATGAGGGTGGCGTACTCTTCCGAGACGCCCTCGATGCCCTTCTCGTTCCTACCCTCTTGGGTAGCCGAGCTGTCAGACATGATGAAGTGGAACTCTTAAAGAGAGATGCTTGATGACTGCAGCGAATATCCACGAATCGATAGGGAAAATTGCGACGAGGGTCCAGGAAGGGACGGGCAAGTAGGCGAATCAGAATGGAGGGGGAAATGTGTCAGCTGTCTGTGCTCTGCGTAGATGTGCAATCCACAACTTTGCTGTATGGCTATGCGGCTGAAGAGGACGTTGTCCGATGACATCCGATAGGGGTCGCTCCAGCGGCTGACTCCTTGCAAGATCCGCAAAAAAACGAGCCGCAAGGAGATTTGGAGGTATCCAATGATGTGTGCTGCAGGGCCGTCCATGCGAGCCGGCGGCGCTAGAGATGTCGATGATGCTGGCTGTGGGTGCGCTCTGCACTGCCGTGTACTGTGAACCTTCGAAAAGATACTCACGTCTTGTTGATTTGGGATTGGCTCAATCAATTGCGATCGGCACTGGAAGAAAAGGACTCCCTGTCACTCTACCAAACGGTACTGATTCGACGATTCGAAACAGTAGGATGGGTAGACGGTGAAGTGCGCTTCGACAGACGTTGGTCGTCGTTTGCGAGAGAAGAGGGGGAAGGGAAGAGGGAGGGGATCTTGAGGATGATGGTGAGGAAGGAGAAGAGGAAGAGGGATGGCGTTGACGAGATAGCGACAAGGGAAAGCGAAGCACAACCGCCCTTGTGTTTATGAGGCCAAGGCGACGAGACAGAGCGGAAGAGGGCGACAACGGCTCGCTTGTCCAGGTTATCGGATTCCAAGGCGAGAGCGAAAGCGGCTGGTGCGCACAGAAGCACTTCAAAGAGCGGAGCAATCAGCAGCGGCAGCAGCAGCAGCAGCAGCCGCGCAACGGCAGAGCAAAATTACGATTGCGGCGGACAACGAGAGGGCAATATAGGATGACAAGCGAGGAGAGCGAGGGAAATTGTTCGAGGGCTTTTCCCCTGCCCTCTCGAAGAGTGCGCACCCGGGATCCAAAACAACAAGCGAGGGCACGGCAGAAATGGAGGACAAAACAGATGCAGAAAAAGCACGAAAACATCAGCGCCCGCCTTCTGTGCAGGTAGAAATTATCGAAGCCGCATTTGCTCTCTCGTCGACGCACGGGTCGAGACAAGTGAATTTCCACCAAAATATTTTGAAATGCTGCAAACGGCGCACGGAAGCTGTAGAGTCGATCAGCTAGCTGTTCTCCCTGCTGCTCTGCCGCATTTCCTCCCTTCCCTGTACTGTGCGCTGCAGCCAATTTCAACCGGCGCACCAGTCTGCCGTTGGTTCTGTCAACCCCAACCTCGATTTCGCAGCGCATGGCTCGAGAGCGTCTGCGCTGCAACAAAAAAGAAAGATGCCCCCGATCAAGAAGAGGAAAATAAAGCCGATTCGTCAACAGCAACCACGCCCATCTGGTATTCAGAACATCGGAGGCCTCTCGTCATCGTCGAACGTCACCAAAGCCGGCACCGGTGCGAGCGGACGAAAGTTTGCCGATACTCTTGAAAAGCGTACGCAAAGAATGTTTGCCAGAAGCTCAGTGGGGGACCTAAGAGGTAGATCCAATGGAACCGATCACCTCCAGGGCTCTCAGTCACTCGTGCCTCGCCGGCGGCGCTGCACCTCTGCAGCAGCGGAACGGCATTTCCGACTGCAGAGTCGACAGGATGAAAAGCAGTCATGACACTTTCTTGCATCTGGCTCGCTAAAAGCAGCGGCAGAGGCTGGTCGCTTCCAAAAAAAAATAAGTCGCAAGGCTGCAGGTCCAGAGCGCGCAGAGAGGAGCAAAGTTCGAAATCTGGTGCATGTGGACCCCAGACTGCACGACAAATTGGAAAAACAGGCACGGATCCGGCTTGGATTTGCAACCGCCGATGACAGGTGCAGCAGGTTTTCGGCATCTGGCATCGAGCTGCTCTCATCCCATTGGAGCACCATGGAGATCGTCATCAAGTGGGAGCGCACACGGATCGTCCTGGCTGGCGTCGCAAAGGTCACGGCGAGAGAAATCCGACGCGATGTCGAACGCACATTCAGAAAAACGATGAGACCCACGGAAGCTGAAGTCCGCTCGTCACGCTAACGTCTGCGTACAGGCAGGCAGTCGGTCAGCATACAGCTTCACAGAGCCTTGGAGAACCTCCGTTGGTGTAGATCGGCAAAATTGATTTCATTGCGAAGACCTTGATCGCGTATCTCTCGCTCTTTCCGGGCTTATGGGTCTCACGCTGTTGAGCAGAAAAAGCTGCACCACGAGGCTGGAACAAGATTGGTCGCACGCACTTCGGCCACCTTCGGTTCTGTAGGAACGATATGGGCCCCACGCCGCTTCTTCGAACTGACTGCGTACCGTACGCTCATGGTGGTGTTTTGATTGCTACGGCCCGACGGTCGTGAAGCACGTCGGATGCACGTCGCTTTCTTTCGCCTGCAGAAAGCGATGGCGGTGGCTGCTTGTTTTGTTTTCAAGGAGGAAAAGTCAGAGATGCACCGTAGATGTTTTTCCACTCCAGTTTTCTTACTTTTTTCCTTCTTTCCAGAAGGAATTTCCAACGCCTTGCTTGGCTGCTGCTGCTTTGCTGCGTCCCTGTCACACTCCTCCGCGAGGACGACGACGAAGGAAGCTTCGGTTGCTTTGAGAATGGTGTCCGCGTACATGGGTAGTTGAAGCAAGTCGGCCTAGTCATTGCGACGTGGTCAGACAGCGGGATCTCGCAACTCACCCTCCAATGCGGAGCAAGTCGCAAGATCGTCGAGGCGCAGCAGCACGCATATGTGGGCCGGCTTTCTCAGTGCCTCTTCGTGAGCCCGGGCCTCGGATTGCCGTTTGTGGTGAAGGCGACAAGAGCAGCTTCGGGCTTGTCTGGGGCGCTTGTCTCTCGTCGTGTCGAAGCTTGCCTGTTGTTGGCATCACACGCCCACGTACCGCAAGGAGCCAAGCGCAGTTCGTCGCCGTGTGCCTCATAGTCGCGCCATCTTTGGAGCTCCTTCGCGGCTTTCGCTACGATGATGGTGCACTTGCGTCAGTTTAATCGGTGTTCGTCGACGCAAACAATAGTCGTTCAGACCTAGCGAAGTATGCACTGCGCGCTGGACCGCGGCATTGTCGAACCTACCAGCCGGCTCTTCCGATGCACGCCTGAGCAGGCAAAGATCAGCAATGCTGACGCCAGTCCGCCCTACACGGCGTGAAGGCGTCATAAGGCAGCTTCCCTGACAGACGGCGAGCACCCGTGTGGACACGACTGGAAGAGCCTTCGGCTCGAAGGCATTTGTATGTCCGACATTTCGAGATAAGCTTTGTGACAAGGTCGCGAGCCAGAGAGGCGCTTTTGTTCGGCACGCCCACGAGCTCAGAGCGACCAATCAGAATTCGTTGAAACTGTTCCGGACGACAGCAGCCGATCTCACCGCAAGGAACAAAAGTCCTCCCGATCACGAACATCCGTCTCATGTCATCTGTCTGTATGCCCGCACTTTGTTCGCTCGGAAGATCACCGCTCGCACTGGACGGAATCGCCGCTCATTCCATGGCGCCTTCATTGCGAGGCGTCCGCATATCTGGCGGCGATTGCTCTCCGGAGCAGCGCAAGGGACGCGGCGGTGCCACTCGACAGTCTTTTGTCAGCTTCGCAACATCGCAGTCTGTTGTTTGAGCCTGCCACGTTTGAGACGACCGAAAACTGTCCCGCCAAGTCGGGTATGCCGAGACCTGGCTCTCTCTTGAGAATCAACGCCGCGGCATTGCCGTTGTCGGCTTTGCTCGCAAGACTCCACCACCGCTCCGAACCATGCGGTCGCCCCTGAGGAAGTGGGCGAGAAGGTCCGAAACCGTCCATGCCGAAGTCAGTTCGAAATTTTCCGAGCGACCCTCGCCCGCTCTCGCCATTCCGATGCCGTTCAGTCCTGTCGGAACCCCTTTCTCACAGCGTCACGTCGCGTCAGGTGGGCCCAGGGCAGAGTAAGCGCCGTGCAGGATGGCAAAGACGGCTTCTGCTCCGCCGGCCGGATCGATGTTCTTCCAAGAACCTACTGAACGAAAGGCAAGCGCAGCCGCTGAGCAGACACGCTATTGTCCGTACAAATCTCCGCTTCGAAAAATGTCACGCGAAAAAGGAGGCTCTGAAATGAGACCAAGACCGTCTTGACAACTTTAACATTTTTACTGATGGGGCTTAACTCAAGGTGATACAGAGAAGCTCTACCGGTCCGTCCAGAGTCGGATCGTGCGCAGAGGGAAAGACAGACAGTGCAAGGGGTTCGAGCGCCGAAACCTTTGGCCTTTGCAGATCCACTACCTTTGCCTTGAGCCCGAACGACTCGAGCGACGCTTTGAATGAGTCGTACGTCTTCGAGTTACGGATTGTGCTAGCCACCAGAGCCTTGCACGCCCCCGTGCCTGCCTGCAGACAAGCTCGAATCGTCTCTACCAACGGCTCGATGAGACCGGGATCGTACACCACATCAGCGGCGAGGATCAGCGTCGGTCTGGCTTCTGCGACGAACCTGACGGTGGGCAGATCGTCTCGCTGTTGACTTTGCTGACGTTCAGCGACGAGCTCTAGCCAGTCGAGCTCTTTGACCTCGACGATGCCACTGGCTGCGTCGAGGCCGTTCAGGTGCAGAGTATCACGGAGGCGCGCCGACACCTGTCCAGGCATATCGGTCATGAACGTGTGCACATCTCGTTGCGAGGATGACATCTGCTGAGTCGCGCAAATTGCTCCAACTATTCCTGTTCCTGATCCGAGCTCCAGAATACGTGTACCAGGCGATATAATCACGGAAGGATCGCTGATCAGATGCGCCGCCAAACGCAGCCCAGCTTCCCATGCACGCAGTCCTGTGGTGCCCTTTGAGATGGCAGTCCCTTCTTGCCGGATCGTGACACTCAGGTAGCACTTGAGCAGATCAACGTCCTCGTCGTCCCCGCCTGTCGTCGATGTAGACGTCGCCGATGCAGGCCACGAGTGCGTAGTGAACTCGGCGTCTGGAGTAGATCCCGCCGCCATCACTGATGCGCCAGAAGAGCCGGAAGCCATCACTTCGATGTACCTTTCGAGCAGCGCCGCATCAACCTCTGGATACTCGATCTCGTCTACGCCCTGTGCTCGGAGCACTTTGCACTCCTCCTGAACCGCAGCATCGAGCCTTGCGCACAGCTCGCGGAGAAAGAGTGTTCGGTACCTCGTGGAAGCCTCAAACCTTGGGTTGTGAAACAGATCGTGATTCAGTCTGCCTTGAATGCGTAACAAGACTGCATGCGACGGCCATACGAATGCCTGTGACCGTGGCGGGATTCGTGCTTCGTATTGGAGAAGGAGGACCCGACGTGCGTGTCGTAGAGTTGATGGCCCCGGGCCGTCGTCTTTCGTAGGCCCACCGAGTGCGCTCATCGGATGCCAGCCAAACCGAACGATGGTTCGGAATAAGGCGCAAGATGTGTGTGTTTTCTGTCAAGAAGAAAGACTAGAGCGAAGAGCCTTAGCTCGCGCTGAAAGGCAGCCTGTCCAGAGAATGTTGCCCGCCCGCCTTCCGCACGGAAATTCCAGACTCGATGCTGTCCCAAAGTTACACTCGACGCGTAAATTGAAGAGTCGCGCGTTCTTGGCTCGAATAACCAACACGTTGATTTCTGGACACAAAGCTCAGTTCTTGCGGCGTGGCGCAGCACTTCCAAGCTGCGCAACCGACTTCTTCGAGGCCATTCACATCCTTCTCCACACCATCCTCACTCATCCCCACATTTCCCTCGATCGGATCGTCCTCTCATCATGTTCAACAACGGTTAGTGTTTGATGGCACCTTTGGCGGCACCGCCAAAAGCCTCAGAGGCATAGCCATCGTATCCCGATCCTTGCAGGAGCAAGCATGTGACTGACAAGGAGCAATTGTCTCATCATCTTGTTTTTCTGCTTACTCCATCGTCCAACGGGGCTGTACCCAAACCTTAATGCGATCACGAAATAGGCTTCGGAGGAGAAAGCAACCCATACGCTCAGAACTATGCAACAGGAGGAGGGGCGAGCGGAGGAGGCTTTCTAGCCAACGGAAGCCAGAACGATTCGCCGAGCGGAAAGGTTCGTAGACAGCAAAGTGCTTCCGCAACGTCAACCAGCAGATATATAGATCAACCTCGGCTGACAAGTCTCCATCCCTTCTTTCTTCATCGTACACCATCCACGCACCGACCGATCTGCAACGGTCTCTCGCAATCACGTAACGCTTTTCGACAACTATGGTTGCGAGTCAACAGAGAGCGGGCAACAACACCTTGCGCCCCGTCACCATCAGGCAGATCCTCAATGCTGAACAGCCGCATCCCGATGCCGATTTCACTCTCGATGGCGCCGAGCTCGGTCAATTGACCTTTGTTGCAGTAGTTAGAAACGTCTCGAGGAACGCTACCAACGTTGCGTACAGCGTCGAGGATGGAACCGGTCAGATCGAGGTGCGACAGTGGCTTGACAGCTCGAGCGATGACAGCTCCAAGACCTCCGACATTCGGTAAGTGCTTCTTGATTGCAGCGCTTTTGGTCCGCATTTCGACCAGATGCGGATCTGCTCGTCTTGCAAATGGGACCTGGAGAGGTGATTGCGGAGACACGCGGAAGGGGCGTGACTGATTGCTGACCCGCACACATCTTTTGCGTCCGCACCTTGCAGCCAAAACGTCTACGTACGAGTTCTCGGCACGCTCAAATCCTTCCAGAACCGACGCTCCATCTCTGCGGGACACATGCGACCCGTAATCGACTACAACGAAGTCATGTTCCATCGACTCGAAGCCGTCCACTCTCACCTGCAGGCTACACGTGGACCCAACGCATCCACCGCCAACGGCGGTGCTCCCACCGCGCTCTTCAACCAAGGCGGAGCAAACCAGAACAACGACATCAACGCCTACTCGGGCAGCAACAAGCAAAACATCCTCGACCAGTACAAGAGCCTCGACGAGCTGCCGAGGCAGATCATGGCGATCGTCACGCAGGAAGCCGAGAAGCACCACGATGGTGTCCATGTCAACTTGATCGCCAGGATGTTGAAGGGGGTGGATGTGAGCGAGGTCAAGAGTGCGGTCGAGGATTTGAGTTCCGAGGGGTATCTGTATACGGCTGCTGATGACGATCATGTGCTGCCTACTGCGTGAGTGGGCAGGAGGAGTTGGGAGCGTCGAAATGCAACGTCTTATTGCCATGTCGTACGCTGTCGGGGTCGGAGCGAAGATCCGCGAAGATTGTGGTGAGCAGAGGGTGCGTGAGAGGCAAGTGCGGGAGCGCGAGGTGGAGCAGAAACGCCCATGGTTGAGCTGGAGGGAGTTGACCAGGCGTGCAGTGCGAATGCTGAGGCAACGTTGGTGAGAGGAACACGTCAATGCACATACACGTGAAAGTTGAACGGCTTGATCACAGAAGGATTGAGAGGACGATTGATATAGATTGCGATTTCACAAAGCGCAGCGATGGGAGGACAAGATTCGATGATGATTGTGTTTCTAGTAACCACCGCCGTAACCGCCGCCGTAACCACCGCCGCCCTGGTTGTACCCGCCTTGGTTGTATCCGCCCTGGTTGTAGCCGCCTTGACCGTATCCGCCGGGATCAGGGTATTGCTGTGGTGGCTGCTGGCCGTAGCCTTGGGGTGGCCCACCGTATCCTCCGCCCTGCTGCTGTCCGTATTCGGGTTGACCGTAACCTCCGCCGTATCCGCCTTGTCCGGGGGGAGGTCCAGCAGGAGGCGCGTAACCGTCGTGACCACCGAATCCGCCGTGTTGACCCGTCGGCTCGGCTTGTGGGAACGACGGCCGGTTGTGCTCGTACGAACTCTCGTTCTCGTCGCGTCTACCGCCGTAGCTAGAGTCTCTTCCAGGTCCTCCGGGACCACTGTGCTCATACGAACTCTCATTTTCGTCGCGTCCACCGCCGTAGCCAGACTCCACTCCAGGTCCTCCAGGGCCACCTGAACCACCTTCGGGAAGTTCACGGAAGAACTGGTTGCCACCGGGGATGCGTCCACCGACAAAACCGTGCACCTGGTTCGACACGTAGTTGCTCGCATAGCCCGCCATCTGCGCTCCGATGCTGTTGCCACCCCCTCCACCACCACCGCTGCTGCCGGGATAGCCTCCTCCTCCTCCACCACCACCGCCACTGCCGTAGTGGTGGTTGCTCTGGAAGTTGTGGGCGGCCTGACTGTTGGCACCGCCCATGAAGGAGCTGATGTTCGGCTGATCGTCGCCGTGCGTGTGAGGTTCCGCCTTTCCAGAGCGCGTGTTGGTGTGGGCTCGCACGCTCTGCTTGCTCAGCCGTCCGATCTCGGTCGAGTGGCTCCTGGCCCAGTTGGCGACGTAGTCCATCATCTCCTTCTGCACCGGCGCAGCACCTTGCTGGTTGAACCAGTACGGGTGGAACATGGGCGCAAGGCATTCGTCCGCAACGCGCGCAGCATCGAGGCTGCGATCGTCCCACGCCTTGACAACTCGGGTCACAGTGTTGCGTACAATGATCTTGGCAACGTTGCCAGCGACCTCGTTGAGGATGAGACCGAAGTGGTCTTTGCTGAGCATCGAGTGGGTCGGGTCCGAAGCGTTGGGGTCGTCGAACACTTCGAATTGCTCCTGCTTGTTGATGACGGCACCGGATCCCATCTTGAGAGCGCTCATTCCCTGTTCCATGATCGGCTTCGCATACGGCTCGATGAGCGTCAGGGTAAAAATCGACAGCTCATTGCCCAGCTTCTCCACGAGCGCATTGAGACCAGGGATCTTTTCAATCGTGCCTGCGATGCCCTTCATGATGCGGTCGCGAAGTTCGAGGATCTTCCAGAGGTTGGCGTACATCTCCTGTGGAGACATCTGGGCAGGGTCGGTGACGGGACCGCGGGAGACGTCCTCGAGATCGCGCGAGACGTTGCTGCCGCCACCGCCGGGAATCTTGGTGAGCATGCCGAGGAGGTCTTGGACAGAGCTGCGGTTGTTACCGCTCGACTGCCGCTTGGCGTCGTCCATGGCCTTGTTGAGATCCGAGATAGAGGCTTCCGACAGGTGATCCTGAGCCTCGCCGAGCAGCGAGTGAATAAAGTCGGCACTTCCGAAGGTTCCCGTGACGACGGGTGCGATCTGTGTGCCATCGGGAGCACGCACTTTGACATTGTCGCCGACGTGGAGGAAGACGTTGCGATTGCCAAGACGGTGGAGAGCAAGTTCGGTCCAGTTGCTGTGGGCGGGGAAGTCCTCGAGCGTGTGAAGAGCTTGACCCAAGAGGCGGTACGCCTCGTACAAATCTGCCTCTTGACCGCTGTCACGAGCGCGTCGGCCCATCTCGATGACGCGGACAAGCGTGCGGCGAATGAGACCCGAGCCGGTACGCCATCCTCCGCTTTCGTTGGCGAGGTAGTTCTTCATACCGGAACGGGGGTCGATCTCCAGCTCCTGCGGGTTGATAGGCTCGCGAAGACGCGGGTCATATTCTCGGGCGTCCTTGCCATCCGCGTAGCCCTTGGGATTGTCGAGGTGCTCTTCGGGTAAGTAGACGCCGAGCCTCTCGTCGGTGACCTGAAATTCAGCGGTAGCGTAGCCGTGAGCCAAGAAGCCAAGCACCATGACGAGGTTGAGGATGGCCTGCTTCGACATCTTTTGCAGGGCAGCCACGTCCATGGCCTGGCTGTAGTCGCGCAGCCAGTTGCCAAAGTAGGTGCGCTTGATGTCGAGACCACCGAACTTGCTGTTACCGAAGAGGGAGCCACCGGCCTTTTTGAAGAGTTCCTCAAGGATGTCTTCAATGTCACCGTGACGGAAGGCCTTGCCTTCCATAAAGGCGTAGGAGGGGATGTTGCCGGCGCCGAAAGCGTAGGCGCCTGGAACGGCGGAGATGGCAAAGACGAACAGAGTCAGCATCGCGACAAAGAAGAAGCGGCCGCCGAGCCAGTTGCGGCGCGAACCCTTCTTTGGGTTGCCGACAGCCGCATCACGCGGCGGACGGAGGGAGGCATCGTTGTTGATGAAGAGATCGCTGTCCTGCGAGGCATCGGCCAGGGCATTCTCGATCTCGGGATTCGAAGGCACCATGGTTGATCGAGCGTCTTCACGAACGTTGTTCAGAGGGTCTGAAGGGTCTTGATTGGGTTGAGCAGTGTCTGAAAGGGCGGAAGCTTCAACGGCGAGCTCGTCACGGACTGCGTTGACGATCTCTGCGGCTTCTTTTGCGAGCGCGTCGATGTCTTCTTCTGCGTCCGAGTCTGTGAGGTGATCGGAGTCGACTTCGAGAGAGCTGATCGCGCCTTTATCAACGGATCGCTCGATGTCCAACTGGTCCTGAGTGGACTGGATGAGGGCGTCGATCTCGTCCTGCTCGTCGCGTGGCTGTGCGCGCGAGGGAGCTGAAGCGATGTCTGGCAATGCAGCTCGAGGCTGAGGCTTGGAAGGGGGGACTTTGCCGCTGGACTGTAGGTCGCGAAGCCTCTCGAATAATTGCTGATCCGTATCAGCCTGTTGGATCGTATGCGTCGTTTGAGCTCTACCACGTTTGGCAGTAGATATTCTGGAGTCGGACTGGGTCGTGTTGGGAGGGATAGAGGAAGACGCTTTCGGAGTATCGGGTTGACGGCCTTGTCTGAGCAAGCGAAGGCGTTCTTTCAATCTTTCGTCAGTCATTCAGCAGATGATGCGTCTGTGGAGGGAAAAGGCGATGGGTCGTACGCAACTCTGACTGTGATTGCAGAACTCTAAGTTGCCTGAAACGAAGTGTTCGGTCCAGACCTTGCTTCATCGGCTGTGAAGACGTGTGGCGCAGTCGACACAGGGCAGCTCGACCTGCAACCTGAGTTGGAAGATCCACAACACTTTTCACGCTGATTTGGCAGAGCGCAGAGCGTGCGAGTTTAGTGCGAGCTTTGACAGCTTGGAAAAAGCTTGGCGCTTGACCTGAGCGCGAAGAGGAAAAGCACAGCCAACGGAAAGGGGAGGCGAAGGGGCCGTGCGCGGCTGTGCTACCGCTTTCCCGCGTGCTTGCAGTGGTTGTCGTGCGACTCCGTCTCGTCTTCTAATCAGGCCCTAGCGACTTATAATCAGTAACCGAACCTCTTGATCGCTGACAATAATGCAGGGAAACATCACAGAGATGCAAGTAGTGAACATCTTCGATCGTCTGTTGTCACACGAAGCACACCAATGCTGGATACCGAAGCACGAGGTTTGCATTTCGAATCGATGGTATATAACAACTATTGGTCGCCACGACTGCACTGTAAGCTGCTTTAGCTCAGTGGTTAGAGTAGTACCTTTACAACCTCTTCTTTGTAAAATTACGGTATTGGTCACAGGTTCGATCCCTGTAAGCAGCAATTTGATCTGGTTCAAATTTCGTTTCTTCTTTTTGTGCTACTGTGATTTTTGCTATGTCCGCCAGCACCCGTCTGACACAATGTTCGGAAAGCACCGAATCTTATCATCTCTTATCATCTCGGCTGAACGAAGGAGCATTCGCAGGGGTCTGTACAGCCCCAGCTTTTGCTTCCACCAGCGCAGTGTCATACCTTTTCACACGCACTCACTGAACGATAAGCAGAGCGTAATGAAATCGTATTCAGAGATTGTAGAAGGTTCGAATCACATGAGATTTTAGGGTAGCTGGTCGTTCGAATACATTTCTCTTCAGTCGGCTAGAAGAGCAACGAGGCTGCCTCCTGTCCCACTGCTGTCGACAGCGCAGCAGCTTATGCCTGGTAGGTGGAAGCCGAGACGTTACCACCACGGCCGGTCCAGTTGATGTGGATGTCCTGGCCCTCAGGGAGCTTGGCGCTGGCGTACTGGGGCAGGATGCGGAAGGTGTGGGCACCAAAGTAGTCACGCTGGGCCTGGAGGAGGTTGGCGGGCAGCTGCTCGCGGCGGTAGCCGTCAAAGAAGGCAAGCGCGGTCGAGAAGGCGGGGGTGGGGATACCCCAGAGGATGGCCTGGGCGACCACGCGACGCCAGCCCTCCTGAGCCTGGTGGATGGCCTTGTTGAAGAAGTCGTCGAAGAGCAAGTTCTCGAGCTCGGGGTTCTTGCGGAATGCGGCGGTGATGTCCTTGAGGAAGACGGATCGGATGATGCAACCACCGCGCCACATGAGGGCGATCGAGGGGTTGTTGAGCTTCCAGTCGTACTCCTTGGCGGCCTCGCGCATGAGCATGAAGCCCTGGGCGTACGAGACAATCTTGGAGGCGTACAGAGCCTGCTCGAGGTCAGCGATGAACTGCTCCTTGTTGCCCTCGAAGGGCTTGATCTGCGGGCCGCCGAGGATCTTGGAGGCGCGGGTACGCTCGCCCTTGAGCGACGAGAGGCATCGGGCAAACACGGCCTCGCCAATGAGGGTGACGGGCTGACCGAGGTCGAGCGCGTTGATGGCGGTCCACTTGCCGGTACCCTTCTGTCCGGCCGAGTCCATGATCTTGGTGAGGAGGGGAGTGCCGTCCTCGTCGTTGTACTTGAGAATGTCGCGAGTGATCTCGATCAGGAACGAGTCGAGGACACCGGTGTTCCACTTGGTGAAGATGTCACCGATCTCGGACTCGGCGAGGCCGAGACCGTGCTTGAGGATGTCGTAGGCCTCGCAGATGAGCTGCATGTCACCGTACTCGATACCGTTGTGCACCATCTTGACGTAGTGGCCGGCACCGGTCTGGCCGACCCAGTCACAGCAGGGCTCGCCATCCGACTGGGCGGCGGTCTTCTGGAAGATCTCCTTGATGTGGGGCCATGCGGCGTCCGAACCACCGGGCATGAGCGAGGGACCGTGACGGGCACCCTCCTCACCACCAGAGACACCGGAGCCGACGAAGAGGATACCCTTGGCCTCGAGCTCCTTGCAGCGGCGGATCGAGTCGGGGTAGTGCGAGTTACCACCGTCAATGACGATGTCGCCCTCCTCGAGGTGGGGAAGGAGCTGCTGAATGAAAGCGTCAACGGCGGGACCGGCCTTGACGAGCAGGATCATCTTGCGGGGGCGCTTGAGCTTGGCGACGAACTCCTCGATGGACTTGGCGCCGACGACGTTGGTGCCTGCAAACGTGGTTCCGCAAGAGCGAGACGAAGAGCGCGTTCGAGTCGCAATCAATTGTGGTACATTGGCAAGCGCAATGGGCAGGGATCGAAGCAGGCGTTGGAAGCAGAGACAGAAGAAAAAAAAGCAGAGCCGTCAGAAAACGTGCTTTTTGTGACTTGGCCGTCATTGCGGCCCGTTCCTAGCTGCAGCAGCATGCTCATCCACAGAGCCCAGCACCTTCTTGACTATGAGGACGCAGCGATGCCCTGTGACGGGTCGCAGCTGTTTGAAACTTACCCTTTGCCTCGTTGGCGAGGAAGTCGTCCACCTTGCTGGTGGTACGGTTGTAGGCGCAGACGGTGAAGCCCTTGTCTGTAGATCGTAAGCGTGGGAGAGAGAAATAAGGGTTAGGGTCCTTGTTCTTGCTTTCTTTCTCGAGCAGGAGCGGCCGCGAAGTGCGAGGCAAGACGTTTGCAGCTCTCGCATCTCGCGGTCGGCATCCGAAACGTACCGTTCATGTTGAGGATCAAGTTCTGACCCATGACGGCAAGGCCGATGAGGCCGATATCGGCACTGCGAGACACAAGGGAAAGGAAGACGTGCGACCCAACAGAGGCATCCAAAAAGTGTTTTCGAGTCAGCGTTTCTGGTCATCGCAAGACAATTTCGCAGAGACCACCGAACAGGCGATCCCACCATCAGCTGGAGGTCAACATAGATAGCCGAATACTTACACAGCTTGGGACGACATGGTGCGAGTGGTTAGCTGGGCGGCGAGCGAAGAGATACGAGTCCGAGCTACAGAGAGAATCCTTGCGACTGCTGAAGAGCAAAGGACAAAGGATCGGGAAGGGTTGAGAGGATGGTTTAAGAAAGAAAGCAAGCGCCGAAGGTTGACCAAGATGCAAAGGCGATTGCGAGAGAGAGGGTGCGAATCTGCAGTGTTGGGTTGGCTGGCTGGCTGGCTCGACTACTGAGAAGAAAGCGGTCCGAACAGAGGCGAGCTGACGAACCGCGCAAGTGCGATGTGCTCAAAATCGTCAGCTGGGTGGAGCCGAGAGGAATAATCAATCACACATCAACCGGTGCACGGACACGGACGAACTGCGCTGTCTACGTCCGTCCATCAAGATCGATTTTCCAGCGCTGCTGCTGATTGTTTCAATTTCGAAGAAAAGTAATCTTATCCAGCCGATCTCAAAATTCTACGCACTTCTGTGCTGCCGCTCAAAGGCCCGACCGCACATCGCAACGACGGCGTTACACATCATCAACAAACACAGAGGCCTGTCTCCTCGTTCCTTTTTGAACCGTGCCTTACCGGCAATCCCAAATTTCCTTCTTCTGATGTGCTTCGGCCCTATCAGATGGAGCCCGTCTAGATAGAAAGTGGGATGGCCTCAGGCTGCATTTTCCCTTGCATCCCTCTCGATCCATTCTGTCCTCGCTACTCTGTACGAGAGGGATAATCAGGAGAGGCAGCGAGAGATATCCGAACTTGAACTGTGTTCGCCCTTCGGGCTAGATCTTGCATCGCAGCGTGATTCTCGTCGGTCACAGTCTCGAACCTGCTGAATGAGTGTCCCGGTCCCTGGCTGAGAATCGCCACCCGGATACAAGCCTCGTCGTCAAGCAGACACTGCACGCAAAACAACGTCCGCAAACGACGCTGCTTGAGAAAAGTCCTGAGGTAGGAAAAGCAAAGCATCTTCTCACCGGTCCGGAGATCCTGGCTGTTTCCAACTCATGCACGATGATGATCCTGTTGATCGATCGATTAGCTGCGCTCAAATTCGGCGGTGCAAGAGCGCGACATCCCTTTTTAATTGCTGTTCCGCCGTGCAAAAAGGGGTCTAACAGCACGAGCTCTGAAGACCGGTCCGGATCTCCTCTTCAGCTCTCCGCGGGGTCCCTCCACTGCCTTGCGATAGAACTGTTGGCGCTCTCGATCTTGTCGGTCTTTGATCTCGACCCTCACAGTCTCCCTTGAACCCTCCCTGCTCATTCCGAGCATGGAATCTACGAAGAGGCCGTCAATTGCTGTTGACAATCATCCCAACACCGGCTTGGACCCCTCAGCGGGACAAAGATGGGGAGATCACCGAAGCGGTAGCCCAGATCGCCGGTCTGCACCGGAGTTCTCCCCAAATCCTCATCGACTTTTGCCGAACTTGCACATCCTCTCATGCAGACGTCAGGCAACACAGACAGCCCATCATGTGCATATACAGATGCGGTTGCTTCAATTCCAGATCCTAGAAAAGGTGTCGTGTTCCATCGTAAAATACAGCGCATCGTTCGAAAGCACCCGGAGGAAGGCATACGGAAACACCACGGGTGCGCGGATCAAGTTGGTTTCGCCTTGACGCGAAGCAGCCCGATGGAGCCACCAAAGCCGAACATGAGGACAGTCCCGTCTAGCTTAGGTGAAGCGCAACCTCGCACGGGATGCAAGCGCGAGAAAGACAGTGCGTCGTCGAGTGACACCTCTATCGAGCGCCTAACGCTTCGCGGCCCTTGTAGAGACGGCCGGCTTGGCGCCACGTTCGAGGCAGCATCATCTGAGCGTAAAAGTAAAGGCTGACGTGCCACCAGCAGCTCTCCGCCGCGTCCAAGTACCACTTCATCGTGCAGGTCGAGCGCCCACCACTCCCAACGGCTCTGGTTCGAGCTTCTTTGTGCCCGACCTGTGCCAATCAGCAAATGCCCAGCAACGGCGGCAAAGCTTCCTCCCCTCTGACACCGGACCCAGCCGAGAAGCCTCAGCTGACGGTCGTCTGCCTTTTGCGTAGCGCCGCTGGGTGGGGGCATGTTTGGAAATACTGACAAGCTCGACGAAGCTGCCAGAGTCTGCGACGTGCCATCTGCCGACGCACCAGTGCCGCTGCGGTCTCGCATGTGTGCACTCGAGCGACGCAACCTCGACGCAGAACCGTGCGAGGACATCGGATACGACAATGGATTTGTGAGCTCCGAGGCAGGACTAGGTGGCGTCGAGACATCCGACCAGAAGTTGGCAGCGTTGGTGCTAGAGCCGTTGGGAGTGCGAATGCGAAGGGGCGAGCCCGATCCAAAGGCGTTCAACGTGCTGTGGATTGAGCCACTCTTTTCCATCGGTGCCGCTGCGACATGCGTTCCGCTCGAAACGAAAAGCAGAGAAGCTCGTCCGGACGTCTGAGCGACGAAAGCCGAGGTGCTGGCGGCATCACCAGCGTCCACCAGCACGACGCTCGTCACCGGCCCGTCGTCTAAGTCTACACTACTGATGCTCTCAGCTGACTCCAAGTCGATCAGCTGTACTCGGCCATTGGCAAAACCGAGGAGGAGCGTGCTCCTCAGTAGCGGCGCCTCGTCTCCTGATGATGATCGACTCGACAGCTGGCATAGCAAAGCCGAGCACACCTGACCGCGGTCTTCTATGCTGAGCGTAAAGACGGTCTTGGTGCTTGTGCCTCCCGCCTCTACGGCTCTGATATGGAAATGGCCATCACTGGTGGTAAAGCCAATCAGAGGAGCCCGAGACGTTGACGAAAGATCTGCGTTGCCGACGCTCGTGCTGGAGCCGCCAGCTGCAGTGGTGCTCGGGGCCACAACAACATCCAATGACCGCCACCGCAAGCGAGAGTCGAGCTGCGTTCGAGACATCACCAGCTTGGCCTCCTTGCGAGCGACGTTCCACACACGGATGGTTCCGTCACGGTGGGCCGTTAGCGCCAGTGCAGTATCGAGATTGTGCAGTGAATCTTGTCGCTGCAACGTCAGACCGGTGATAGGCGAGGCCGAGTCGACCACAATGTGATCCCAGATTGGCTGCAAAGTTTCGACCGAGAGGAACAACACTCTGCCTGATGCGTAGCCGATGGCCAGCCAGCCTGCTTCTGCTGACAAGAGGAGACCTGCAACGGGGCTCCGTTCGAGCGCTAGACCCGAACGCGCTTTGCCGAGACTGCCCTTGCGTCGTGGGTCTTCGTTCGTTGCGTCAAACTTCCACACATGAATGCCTCCGCCGTTATCGATCGAGGCCGCAAGTCCTTCGTCGTAAACGAGATACTCAATGTCGCAAGAGTGCGTGTTTGCGAGGGTGGTGACTTTGCTTTCGAGCGAGGATGGGGGAGCAGGAGTGGAAGAGCCGTTCATACCGTCCGCAGGATTCGCCTCGGACTTGTCCCTCTGTGCGTCGAGCAGCTCAGTGTCTTTCAGCAGGTAGAGCAAAAGCATCCAAAGCAACGCTGTGGTACCAGAGATGGGAAGGATGACCAGTTTGGCGAACCAGACGATAGCACGGATCCTCGGACGAAACAGGGCCCATCCAGCGAAGGTGGCGACTGTGGGCGGAGTTTGTCCTTCAGAGGACGATCGAAGGGAGAGGATCGTCCACGGCCTGACGTCGATGCGCAGTTCTTCGGCGCCCATTGGATTGAGTGAGGTCCAGAAGTCCGCGCTCGGTGACGATGTCCACCATGGCAGCGAAGGATTTTGCTGGTCGTCAAGGTGCCCGTATGGGTCGAAGGCGCTCTCGGTGGCTGCTGGCGGCCGAGATGTGTTCCAGTCGTCTGCGAGCACATAGTTCGATTGCTGATGACTGGGAAAGCCGGTGCCATAGTATAGATAGAGGCCACCCATGTAGACGAGAATGAGCGTGAGACTGGCAGTCCGGGCAGTTCTTGCTCTCCATAGCTTGGACGCTGCGGCTAGAACGACGTTGCCGGATCTGGCTGGTGCTCGTGGGACACCATTGCGGATGCTCGCATCTGAATGGGTACCGCCGTCAGCATCGTTGCCGCCGCCGCCACTTTTGCTGGTGCTACTGTCTTGCGACTGCGAATGATGTTCCTGCTTCCTCGTCAACCGAGTGCCCTGTGTCAGAAGGTCGGCCAGCTCGAGGCGTTGCATGTCAATGCTGAGGACCGTGACGAAGAAAGTCATCTGCAAGAACCAGTCCATGATGAGCGAAAAGATGGCAAAAGTGCAGAACTCGCGCACGGCTCGCACGCCGATGAAGACAGCAATGACGAGCAGCAAGAGAATGTCTGCAAGCGTGGTAAAGGTGATGGGCACGCCCACCTTGCCCAAACCGTGGGCGATGCGCGACGACACAGTGAGGGAGAGCGGCGTGTCGACGATGGCCTTGGTGAGACTGTACATGTTCTCGGAGCCGACGACGACGATGACGAAGGGGAGCAGCTCCCAGGGAACGAGAGTGAGGCGGACGCCGAGAAGCGCGCAGATGCTGACACTCATGATCATGCTGATGAGCAGCTGAGTTGTTCCCGTGAATGCAAGACCGAAGCGCGAGTGGACCTTGCGCAAGTTGACCAGACCGCGCGAGATGTAGATGATGACAAAGGCGTAAGCGGTCAGGAGAAAGATGTGTGTAGGTCTGCGCTTAGATGCCGCTGTGTGCGGGGCGAATTGGAGAACGAGGCTGTGCGAGATGTTTTCGGGCGAGGCAATGAGCCGTACCTGACCTCCGGTGACACGGTCAAGGAGGTCATGCCAGCTCTCTTGCGCCGCCGATGAGGCGGTCAGCTTCGCGATGGATGGTGGAGTCTTTGCGTCGAAGCATGCGTTGGGATCGTCGTTGCGGAGGAAAAACGTAAATGCGAGGAATTCGGCTCGCGGCAGCCGTTTGAAGAGATGCCATCGTCCAGCTAGAGTGGTGGAAGGAGACAGCGGGACGCCGTACCGTGTTCGGTTGAGCAAGGATTGGGCGACAAATTGGGCAGGTGCATCGTCTTTGAGGATGGTTTGCGAGTCCAAGTTCCAGTATTCGAGGGGCGAAAGAGTCATGCAAGCAGCCTCGTCTTCCACGGCGGCGGGTCGACCAGGGAAAGAGCTGCGTGGATGTACACAGACTAAAGGCGACGTGCGACTATTGTCGTCGTCGGCGGTACCGAGCTCGGACTCGATCGACTTTTGCAATTGGAGCGCCGAGTTGAGGATGCGTTTCTCTAGCACGCCGAATCGAGGACCTCTGCCTGCCATGACGTCGTCGGTCGTGATGAAGACATGTTCGACGCGAATGGAGCGACATCGTGGTCGTGAGAAAGTGTGTGCTGCATTTTGGGCGGTCGACGGGGATTGGCGAGCTCGATGGTCAAGGAGGACCTTGGCGTCGCTCACGTCGATGGCCTGCAGATCGCGTGCGTCGTCCCATACCATGCGGAGGTCGCTCAAGCTATTGACATGCTTTCGTCCGCTGCTGGCGAACGAGTCCATGAAGGGTGTGCTGAGCGATCTCCATACGCTCTTGGCGTCGCCTCTCGACACACCAGGACCACCTTTGGATGCCCAGAAGTAGATGCCGACGGCGGGATAGAAGAGCGAGGTGATGACAAGCGAGCACAGCAGCAAGGTGCGTATCTGATGCTTCGAGATCCATCTTCCATGTTGTTGAAACAGCGATTCGCCTCGAGAGCGCAATTGGCGAACGAGTGGCAGAGAGGATGCGGATCCGGGAGGCGAACGTCTTGGTCTCCTAGCTGTGGGCTTGCCAGGGTCGCGCCGGAGCCCGAGCCCGTCGTGGGCCATGTCGGCCGTGACGCACAGACGGCTTCGTCACTGTGTTCGCAGCGTCCAGACGGTATGACGCATCCAGGAGGGAAGGGATGTGCCAACCGGGTGGGCTGCAGAACTCCCACGAGCTGGGAATCGAGAAGATGAAACGAGTTGATGAAACAAAGTCCTGGGCGGAGATCTTTTTACCGGCGTGTGGAAGACATGATCCAGAATGGACGCAGTTGGACAACGAAAGGCAAACGACTCGTGTGCGACGGAGGGTCGATATCAAAGCCCGGTGGAGCGATGAAGGGTTTAGGAAGCTCTCTGGTCAAAGTCGGCGGTGGTGATGGCACGAAGAAGATCTCTCTAGCGGAAGCTGCGTCCAAGCTTCATGGCATCGGCACAGGGTCCGAACACGAACATATAATAATAAATGATTCTCACGGCTAAAGTTGGCTGGAGCGAGCCCAAAAAGAAGATCGCGGAGCAGCTGTGCAGCCAGCCCTTGCCGACATGTCCGCAGGTCCGGTCCAGCCTCCCGAGCCTTGCAGTGTTCATCGACGAATTGATTTGTGCCTCGTGGCCGCGACCAGGTCTGCTATCGGCTCCTTGAAGGACTCTAGAGCAAGTCCGAGCTCTCCTCCTAAATGCATGGAGGACCGACGCTTTCGGCACAGCCTGAACCGCTCAGGGTGGAAGAGAAGGCGGATACAAATTGGATTTTCGTCACGGCCGCGAGTCGCGTAAATCCTGCCGCCAAAATCAGCTGGTTTGAGCACATGTTAGAAACAGTCATCTTCCCAGACGCTGAACACGACGATCGACGTGTCAGTTACACCAGCGACGCCCGCTTCTAACGACCGCTTGCGAAGCCGGGCTCTCTCGCTGGGATGCAAATCTGCCAGCTGCTCGTGTCATGGACGCGCGCCATTGAGTTTCTCAGTCACCATGGCTCACCAGGTGGTGCAGACCGCCGTGACGTGCTGGTTAAGGCTATCCATTTGGTCGCCAAGTCATTGCACGTAGAGAAAGTTAGGCTTGGCTCGGCTCGACTCGCTAAATTCTTATTTCCGCTCCGGTGACTGTTCAGGGACCACGCACGGACACGAAGAAACCCTGGAACGGAATCGTTTCGAAGCAAAACAGATGGCTGCACGCTGCGTTTCCGCTCGAGACCTCCACTTCGGCTCTAAGCGCCTTACTGTGGCCGTTGCCGGGTCGTCCGAACTTGATTGCCCCGTCAGAACATATAACAATGGATAGAGGTAGTGCTCGTTAGCGTCTTGCCACCAGCAATCTGCAGACGCTAGCACAGAACCACTGCAAACATGACTCTCCCATCTAAAATGAAGGCCCTCGTCACGGTCGAGGGCAACAAGACCGAGTTGCACGAGGTACCCTTGCCCACCCTCGACAAGGACGAGATCCTCGTTCGTACGCTTGCGGTCACCATCAACCCCACCGACTGGAAGCACGTCGCCATGATCTCGGGACCCGGCAACCAGGTCGGCTGCGACTTTGTCGGTGTCGTCGAGGAGCTCGGCCCCGGAGTGCAAAACACCTCGCTCAGCAAAGGTGATCGAGTGGCTGGCTTTGTCCACGGCGGCTATAGCGCCGACCGGGGAAGCTTCGCACAGTACATCAAGACCAACAGCGGAATCGTCGCCACCATCCCCGACAACGTCGACGATCTTGTTGCTGCCTCGCTGGGCATCGGTGGAGAGACGGCGGTCCAAGCGCTCTTCCACCGACTCGCCATCCCTGTGCCCGACTTTTCCAAGGGTCCCGTCGAGGTCACGGAGGATTCGCCAGAGATCTTGATCTGGTCCGGAAGCACCACCGTAGGTCAATGGGCCATTCAAATCGCACATCTTTCCGGCTACAAAGTCATCACAACCGCCAGTCCCAAGAACCACGATCTGCTCAAGCAACTCGGCGCCGACGATCTATACGACTACCGCGACGAGACCATTCCGCAAAAGATTGCTGCCAAGTATCCCAACCTCAGCAAGGCCCTCGATTGCATCTCTGAGCACGGAACCCAACAGCTCTGCGTCAAATCCCTTGGACCCAAAGGTGGTGATGTCGTCGTCCTCCTCAAGCCAGACAAGGAGGCCATCGAGCTGCGAAAGGGCGAGGTCAACATCATCCACACTCTCGTATACACTGCTCTCGGCCACCCTTTCAACTACGGCAGAGCTACCTACGACGAGGACCGTGTCACGGCCGATTCCAACCTCATGAAGGAATGGCTCAACGGCACTCAGGGTCACTTTTACACCTTGTTCAAGCAGGGTCTGCTGCGCGGGAACAGGGTCAAGGAGATGTCCGGTGGTCTTGAAGGCATCCCCGAGGGTTTCAAGTATCTGCAGGAGGGCAAGGCGTCTGCTGAGAAGCTAACCTACAGAATCGGCTGACCAAGTAGGATCAATCAAGCGCTCACGAGCAGATAATGTTCAGAATTATCCATGATTGCATTCCATGGTAGTGTTTTGGCTTTGACGACTTGGAGCGATGAGTATGTGTTTTGAGTCCACGAGACGCTGTTCAGCATCATCAAGCTTCAACGAGTGTGGCTCGTCGGGGCAAGTTGGCCGCTGCCGAAAGACTGAGAGGTTTGCGACGACAGCTCTGCTTGCAGGTGGGCCTGTGCCTGTCGGTCAATGTCATCCATGAGCCCCGAAAACTTTTCGTCGAATCGGTTGACCCGGTCCACCGTCCCTGCCTGCTGCCGAACGACCTCGTCCAGCTGGCGCTGAACTCGCTCCATCGAGGCTTCGCGTTTGTTCGCCAGTCGCCGCATCTCAGCCGTATGCTGGTGCGCTTGGCGCTTCATCTCCTGTTCCAGCTGGTCGATCCTGTGCAGCAGCGTCGCCTCCACCTTGGCCGTAGCCTTACGGTGCTCCTCAGCCTGCTTCGCCTGCATGCGCTTGAGCTCCCCCATTTGTTCGACCTGCGCCTTTTTCAAGTCTGCCACTTGGCCCTCGATCAATCTCTGATTCGAGTGGCTAAAGATGCGCAGGATCTCGGTCACCACCCGTAGATTCATGCTGTCCAACGAGCCGAGGCCGGTCGGAGACGCTCCTGTCGATGTGGCGGCAGGTGCCTGCGGACTCGAAGAGATGCCAGCAGCTATGACGCTCGTCGCCAAAGACAAGGTGCCCGGATCTCCAGTCTCGATCGTTGCGACCCGTGACGGACTTGTGATGCGCGGTGCAGGAGCGAGATTGGTCTGTTTGGCTGCGACACCAGAGGCCGGTGCCGTGGGTGTTATTGAAACCGAGGTGATCTCGACTGATGAGGTTCCATTCGCGCTCATCGTAGCCGGCGAGACGCTCGCTTTGCTCGACTCGACGACGTCGGCGATAACCGTGGGACTTGGAACAGCTGCAATGCGCGTCGAGCTAGAGGCCATTGGCGCAGTCCCTCGCACTGCGTCGACCACCGTTGCGTCAACAGTTTCGCTTGCCGACTTCTCGGTTGCAACAGGCTTGCTTGCTGCCACGTCGGGAGAAGCAGATGGAACCGAGGATCGAGCGAGGAGGGAAGGAGGCGGTGTAGCCGCTGAACTCGCACCGCTAGGAGGAGCCGGTCGTTCCTGTTCCTTCAGACGGAGCTTGAACCTGCGGATGCCGTCCATGACCGTGATCGACGAAGCGTTCGGCGGTTTGGGTGCCCTCTGCCAGCTTGCGATGCTCCCGATAGGGCTTGACGGAACGGAATGTATACTTTGTGGAGGGACTGGAGGGGTCACAGGAACTCCCGCCGGAACTTGCGTTCTAGGAACTTGTGCAACGATCTCGTCCACTTCCATCGGCTGGAAGCTTGTACTAGCTTGCAGTTTCGCCTTCTTCGCTGGAGATCTAGGCGATCCGACCGGTGTGGTCTTATCCAACCCCTTCGGACGCTTTCGCGAGACCGGCGTGGTTGAAGGAGACGAGGCAGCTGTCACCGTCTTTGCCTCGTCCACCTGCGTCTTGGCAGGCCGCTTCACGCCCAGAGTACCAGATAGTCCTCGCGGGTGTCGGTCGGACACATCGAGGAAGCCAATGCGACAGTCTTTGTGGACGGGGACGCATTTCATGTTGGTCCGTGCCGCCTCGATGAGGAAAAAGTGGGCGCGAGCTTCGTCTCGCCAGCCGACGGGATCCTGCTTCCACTCCTTGTAGTCGAGCGTGCTGTCCCTTTTGTGGTACTTGTGAAACGGCTTGGCATCTTTTTGCGCCAACGCGTGCGCCGGATGGATGTACATCTTGTGCAAAAGGCATCCGTGGCAGTACGAGTGGCCGCATGGCTTGCAGAAGATCCGCTGCGACAGATCTAGCGATGCTTTGCAAATCTTGCACTGAGCCATGCTGGTCTGCCAGCCTGGACTCCGTCGACATTTGTACAGGTTCATGGCAGCCATGAAGCTCAGCGGCCAGTTCTGTTTCTCCACGTCTTCCTCTTTGAGCATTTCCACCTGCAGCAACGGCGCTTCTTCGTCTGCGTCTTCTTCGTCCGCGGCGTCCCTCTCCTCGATGGTCAGCGCCAGCGTCGGATCCGCCGACAAGAGAGCCTGTGCAGCTTGGTTGCGGAACTCCAGACGTTCGCCGAATTGGCGCCAGTGTTGACGAGGCTGCAGCGCTTCGATGGCATCCGCACAGCTGCAGAGACGCCCCTGGCAGTAGCAAAGGGCACACAGCGTCTCGCCAGCCGGACATTCAAAGTAGCCGTGCAGGACACCGGCTCCGCAAAAGTCGCATTCGACGTAGCTGTCGTGGTCTCCTTCCACTGCGATATCGCGCCATTCGGAAACATACTCGTCGCTCAGAATAGCATCGTATAGCTGAAGAAGATTGCGAAGGTCGCGAACCAATGTCGAGGTGACGTCGCGCTTCAGTGCGAGGTTCATTTCGACCTGCACGGTGAACGAAGTGAGCGTCTGTTCGATCACAGGTCTGATGTGGAAGCTTTCCAAGCGGCAGATGCGTTGGTAGAGCGGAAGGTCGCTGAAGAGCGCGCTTGTCAACGTGTCGACGGTCAAACGAGACCATGCCGTCTTCATGGTGCGGCCACCGTCGTTGACCACCATGTGCGATGCACGCGACGGAATCAGCACCAAGTCGCCGACGCGCTGCTTCCAGCAAAATACAGAAAAGGGTGCGTTGGCGAGCTCGTTGGGATGCGGTGCATATCCTTCCGAGTGAGGATCGCCGCCTTTGGATGCAATGTACTTGTCCACGGCCTCTGCGTCGTCCGGGTGAGTGATCATCCATAGGGCAGAGGCGTCTGGATCGCTCCACACCATCAGATTTTGACCCAGACTCGAACACAGGTCGCGATGCAGAGGCGTACAGGTGCGTCCTGGCCCAAAGTGACACATCAGTGTCTCGGCTCGGGCTTTGAGTTGTAGAGACGCGGACATGTCCTGCTTCCCATGATAGGCGAGGCGCGGATGCACGAGCTTATCGAGAGCCTCGCGCCACGGCACAGGGCATGGCAGGTCCTTGCCGTAGAGCTTGTCCCTCTGCTCTGGACTATAGATCCTTTGGCTGTCACAGTGCGCCAGAAATTCGGGCAACGGTAATGCCCGGTCAGTCCAGTCGGTCAGATTGCGAACGAATACCGTCTCGCCGTCTGCCGTCACACTGGGTCGAAGTGATTCATACCCTTGCAGACTGAAGAGATCCGAGGACCATGCTTGAGTCTTGTGGAGGTCGGAGATGACCAAGGGCTCGCCCTGGTTCTCGACCAGCTCGATGATGATCTCCTCGAGGTCCTTCTCGGAAACTTCTAGGCAGCTCACGGCGGAGATGCGCTTGAGGTTGCCATTGCTGTTGACCAATGACTCGTAATCCACAGGATCGTAGGACGAGAGGTAACTTCCACGTATTCCCAGAAGCGTCTCGGGATCGACACTGTTGTCGGACGAAGCTGCGCTTGCCGTTTCTAGTCCTAGCTGTTCGCTTCCAGAGACTGCGAGGGGCGGATCTCGCTGCACGGTGTCCGACGACGAGGTACCGTTGCCTCGGGACGTCTGCTTCTCAATGCCTTTTGCATTGACCGGCTCTCGAGCCTCGCTTCCAGGGACGCGGATCGGCTCGCGCACTTGGTGTAGCGCCGCTGCTTGCGGTGATGCAGAGGCTTCGTTTGCATGCGGCAGACGTGTCTGGCGTTGGGGATTGATACTCGATGGTCCGATTCCTGATGTTGCAGATCCGTTCACCCTTTTCGCCAACTTTTCTTTGGAATGTCTCGACTGTGGCGATGTGTGTGCCGATTCTGAGGCCACGGAGAGTCCAGAACTGGACGACACTCGTGACGACTGCACCGGTGATGGACGAGAAGGGCGCTGCACAAAATGGTGACCAGGCGAACCTTTGCTCGCGCTCGACTGCGAAGAGCTATGTGTCACCTTGGGTAGAGGTTGCGATGGGACAACAGGCAGGGTCGATTCTTTTCCCATAGGCTTCGACTCTACCGAGCTTTTGGACCCGCTCGGAATGACTAGATCTTCCAGCTCTGAAACAGACGCTTCGTCTGATTGGAGAACATGATTCGAGACAAGAGGGCTCGAACTTTGATAAAGAAATCCGCTCGCATCGGGCGTTGCCGTCTGCGATGCTTCTGCAGATTCTTGCCGACGACCAGCGACAGTTTTCGACTTCGCCGGCGGCGACGTGGACGGGCGAGCGTCCGACATCGGCGCGAAGGGCAGAGTCGGTGCTGGTAGCGTGGCAATGGCAGAAAGCGTGACCGTCTGTAGGGTCTTCGGTGACTTTGCATGCGTATGCGAGTCGACAGGCGACAGAGAAGGCTTGTGCGGCCGCTGATGTGGATTCTGCAACTGCTGCGGCAGATCAGGGGACGCGTGCGTATGAGTCACGGCCGAGTGGGGCCGGAGAGGGGGTTTGGACATGACAAAAGTGCACGTCTCGATTCGAGCACAGAGCCGTTGGACCGATTTTTATTTGGGGATTTTGAAGCTGGCCTGAAATTTGAGGTCGACCGCTCCCGTGCTGCCTGGCAATCGCAATGTCGATGTCAATCTTGCTGGTAACGAAACAACACCAGAGCCATCGAAGAGCGAGACAACGCTTCAGTGAAATCCGCCCCGTTTGCAGGCGTCCCCGGATCCGCCAGCGTATCGTCTCGGTCGTTTGGGTACGAGGAGGGGGAGCCGAAGCAACCGCTTCCAATTTTTTTTGAGGAAGCGCGTCAAGGTCGTAAGCAGAGGAGAGGAAACGAGCTGTGCGAGATTTGAAAATGGCTCGGCAGCTGCTGAGCTTCGAAATGAGGTCGTCGCCGATCACCCAAAATTCTCGACGTGATCACTTTCAACAGTTATACAAGTACAATGTATGAGTGTGGCCAGTGTCGTTGCGCTTCTTCCTCCCCGATTCCAAGACGAGTAGATGGTAGAGGAATCACCGGCCTCGATTCGTGTATCGCAGATCACCGTCCAAGATGTGTCGAGCTGGTCGTAGGTGGACGTGCCTGTGATCAGCGCTTGCTGAGGAATCTCGATCAGGCGATCAGATCGATGCGATTGCCTAGCCAAGCTTGAGGACCATGTAGCCCGAGCAAAGTGATAAGCTGAGAGGTCAGGTAGATGGTGTGATCGACGGCGTTGATCGTCTCATGTGAATGAGCCGCATGTGGTATGAGGTATCGTCGAGAAGCCAATATGATGAATCGTTTCGAATAGGATGTGGCCGATCACGCCAAATTACTGGTTCGGGACTTGCAGAGGCTGCTTCGGCCGCAAGAGCGAACAAACTCAAGCTCCGGCTACGCGCTGCGGACTCGCGAGGCTGACTGGAGGGCTTGAAAGTCGCAAGCAAGCGGAATGCGAGGCTTGCTTGCCGCTGGAGTGACTTCAAAGGCAGGATGAGCCGGTGACTGAGCGGAAGCGGCACCAACATACGGGAGAGCCGACCTCTTGAATGCAGATGACATCGCATCGATTCCAACCGTGATTCAGGCCAACTTTTTATTTCGAAGGATCGGAATCAAGATGGACCCTGAACGAGCCTGGTGTGAAGACCGGTGACAGAAGCGCAACGCGCGGATATTTCGGGAGTACGCCTGCGTTCAACATGCTGCCGACCGGACCCATTCAGCGAGAGCCAACGCAGCCCTTCATCTGCGCATCGACCGTGGTGGCGACCCCTCGAGCTTGTCTCTAAGACCTTGTTGACTCAGCAGTGGCACACGACACAGATCTTTGCACAGTAAACACATTACCAGACAGTGACTGTGTGCTCGAAGGAAACAGAACAAAACGGCACAAAATGACAAAAGAGAAATAATCATTGAGGAAAAAGACGCAGAGTGAGGAGCGGATCTCTCAGACCACAATGTGACAACCGTCTAGCTTCTGACAACTCCTCGAACTGATGCGAAAATTGCCTCTCTTCAGTCAATACGGAGCGTGTGTTGGCACTCAATAACGGCGTAGTGTGGTCTCTACCGATTGAGGAAAGCAGAGTCGGGAGGGCCGACGAGTCGAGCTGACGGTCGTCGTGATGAAAGGCGAGCCCGGCCATAGACTCGATGCATCGCCCTTGCCGTGCTGAGCACTCAGTAAGATGCTGAATTCGTCGTGATAGTCTTATCAAGGCATGCTGAGAGAAGTCTCTTGACCACCGTTTGCCCTCTCCCTGCTTTTCGGATTTACGATGTCGTCGACGATATCTGATCCTGCTCTCAGCTTCCTCGACCACGTCAGCTGCGAGGTCTGCTACAGAAGCTTAAGTGCCGAAGGAGACACGATTCACGATCCTGTTAACGGTGCGAATGGGTCGTTTTGGATCTGCGAGGTTCGTGCCATCGTCCGAAATGACTAGGCGTACTCTGCAGAAGACATTCCGTTCGTCGCTGACACGAACATGTATTTCGTCGAGTTCGATCTTGCGAATCTCTTCCATCGATCCGATAGGGCTTTCATGTTCTCTGTTACAAAGAGATCAGGGAAGGACAGACACACAGTCACGAGGGTCTGCCAGCCGAGATCCACACATATTGTCCAAAGTGTACCCGTAACGTCTACATGACGCAGCTCCGGGCAGATAGTGTAGGTGCATTCCCTCTCCACTATCTCGATGTGCTTCATATCAGATGCGGCAGCGTGACTGAACTTCGAGAGAAAACCTTCGCCTGCTCAAAACAGCTGCCAGCCCCCGTGCAGCGCTATCTTCAGCCATTCGACACGTCAGTTGCCGAGCTAATGGACGCTCACAATGTAGGTTCGCAAAGGATCGCAAGAGAAAAAGCAACCGATCACAGCTGACTCGTTCCATGGATATGTATTCGCGGCACGGATGGTATCACAGTTTCAGGTAAGTCAGGGTTACCTCGCAGAAACAGGAAGAGATGGGTCACACCTGGCGATGCTGAGCGACGACACGTTCTACAGTTTACACATATGTCACAGTTGATCAGGTGAGCCTTTCTCTCCGTTGGAAGCCGACGGACCTCTATGCTCAGAACATACCGATACAAGCCTCCCATCGGGTCCGCCACATTCCGGACAACCTTCTCACTTGCTTCGCGATTTGCGTGACAGCCATCTCAAATCCAAGTTGGTCGAGCAGAAGCGGCTGCTCAATCATATCAAGCAGGATTTCGAGCAAAGATCGAGTCTACAGAGGTAGGTAATCATCTCCGTCCAGTGTCAATCCGATGGACTGGTAGCGAGCCCCGTTTACAATGTCATCCTGCCGAGCGTCTTGTCACGAACGCAAAATCACACAGAGATCTAGATGCGGCACAAAGAGAGAACGCGGCTCTGAAAGAAGAGATCCAGGTGCTCAGATCATCGCCTCTCAAGACCGAGGCAGGTAGCTCAAGCAGCAAGGCATTGTGAGTCGGAATCAACCGCCCTTGGTGTTGCGCCTAGACGGATGATGCCAGATTGTCGGGGCTAACAATCCTCGCCTTTTCCTGCGAAAATGTTATGGCAGGTCGCAACGGTCAAGCTATGACATGGCGGGCGCAGATCGTCTGCAGCCCCCTTCCAGATCCACGAGCCTCCAACAGCCACAGCAAATTCTCCAACGCCCGTCTTCTCAGGCTACACACACGCGAATTCCTTCCAACATGACGCTTCGCGATGCCCGACCTCAAGCATCTAGGTACGTGGTCATTCTGAAGACCTCGGAACTGCCCCGTCATGAAAAGGACGAGCGCTGACTCCGCTTGCCATCTTCGTCCGGCAGACCACCGACGGCACAGTCGACGAGCGGGTCCGAGCTTTTTGCGTTCAAACCGCCGCCTGTGCCGTTCAGAGCGAGGGAGCCTCAAGCTTCGAGGCTTGCGAATGCAGGTTTGTATTAGCATCACCGAGGCGCATTCGGTCATGAGCTTCGTATGCGGACAGCTGACGTTCACGTTCATTGATTCGCTCGATCTAGAGTCCCTCCGCATGCAGGCAAGCGCATCGCACTCAAACTCTCGCATTCCGAACAACCCCTCGATGCGATTCGTGCGAACTTTGCAGAGCCCTCACAAGCAGTACCCATCGCACGGCACATCCAATCACCAATACGCCCGACCATTGAGCAGAGCAGCTATGCCGTCGTTTCAGAGCCCGCGCTCTGTGCCCTCTCTAGCTCGCCGGGAAGAGCAGCCGCTACAGCGCGTTCAAACTCACTCGTGGCGCTCAGCAGCGGCAAAAGGTCCCGCTTCACGTCGAGACCCACCTCAAGCGAGCTTGGCATCGTTCAAGAGACCGCACGCATTCACAGGCGGCAACGAGACGGATGTGCAGGATGTCACAATGTCGTAGGAATGGCGCATGGCGCAGCGCACTCTGGACGGGTCAAAGCGATGCTTGGCGACTGTAATTGCAGTACACCGGCAACGAGGTTCGACGGTCCAGTGGGACGAGCACAAGAGGCATTGCTGCAAGCACAATGCAGACGTTCAAATCCGAATTTGCACCTTCCCGTTTCTGCACCCCGATGACAATGGGTAATGATGCTGCGATACAGAAACAATGCCAGCCAGACCTCGTATCAATCCGAGTCAATCTCGATGACATCGCGTTTGCTGTCGTTGATACTGCGGCCATCAGAGCTTGCAGGTGTAGCGTACCGACTGCTTCGTGAACTCTCGCCCAGCACGCGCCCTCCGCCCAAAGTGAAAGCCGTCTGTGGTTCTGTAGGCGCCGGTTTACCGTTCTCCTTGTCTTGAGGCTTTGGTCGAGGTGCACGACCGGACAGAGTGGTACCAGCACCACCGAACGTCTCCGTTGGTGCCTGGTGGGCGGCAGGATCCGGTTTGCCACCGACGGGGATGACGTCGTAGCCAAAGAAGAGTTTGCCGAATGGCAGATTGAGGGCAGCGGGGATCTTCTTTTCTGTGAGCTGGGTGTCGTTGGTGATGATGCGTGGCATGTCGGTGCGTCGTACCATGCTGAAGGAATCGAGTTGTTCGATCTGACGCTCCTTCTTTCCTTTGCTCTTCTTGCCGCTCAAGGTCTGACCTGAGCCACGGAAGGGACCCGAAGGGGTAGCCACACCCGATCCTCCGGCAGCACTTGTCCCTGCCATGGAACCTGGTGTAGACGTGCGTGTAGGTGGGATGGAATCGACGCGTGAGCTATCAATGTTGAGTTTGGACGCCATCGTCGGGGGTGGCGGACGTGGTTGAGGTGTGGGCTCAACGTAGCCCTTGGGAGGTGCAAAGTCGACCTCGAGATCGGTTTCAATGATGGAAATGCCATCGGCGTTTGGCGTGATCTCCATGATGAGGATTTCAAAAGTGAGACAGTTGTAGCTGATCTCGACGATGTCTCCTGGTGTCAAGGCCGAAAAGTTGCGGAAGGCTTGCTCGAGCACCGCCTTCGGGTCGCTGATCTCGAGAAAGTCGACGGTCTGCGGTTGAATCTTGACCATCTTGCCTTTCGGGAGCGTTGCGCCGGTGAGTCGAATGGGATCTCCTTCTGACAGGCCTAGCGTTCGCATCATCCAGGCGGGGAGATGGACGTGACCCTCGTCGGCGATGAACTCGAGCACACCGGCATGGGTACGACGGACTTCGGACGCGCCTGTGGTGCGCAGCTCGAAGAACCAGGGTGATTCGATCTCGAGATTTGTGAGGTGAGCAAGTGCGGATGGTGGCATGATGATCTTGCCTCCGTAGCTGACGTTGAGACGTTCTTTGCCAGGAAGCATGGCCATGCTGTATGCTTTGAAGTATTCGTCGTATGCGCGCGGCGGCCGAGGAAAGCGTGGGTCCATGCCGTTCTGCATGAAGCGGGCGAAGCCGCTGTCGAGACCCCCGAACATGGCCATGATGGGAAACTGTGAGTGGCTCGTATGCGGGCAGAAGACTGTCGAAAGAGAAGCGTGCGATGTGTTTGCTGTGAAGATGACGAACCGAGACCTTGGCGAAACAGCAGGAGTTGCGCTGAATCGACGCGCTGACCGGTCAATGTTACAATGCCGCCGGACTGGAATCTACGATGGAAAGCTGAAGGGATAAAACAGCGGACAAGAGCTGTTGCGGAATGATGGGTGAAGGGCTGAGTCAAGTGTGAGTGTCTAACGTCCAAAAGCAAGACTAGATCACAAGCATACAGCGGCAATGTGTTAGAAAGTGGAGGCGGCGTCAGTCGGTGGGTGTGCGACGTGAAATTGTGAGGCAGCGCAGCCAGTGTCTGAGCAATCGGCGGGATGCGAGCAAGAAGGGTCCAAGATGTGCGATTGAGCACAATGCTTATGTCATGATTTGTAGCCAGACCAGGCTTGCCCTTTGCTCGTTGGACGCGGTCCTCAGCCAGGTCAGACAGTCTGCGACATTTTTTCCTTCTTCTTGATTCTTCGGAGGCGGAAAAAGAGACACACCGACACGCTCAACCAACACTCTCTGAAAGGTGCGCGCGTTGCGTCTCTCGCTCGAAGGCTGGCTGAGCGTTGTTCTGTGCGCATATCGAGAAGAAAGTGAAACGACCTCCTCTCACCTCCAACTTGGCAGCTACACTTCAGCCCGCATTGCTCGCACCACATATCAGCTTTGCTTGCTTGTGCTCATATCTGCGCGACAGCTACGGAACCTACGGAATCGGCACTTCAGCAGGCAGCGGGAGCAACCATACCCTTTCTTGGATCTTTCCAGTTGACACACATTACTACACCATGTCCGCCGCAGCAGCAGCGTCCGCCGCTCCTGCCGGTCCCTCGCAGAATGCCTTCAAGAATGCCGACAAGCCGGGCGAAGTGCGAAGATCCAATCTGTCGGCTGCCAAGGCTGTCAGCGACGCCGTTCGCACCTCGCTCGGTCCAAAGGGCATGGACAAGATGATCCAGACCTCCAACGGCGAAGTCGTCATCACCAACGACGGTGCTACCATCCTCAAACACATGGCTGTCATGCACCCCGCCGCCCGAATGCTCGTCGAGCTCTCGCAAGCACAGGACGTCGAGGCTGGTGACGGTACCACCTCGGTCGTTGTCGTTGCCGGAAGTTTGCTCGGCGCTGCCGAAAAGATGCTCAACAAGGGTATCCACCCGACCATCATCGCCGAATCGTTCCAGAAGGCGGCAGTCAAGGCGGTCGAGTTCCTCACCGACATTTCGACACCCGTCGAGCTCAACGACCGCGAATCGCTGCTGCGAGCCGCAAGCACTTCGCTCAACTCCAAGATCGTCTCGCAGTACTCTTCCGTCCTCGCCCCCATCGCCGTCGATGCCGTCACACGTCTTGTCATCCCCGCCTCCGCCTCGTCCAAATCGGCATCAGTAGACTCAAAGTCCACCGCATCGGCTCCCACCACCACCACCTCTGCCACAGCTGCTGCCACTGAAGGCGGCGCGGCCACCTCATTCGCCTCACGATCCAAAGATGGACAGGACAACGTCGACTTGCGCGACATTCGCATCGTCAAAAAGGTCGGTGGTACCATCGACGACACCGAGCTCGTCGAAGGTCTCGTATTGGCTCAGAACGTCATCTCGGGCAGCGGAGGTCCCACTCGCATGGAGAAGGCCAAGATCGCCGTCTGCCAATTCCAGCTGAGCAGCCCCAAGCCGGACATGGACAACCAGATTGTGGTCAACGACTACCGACAGATGGACAAGATCCTCAAGGAGGAGCGTCAATACCTGCTCAACATGTGCAAGAAGATCAAAAAGACCGGCTGCAACGTGTTGCTCATCCAGAAATCCATCCTGCGCGATGCCGTCAACGAGCTGGCCCTTCACTTCCTCGCCAAGCTCAAGATCCTCGTCGTCAAGGATGTGGAGCGCGACGAGATCGAGTTTGTCTCCAAGACGCTCGGTGCCAAGCCCATCGCCGACATCGAAGCCTTCACCGAGGACAAGCTTGCCTCGGCCGACTTGATCGACGAGGTGCAGCAGAACGGCGCGCGCGTCGTCAAGATCACCGGCATCAAGAACATGGGCAGGACGGTGAGCATCCTGTGCACGGGAGCCAACTCGCTCGTGCTCGAAGAGAGCGAGCGCAGTCTGCACGATGCGCTGTGTGTGGTCCGATGCCTGGTCAAGAAGAAGGCGCTGATCGCCGGTGGTGGTGCACCCGAAGTACACGTATCGCGACTGCTGTCGCAGTATTCGCAGACGCTCAAGGGTATGGAGGCCTACTGCTTCCAGGCGTACGCCGAGGCGCTCGAGGTGATCCCCACCACGCTCGCCGAAAACGCGGGTTTGAACCCGATCAGCATCGTCACCGAACTGCGAAACCGCCACGCGCTGGGAGAGCGGACCGCCGGCATCAACGTTCGCAAGGGCCAGATCACCAACATTCTCGAGGAGAACGTGCTCCAGCCTCTGCTGGTCAACACGAGCGCCATCGAGCTGGCTACCGAGACTGTGTCGCTGTTGCTCAGGATCGACGACTACCACCTCTCGCGTTGAGCGGGTTGACCTGTGTACAATCAATCAAAACCATATTTTCTCTTACATCTGTTCGCTCAAGTTGATCGTATGCAGACGAAGCAACTTTGTGCGTCTTGGAGACTGTTCGTGAGCATTGAGTCTGGACGCCAAGGTGTGCTGTGGCCGAAGCAACTTGGGATGCAATCTTATCCGTCGAGCCGATCGCTCAACCGATTGAAGGCCTGCCGATCTCTTTTGGCGAAGAGAAACACCGGCGACATGTGGAAGGTGAGACAAACATTGGATCGAATTTGTTTTTTTGGTGGTCCCCACGGTCAGATCGGAAGCTGAAGCGCACCGACCGACGATGAAAACCTCGCATGGGCTAGCTTCGAAATTCGCGGCGTTTGATGAACGATCACGAACGTTGCGGTAGAGCGGATCGCAGAAACGCACACTTTCTTTCACGCACATCGAGTCGCGTCGAACGATCACCGCCGCCACGATGATGGCATACGACCGAAGAAAAGCGAAGCAAGATCGGGAAGCATGCGTTGTAAAGAGCTTGCACGCCGAACACGAGGAAGGATGAAGACACAACGCTGCAGCACAGGAAGAAGTAAGACCGACCAGCGCTTCCTTCGGACAACGCAGAAACAGCTGCTACCGTCGAAAGCTTAACATTCATCAGACGAATGAATTGATCGACCAAAGCGAGGATCGAGGCAGCCAAGGGTTCTAGACGGAATCAATGGAGGAAAAGAAAAAGAAAAAAAAAAGGCCCGAAGTCCAATAATTGACGACACCGCCTTCGCTCGGCTCTAACGACGCGGTTGTTGTTGAACTGCGTCGCCCTGCCCTCGCTTCGCTTCGCTTGGCGATAACTCTTACTCACCCAAGCCTCGAATTTTACGAAACCGCGAGAAGCACTCGCCGATCCCTGCATGCTGGGTTCAAAGGGCCTCTGAATTTGCGGATCGGAATTCGAGACAAGAGAAATCGTGCATGTGTTGTGTCTGCCGTGCCTGGTTGGACTTTGAGATCAAATCCTGTCATGGCGAAGGCTTCACCGACCAGAAGGTAATGAACTGGCAAGCGGCCGATGGGAGCAAGGAGGAATCAATCTACTACTGGCGTGTGTGTTGGCCCTTGGCTTCCTGACTATGGGCTCTTGATCGGAGAATCGAATCGGTTATGGAAGAGGGGCTCCAAACGATCAAACAGGGGTTCAGTCAATTCTCGAGAGCCCTCTTGCACACGCTGCACAATCACCGGCGCCATAGAAACACCTCGATGTTTCGGTGCTGTTTGCGAAGCTACCTGAGCCAGGGTAGCATGACGAGCCATCGTCTGATGATGTACACGCGGCTTTGATATGGCGGGACAAGAGAAGTTGGGATCAGGGAAAAAAGCCCAAGAGGGGCGCCGGATGCCCCTTTCCGTCCCTGTTGGTTTCAGCTCCAAGCAGTCGTTGAGAGTAGTGAGTGCCTGTTCATTCTTCCCTCTCCACAGCGCTGCCCTGCAGACCTCCAACGCCGCCATCTGCTTCGTTCCGACGTGAAGCAGCATCCAGAGCGCGACCAGCAAGCAGCATCGAACAGCCCACGGTCGAAACTCGCTTGCTGGCCTGCTTGAGCTGCTGTGTCGAGCATGTGGTGACGGGTCCACTTCCGAGGCGATTTCGAAACAAAAACAAAAAGAATTTCCCGTAAATCTTTTTTTCTTTTCTTTCATGTGCTGTGATGATGCTGATGATGGTGTTTTGATCTTTTTTGTCTCCTGCCGAGTCCTGCTATTCCTCGCCGAACGCGCGAATACGACACACACACGCACAGAGCCGATCGCTGCGTGATTGCCGACACAGAGTGTGCCCCTAATTCGCGAATACGAAATTTCTCGTAAACTTTCAAGAAAAAAACAATTGGGCTGTGCCTCTCCGTTGTCAGCTTTGCTGGCTCGCTTTCCTTCGCCTGTTTTGGCCGGCAACTTGGCAGTCGCGCCAAAAGGACCAGAAAGAGGGCTTGCAGGGCTCGCAGAACTTTGCAGGCGGAAGCAAGCAAATCGCCAAATGCTCGATCCTTGGGCTGTTGACGCTCTTTGTGCTTGGCTTGTTTTTGCAATTTCTCTCTTGTCTGTTTGGTTCCCCTGAGTTGATACCGCCGTCTGCTGCCTGCATCGTGCTTGTCTGGCTGCCTGTCGATCTTGGCTGCCTTGCTAAACTCGGCGATCCGTGAGGGTGCAGTGCAGTATCAGAGCGAGAAGCCGTTGAGCGATCCACCTTCTGGCTTGCGCTTTGCTCCTCTTTCCTTCGCCTTCGCACTTGCCTTCGCCGTCTCCATTGCCTTTTGTCCTTGCCTTTCTCCTCGACCCCCGGACTGGCAAACACGACGCTCCATCGTATTGGCCATCCTCACCATCCAACAAACCCCGTATCGGCTTCGTGATCCTTTGGCTTCGCACCGCTTCGCCTGCTTTGGCCCGGCCTCCATCTTACCCTTTCGAGCTTCGAGCCAACCTTCGTTCCGAGTCCTAGCCATCACACACATTTCGTCGTCTCCTTCCCGACGACACTCGGATCCCACTAGCGGCGAAGCTCTGCTCATCGGCTACGACTCGCACAACACCACATCTTGGTTTCACGCAGACTGTCACCTCCGCGCTAGATGCCTCGTACACGCGCAAACACAGCTTAGCCTCATCCTTCTCCACCCCCGCACGTGCTTAGCCAGTCGACGCTCACGTCCTCGCTTCCACCTGGTCATCCTGGCAAAAGCAGATTCCGCTCGATCGCTACTGCACTTCTCTGACGCTTCCTGGCTTACATGGATCGCTCGACAGTATAGAACCGCTTGTTGACGCTTCCCCGACCCGGTCAGCTCGAAATCACAGCAACATCATACGAGCTTGACACGTTGACGTTAGCCATCGTGCTCCTCGCTCCGCTCAGCCCGATCAACTTCGTTGCAATTTCGAGACCTTCTTCAACGTCGCAATGAACCCTTTCGAGTCCCCTTCCGACGCTGGTCGCCCAGCTCCGGGATCCAGACCCATCCGCGGCGACGGTCCTCCACCACTGCCACCGCTCAGCATCCCAGGTGGCGGCCGTCCACAGAACCTCACCTTTTCGCCACCTCCAAATCAGCATTCGCAGCTGCCTCCTGGATACCAACAAGGGCGTCCGCATCAACCCTTTTTCTCGCCTCCTGCTCCGAGTGCCCTGTCCCCGCCCCTCGGCAGCCATCAAGCGTATCTGAACAACAACCTTTCTCCGCAACCACAACCACAACAACAACCACCGCAACAACCGAACGCTCAGCGTCCACCCGGCATCTCTTTCCAAGAGCCACAGAGGATGCCCGCTCAACGCTCCGGTCCTTCGCGCGATTCGGTCAATTCCTACGGCGACGACAAGCGTAGCATCAACGATCCCAACAGCAGCAGCACCGCCTTGACGCAGGTCGCCTCGCTCGATCCAGAGTCGGGCTTTTCGGCTCACAATGACAACTTCCGCCGCAAAAAGTCGCTCGTCCGTCCAGATCGCGAACGCATGGATCCCAGCCATCGACAGTGGTACTACCGCAACCACGCTGCCCACATGGACGTCATGGCTGCCAGCGGCGGTCGCGTAGGGTATATGCCTTCCACCACCGGTCACCTGCCACAGCACGGTGCCGCTCCTCACGGCTCGGGCATGGCCGGCATCGTCGGTCCCGGAGGCGGTCTCAGCGGTCTTGGTGTGACGGGTCCTTCGAGCGTGCCTCCTGGTGGTCTCGGCCGCGCCCCTCCTCTGCGTCGCGGCAAGTCGATCTTGGGCAGGGACGAGGATCAGGTCGAGACCGGCATCAATGTCCTCAAGCGTGGCGTTTCGCTGCGTCGCAAACAGTCCAAGTCTGGCAACAAAGCCTCTAAAGAGGTGCCTCGCGACCTTGGCGAGAGCAAAACTTCGCGCATCGCGCCCGGTCCCGTCGGAGGCTGGATGATCTACTGCTACATCCTCACCATCTGCTGTCCAGGACCCTTCCTACGTGTCTTTGGCATCCGCACTCCGGAACAGCAGCGTGCCTGGCGTGAAAAGATGGGTCTCATCGGCATCATCACCCTCATCATGGCCGCTGTCGGTTTCCTCACCTTTGGGTTCACGCAGACCGTCTGTGGCAAGCAGCCCGATCGATACAACCTAGGAACCATCGATGTAGGTTCCATGACCTTCAACGGCTACGACTACAGCTTTGACGGCTTCGTCCATCCGAATACCGGCCCCTTTGGCGCCAACACCATCTACAACCACACCAACCCCATCTACTCTCAACCCTGGTCCTCCGGCGGACAGGATGGCAGCCTGCTCTTCCAAAAGATCGGCGGCGCATGCACTGGCGTCATCTCCAACCGCGCCGGAGGCGGTCAGCCCGATCGCTACTTTGACTGCACCCTCGTCCGTCAAGACGGCAAGGGTGGCTACTCCAACAATACGGTGTCCATGTGCCACAACGGCACCATTGTCGACCAGTTCAACGACGGCGCCCAACCCAAGAACGCGGTGCTCAAGAGGCGTGGCCAGGTCTCGCTTCAGTGGAACAACGTCACCGACACCACCCGCAACCTTGCCGTCTACCGAGGCGCTGTGCTCGATCTCAACCGTCTCAACAACTTCACCAACGCCGTCACCTATCCTGCGCTCTTCGATACGCTCAAGCGCCGCAATGACGCGTGGGCAGGCCGCGACGTGACCGCTTCCGTCATGCGCCAGCGTCTCGACAACGAGTTCCAGTGTCTCGAGCAGATCACGCGCATCGGCTTCATCGACTCGGAGACCATCGGTTGCGTCGCATCCAAGGTCGAACTCTACCTCTCGCTAGTCTTCATCATCGGTGTCGTCGCCATCAAGTTCTTCATGGCCGTCATGTTTGGCTGGTTCATCTCGTGGCGTCTGGGCAATTACGCCAACGAAACGTACGAGCAGCGCATGAAGCGAGCCGCCGAGATCGAGCAGTGGTCCGACGACATTTACCGTCCCGCGCCGGCCGGGTACCGTCCCAACGCCCGCAAGCACAAGTCGTTCCTCCCTGCCAAGAGTCGTTTCTCGGTCGCCGATCCGCTCAGCCTCAAGAGTGGATCGCGTGCGCCCATGCCCTTGAGCGAGAAGCGCATGACGCGTGCCAGCCGCCTCGGTGTCGGCTCGCCGCTCGGCGGTTCGCCTCCCGGTTCTCCCTCGGTCGCTGGTGGCAGAAGCTCGGCTTCGTTGGCTCCCGCTCACTCGCGTCGCTCGTCGTTCTCTGGCGGTCCTGCCGAAGGTGCCATGGGTATCTGCCCCTTCCCGTTGCACAACACGATCCCTCAGCCTGGACCCGACTACCAACCGTTTGGCTTCCAGCTGGCGCACTCGATCTGCCTCGTCACCGCCTACTCGGAGTCGTTCGAAGGCTTGCGTACCACGCTCGACAGCCTTGCCACCACCGACTACCCCAACAGCCACAAGCTGCTGCTCGTCATCGCCGACGGTATCGTCAAGGGTGCCGGCTCCGACATCTCGACGCCCGACATTTGCCTGTCCATGATGAAGGACCTCGTCATCCCCGCCGAAGAGGTCGAGGGCAACTCGTACGTCGCCATCGCCGACGGCTTCAAGCGTCACAACATGTGCAAGATCTACGCCGGCTTCTACGACTACGACGACGAGACCGTCGAGCGATCCAAGCAGCAGCGCGTTCCCATGATCCTCGTCGCCAAGTGCGGTACGCCGCTCGAGGCCGACAGCGCCAAGCCGGGCAACCGTGGCAAGCGTGACTCGCAGGTGCTGCTCATGGCCTTCATGCAGAAGGTCATGTTCGACGAGCGCATGACCGCCTTCGAGTACGAATTCTTCAACAGCATCTGGCGCGTCACGGGCGTCTCGCCAGACAACTACGAGATCGTGCTCTGCGTCGACGCCGATACCAAGGTGTTCCCCGACTCGCTCTCGCGCATGGTCGCCTGCATGGTCGAGGATCCCGAGATCATGGGCCTATGCGGCGAGACCAAAATCGCGAACAAATCCGAGACGTGGGTGACGATGATCCAGGTGTTCGAGTACTACATCTCGCACCACCAGACCAAGGCGTTCGAGGCGTGCTTCGGCGGTGTCACGTGTCTGCCAGGATGCTTCAGCGCGTACCGTATCAAGGCGCCCAAGGGGCCGCACGGCTACTGGGTGCCCATCTTGGCCAACCCGGACATCGTCGAGCACTACTCGGAGAACGTCGTCGACACGCTGCACAAGAAGAACCTGCTCTTGCTCGGAGAGGACCGATACCTGACTACGCTCATGCTCAAGACGTTCCCCAAGCGAAAGATGATGTTTGTACCTCAAGCGGTCTGCAAGACGATCGTACCGGACACGTTCCGCATCCTGCTGTCGCAGCGCCGTCGATGGATCAACTCGACGGTGCACAACCTGTTCGAGCTGGTCATGGTCAACGATCTTTGCGGTACCTTCTGCTTTTCGATGCGCTTCGTCGTCTTTATGGAGCTGACGGGTACGCTGGTGCTGCCTGCCGCCATCGCCTTCACGCTGTACGTCGTCGTGCAGGCGTTCCTGCCCAACGTTCCTACGCCTACGATCCCGCTCATCCTGCTCGCGCTCATCCTGGGTCTGCCCGGTATCTTGATCGTGGTCACGTCGCGCAAGATCGCGTACGTGGGCTGGATGTTGATCTACCTGTGCTCGCTGCCCATCTGGAACTTTGTGCTGCCGCTGTACGCCTACTGGCACATGGACGACTTCTCGTGGGGTGCCACGCGAGTGGTGCAGGGCGAAAACAAGAAGGACAACCACGGTGATGCCGACGGCAAGTTCGACCCTTCGCACATCGTGATGAAACGATGGGCCGAATTCGAGCGCGAGCGACGCTGGAAGTCGGGAACGCACTCGCGCGACTCGACGTACGACGTGGTGCAGCGCTCCGGCTCGCCCGACAGGGCAGGCAGCACGCGCTACTCGGTGGTCTCGTCGGACACGTTCCACTCGAATCCGTTCGGTCAGCACGACCAGTTCGGCCGTGCCCTGCCCAACGCCATGTCCTCGAGCACCTCGCAATTTGGACCCGACGCTTCAGAGGTGTCGCACAGCAAGAGCGCGTCGGGCGCGCGGGCTCGCCTCGATGCGGTGCCGCTGCTCGAGCTGCCGGCGCCGCTTGCGACAGATGCCAAGCAACGCAGCGGCGCCTCGCCGCCAGGCACGGTGGTGGTGCCTCGACCTCGCGCAACGTCGCCGTCGCCGTTGCCGCACAACTCGACCCACCCGGCGCTGGGCAGCGTCGGCGCCTTCTCGCCGACGCAGCACAGTGCGGGCCGCCTGCCCACGCTGCCCGGCGCCGCCACGTACGAAGCCTACCCGCACACGGATGTCGCCGACGAGGAGAGGCGACCGATGATCGGATCCGCGTCGAGCTCGCCAGACCCAGAACCGCGCCGTTACGTTGGCCCCGACGCAGGCGTTCGACACGGCAACGTCTCGACCGAGCAGCGCTACCCGACAGTGAGCGAGTCGGCATATCCCACGCAAGCATACACGGCGGAACCCGAGACAGACGGGTCCGTATCGCCGACGCCTCCGCCGCAGGGCTTCACCGCAGTCAGCCAGTCGCAGCAGAACCGACCGCTGACGCGAGGATTCAGTCTGGTGGACGATGGTCCCGTAGCGAGCGCGCAGGGCGTGCGACAGGTGCAGCGCGGAGCGCGACGCTCGCAGATGCCCAACTCGGCGGCGTCACCTCCTCCCACGGGCAACCGAACCGGCAACCTTCCACCGGGCGCAGCTCCTCCCAGCTTTGACTGAAGTGATCTCTCATAGCCGCCACTTGCTTGCCTCAATCATCTGGCATCCACGCACAACCTTCTTTTTCGACATCGGAATCTCTGCGGGCCTGATCTGCTCTTTCTCAAGGTCCCCCTTTCGGTCCTGTTCCATCCCTCTGAAGGTGCTCGTGCGACGACAGCGGCCTTGATGCGCCATCTCGTGCGAACATGCTTTGTCGAAATTCACGCATCCTCCACACTCGCTTTCTTGCGGCTGCAGCAGGCTGTCATTCGTTTGCCATCATATGTATCTATCCCCTTTCGTTTTTCCCAACGCCCACACGCGCTTCACGGCGAGCATCCGGACTAGCCCCGCACACTTAGCAAAATTCAATGGACATTATCGTATCCCCATCAATCTGATCTTGAGTGGGCCAGCCTCTGTATGGTGTTTGTGAAATGATGAGCGATTCTCGAGGTTGAGAGTCTTGCTTGTTTTGTGTTCTGCCGTTGTCGGCTATCCATTTCGACTCAGTCAAGGACAATAGTAAGGATTTGATGACCTCGACAGGCATGAATTGGAAATTCACAGTTGATCGTCACGGCCAACAGTGCGCATTACGTGAGGGGACGAGCTAATGCATCGGCGATCTTTCTGTCTCTCTCAAGTCACATTTTTCCAATTTGTAATTACTCTCGCCACGGATATTCCGCACCGCTCGCGACGCTATATCCGGACAAAAAGACAGACGAAGCGAATAAAGAGAGCGGGAAAAAAAATTTGGGTCAGCATGACGCTTTAGGAGATCCGGAGTGAGAAGGTCAAGGCTGAACTGCACAAAGCAGAGAGCGTTCATGCCATGACGGGCCCTTGAATGCAGTGGAGGAGCGCTCGTTTGCAATGAATGAATGGCTGTTCCTGTGTCGCTCAGCACGCTAGTCTTCGAGATTGTCACACCATCTTCCCCCCTCGTCCATCCCACTTCATCCTAGCCTTATCTTCCTCTTCTTGCGCCATCTGGTGCTATCTCGTCTCATCTCAAAACGAGGCCTGCAGATACCGAGATCCGCTAGGCGCCTCTACTCAAGGTCAAGCTTTCCGCCGGCTCGGTCCCTTTTACGCTGCAGGTCGGCTGTCGAACGCACTGAAGCGCGTGTGCCACTAGTTCGGCCCAGGAAAGACGCAGCATCAGTCGGCGTGTGGCGCTTGTACCGAACCAGTGAAGGGATAGAGCTCGAGACTGCCGCTCTAGCGAGGTGCACGCGACCATGGAAGACTCGGCGCCCGTCCAGGAGCTCGGCTCACTGTCCAACTTGGACGCGTCCCTGCAGTCGCATGGCGTAGGAGCAGATCCGTTGCTGAGCTTGCCGCTCCGCTTCTTCTCGTCCACCCTCGATCAGCTTCAGCGTCGACCGACGCTCGCCAAGCTTTGCGACAACAAGGAAGGCTGGGGCCCCGTCTCGCAGCAGCGCGACCTCGACTTCACCCCCTGCTTCCAGGAAGCCGCCTTTTGGACCGCTCCCGTCTTCCTGCTTGCCGTCTCTGGCGGCATCTCTCTGGCCATCCTTTCGAGACAAGAGACGAGACAGTTGACACGCACATCTCGCTCCGTGCTGTGGGCCAAGAATGTGGTGGTTGCCGTCCTCGCGGTTGCCGCTGGCTTTCAGGCAGCCATCTCGTACGGCCTGTTTGCCAAGCCTGGCGAATCGGTGTTCTTCTGGTCTTCGTTAGCAGGTGTCCTTGGTTACGTCCTCGTGGCGCTGTTGCAACACTTCAACCACACACGGTCACGCCGCAGCTCGGATGTGCTCCTTCTCTTCTGGCTCGCCCATCTGCTTGCCTCCATCGTCAAGGTCCGAAGTGCCATCACCTGGCCCTCGCTGCCGATCAAAGATCAACTGGTCACATTCGTCCCACTGGTCGTGCGTCTCGTCCTTGGCATCGTCGCCTTTGCCCTCGAAGCTGCAGGTGTCGAGCTCGGTTCGGACGACGAACATGACCGCAAACGCGCATCCTTCAGCCAGTCTCGCGTCAATGGCAACGGCAACGGCAACGGTTACCACGCCGTCCCCACCGACACCAACGGCAGCGCTTTCAGCGTCTTCTCCGACGCCGACGAGGAGGCCAACCCCGTTAGCGCCGAGTCGCCCGATTCCGGCAAAGAGTGCCCCGTCGTCACCGCTAACATCTTCAGCCGCATCACCTTTCACTGGATGCAGCCACTCATGACCCTGGGTGCCAAGAAGTTCGTCACCGAAGATGACATGTGGGCGCTTCCTGCCAACGAGGACGCCGAAAACCTCGGCCGCCGCTTCGACAAATTTTGGAAGCAGACCAAGGACAAGGAGACTGGCAAGCCCGCCTTCTGGACCACCTTGCTCTACGCGTACGGCGGACCGTTCATGTTCGCTGCGCTCCTCAAGTCGGCGCAGGACGCGCTTGCCTTTGTGCAGCCCCAGATCCTGCGCAAGCTGCTCCAATTCGTCCAGAGCTACGACAGCCAGGATGCCAACCAGAGCGCGATGCAAGGCTACCTGCTCTCTGCCGCGCTGTTCTGCGTCGCCGTCACTCAGACATCGTTCTTGCACCAGTACTTCCAGCTCGTCTTTGTGACAGGAATGCGCGTGCGTGCCGGCCTCGTCAGCGCCATCTTTAAGAAGAGTCTGCGTCTCTCCAACGAGGACCGCGGAGGCAGGGCTACCGGCGACATCGTCAACCTCATGTCGGTCGATGCGACTCGCCTGCAGGATCTCTGCACCTACGGTCACATTGCCTGGTCGGCCGTCTTCCAGATGACGCTTGCCTTTGTCTCGCTCTACAACCTGCTTGGCTGGCCTTCCTTTGTCGGTGTCGCCATCATGGTGGTCAGCGTGCCGCTCAACACCGCTTTGGCCCGCTACCTGCGTCGTCTCAGCGAAAAGCAGATGAAGGTCAAGGACAAGCGAACGCGACTCATGAACGAGATCCTCACCAACATCAAGTCGATCAAGCTGTTCGCCTGGGAGGAGGCTTTCACCCGGAAGCTGTTCAAGGTGCGAAACGACGAGGAGCTCAAGCTGCTGCGTACCGTCGGTGTCGTCTCTGCCTTTTTCAACTTCTTCTGGACTGCCATTCCCTTCTTTGTCTCGCTCGGAACCTTTGTCACCTACGCCTACACGAACCCGGAGCCCTTGACCGCCGACGTCATCTTCCCAGCGCTGGCTCTGTACCAGCTGCTCTCGTTCCCCATCGCCATGTTCGCCGGTATCATCTCGGCGTTGCTGCAGGCTCAGGTATCGGCCGGTCGTCTCTCGGACTTTTTCGATGCTGGCGAGCTCGACCCCGCCGCGCGGAAGGTCATCCTGCCCGGCCAGCGCGGACCTGTCAACCCAGAGGCACCATCGCGTCCCGACAACGTGCTCGACACGCTCAACGACTCGAACAACGACGCCCACGAGCCTGAGCAGAACGACGAGGTGGTCATCCTTCGAGATGCAGAGTTCAAGTGGTCGCGCTCGCAACCCGTGCCCACTCTTCAGGACATCAACCTCACCGTCAAGAAGGGCGAGCTGCTCGCCGTGCTCGGCAAAGTGGGCGACGGAAAGAGTTCGCTTCTTTCGGCTGTCCTCGGTGAGATGGTGCGCACGGACGGCGAGGTCGTCGTCAAGGGACGCACCGCCTATTTCACCCAAGGCGGATGGTGCATGGGCGCAACGGTCAGGGACAACATCCTGTTCGGCCTCAAGTACGAACCCGAGTTCTATCAGAGGGTCATTGATGCTTGTGCGCTTACCCCGGACCTCAACATCCTGCCGGAAGGCGATCGCACCGAGGTCGGAGAGCGAGGTGTCAGCTTGTCCGGTGGCCAGCGTGCTCGTATCGCCCTGGCGCGTGCCTGCTACGCTCGCGCTGATATCTACCTGCTTGACGATCCGCTGGCCGCAGTGGATGCTCACGTCGGCGCTCACATCTTCAAGCACGTCATCGGCCCCGAAGGCCTGCTGCGCAGCAAGGCCCGCATCCTCACGCTCAACTCGGTCAGCTGCTTGCCACAGTGCGATCAGATCGTCTCGGTGCGTCGCGGTATCATCCTTGACGAACGCGGAACGTACGACCAAGTCATGGACAAGAAGGGCGAGCTCTTTAACCTCATCACCGGCCTCGGAAAGCAGAGCGCGCGCGAGCAGGCGGCCGAAGATGGTGAAAGCGAGACGCCCACCAAGGACCTCGAGGTGATCGACATGGACAAGGAGCTCGATACGCACGGTCAGGGCGGTGAGGAAAGTCTGAAAGGCTCCAAGCTGCACCGCCGCATCAGCTCGGCCTCGATGGCGCGACCCAAGACCATGTCCAAGAAGCAGATCAAGCAGGACACGATCCGACAGCTCAAGGAGAGTTCGGCGCCCAAGGAAAAGTCCGAGCAAGGCAGCGTCAAGCCCGAGGTGTACCGTCAGTACATCAAGAGCTGCAGCGTGCTAGGCGTTGTCCTCTACATCCTTGCACAGATCCTGTCGCAGGTCATGACCGTCTCGCGCGATGTGGTGCTCAAGCAGTGGGGCAAGGCGAACGAGAACGGCGGCGACGCTGGCAACACGCGCTTCTACTTGACGCTGTACGGTATCGTCGGCATCCTCGCCTCTATCTGCATCTGCATCGCTCCGTTCATCCTGTGGACCTGGCTTGTCATTTCGAGCGCTCGCAAGTTCCACGACAATATGTTCGATGCCGTCCTTCGCAGCCCGCTCCAGTGGTTCGAGACGACGCCGACGGGTCGACTTTTGAACCTCTTCTCGCGCGATGTCAACGTGATCGACGAGGTCTTGCCGAGGGTCATACACGGTCTCATTCGTACCATGACGGTGGTGCTCGGTGTGCTGTGCGTCGTAGGATACTCTGTACCGCCGTTCCTGATCGCCATCGTTCCGCTGGCCTTTGCGTACCGCGCTGTTCTGCGCTACTACTTGGCCACGAGCCGAGAGCTGAAGCGACTCGACTCGGTCAGCAAGACGCCCGTCTTCACCTGGTTCCAGGAATCGCTCGGCGGTCTCAGCTCGATCCGCGCGTTCGGCCAGGAGGCGCGTTTCATCGCCACGTCGGAAGCACGCGTCGATCGCAACCAGCAGTGCTACTTCCCTGCCGTTACGTGCAACCGTTGGCTGGCTGTACGCATCGAGATGATGGGATCGGTCATCATCTTCGTCGCATCTACGCTGGCCGTATTCATTCGAACCAAGAACGGCAAGATGGACGCCGGACTGCTCGGGCTGATGATGTCGCAAGCGTTGAGCACGACGCAGACGCTCAACTGGGTGGTGCGATCCGCATCCGAGGTGGAGCAGAACATCGTCAGCGTGGAGCGCGTCATGTCATACACGGATCTGGTGTCCGAAGCGCCGTACGAGGTGCCTGATCAGACGCCTCCCGAGGACTGGCCCAGCAAGGGAGAGGTGAGCATGCAGTCGTACTCGACTCGCTACCGACGCGAGCTGGGGTTGGTGCTCAAGAAGCTCAACCTGGACATCAAGGCGGGCGAGCGCATCGGTGTGGTGGGACGAACAGGTGCAGGCAAGTCGAGTCTGACTCTTGCACTGTTCCGCATCATCGAAGCTGCCGAGGGCAAGATCATCATCGATGGGATCGACGTCTCCAAGATCGGCTTGAAAGATCTTCGTTCCGCCATCGCCATTATTCCACAGGACCCGCAGCTGTGGGAAGGCACTCTGCGCGAGAACCTGGACCCTACGGCTCGCTCGGACGACGCAGCGCTGTGGAAGGCGCTCGAGCAAGCGCGCATGAAAGAACACGTGCAGAGCCTCGACGGCGGTCTCGACGCACAGCTCACCGAAGGCGGTACAAACTTCTCGGCGGGTCAACGCCAGCTCATCTGCATCGCCAGGGCGTTCCTCCGCAACGCCAAGATCCTCGTGCTGGACGAAGCGACCAGCGCCATCGACCTCGAGACCGACGCCCAGGTTCAGGCGATTGTGCGGTCGGAGTTCAAGGGCACCACCATCACGGTGGCGCACAGGTTGAACACGGTGATCGACTCGACGAGGGTGTTGGTGCTGAAGGATGGTGCGGTGGCAGAGTTTGACGAGCCGCAGAAGCTGTTGGAGGACAAGAAGAGCATTTTCTTCTCGATGGCGTTGGAGGCTGGTCTGGCCAAGTTGGACGGATAGAGGTCGATCAGGCACGTGCATTGCGAAGTTTGCTGGACTCGCTGGGAAGGCTTTCACGCATCGTGTCGCTCGCGCAAGGAATCTTTGTGGCTGCCCGCCTGATGCGTCAAAAATCTGATTGATCATAGAACAGTTTGGATGTCATCCGTAGTCTCGATTTCGTTGCGGCAGCCGTCCGTGTATATCACGCTGAGCTGCGTCGGATAGTGACAAAGTCGACGATCGGTGATTCGGGCGCAGCTCAACGCGTCGAGGCTCTTTGTGTGTCGAGACGCTTTCTCGCGTGCGCAAGGTTGCGGAAAGAAACACTTTTATTCCACTCCGCACGTGTCGCTCATCTGTTTGTTTCCTTCCTTGAGCTGGTTCATCTCCTTCTTCCTTTCTACCGTCCCGCATTCCATCTTGCCACAGCATATCGCACACGCTGCATTGAGGCTGAAGAGGCCATCACCAGCGCATTTTGCTAGACTGGTATCAAGCATTCGGCAAAGACAGCATCTCACATCTCACGACATCCTCACCGACTCGACCTGGACTTTGACTCCTGCTTGGCCAAGATGACAGAGTCGTGGTCGGCAAACAGCACCACATCGACGGCGATACGCCTGATAGGGTCTCCGTACGGCACCGACTCGGCGTTCCACCCGACGTTCACCTATCCGATCTACGGCGAGGCCGAGACGATCTACGGATACAAAGGACTTTGCATCAACCTCAACGTTGCATCGGGCAGCCTGGTACCGTTGATCGACGTGAGCTATCGCGCAAAGAACGAATCCACCACCGCAAAACTCGACGACGTCGAAGGCAAGATCAAGGAGTTTCTGCCACCAGATCACCTGTCCACCTCTTCGTCTAGTGCAAAGGAGCATTTTGCGGCAGCCGTCGAGGCGGACAAGGCCTTCAAGCCCTTTGGCGAAAAGGTGCACAGCTATACACGCCGGAAAGTCAACAAGGGGAAAGGCAAGAACAGTGCATCGCTCGCCTCGACATCGACGCTGTCGGAGGACGACCCGGACGCGAGGGTGTTTGAGATCTACCGCTCCACCTGGTCCACTCCTGGATTCCGAGAGTACCACCGACGCATGCAGCTCTTCGTTCTACTGTTCATCGAAGGAGCCTCCTATATCTCGGAGGACGAAAGCAACTGGGAGTTCTTCACGCTCTACGAACGATCCGCTTCGGGATACCACTTTATGGGCTATACATCCCTGTACAAATTCTGGTGTTGGCCGGATTCATCACGAATAAGACTAAGCCAGTTCGTTATCCTCCCACCGTTCCAAAAGCAGGGTCATGGTGCAGCGCTCTACACCACCGTGTACGACGCGATTCGACAGAGACCCAATGTTCGGGAATTGACGGTGGAAGATCCGAGCGAAGATTTCGATCGTCTACGGGACGGGAACGATCTTCGCAGACTTCTCGCCCCCGGTGGGTTTGTGGAAATCGCCAAAGCGGAAGGAAAACTCAACGCGCCCGTCGACAAGGGCTGGATCGAGGCGAAACGGCTAGAGCACAAGCTGGCGCCGAGACAGTGGTCGCGAGTGCTCGAGATGGTCCAGCTGATGAACCTGGATCTGGACGATGCGCAGCAGGTCAAGCAGTACCGATTGCAGGTGAAAGCGAGGATCTATCGCCAGAACAAGGACATTCTGATCCAGCTCGAGAAGGCGCAGCAGAGGAGCAAATTGCAGGAGACGTTCGAGGGTGTCGTGGAGGAGTACGGCGATATGGTCGGGGTGGATGTGGAGGATCTGCTGGGTGGTGGCGGTGTTGGGGGGCTGTACGGGCTGGATGAGGAGGATGAGGATGAGGAGGACGGGGGGCATTATGCGAATGGAAATGGTCCGCCGAGGAAGATGGCTCGCTTTGGGTGAGAGGGTGAGCGGCGTGCATCGTTGATATGGCAGTCGGGACTCTTAATGTGCAAAGTCATATTGATCGACTGAACGATGAGGCTGTGATGTTTCAGGCTGGCGAACATTTGCTACCCACACCGTGTGCATATGGCATGGTGGAGAGCAGCCAAAGAGGGTTGAGTGCAGGCCGAGCGAAAGGACAGCTTTGTGAGGATACTAGATGTAACAATCCTTTGCCTCTAAGAATTTCCCGCGGACAATGTTGACCGTTGTTAAAGTGGTGTCTTTCGTGTCGGGCATCGCGTGGATTGCGACTGAATTGAAATTTTTCATGGACGAGGTGCGAGCGTCTTAATTCCGTCTCAAGCTGGAAATTTTTCCATTGGAGAGGGAGAGCAACTTTTTTCCTGGCACGCTGTGGCTGAGCAGTGTTGGACGGCAGCAGCAGCAGCAGCAGGAGCACAAAAGTTGTCCAAGGTCAGAGCGACACCTTCCTTCCTAATCTGTTCTTCGCCAAAAGAGCCACCTCCTACAAACATCTTCCTCCTTACCATCGACGACCCTTCATCAAGATGCCCGCTAGCAACGGTCTTCAGATCCCCCAGGACGTGGCGGTCCTCTCGCCTTCCCAGGCGCTCGAGCACCTCAAGACCTACGCCAACGGCGACGGCTTGAGCATGGCCGAGCTCATCGACTCTCGTCAGCACGGCGGTCTCACCTACAACGACTTCCTCGTGCTCCCGGGCTTCATCAACTTCAACGCCTCGGACGTCAGCCTTCGCACCAAGGTCACCAAGAACGTCACCTTGAACACGCCCTTCCTCTCTTCGCCCATGGACACGGTCACCGAGACCGAGATGGCCATCGCCATGGGGCTTATGGGCGGCATGGGTGTCATTCACAACAACATGAGCCCTCAGGAGCAGGCTAGCGTTGTGCGCAAGGTCAAGAAGTACGAGAACGGGTTCATCACTGAGCCCCTCTGCCTGGACCCCAAGGCTACCGTGGGTGACGTTCTCGATGTCAAGGAGCGTCTTGGTTTCGGTGGTATCCCCATCACTGGTAAGTCTCGCATTCCACTGCTTCGTTCTTCCACTACGATCTTCGACACACCAGCAATCGATACCCTCGACTCGAAAGATGAAACAACCAAATTGCATATAACCTTCGTTCTTCCGAGCCTCTCCCTTAGACCTGGGAGAGTGTGTGCGGATGCGATTATCAACTCTGATCCGATTCCCGCCTCACTCGCATTTTGACCGCCATTCGCATTCGACGTGATTCTCATGGACGCATCCACTGACTTCTGTTCGTATATCGTCTCTGCGAATGCTTTTGCTCGAATCTAGACACTGGTGCTATGCACGGCAAGCTGCTAGGTATCGTCACCGCCCGTGACGTCCAGTTCCGCGACACGAGCCTCCCGCTCTCCGAGGTCATGACCACCGACCTCGTCACCGCCAAGCAGGGCGTCACTCTCGAGCAGGCCAACACCATCCTCCGCGACAGCAAGAAGGGCAAGCTGCCCATCGTCGACGCCGAGGGTCGCCTCGTCGCCTTGCTCGCTCGTTCCGACTTGCTCAAGAACCAGAACTACCCTCTCGCATCCAAGCAACCCGACAGCAAGCAGCTCTACTGCGCCGCTGCCATCGGAACGCGTCCTTCGGATCGCGAGCGTCTCGGTCTGCTCGTCGAGGCTGGTTTGGATGTGGTCATCCTCGACTCGTCCCAGGGCAACTCGGTGTACCAGATCGAGATGATCCAGTGGATCAAGCAGACCTACCCTCAGGTCGATGTTGTCGCAGGTAACGTCGTTACCCGCGAGCAGGCTGCCAGCCTGATCGCCGCCGGTGCCGACGCCCTGCGTGTCGGCATGGGTTCCGGTTCGATCTGCATCACTCAAGAAGTCATGGCCGTCGGTCGACCTCAAGGTACTGCCGTGCACGCCGTCGCCGAGTTCGCCTCCAAGTTCGGTGTTCCCGTCATCGCCGACGGAGGTATCTCCAACGTGGGCCACATCGCCAAGGCGCTCGCTCTCGGTGCCTCTGCCGTCATGATGGGCGGACTGCTCGCCGGAACCACCGAATCGCCCGGCGACTACTTCTACCGCGACGGAAAGCGTCTCAAAGGCTACCGCGGTATGGGCTCCATCGAAGCCATGGAGCACCAGAAGAAGGGCAAGATCGCCGGCGCTACGGGCAAGGGCGCTGCCAAAGCCGACAAGGTCGCCTCGGACGAAAACGCCGCTACGCAGCGCTACTTTTCCGAGAGCGACGCCGTCAAGGTCGCCCAGGGCGTCGCCGGTGCGGTGCAGGACAAGGGATCGGTCAAGAAGTTCCTGCCGTACCTGTACACGGGTCTGCAGCACTCGTTGCAGGATATGGGCGTGCCGCACCTGTACGAGCTGCGCACCGCGGTGGGCAGCGGTCAGGTCAGGTTCGAGTTGAGGACCGCCAGCGCTCAGGTGGAAGGTGGAGTGCATGGTCTCCACTCTTACGAGAAGAGGTTGTTCTCGTCGTAGAAAGGGGTAAGCGCCAAGGTGGGGTCAACGCAGCCACGATGCAAGTAGCACTTTGCTTTTGTGGTTGGATCAGATCGCCATGGTTGCCTCTCAATTTATTTGTACTTTAGTCATCTTCTTGCCCTCGAAACATGTTTCTTGGATCTTGTTGCCGGTGTTGTGGATGGTCTGAGGTCACATTGCTCGAGTGGACCAGATGAACAAGTGTGTTGCAGAAGAAGGTCTTTGCTGGATATCGGAGGTGGAAGGAAAGTGTGTTCATCCGGCCGGCTGTGAAATTTAAGAAGAAATCTCGTTGCACTCCACACTGAAAACCAGGCCAAAAAAAAAGTTCAAGCTTTGACACTTTGAGAATTTTTCGACGACCCTTAGCAGCTGCCAACCAACTCAACCCTTTCGACCTGCATACCACAACACACCATCCAGCTCTCCGGCAATCCTCACGCTACGGGGAGAAGATCCGCCATCATGGCAAAGAAGTCCCGCACCGACACAGCCGCTGCCTCTTCGTCCAGCAGCAGAGCTAAAGATGCCAAATCGACCGCTATCTCGCTATCGAACGGTTTCGTAGCCGTACCGTTGAATATTGTCAAGCAGGATGTGACGCATTGGATCTACGTTCGAAAACACACTGCAGCGAGCGGTTCAGCGTCATCATCATCGAAGAAAGTGGAGGCGTTGCCGGCGGATAGAACGTTGTTTGTGGCGAATCTGCCGGTGGATGCGACGGAGGAAGGGGTGAGGGGGATGTTTGGCAAGGTCGGGGGTGTTTCGATGGTCAAATTTCGACGGCAGAGCGTGGTCGAGGAAGAGGATGAGAGGGAGGAGAGGGGTGTTGGTGAAGAATCCGACGAGGATGTAGAAGGAGAAGAAGAAGAGCATCATCAAATCTCAACGTCCACGGGCAAGAAGGGAAAGAAGAAAGTCACCAAAACCAAAGTACCGCAGATCATACCTCTACCGCCCATGGATGCACGTCTCGCAACGGGAAACGCTTTGCTCTCCACCGCTTCCTCCGCTCACATCGTTTTTCTCGACCCTACCTCCCTCCAACGCGCATTCGATCTGATCACCACCAAACCACCCAAATACACCCCCTCCTCCTCTTCCCCCACCGGTCTCTCCCACCTCCTCTCCACCTACACCCTCTCCCGACCTCCCCTGCCCGACATCGCCGCCTTCTCCAACTCGGTCATTTCGCTGTACAACTACCGCCGCGCCCACCCGCTCCCACGCCGCATCGGCGTGCGCGGCGTCACCCTCGGCCCCTCCGGCGAGCTCCTCGACGAAGACGGCTTTATCATCGTCCAACGCACCCCCGGCGGTGGAGGCAAGTACGGTCGTGCAGGAGCACCCGCCGATGCCGGCGGCAGCGTAGGCGTCGCCAAGCACGGATTCAAGGAGAACGATAAGAAAAAGTCAACCGGCTTGGAGGACTTTTATAGGTTCCAGATGAGGGAGAGGAAGAGGGAGGAGTTGGCGGGATTGAGGAGGAGGTTCGAGGAGGATAAGGCCAAAGTCGAGAGGTTGAAGAGCGGAAGGAGGTTCAAGCCGTATTAGTGAACAGAGGAATCCAAGTCGATCCGCAAGATTGCATTGATGGACAAGTGCGTGTGTGTGTGTGTGTGAGGTGGAACGGGGCAGCGGAAATCAGAGGACTCAAGCGTGTGCGTGAAGAGCGGGCCACTCAGACATGTCGGTGAATGACCCCGGAGTGAACATGGTTTCGAACGAGATTCGATGAAAGAGGAGGGATACAAGTACAGATTGAGTTGAGAGGCGGGTGGAAAGATGCTTTTCTGCGAGGGGCAGGGTCTAAGTTGCGCTCCAGCAAGCTCTTGTTACGAAGCGTCGATCGTTCGACCCTTCGAGTTAGTGGTTGGGTCAGATCAGTCGTCGTCCGGGGTCTCTCTTCGGAAGCTGTATTCCACAACAAAGCAAGATCGGATCCTTGTCAGTATCAACAAACTCTTCTCCTCTGTGGCTGTCAAATGAAGAGGGTGAGATACGTACTACATATCGATAGCACCGGAGAAAGCGGCGAAAGCGACACCTCCTCCGATCGCAGCTTTTGGACCGGAGTTTCTCGCCAGAATGGCGCCTGCTGCGAACCCTGCCGCTACCGGGTTGACCAAGTCGTTCTTTGCACGATACTGTTTTTCGCCCAAACCTTCGTCAGTCACTTATTCTTCTTCTTCTCGTACCTTCCAACCCAATACTTACCGCTTCGATACAGCACTCGATGCCACTATACAACGCTCCGACCTTACCGAACCCTTTCCCGCTCCTGTACATACTCTTCCCCGTCTGCTTGAAAAACTCCTTCGTACTTTGCATCGTTGTCAACTCCCCCGCACCTACCGCCGCTGCTCCCGAGTTCGCCAGTCCGTTGGCAGCCAGCGTTGTTCTGCGCAGCGGATCGTCAACCGCAAAACTCGTCGACATCAACGAGAAAAACGCTCCCAACCCAAACCCCGCCGCCCCCGACAAAGCACATTTCGTAGGACACGACTCCATCGTCATGTTGGCAATCTTGTTCCATTTGGCGATCTTGGTCATCTCGGTACGATCGTCTTCGGTGACACCTGGTGGAAGCGGTTCGGTGCCGGGGACGTAGACGGGCGCCATGAGCGGTCGAAGGTGCGCCATTTTGATGTAAACTGTCGAGATGTGTGACGGCGGTGGTCAAGTGATGTGCCGATGGAGGGTCTGTATGATGCGATAGGTTGCCAGAGTAGGTGAAGTTGAAGTGTGCGAGTCAAGAACGAAGGGTTCAGAAGAGGCAAACTCATTTTTCAGAAAAAGAGACACTTCTCAGGGCAGCCACGCACCGAAATCCGATGCTCTCCCCAACGCCCGAATTCCGAACCCCTTAGCATGCTCACCTCACAACAGCTGCCCCGCTCAGCAGCTTGCCACCAGACGAGCACAGCAATGCACGCAGCATGAACGACACTGAAATCCGGTAGCATTGCGTTGGAAGATGGACACCTTGAAGGAAAAGAACTACAGATAAAGACCCTCAGGAGTGCCCTCGTTCTTCCTGTCAATCACACGCTCCCTCGCCGTAGTAAAGTCCTTCTTGGTCACGCGCATACGTCTCTCCCTCAACGCCAACAACCCAGCCTCGGTGACCAATGACTTGATATCGGCGCCCGAAAGATCATCCTTCATGGCGACAAACTCCTCCAGATCCACATCCGCGTCGAGGTTCATGCGCGAAGTGTGGAGCTTAAAGATGTGCATCTTGGTCTTGGAGTCTGGCAGCGGGAACTCAATCTTGCGGTCGATACGTCCCGGACGGATGAGGGCAGGGTCGAGCGACTCGATGCGGTTGGTGGCCATGATGACCTTGACGTCGTGTCGGGTGTCGAAGCCGTCGAGCTGGTTGAGCAGTTCGAGCAGGGTGCGTTGGATCTCGCGTTCTCCGCCCGAGTTGGAGTCGTAGCGCTTTGTTCCGACCGCGTCGATCTCATCAATGAAGACGATGCTGGGTGCGTGCTCGTCGGCGACGCGGAAGAGTTCGCGGACGAGCTTGGGACCGTCGCCGAGGTACTTTTGGATGAGTTCGGAGCCGACGACTCGTAGGAAGGTGGCGGACGTCTGGTTGGCGACCGCTTTGGCGAGAAGCGTCTTGCCGGTGCCTGGTACACCGTAGAGGATGACACCTTTGGGCGGGCGGATGCCCATCTCTTCGTACAGCTCTGGATGCGTGAGCGGCAGTTCGACGGCTTCCTTGATTTCCTGAATTTGCGTCTCGAGACCACCGATGTCCGCATAGCTCTCGGAAGGAGCCTTGTCGAGCTTCATGACGCTGACCATGGGGTCGGCATCGTCCGACAGCACACCCACGATTGCCATGGCCTTGTGATGAAGCAAGACACTGCATCCCGGTTCGAGCAGATCCTTGTCGACAAAGCTCATGATGCTAACGTAGTACTCTGGACCCGTAGAGCTGCTGACGATGGCGTGCTCGTCGTCGATGATCTCCTCCAACGTCCCCACGGCCATGGGACTACCTCTGAGGTCGTCCACCCTAGTACGTTCCTCCGCATCCTTGTCCTCCTGCGGCTTGAGTCGCTCCTGATTCTGTACAAACTCCTCCTCGAGCAAAAGGTGATCCTTGATGCGTTCGAGCTTGAGCAGCTTCAACCTGCACCGTGTGTTGGGGTAGACGGCGGGAAGCTTGGAAGAAGAGTCGGGGCCGCGCTTCTTCTTCTTACCGACACGTGTTGGGAGGGGTGGCTCCCATTTCTTCTGCTGGTCTTTCTTGTTGTCTTTGCCTCCGCGACCGGGTGCTCCGCCGGAGGGAGCTTGACCCATGGTGACGGACTAAGGTGAGGTAGAGATGGAAGTCGAACGAACGACGCTGAGATCGATGTTGGTTGAGGTGCGAATGTTTGGCGGATGAAAGCAGACTGCGGCAGTGACGACGGTGAAGACAAGGTGGACCAGGTGGATGTGGTGTAATCCAAGCAACACATTCAATAGAGGCTGAGGAATATTGAGGTGGAGTGACAGCGTCGCTTGCTGATCGGACGCGCGTCCAAAAGCACGCTCAGCGTCACAAGCCGTGCGAATGCCACAGAGGTCCACCTGTATTTGTCATGATTATTAAACAGAATGCCACTCGAAGATGAATTTTAGCTTTTTGGAGTGGAGACGAAGAAGAAAAGGAAAAACTCGCAAAAGAGAACGGTTTCTAGATTCTGGATCCTGGCTGCTGCTGCTGCTGTCTCTGCTGCCGCGTGACAACAAGCTGAGAGGAAGAAGCAGAAAAAGAAAAAAATTGGCGGGCGAGAGCTGGCACAGGCAAAACCTCGAAATCGCAACTCTGGCCACTCACACTTGTCTCGCACTCTTCGCTGCCCATCATCGTTGTCTCCTCAACACCTCCCTCCCTATCCGTCAACCCTCTCCTGGACCCCACCCCGTCCGGACGATCGCTCTCGAGGAAAGGCACGGATCAGACGCATTCCTCTGCTCGCCATAGATCACCTCGTCGTTTCGAAGACCATATTGAGCATCTCTGCTCACCGACCCTCATCCACATCTCGACACCCTACTTCGTCCTAACTGCCGCAGCCTGGCATCTCTTTCATCATGGTCAAGGTACTTTTCGAGACAGCCGTAGGCTTCTGCCTCTTCAACGTCTCGGACTCGTCCAAGCTCGAGGCTACCAAGAACCTCCACGAGTCGCTCGGCTCGGCGGAGGGCGCCAGCAACCTGCTCAAGCTCTCGGCCATCCACCGCTTCACCAACACCGCCGAGGCAGTCGAGGACATCTCCGCCATCAATGAAGGAAAAATGAGCAAGAGCCTCAAAAAATTCCTCACCGAAGAGATTGTTGACGTCAAAGGCAAGGACAAGGAGAGCCTCGTTGTCGCCGAATCCAAGCTTGGTATGTATCCGCACACACACACCTTTCACCCTACTCTTGGAACCCGTTTTAACTGACTGTGACACTTTCCTCCTCGGCAGCTTCCAACATTGCGAAGAAGCTCGGCATTCAGGTCACTTACGACACCGAGCTCCTCGACCTCTACCGTGGCATCCGCGAGAACCTGGCCACCCTTCTCTCCTCTTCCTCCGGCGACGAGTCGCTCGACCCCCGCGACCTCAACACCATGAGCCTCGGTCTTTCGCACAGCTTGAGTCGTTACAAGCTCAAGTTCAGCCCGGACAAGGTCGACACCATGGTCGTACAAGCCATCGGCCTGCTCGACGACCTCGACAAGGAGATCAACATTTACGCCATGCGTGTCAAGGAGTGGTACGGCTGGCACTTCCCCGAGATGGGCAAGATCATCACCGACAACCTCGCCTACGCAAAAGTCATCCGTGCAATGGGCTTCCGAACCAGCGCCTCTGCTACCGACTTCAGCGAGATCCTCCCCGAGGAGATCGAGGAGACGCTCAAGGCTGCCGCAGAGATCTCCATGGGTACCGAGATTTCGGAAACCGATCTCGAGCACATCTGGAGCCTCTGCGACCAGGTCATCTCCATCACCCAGTACCGCACCCAGCTCTACCAGTACCTCCAGAACCGCATGGCCGCCATCGCTCCCAACCTCACCGCGCTCGTCGGCGACCTCGTTGGCGCGCGTCTCATCAGCCACGCCGGTTCGCTCATGAACCTCGCCAAGCACCCCGCTTCCACCGTCCAGATCCTCGGCGCCGAAAAGGCTCTCTTCCGTGCGCTCAAGACCAAGCACGACACGCCCAAGTACGGTCTCATCTACCACAGCTCGCTCGTCGGTCAGGCGCCACAGAAGCTCAAGGGTAAGATGGCTCGTATGGTTGCCACCAAGGCTGCACTCTCCATCCGTCTCGATGCGCTCGCCGACGCCGACTCCAAGAGCGACGAGGGTGCTCCTTCTATTGGAATCGAGGCGCGTGCCAAGCTCGAGTCGCGTCTGCGTGCTCTCGAGATGCAGAGCGGCCTTTCGGGTATGCGATCAGCGAGGAACGCTGCCGGCGACCAGGGCTACAAGCAGAAGCCCTTCCAGATGGAGGCCGGTGGTCGATCGTACAACGCCGCTGCCGACGCTGCCGGTCCCAGCGACATGGCTGCCGCTGCCGCCATCGCACCATCCATGCTCCCCTCTACACCCTCCAAGCCTTCGCTCGACGCCGACGAGAAGAAGCTCTCGAAAGAAGAGCGAAAGGCACTCAAGAAGGCGAGAAAGTCCGAGGTCGCCACTGCCGCATCCGAGCCCGCCACCCCTGCCGCTGCGGACGGCGAAGACAAGCTGAGCAAGGAGGAACGCAAGGCGCTCAAGAAGGCCAAGAAGGAACAGGCGAACGGTGTCGAGGAGACGCCCAAGAAGGACAAGAAGGACAAGAAGAAGCGTTCGGCCGACGAGGCAGAGGTCAACGGTACGCCCAAGTCCGAACCAGGGTCGAGCAAGAAGAAAAAGTCCAAGAAGGATTGAAAGCCATTCATTCCCCTTTCTTGAGTTTCTGTTCCCCGGTTTTCCTTTTCTGTTTTTTGATTGCCCTTCTTTCTTCCGAGTTTTGTGTTT